AAGAGAAGTCTCTGATTATATTTGGTTGGCTTAGGTACCCTTTACTACACTCATTTCTTCTCAAGGAACTGAAGGTTGCAACTGATCTGCTTGAAGATGCAAAACCTGGGCATTCGGGATCCAACCTAGCAAAAGTTGTCCATCCAAGTTTATGTCCAATGTTGATTCTTCTATCCAGGCTCAAGCCTTCAACTATTTCTAGTGAGAAGGGAGACAATCTGGATCCCTTCTTGTTTATGCCATTCATCAGGAAATGCTCTACCCAAAGCAATCTACGAGTCCGTGTTCTTGCTGCTAAAGCCTTAACGGGGCTAGTATCCAATGAGAGACTGCCACATGTCCTCTTGACCATCGCCTCCGAACTACCTCACTCCAACAGTCCAGTCAAGAAAGCTACCTCGGCTTCTTTCAACTCAACACATGGGATGTTATTGCAGCTCAGTTGTCTTCTTGATGTTAATTGCAGAAACCTGGCTGATTTCGGGAAGAAAGATCAGATTCTCCACGATTTGGTCCAGATTCTAGTGCAATGCTCTTGGATATGTTCCCCCAAAAGCTGCCCGTGCCCTATCTTAAATACATCCTTTCTACAGGTGGTGGATCACATGCTCAGTATCAATGATAATCTTCTTAATATTCGCCAGCTGCTTTTGGAACTCTCTACAGGATGCTTAGATGCTGAAGATTCTTATAAAATGGTTTCTTATGATCCCACGGTAGCTGAGCTTCGGGAACAAGCTACGCACTCTTATTTCAGTTGCTTCCTTCAGAGGCCTAAAGTTGAAACTGAAGCCTTTGTTGGACTCCAAGAGAGGCTGACGCTTTCCTTGAAAGATTCATCATATGAAGTTCGACTGGTGACACTGAAATGGCTGCTTAAGTTCCTGAAGCATGATTTTCTCCCTGGAGAGATGGCAAAAACTATTGAAGAATGGACTAGATCAAGCCTTCAGAAAACCATGATGAGCCTCTTGGACTCGGAGAAGAACCGTCGGTGTGTATACTACATTCTCAGGGTTATTTTCACCTGGAACATGCTACTGTTTGAGAAGACTGGTGATAACCGAGATCTTGATGGCACTGATTATATCTGCCAATTGGATCTTTGCCAAATATCCCAGTTTTGGGATAAGTTGCAGTCATTATACAAGGCCACAAGACATTTAAAGACCAAGGAGAAACTCATCTGTTGCATGGCCATATGCGTGAAGCAGTTCGCAGCCCTATTCATCAGCTCTCCTCTTTCTTCCACTGCATCAAATCAACTGGAGACCCCAATATATTTGATTCGATCCATCACCTTTTTTGTTGACTTGATCAAATGCCATAGCTCCTCATCTGAACCAGTAAACATGCGCATGGCAGTTGCTGAAGCTATTACGGCATCGAGTTTGCTCGGGCAAGCAGAACTCCTCGGTTCTTCTGTATTCAACTCTGATCCGCCATATAATGCTTCTTCCTCAAAAGGTTTGCCAAACTTATATGCTTCTCAAGTTCTTGAGATATGGTTCACTAGCATCAAGTTGATGGAGGATGAAGATGACGGAATTAGACAGGAAGTCGCACAAAATGTTCAGAAACACTTTCACCATCGTCGGGAAGTCAGTGGTGTTCCAACCCAAGTGGAAAGAGTGATCGAGCTCAGCTTTTCCCATCTTTCCTCCATCTTCGGCCACTGGATTCCTTACTTCACTTACCTCTTACAGTGGGTACTGGACATAGCAGCAACAACCTCTTTTGTTTCTTCTTCCGGTGGTGATGATCTCGTGAGACGAGTTTTTGACAAGGAGATTGATAACCACCATGAGGAGAAGTTGTTGATATGCCAGATCTGTTGCTCCCATCTTGAGAAGCTTCCTCTTCCAGCTATTGACCTGTATTTGTGGAGGATGAAATTTGCTAACCAGCTGAAGTTATTTGCCGAAAACTTTGTTGGAAAACTTGGAGGAGTTGAGTGGATAGGTGGTTTGGGTAACCACAAGGATGCTTTTCTGCCTGTGTATGGGAATTTGCTTGGGTTTCACGCCATCTCATACTGCATCTTGAACGGGGAATTCGAGGATGGAATGGGTATCTTATCTGATGTTGTTGAACTCGGGAAAAGTATTGAATGCTTCTTCAGTAATCCATTGATCCTTAATATGTTTTCGCTGGTACTGAGATCGCACGAGAAGAATGCTGGTGTCTCTGCTGCACACCAGTTTGGCTGTGAGTTGGTAGATAATGATGCTGCTGCACTTTACGATGGGTTTAATCCGTATTATCTTCGTAGATGAAGGAACTTACAATCTTTCGAGCTGGTTTTGTCATAGTGTAGAATAGTATACTAAATTCTAACGTAGGATTGCTAAATCTGTACTTGTACCAGCAATGTTGAAAGCTGTAATGGCTTGTTAACAGCCCTTATATAAGATTGTCCCGATGCTGCAATTATGGTCCAGTTATCTGTAGACGTATTTGGGTCGATTATGGGTTGAAATTAGGAGTTGAACCCAACAACATTTTGACATGGCTTGTACGAGCAAAACTTGATATATAAATAAAGCATGACGGTCGCTATTGTAATGATCCAGCATACAAGGTTCCAAATATACGCAAACTGCTGTAGCTTCACAAAGCAACTACTCTACTGAACCTCCAGCATTTCCTAAATCCTAACTCATAATGCTTCTCCAGAGTCTGGTAAAGAAAGCTAATGCTCAACTAAATGAACTAACTGGTGGGAGCTTAAAGCTCCACTACTCTTCCTTGACGCCATCTTCGTCTGCATCATCTTCCTCGTCACCATCATCACCACTTTCCTGTAGATTTCGCAAGACAAAAGCTTAGACAGCTGCTACTACAGTCTACAGCAAACTATTATCTTTCTGAGCTTTCATGCTACAATGAAAAGTGCAGTTTACCTCCTCATCTTCATCAGAATCCTCTTCATCAGCGTCCTATATGGGCAAGGCATAAAAGAGAGCACAAGCAAATTAAATTCTCAGTGACCGAGCTATCAATACTAAACTCATTTTCACTCGCCAACAGAAAGAAACAACACGATAGCAAAGAGGAACGTGCAGTATAAAAACGATTACCATGTTGAAGTACTTCAGGGGATTCGGCCACAGATCCTCCTTGATTATCTCCGACACCTGATACATTGACGAGTGAAGTCCATATAAGAACACGCTGAATTAAAAATGTAGAATCTGGTTTTACGGAACACGATTCCTCACATCATCCTGAAGTTCGGAGATGTCCTGCTCAGTTTCACCAAACCAACCGAAAAAGCTACAAACAAAAAAATAATCGATCAACATCAATTCTCATTGACAAACATCATTCAGTGAGTTGTACATAAGAAACTTCGGACAGTAGTTAAAAAGATACAATAAACAACCTCGTCTCAGTCCAAGGTCGCTTGTTTCCCTTCTTTTTCTCATCATCAACTCCGTTTTTGGCAGGGTCCTTCACAAGAAAAAGCTCAGAATCGAAAGCCAAAACATGGAGTGAACTCTTAGAACATTCTAATGGGATAGTAGTTGCAGCCTTACCCTGCCCTCCTTCCACTTGATGTCTGTACCAGTTATCTTAGTTGTGCCATCATCCGAGAAATTGTAGGTTTTTGTCAACTTTGTGTCATGGAAATAAGGATTCTCCTTAAAATTCTGAAACGCCATAGAAACAATAGAGAATAATAAGCTTATCGCCTAATAATGAGATCTCCTGAGGGGGGGGGGGGGGGGGGGGGGGGGGGGGGGGGGGGGGGGGGGGGGCGAGGGGGCAGAAGCAGTATAAAGCAATGTGCAGCAACATATAAAACCAAGCAGAGTAGAGTCAGAATATTCAACATACAAATGTGATGGAGTAGCCAGTTTTCAGATCCTTGAAATCAGCAACATCAAGGGACTCCACATACTTTAAGATCTGCACATTTGGAATTCAAGCTTAACCCCTCCAGTTAATAATACCATAGCAGCAATCAGTATCAATAATAATAAACTAGCAGTGATATCGAACCTCATGGTCGTCGTCACCAGTCAGGAGATCACCAAGAGCAGGATGACTCATGAACTGCGCCATATACCCGATCCAAAAGCAAAAGTAAGATACTAATTCACCATTGATTAAGTCGGGAAACCAGAAGTTGTATTCGCAATAAGGAATCCGTCACACTTACAGCCGTCAACCAGAAGTCAGGCATAGTCTTGATGAGCTCATTCCTCTTGAGGTAGATGGGTCTGCGAACTTCGTTATACTTCTGTTCAATCGCCAATACTTCGTCACTCTCTTCTTCATGGATCTGTCCAAGTTACAAAGTGAAAAAGCACCAAGCTTTCATAAGTCAAAACAACTAATTAGTGTTCTTTTTCTCAAAGACAACACTCCACATTTCAAGCAAAGAAACAAAAGAGCCGGGCTTTTAGGGTTATCTCCTAAAGATTCCACCTTTTGAAACCCCTTCCTCAAACGAGAAGCGTCAACAAGCAAGAACAGCAGAAGGGATTCTACTCTATTAGTCATACACAACAGCAGGCAAACAGAAGGAACGGAAAAGAGAGAGCTTAGAGAAGGGAGGGATGAGAGAAAGGGGAAGAGAGAAACCTTGTCGAGCTCATCCTGGACGTCTTTTAACTTCTCGAGTGAGAGTTGAAGCTCCGCATCAATCTGATCAGCAGGAGGGTGTTGCTGCTCTTCATTGAGCTTGGATTTCTTTCCGTTGCCGGCCACCATTGTTGTCCAAGAAAGCCCGGGAAAGGGAACGCTGTAAGGAAATGGGGTTTTGGCTTGGTAAGGGTTTTGTGCTGGATGGTGGCGGGGGACCGTAGAGTAGAAGATACGAGGAAAACAATTTATATACCCTCGGCCCTCAACTCCTCAAGGAGACAAGGGTCTTTCTTCTATGGGTCTAGTGATTGGCAGAGTTGAGAATAGTCTCATGCTCTAATTGTGTTTAATTGCCCTAGTCACACATTATAAGGTGTAAGAAATGTTCTGAAAGCACAAGTGAAGATAGATAATTTCAAATTTTATTGTCACTTGTCATGATTTGACTAAGACAAATTCACTTGATGTGCATTTGTAAGAAATAAAGATATTAGAGATAGATCGAGGATTTTGAAGGGAAGGACAAAAGTTTAGAAATTTGAAGAAGGAATTGGTGGGGTTGAGACTTGAGAATAGTCTCATGCTCTAATAGTTTGATTGCCCTAGTTAGCATTACAACTTTACAAGGTGTAAGAAATGTTTTGTAATAGATAATTTCTAACTTTTATTCTTTAATAACAATTTGTTAAGATTTGATTTAAATAAAACTTGATGGATAGTCATTGCCTCATCGTCATCGGTGAGAGGAGGATGAATGTCTTTGCTTGATTTAAATAAAGATATTAGGGATAGATTTAGGGATTGAAGAGCAAAATATGAAATTAGAAATAAAATTTAGAGATTTTTTCAAGCAAAGCACAACATTATAGATTTGAAGAAGGGGAAAATGGGGAGAAGAGGTAGGCCGCCTAACTAAAAGGGAATAGAAGTATGATTTGTTTTTCTAGATAGTTATTGACCACAAGATTCGAATATATGATATGATGAATATTGTAATTCCTAAATTACTACTACTGGATCAAACCACTCCAAGCAAAAGACAATATGTTCCTTGTACACCACTCCACCGTCCCCTTCTATGTCACCAAGCTGCCACTTGTGTGCAACTATACCAAGACCGATTTCTTATCAACTCCTGATCTCCTTCTTGTTGCCTCATCTCCTTCTTGTTGCCACAGCTGGGCGCCATTGGAGCGTTGTTAGGTACATAGTTTATGTCGTACTCGAGCTTCAACTGATCGATTCTGCTCCTCGTGGGTTTTGGTTCTAGGAAATGGCACATGGTCTCCATTGGTGATTTGATTTTGCCAGGATGAACTGGTCTCCAATAGAAGCATGTAGTGGGACTGTATATCTCAAGCTCCTAAGACAGTATCTCAAGCTCCTAAGGCCTAAGACTGTCTATTAGCAATATTCAAGTATTCATTCTATTCAAACGTATTCGAATCCTTAACTACATACAGACAGTGTCTAGAATTACCAATTCAATATCAAAGGGCATACATAAACGGAAAAGGGAAATGGGGAAAATTAAAAATAGAATAACTGTTCAACCCAGATGGCAGGACGATTGTGTAGATGGGATGAAGCAAGTTGAACATTCAAGCCATCCAAAGTGCAGACGTCTAGGAAGCAATCCTAGAAAATTACCCATTGCTTCTCCGAATTCTTGGAACATCTCTACGAGCTAGAAGACAGAGATAGGATGGAAATCAGAGAGGGTCTTGCTGCTGCGGTTGTTCGGGTACTGGCAGCGAAGCAGTGAAGGTGTCTTCCAAGTTTCAAGTGCAAGAACCAAGCCTTGTTCCTCGAAGATTCCAAGCAGGTGAGAAGGCCACACAACAAGCATTGCCTTGCACTTACAACAGAAGTTACTTTGATGAGCACGCATAACATATATGAATGACTTCAAGACTCGACTATGAATTCCTCAATCTCTATTCCTGTATGGCGAGCCCCTCCTTGTACTCGCAACAAAACTTCGTCACCAAGTTTCAGTGAAGTCACAGGAACTGCAGTCACTAGCTGCGGCTCATTAACTGCAAATAATAATACAAAGTTGAAATGTTGAAACAATTTAATGCAACGAGATCAATTGAAAGGCTTCCACTTATGTCTGGGATTTACACGGTAATGACCTTTGCAAATAGGGGGTATTAAGGCAACAGTTTCCGCATTCTGTAGGAAGATGCTGCAAGTCATTTCACTCTCCGACTCTATCTGCAACAGAACAACACCATATTGATAGAGATCCATTAGTTTTTAGACAGTACCAAGAGTAATAGCATTCATATAAACTCGTACAACAAGAAAAAATCAACATCTTCATAGTTCTACCTTTGCCTCCACCAAAACAAGAGGCCTGGTCTCTATCTTCACGCGTCCAGTAATTGCAGTACGTGTGCGGCCCTTCTGGTCAGCTATGATAACTTCTTTTCCTGCCTTGAGCTCTGAGAGGTAACATGTCCTCCCTCCAGGTATACAAACATATGCATGCACTGGACCCTGCACCAAACAACATCCCCACAAAATTACTTTTAGACTAAGTTCCTTGAAATTCAAAAACTATACTGCAAAAGGTAGCTATTTTCACTCCCGGCTTCAAACCAATGGGCATCTGAGCAGGAGTGAAGGAAAAGTACCACAACAGGGTACCTAAAAACACCAGAATGGTTGTCCAAGTATCACCTAGAGAGTATTTAGCAGCACAAACTCACAGCATTGACACGAAAAGGCCGACTGGCAATGTAATTCGACTCCAAGCATTCCGAATGAACAAGGAATAGTCCTCTGGCAAAGGAGCCAACCTAATGAACAAAAGATCCATAACAACCACAGTAGTATTACCCTAATAGTTTAAGAAACATATCAGGATGATAAGAATCTAGGGACATGCCAGTAGTCCCTCCCCAGGTCTCATTAAGCTGCAGAGGTCCACACAAACACGATCACCCATACCAACTGCTTCAATCCGAGTTATAGTTGCTTTTGCTAAACTCAAAAGATTCTGTCCTTCATTTCTTTTGTCTAAGTAGTCCTGAGGTGAAATTAAGCAAACATAAGGAGAAATCCCTGACCTTTCAGTAAAACCATGGATCAACCACTCAAAAAGTAATCACCTTTAGCTCGAGTGGAGGTTCAACATCTTCAACATGCAGAACAACTCCACCTAACCCGTGCTCTAGAGCCTCCACGAAACACGAAACCGCATAAGCTGTGTAACATTACCAACCTTAAGATGCTTTCAATTACAGTAATGGATGCAGAGTGATACCTCAAGGAAAGTCTGTGCCTCAGAAGCTGATTTGGAGATTGCAAACACAGTTTTCCCACTTCCTTGGAATGCTGCAACTATGTTCTCCGCCGGTATCATCTTACAGAACATTACAATGTCAGGCCCAAGTTAGACTCTTCTTGGAGCCACCAGCAGAATATTGTAATCCCCATTGCCAATACTGATTCTACCTGCCAATCTTTTAAGTCAACGATAACATTATCAGCCTGTGCACTTTCTGGGTTCAGCAGCTGCAACTCTTGCGGGGTGGAAACTTCAAAAACCGTGGCGATTCTCCGCTTTTCAGAATCCAAAACCTCTCCTTCCTTGATAAAGAGAGGGCGAATCAAAGCAATTGCTGCGCACAATTAAGAACGCATGACAAATCAATGAAATTATAATCTTAAGCACAGTCGTAGAAGAACATCGAGAGACGCTTTACAAGACCATTCGTCGGCGAGAAATCGATGCTGGGGGGAGAAGAGGAAGGTGTTCAATCCTCTCTCCACAGCAGCAGTCATGACTTGCTTGCTCTGTGTAAGTATCCACACCTTCTTCGACCTCTCGCATGACATTTCTGAGACCGAAATTGACGAAGAAGCAAGAGAAGGAGAAGAAGTAGACGACGAGGGAACTGAACAATTTGGCCGATAAGAACTTCGTTGTGGAGATTCTGCCTTCTTGTGGTCGTTCCAGGAATTAAATTCGCAGAGTTTCTTCTTCCAGTCCACTGCAAATGCAAGTAATTTAGAGCCGATTGAGAAAATACGAGGCGTGAAACTTCGCTGGTTGGAGACAAAAGGGAAATGGAGCTTGCGAACCAGTCTGGGTGAGCGAGCTGGGAACACGCGGGAGGATGATTGGCGCAGAATAACACATCCAGACCGCCATGGAAATTGCTATTTTTCTTCAGCCTTCAGGTGGGTGGCAGTGCACTGGCATATTCAGAACCGGGCTTCTTCGTTTTACGGTTTGATTAAACTACTCACCAGAATGTGGACTTCACGAACCATTGGGCTATATTTCAGCATTCTTGGGCTAATAAGTTGGACAACCGGCCTAATGGATCTCTGCTCTCAACGAGGGCCCAATGGTTCGTGAAGTCCACATTCTGGTGAGTAGTTTAATCAAATCGTAGAGGTTGGATGTAACTAGTGATATTTGAGTTAGCGGCTACACAGATAATAGGCTGGTTAATGATCATATTTTTAACACATTATAAATTAATTGTGCAGTTATCTGTAGGCTGAAGTGATTTTCGGTATAATGGATAATCGAATAATCAATTGAAAATAACCGATAATCAACTGAATATAAAAGTTTCTCTAACAAAAAAACTCTTTGAACTTTGAACAAACAATCTCGTCACTGCTTCCACCATCTTCTTCTTCCTCGATTTTCTCCCAGTGTAAACCTTTAAATTGAAAGAGACAAATATCATCGTCAATTTTTTGATTGAAATGTTGGCATCAAAATTGAGTTTGAAAGATCATATGACTTATTGTTGAAAGAAAGATAGCAAATACCGTACCACTATTTTGTTTACCAATAATTTCCTCAACTCAGTTCGCACTCATCACTCTTTTCCTTCCTCTCTTTGATTTATTCTCTCAGTCCAATAAGAACACTCAAACCAATGATAAAAAAAAGATCATGTACATATATAGGGAAATATCTTTAAAATCCATAGCCAAAAGAAAGAAAGAGGGAAGGGAAGCCTTATGTTGGTTCAATTTATTGATTATTTTGGTCTAACCTGCCGAAACACTTACTAAATGATCAGTGAATTAACCGACAAAATAACTAATATCTGACTACACAGTTATGGTTAACCGACTAATATAAACATTATATTAATAATTAACCAATAATCAAATAAATAATTATGAATATAACCGAACCGACTAATAGATGACCATCTCCATCGAAATGGATGGAGTTTTATTGAGTCGATGTCATTAAAAAAATGTGTTTGATAGAAGAATAGAGAAGAAACTTTATTAGTTGGTCAAATGGTGAAATAGTAGAACAACCTCATTTCTTTGGAAGAGTATTGAGTTGAACGAAATTGTGATGGCAGAAATTGAATTGACTATTTTTACCGATTTGAAACACTAAAATCTGTTCATTCAAAAGGTTGATTATGCTCACTTGCTTATCTCAACGAAATTCGGACACAATTCTACAGTCGATCTCTTCATCCGACCTCTTAGACAAATAGGACAACAACGGTCCACAGAATTCCATTGATCCAACTACACCAATCTACGAAGTGAAGAACCTAAGCAGCATCTGGTGCTCATAAGGCTTGGAAGGAGTAAGAATGGTGGAAGGAAAATTGGGATGATTCACAGCATCAGGATACCCCTGAGTCTCCAAACACAGAGCCCCACTCTTCCTGTACACCACCCCACCTTTCCCTTTCGTCTCCCCAAGCGACCCGCTAGTGTACAGCTGCACCGCCGGCTGGTTCGTGAACAGCTCCATCACCCTCCCTGACTTCCGGTCATGAACCACCGCCGCCTTCCTCATCCCTCTCTTGTTCCCCCGCCGGATTATCTCCTTGTCGTCCAGCACATAATTGATGTCGTAACCCTTTTGCAGCTGACCGATTCTGCTCCCCACTGAGTTTGATTTCAGGAAGTCGTAGGGAGTCCCCACGACGGAGACGACTTTCCCCGTGGGGATGAGCTCGCCGTCGGTCGGGGTGTAGCGGGAAGCGTAGATCTCGAGCTCGTTGGAGAGGATGTCGCCGCTGTCGTGGCCGCCGAGGTTCCAGTAGGCGTGGTTCGCCAGGTTGACCGGTGTCGCCTTGTTGAGTGCTCTGGCTTTCATCTTGATGCTCAGCTGGTTGTAGGCTAGGAGAGTGTATTTCACCACCGCCACCACGTCGCCAGGGAACCCTATTGATCACATGATCACATTTCGGATTAAAACCTGTTGCGGTGACATTATACGTTAAAGAATCAGTTTGTTCTAATAACTCGTACCTTGTTCGCCATTGGGGCTGAGGTATTGGAAGACGATGTAAGGCTCGACGTCGTTGGGCTTGTAGTCGGTGACTTTCCAGACGACCTTGGAGAAGCCCAATGGGCCGCCGTGAAGGGTGTTCTTGCCGTCGTTGGGGATCAATTTGTAGAGGGTGCCGTTGAGAGTGAACTGGGCGCCGGCGATTCTGTTGGCGACTCTGCCCACCGTGGCTCCGAAGCTATTGGTGTCATTCTGAGACAGAAAGGCAACGACTTGATCTCATCAGATGACTGTGAAACCTAGCTGTAATGTCTTTTGTGATTGAGAGGATATAATCAAACGTAGTTGTTGAAATATTTTTTGGTGCTCCACCACCACCAACGCAACGCACATGACAATATAGTCAATAGGGCCCTTCTTTGATCAAAGAGAAAAGTAGACCAAAACAGACACGACTAGTGGATTGATTGGGGAAGAATATTATACAGTGGTCGCCCCCATCCCCACACCATGTGCTTGGAATTATAGCAACTTGAGTCTCTGTCTAGATTTTCAAAGCCACAAATGGATCTTAGCCTTAGAAAAACTGTATGCAATACAGTGCACATCGTTGTTATTCTGGTCATGATGAAGCTCGAAATTGTAGCATTAGAAATTTCAAAGGAATGTAAAACCAATTTTGGGGGAATTCGATAAGACCCATCTTTTCTCCACTTTGGAAGATATGAAAAAAGGTCTCTTTATGTGCAACAGGACAGAAAAGGGACGTTTTTCCTCTGCAAAAGATGAGCTGTAAACGTTGTCCCCTGCCGTTGCGTTTCTCATCAGAGAGTGGGAGGAGAGAGAGAGAGAGAGACTGCTGATCATTTACCACTATGATATGAATGAAGTTGGTGGATCATGAATTGGAATGGAACATGATGATGAAGAAAATCAATAACTGCGATTGATCTCTAAACTGAAGGGAAATGGAGCTAGCTAGGATCGATGGATCTCACCTTGTAAGCCTCAGCAGTGTCATATCCAAGAATCACATCATTCAGCTTCCCTGCAGTGAAACCCAGATTCGGAATCAAGCAAAATGCACACAAACTAACTCGGAAAGATGTATACAAGAAGAGATCGAGATCAGAGAAGCTGGGTAGCTAACCGTATTTGTCAGGGACAATGAAGGACATCATATGGGCGCCATAGTTGGTGACCTTGAGGGACATCTTCCCTTTCTTGAGCTCATAAGTCCCAATCTTAGTTTCCCCGTCACCAGCACCAAAAGCCACTACCAGAAGCGCACTCAAACTCAAACCGAGAAGAAGCAAAGAAGAAGTGTACTTGGCCATGGTTACCACTCTGTTTTTGCTTCTAGGCAGGTCTCCCTTCTCCTCTGTTTTGTTCTCTGCAGCTCCCTGATCTGCACTTCATATAATGGGGGGAAGATGAGAAGAAAATTCCAAGTGCAGTGACGGATGGAATTGAGAAGAAAGGAAAAATACAAGGAAGGAAGGCGGCCGAGGATTTAATTGATTAGTCTATTTTGTTGAATATGTATTGGGAGCAAGCTAGCAATGCTCTGTTTTTCCTTACCAGAAGATGCGGCAGGCTGGATGGGTTTAGTTCCCATTCACGATACCGAGAGAGATCTTTATGGGGAGTTTTTGTATTGACTTGGTGAATGATTTGCGTGCACTGAATAAATGAGATAAGGAAATGAAGAATGGGAAAAGATGCTAAGCTCTAAAATATGTGATTACACCTCACTTGGATGTTCTCCTTCTACCACTTGTCCAGTTTGGAAATGCCTGCAAAAATCCAATATACTAGTGTCTAACCAAAATGAACTAGACTACTAGACTCTTAATATCATTTTGTATATTATACAAGGTTCTAAAAAGCGTGCTTAGACACGATCACGTGGTGGTCTTGGCGGTGCAGTTGCCTCATTTCGGTCAAAAACAGTGGACAAGGTATCACGATCACATTGTGACCCTTGTGACGCCTAGTTACCATGGAATTGCGCTTCAAAATGTACCACTATGTTATAGAGAAATTAAGACCGTCCTTCCTTTTCCTTCTTCCCCTCATGATTATTCCTAGCCGTTACGCTAAAGTTAGAGACAATCATTTTTAGAGTACCTTCTTTATTTTTGCGTTTCTTCTCTCTCAATCTGCTTTGCTATTTCTAACTTCTTCTTCCTTTCTCATTTCTCCACACTGTGTTATATACTTTATCATGTGTTGTTGATGAAGGTTTAAAAAAGAGAGATAGATGCAATGAACGATGATATTGGTTCATAAAATTGTGATTCTAGACAAGTGTGAGATATTTTGCTACACTTACATCTAGTGCTTAGACATGCCTAGGCAACGCCTAAACAGGCTAGGCAGAGCATCAACGCTCGCCTTATGCCTAACACATTCTTGAAAGTTGATATTATACATTAAAAAAGAGCAAAACAACACTATCTTATAATTATCACGAATAGAACAGGTTTGATAGGACATCCAGATCTTCGAGACGAATATAGTTCCTATGTCTATTGAATGGCACAATCGGCAAGAAAAACTTGACTCTCTGAAAATACAAACCACTTAAACCTCCCAAATTCTCTCAAGAATAACACAAATGATTGAGTGATATTTACATGTTGATGATCGATCTCCAAGCTTGAGGTACGTAGGGCCACCGTCGCTTTTGAGTCGAGCTGAAATTTGACTTTTTTGTAACTGATATCCCATGCAAACTTGACAACCTTGAGCATGCCAACAAATTCAGCATATCAATCTTATATGACCCTTTCTTACAAAAGATACCATGTAACTTTGTTTATTGACATTTAAACTCATCTAAGATGGAATGTGTATATGTTTCCTAGGCCGTCTTGTAAGTTGTAACTAGTCCTCCGATCCAACCATGTCAAAACATTGGATATTGATGGTGATGTCGACACTTTGAATGGTATCTATCTTCAACAACTTGCTAGTGAGGGATCGATGAAGACATTTTTCCATCATTAATAATATCTCTAACAAAGCCTTGGCCTGCCACTTCTAAGTTCTAAGTTGACATGGTCTCTGTTCTTCTGACACCATTCCTTTCATCTAGGCGGCAAAGATTCCTTCGATCCATCCACCATACATTGCCTTATTACATCCCCTGCTCTCTTGCCCAACTCTATTCGCCACAATCCATTGGATCTGTTATGAGGGATCAAACATACAAAATTATGAGGTGATTTACTAGTACGATATGCACTAGCTACGTTGATGAAACAAAATAGAATGGATTTCATTACTTTTAGGAGCAAAAAACACATTATATTGTAATTAGAGAGAGTTAGATTGTATACATAGAATCTTTCTTTTAACCTTTAATTAAAGGGATAAGCAACAACCAACCGAAAATAAATAAAGACACAAAATTATATATAGTCTAGGAGTATGTAATGATTGGATCAAACGAAATGAAATCAACCCGACAAATATAATGCAATTCGGACATCGCTCCATGAACTTTTAAAAAATAACAAATTGAATTGATATTTCGAAATGGACATAACTGAACCGAATTTTCTCATAGCTAGGTTATGGTCCTTAAATTTTCTATGTTGGACCTCAGTTGTCATGGTTTGGTCCGATCCGATCACCCATAACCGAGAAGCCACTTGATCTTGTACTCCATGTACTCTTGTGCCAAAAGCAATACCACTAGCTAGACATTTTCGACAGGAGTTTAAGCAATTGGATCCGATGTCTGGTTTGTTTCTTAAGGGTCTCTGCGCGTTTTTCTGGTGCCTGATCTGGACTGCATTATTGTGATGACGGTGGGTAAATTATTGATAAGAGAAAGATGGGATTACCTGGGTTGGCTTGTTTCGATTGCCAAGCAAGCAGCAAGCAGGCAGGCAGGCCATGTGTACTCTGTAGTTTAATGGAGAAGATGCCCTGCATTGGCACTTGCAGGCCTGCTGCTATTTAATTTCCATTGACGACATCGAGATAGCGGCATTGAATTTCTTTCCTTGGGTTTTTGCATTTGCCACTGCATTGACCAACGCTTGTTGCCGGTTCCGTGCTGAATAATTGACCCCGACGTCCATCTAACTGGTGCCCATCACTTGATCTGACGGCTTCTAACACAATGAGCACTTTCCCACAAAAAGGATTGTGAGCATCATAACCGGAGGTAAACAAAAAAAACAACCATCCAAGCAATAAACTGAAACCCACCTTAGTCGAGCATTTGTTACTTATTTCCATTTTGAGAGTTAGCGGTTCATGTTTTATGAACCACTTTGCCTTCTTGTATTCGTTGTACATGTTTTCTCCCAGTTTTGCTGTGTTTCACAATCGTTGTATTCTTGCTTCACCAATCATCATTGTTATATGATTGTTATTTGCTCTTACTTTATTTTCTGCTAATAATATTTTAATCATTATAAAAATATAATATGAGTTCATGCATCTAACAAAAGGCTTTTACTGGCTAAACCAATTGGCCGGATAAAATTTAATCTATCTAAAAATGTGAATCACTCGAACCTCCGAACCCCCTCAAGAAGAATGTAAAAGGTTTGCAAACAAGAGCTTGGTCAACTTTCATCTGTCTATAACCTTATCTTTGTTTGTCCATTTTCATGGATCTCGAACAGTAGTGAAAGACGATTGTTCCACAATCTGTGCTCTCAAAATCTAATTGAGTACGAACGTGACACTTAATTTATCATAAACACCAACCCTAAATGGATCAAATTCTTTTAAAGGCTACACAAATATTTCCACAGAATAATATCTATATATCATACTTATATTTGAGCATTTAGTATGATACAAACGCTTGGTTGCATAAAATGAAATCGATGTACAGCTATATGTTAGTATGTAGTAGTACTCTTTTCTCATGCTACTTTCTTTTGTCGTCTTATATTTATCCTCTCTTACAAAAAATACCATCTAACTTTCTTTATTGGGTTAATTGCATGGTTGGTCACTGACATTACAAAAAGCGTTCATGTTTGGTCACTCGAAATATTTAAATTCATTTTTGGTCACTAACTTTACAAAAATCGTTCATTTATGGTCACTCTCCGTTAGCTGCCGTCCAACGCCGTTAACGGCGTCCGTTAAGTGATGACGTGGCTGACGGATTTGCCTAATCATCACCTTTTAACCCGAAAATTGACTGACCCGACCCGCCACGTCATTTAAACCCTCCATGTCAGCCAAACCTAACCAAACCAGACCAGACCCGACCCCTAAATAAAGAACTGACCCGACCCACCTATCAATCTACCCACCTTTGACTAAAACCCTAATCGAAGACAAATCCATCTGCCTCCATCCCGCGCAACTTTCCTCCCTTTCGTTTTTCTTCCTCTCCAACTCTGATCGCCAACGTGTCCGTTGAATTGGCGCCTCGTCAGCCGACCGTCAAATAAGTTGACGGTGTTATTAACACCGTTATAGTTTCTAACGAAAATGGCTATATCTGGCACGTAACATCTTTCAAAAGTGGCTATTAGTGGTATTTCGCCAAAAGTGGCTATAAGTGACACAAAGGTGATAGTTTTGGCTATGCAAGTGTATTTTGCCTTTTCTATATGTGGTCTTTGTGTGTTATTTGAAAATTTAGAGAGTTAAATTATTTTGTTTGGATGAAACAAGACAATGTGTTATTTGGTGACATACATGTGTAAATACCATAATGTCCTTAAATAAGAAAGAGAATAACTCATTTTCGAGTTATTTCAAAATAACTCGACCCAAAAAAATCATTTCATCCATTTGAAGCCAAACAAATTATTTTGACCCAAAATAAATCATTCAAATAACCTATCCAAACGACCCTGCAAAATAAAGAAAGAAATGAAAGGCCAAGAGAACAGTGAAGCAAAATAAAGGAGGAGAAACTATTAAAAATAGAGGAAAGGGAGACCTAGCAAGGATATGAAAGTATTTCCTACCCAAACTCTATCTTTTATACCATAATAAAGTATTAAAATTTAAAACAATTTATTAATCTATTTTAAAAGATATTTGGAACATACTAATACTAATACCACAAAGTTAACACAAGTCACATACTGGACCGAAGCAAGTTACATATAATCAAAATACTGAATATTCTTTTAAAACAACTATATGAAAAGGATCAAGGGTTCCAAACCACGAATATAAGCAAATAAAATAATACAGAGATTCTTATACTATTTATCTACTTCACTATTTTAAAAGACGTTCCTTTGTAGAATTATTGGATATGTCACTGTGTCTAGGGCTATAAATGAGTCGAGTTAAATGTAGTTTTGACATAATCTGAACTCAATTCATTAATAAACGATTAGAGTTCGAGCTCAACTTGTTTATTAAAAATTTGGCTTGCGTTTGTCTCAAGGTCAGCTCATTTATGAAATTAACAAGGATAGTTATTTCAAAATGAAATATTTATGGGTTTTTAAAATCCCCATGACCCATAAATCTCTTGTTCGAGACCCCTTCCCAAATGAGAATTTGGACAAAATGCTTGAAATTGTGATAAATCTCACAGACGAACGACACCCGGCCCCTTATTAATTACACGAACCCTCACTCTAGCAGTCTATACCATACATGTTACTTTGTTACACTTGGAGATAGCCTTGTTTCATGACACACTAAGAAGCAAATCTATCATTGCTCGACCTTCAATAGAAGCGAAATATCGATCATAGAAAATGTAGTCAGTGAGCTACTTTGATTACACCGGTTAGTGTGCGATCTATGTGTCCCCTAAAGTGCTCTGACTCCACTTTATTGTTATAAACAAGCAGCCTTATATATAGATGCTAATCCCATCTTCCATGAGTTAATGAAACATGCTATGTCTTTCGTCAGCTAGTTGCTAGTGCATAAATTGAATCGATGAAGATTTTTCTCGACTACCCAACAGCTATCCAATGTGTTCACCCAAAGGACGGGAGGATGAAAAATTGCTTACTTATTTTTCAAATTTGGCTTTCATGCATGACTTGACCGCTCAAGTGGTGTTTATGACCATGCAATGCATTGTTTCTAACAGTAACGTTTTTTTGGTCAACCCAATATTTTAGTGAGAAATTCAGGTTTGGTCACTATAAAATTTGGAGAGAACAAAAACTTGGCCTAGCGATTATATCTATATGGAGGTCCATGTTCAAATCACTTCAGTATTAGCATGTAATAAGAAAAAAAATAACTCATGTCACCCTTAAAAAGCAATTCAAACTGGACCGTCCTCACACTACAATAAATTTGTTGTCATAAACTTATAAAAAGGGTTAAAGACACATTTGGTCACTGAGATTACAAGATCGAGACATGTTTAGTCACTAGAAAAAATTAATATCAAATTTGGTCACTATAATTACTAAAACTGGACACATTTAGTCACTCGCCGTTAGTCTCCGTCCAACTCCATTAATGAAGTCCGTTAAGTGATGATGTGGCAAACATAATTGCCTAATCAGCCGGATATAACCCAACAAAAATAAAACCCGACCCGCCACGTCATTTAAACCAACCCAACCCATGACCCAACTCCACCCAACCCTTCTTCCTCCTTCCTCTCACCTCCTTCTTTCCCCAAATCTCCCGACAGTGCAAAGAAGCGGAAGAAGTCGTCCAAAGATGATTCATCCGAATCAGAGGACGACGATGAAGAAGCCAGCAGTGGTGACGACCGCGACAATGAGAGCGACGACAACGAAGGACTCTCCAATGGCAAGAAGAAAGCTCCGAAGAAGAGTGCACGAGGCGGAAAAGCGCCGTCAGGGCGTGGACGCGGCCGCCCACCGTCGGCGAACAAAACCAACAACAACAATGCTGCTTCCCAGGTAAAGCCTGCTGGTAAGAGAGGAAGACCCCGCAAGTCTTAGTAGTAATGCCATGATCTTGGGAGATTGGGTGGAATATTCCTTTCTTCTTCGATTCTGTACTATTGACTCACAATGTTCTGTTGTAACTTTGGAATTTTGCATTTTTTTAAAAAAATTGATTCCCCTCGGTTGAATATTCCATTCTAGTCTCTTGCATTTTGTTCATGGAAAAAAGGGAATTTTCCTTGGATTAGCAGGTGAGAAGTGGGAAAGGGTTTTTTTTGGTTTTCTGGGTGGGTTGGAAGGTGGTGGGAGGAAGGAGGAGAGCGGCGGTGGTTTTGGGGAAAGAAGGAGGTGAGAGGAAGGAGGAAGAAGGGTTGGGTTGGTTTAAATGACGTGGCGGGTTATAATGACGTGGCGGGTCGGGTTTTATTTTTGTTGGGTTATATCCGGCTGATTAGGCAATTATGTTTGCCACATCATCACTTAACGGACTTCATTAACGGAGTTGGACGGAGACTAACGGCGAGTGACTATATGTGTCCAGTTTTAGTAATTGTAGTGACCAAATTTGATATTAATTTTTTCTAGTGACTAAACATGTCCCGATTTTGTAATCTCAGTGACCAAATGTGTCTTTAACCCCTTATAAAAATATGTAAATATATATTTTTATTTTTAAATTAACTATAACAAATTAAACCATTTTTATTTTATTAAAAATCCCACATGCCACCCTTAATCAAATTCATTAATGTTTCCCTTACCCCATTTAATTTCATTCCCATTTTTAGTTGAACAAAAATGAAAAATCTCTCCTCACTAACACTGAAAATTAAATCTCGTCCATCCCCTTGGCCCTTACCCTTTTAATCGCCATTTCTTCATGTCCTTTTATGTTTATCTTTCGAGTGTCAAGAGGGAATAAAAAATCCTAGCCCCTGTCTCGTGATTTTTTTTTCCTCCGCTCCACCTTCCTATTGTCGGTGCTCGGTCAGCGGCACTCCTATTCTCATTCAAGTTTCCAGCCACCCTTTGAGCTTCCCATCCGAAGTTAGTAATGACTTTACATGTTACAAGCGCAAGCTACGAAGAGGTCTTTCTCGACTATGAAATTAATCAAGAATGAGATTTAATTTGATTTTGGTTGAGTGACCAATTATGAATATTTGTTTAGTGGTATAATCGAATTTTTTTTTAATTCGGAACATATATTTTACAAGTATTTCAAAATATGAAAAGTCATTGTGTGATTCTCTGTAAAACATAATGATATTGTGAACTTAATGAACTGTATTTTTAACTCCTCATCTAATTTTTTATTAACTTATTTTCATTGGCTAAAACATCTACTTAAAAATTCTGTGTCCGCTATTACATATACGGCCTTTTGAATATTCGCAACCGAGATTTGTATATGTAGAACTCAGTATTATATAATAACCACCAAAATTGACAACTCTCTTAAATAATAAAATAATCATGTTCACATCGAAAAATTGTATACGGAGTATGGACAACACAAAATTGTCAAATAACAACAATATGTTGGAGAGCAATCTATCTATCTATCTATATGTATATGGATTCCACCGCAAAGTAAACACTTAATATTAGTATTGTCTCACTTTGATGTTGGGAAGCGATCGAGCATCCAACGTACGGCGATGATTGAATGTATATATACCTTAGCTTCTGTACCTCTGAGTCAGTTAAGTTTTCCTCAACGTCTTGTCCAGCCAATTAAGGAGTATACGAAACAACAATGGAAATCAAGACTATATTTTCCTTTCTCTTGGCTCTTGTAATTTGTGTTTCAGTATCCCTTCAGTCTTTGGATGCAGCTCCATACGAGAACAATCAACATATGATCACCATCACTGGCGCCACTAGAAAGCTGCTTATTGCGTCAGGTAAGTTCCCTTCAAGACTCTCTCTCTCTAACCGAGTTATTAATTGAAACTAAATAATTTGTAAGATTGTTGATGGGTATCAAAGCGTTGAACATTTGTGATTATGAATTTGAATCATGATAACACCAATGTTTTTTTGATAATATATGCATGTTAACACCAATACCAACAATTGATTGATTTAGATATAAGGTATGCTGCACTGAAGTGTACAACTTTGTGCATGTATAGATGTGGTTTGGATTGTCATTTTACATTATTTATGTAAAGTTGATGACATACTGTTCATCCTTACACCTTTCACAATGACTCGTACTGTTATCATGATTTATTAACGAATTTTGTTGACCTTGAGTCTAACACAGTCATCTGTATCTAGTCAGTGACTTTGTTGATCCGATCATACCTCGTGCTTAACTGATTATTTTTAAAATTTAATGGTTAAAAGAAATGTGAAATAAAAGAGTTGGCTATTGTCGGTATTGTAATCATTGATTCATATCACTATTTGTCAAATAATACCGACAGTTCGACTGTAAAAATCTTTTATTGAGATCCAAATTGATATATTTTTAGTGGTATGAAACGGAAAACCACAATTAATCAAGATTTCATCACAAAATATTTTACCGTTGAATTTTTCGATACAACCTCCAAGATAATTTGGCAAACCTTGATTCATATATAGTTCTCAATTTCTTTCACCGAACTTGGACGCAGGAGCATACTACTCGAGTCCACCATGTGCGGCCGGATATTGTTGTTGTGGTTACACCTGTAAGAAGTGCTGTAAGGATACGCCGGATAGCTCGTCGGCGATTAACGGAACCACAGGTAGATTTCGTTTAGGGCGTGTTTGGTTAGATATATTTACAGATGATTTTTTTTTCATTGTATCATTATCACCTTTTATTTCCTTTTATGTTGTTATGTATACCTTTCACAGCGACGATAAAATCGGATAAGCAGGAGACGAAGGCAGGGTCAATAAATTAAATAAGGAGGAATTTCATGAATAAAAAAGAATGGTTATCATGGATAGTCAATATACACAATCATCCAATACAACGTAATTACAAAATAACTATACTTATAAAGTTCAAAGTTCCTTCTCTCAGGGTTTTTTTTTCTTCTGAAAAATATACCAAAAAAGTATCACAAGGACGTTGTAATAACTTGTTCTTGTGATATTATATTATATTATGTCTTCTAATGCAACTGATGATCACCATGTACTGGATTTTGTATTGATATGATATGTGTGTTTTGTTGTCGTTTGAAGCTCCAAGTTCTGAATGGTGTATTTTATATGAATATATAATATCATTGTTTGGTTCCTTTGGGGAGTGGGAATGAGATATGATAATTAAATACATTATTAATTAAATACGTGCAATTGAGATATGATACCAACATTTTTCTAATACTCACTGTGTAATGCACGCCCCTTAATAGAATTTTTTAGTCCATTGTTACACAGGGTTGGGAAATAGTCCGATTCGGTCAAAATGGCCTAGAATATACATTGACTCAATTAACCGAATGCGATTTTTGTCAAACCTATAACCGAGGACTGGATTAGATTGAAAACAGTTTTAATCATGTCCGATTGGATTCAGAACAAGGCGGTCCGGTTTTAACCCAAAACCTAAATATTTCCAACCAAAACTCTCTTTTCTTATGCAATAAAACCTTAAAATTTCAAACATTGTATTTTCATAATAAACACATTATTAAAAATACATGTAATTGAGATGTGATACACACATTCTTCTAATACGCACTTTGTAATGCACATCCTTCAACAGAAATATTTAGTCCGCCATTACACACACGGTTGGGAAATAGTCTGGTCCGGTCAAGCTGGACTAAATTGACTCAATTAACCGAATGCGATTTTAGTCAAACCTGTAATCAGAGACGGTATTAAATTGAAAACAGTTTTAGCTATATCTAATTGTATTCAGAAGCTCTACCAGCCTCGATTTGCAGTTCCTTGGACAGGGTCAATAGAAAGTTCATCTGGGGAGAAGAGGAGGGGAAAAGCAAATTTCATCCAGTGGCGTGGGACCAGATCACTCTGCCAAAGGACCAAGGTGGAGCTGGAGTTCGCACCACCAGACTCGCCAATCAGGCTATGCTAGCTAAGGGCAGCTGGAAATTGGCCACCAAGGATGAGCGTTTGTGGGCTAGGCTGCTTTTGAACAAGTATGGAGGAAACAGAGAGGGCCTCAACATCCTGCAAAAGAAACAGGGAAGCTCTCTCGCCTGGCGCAGTTTTGTTTCATCTGCTAATGTGCTGAGGAAGGGTTTTTCCCTAAATATCAAGAATGGTAGGCGAGCTAATTTTTGGTGTGACTCTTGGGTTTCGCAGGTGCCACTGAAGAATCTGGCCACTGCTGACATCTCAGAGGAGCAGCTAAGGAAGTCGGTTGCTGACTTATGGGAACCAGATCAAGGGTGGAAGATGGATGAGTTTCAACATCTGCTGCCAGATCATATCGTTAACAAAATCAGAGCGATAATCATCGACCCGCTGGATGTTGAAGGCGACCAATTTTGCTGGAGCCTTACTGCCAATGGCCACTTCTCGGCCAACTCCGCCTACAAAGCTAGCCAGCATCTACCTGTCCAGCAGCCTAGTCCAATCTGGAAACGCATCTGGAAACTGCAGGTCCTGGAAAGAGTCAGGGTCTTCATTTGGATTGCTGCCCAGCAAAAGTTGACCACGAATAGCATCAGAAAGTATAGACACCTTTCGCAGGATGATTCTTGCCCTGAGTGTAGTAATGTCATTGAAACTAACCTTCATGTTTTGAGAGACTGCAGAAGGGCTAAATCAGTGTGGAATAGAATCCTGGAGCAACAACGCAAAGACAGCTTCTTCGACTCCAGCTGCGATGATTGGTTTAAAGCGAACATCATGGATGACTCGACTGGCAACTGGCCAGGGCAATGGAGCAGTTTTTTCAGCTTAATTCTGTGGTACATTTGGAAGTGCAGAAATGAGGGGATTTTCAAGGGGACTAAGCTCACGAATGCAACGCTTTATCACTATGTTCGGACTAAAGCTTCTGAGTGGGTGAAGGCTTGGGAAACAGGTCAAAAGGCCATCTCTTTGAGCAAGAAGCAGGTTAGGGAGGAGCAACTAATTGGGTGGAATAGACCGCCAACAGGATGGCACAAGCTAAACACTGATGGCGCTGCTCAAAGTAATCCTGGAATGGTCACTGCGGGTGGGGTGCTTCGTGATCATGATGGAGATTGGTTGGGTGGATTTTGCAGCAAACTTGGAGCAGGTTCCGCTCTGCTTGCTGAGCTCTGGGGAATTCTTCAGGGCCTGGAACTAGCATGGAGAAAGGGATCTCGATTCCTCGTGCTCGAAACAGATTCCAAACTAGCTCTTCAACTCATTGAGAAGAGAAATGACAGAGTTCACCCTTATGCAACGATCCTTGGAACGATTAGACGTATGTTAGCTAAAGAATGGGTTGTTCGATTAGTTCATACGTATCGCGAAGGGAATAGAGTCGCGGACTGGCTCTCGAAGCACAGTCTCGTCTATCCCTTCGGTACGCATGAATTAGTTGACCCCCCATTGGACCTGGACCGAATATGTCGTGAGGATGTTTTGGGGATCAGCTTCCCCAGGCAAGTCATTCGAGAAGAAGACCCTTAGGGTGGTGGCTTTACTCGGTTTGATCCTCTGTTTTTAGTGCCTTTTTCGGTTTTATTTGGTGCTCCTGACCTGCTTCTAGCAGTTAAGATCCTGTAACCCTGGCTTCTTGCCTCCCTTTAATAAAAAAAAAATTGTATTCAAAACAAGTCATTCCGGTTTTAACCCAAAACATTTATAAAAAAAAAAAAACTCAATTCTCTCCAAAAACATCATCTCATTTAACTCAAATTACATTAAAAGAAGAGTTACAAGGTGGCTAATTAATTACTTGATAGATCCCAGATTTCCCGTGAACTTTTTATTTGTTGCTCAAACTTATTATTCTCTATTATATGATCGTGTTCTTTGATCTTCTTCGTCCTCACTTCAATGGATCTCAGCACTTCAATGGATCACGTCCATCCAAGACGGAAATGACAGTCGGGCTCGGGTAGATAATAACTAAGGAGTACGTACAACAATTAATTAATTAATTATTAATTAATTAATGGGTCTTTGAAGAATACAAAATTGCTAATAACAGCAACAATATTAGACAGCGATCAATATATATAGACATAGATATGGATCCCTTCGCAAATATATAATGTGGTTACTTGCTGATAAATGATAATGTTTGTTTTAACTTTTAACATGTTTGGGGGATTTCATTGTCGTCGCTATGGATGTTAGGTTTTAGGTGTAGTAGCCGAATAGGAATATTTTTGGTCCAGGGCTTGTTTTATATATATATAATCAAACTTTAGTCACTCGGTCAGAACTATTAAAATAAGATAAATTCTAAGGCTATGGTTAGAGAATGAGATTGTTGGAATGGATACATTTATTGTTTACAAGTTGAAGTTATTTTGTTTTTGATAAATAAAAAACCAATACATATATGAAGGGTCAAATACACAATCCCACCTCGTTGTTGAGATAGATAACACTTCATTTTGATAAATAAGAAGGGTCCCATCAAAAAGTTATATGTGGCTTAAAATAAAACAAAAAACTACTTATTCTTAGTAATATAAGCATTGGTCAAATACATAATCTCTAATGAATTGTTTGGAAGTTAAGATTCTAGATATTGTATTTCGACGTTGCATGTACTGCTGATAATTTATAGTTTGTTGTTTTAAAATGAAACACAATACTGTATTTGAGCATAATATGAGACCATCAATGTAATTCATTACGAGTGATTGTCAATCTCAACTAACCTGAGATTGTTTTGAGTGATTAGAAACTCATTTTTTATTGATCATTTTTTGAGAGACCACCAAAATCATTTGTCCTCCAAACAATGTATTTTCTAAATTTACACATTGATTGTTGTATTTGTCAAATCAAGTAGGTAATGGGATTGAATGTTGAAATAAAAGTTTAAAGCCAATGCCAAAAAAAAAAAGGAAAATTAGAAAACATGAAACATATAGATAAACTAACGTACCGTTTGGTATCATACATTTTAAAATGAATTACCGTGTAGAATTCATTGTCAAATAAATTCCTGTATTTGGTATGTCATATTCAAATCTTTAAAAATAAAATAAAATAAGTTTTCAAACCAAGTTTGACATACGTTTAGAATTGAATTAAAAAATTAAAAGTTTCCAAGTACACCCTTATTAATTTCTGTCAGAAACAATTATCATTCAAAATCCATCTTCTAAAATACGCCTTTAATTGGACCCATACGTAGAATATCAAAAGTGTCTTTGTGTGTTTCTATTCTATGCATTAGCTCTTTTATAGTATCTCATTGATGAACCCTTTTGTGGCTTCTCAACGTACTGATACAATCGAAGTATAAATATCAAATAACCAGCATATGCTACTATAGCGTTGTGATCAAATTCTTGTCGACGTTCCTCATACTGCATGAATTGGCGCCAAATAATATATGTAAAAGTAATTTAGTTAACAAATAAGGATAATTATGTAATTTTATTATAATTAGTAAATATTTGTGGAATTCATTTGGAAATTCCATATCAATTCCCCAGAATTGCTATAACTAGTTTCAATTCCGTAGAATTCAAAATTTAGAATTGAAAAAGAATTCTTTCAAATACCAAACACATAAAGTTTTCATTTCAAAATAAATTCCTCAAAACTTATAAAATTTATTTATATCAAACAATATGTAAGTGACCAAACATGCAAGTCACCCTTTAAATATGCTTTGAATTATTTGTTCTGTACAACTTCGGATATGGTTTCAACGTGGGAATTGCATGTGGAAACCAAGATGTAAAAAAGACCTACAATTTGGGTATTGCACAAATCAAATTTATTATGAGGAAAATTATATTTGGATAATATCACTTTTGGGACAAGTTTTTTAGTTTGAGTATAAAATAGACTCATTATATTGGGTAAAAAAATCCAACTCTAATGTGATTTTTACATTTTTTTTTTCTAAAGCAAACATAAATATACAAACACGAGTTCTAAATGTGTGACGAATAGTAAAATGATCAATATTATATTTCGTATGCATAATATTTATATAACCTGAATAGATCTATTTGAATCCGACTCGCATGAGTGGACACAAATTGAACTTAATTTATATCAAACCACAAATTATAAATATTGCATGAGTGTCAACTCAATATGAGTAATGATAATTGAGTTAGAATTATAATCGAGTAATCGACCCATCCTAGCCCTAGGTGACGGATGTATGTAGTAGGCGCCTGAGCCCACTCGTATTCACAAAAGGAAAAAGACTTGGGCTCCATATTGGGTAAACAATGGCCCGTTACCAGGAGGATAGACTGGAAGGCCTCAGAAATCGTCGGCCCAACCTCCGATTTCTACAGGTAAAGTTTCCATCCCCTAGACCCCTACGCAGCGCTGGGGCATAGCATTTTCAGAGCTCTGCTTCTTAGCAGTTGAGCTCCTGAAACCCTGCCAATGGGTCCTCTCCACAGAGCTTCGAAAACCCTCAAATCACTCAGACACCAATTTTTGCTGCACGCGACTCAGCAATTCGATTCATCTTCGCGCCTCTCAGGTTCAAGTGATTACCGGGTGGTGCTGACAAGAGCGCTATGCTCCCACCCCCGCCAGAACGCCAAAGAAGCCGTGGATTTGACCCAGTACCCGCCGGAGAGAATTCGAAACTTCTCCATCATCGCCCACGTCGACCATGGCAAGTCGACGCTCGCTGACCGTTTGTTGGAGCTCACCGGCACCATCAAAAGAGGCCATGGCCAGCCTCAGTATCTCGATAAATTACAGGTTCGTTCCCGCATGTCGTCGGTGGCCTAGCTTCAGGCTTTCTCTTAGCATCTTTTAGGTTATTGAAAATTTGGAAACTTTGGAATTGTAGATGATGAAAACTTGAATTGGCTTAGGTAGAGAGAGAAAGGGGGATCACGGTGAAAGCTCAGACAGCGACGATGTTCCACAAGTACAATCTCCAAGGCTCGAGCTTGGATGGTTCAAATGAGCCGCAGCCGTTTCTTCTGAATTTAATTGACACGCCTGGTCATGTGGATTTTAGCTATGAAGTTTCGAGATCATTAGCAGCTTGCCAAGGCGCCCTTTTGGTGGTTGATGCAGCCCAAGGTGTGCAGGCACAGACAGTGGCTAACTTCTATCTCGCATTTGAATCTAACCTCACAATTATCCCTGTCATTAACAAGATAGACCAGCCAACAGCTGATCCTGATCGAATTAAAGATCAACTGAAGTCGATGTTTGATCTTGAGCCGTCTGATTGTCTTCTAACCTCGGCCAAAACAGGCCAGGGGCTTGAACATGTCTTGCCAGCTGTCATTGAAAGGATACCTCCTCCACCTGGGGAAGGGAGTGGCCTGTTGCGCATGCTCTTGTTGGATTCGTATTATGATGAGTACAAGGGAGTGATCTGCCATGTGGCGGTTGTAGATGGGATGTTGAGGAAGGGGGATAAGATATCGGCTGCTGCCACGGGTCAAACTTATGATGTTCTGGATGTAGGTTTCATGCATCCTGAACTCACTCAAACTGGGGTGCTTCTAACTGGACAAGTGGGGTATGTTGTGACTGGAATGAGGTCTACTAAGGAAGCACGTATTGGAGACACTTTGTTTCACGCCAAAACCATTGTAAAGCCTCTTCCTGGTATGTAAAATCTACTATCCTTATGGCTTGGTTGCCTATATTTATTTATAGAATATTCTTCGTATCGGCATCTTTGGAAAAAGGATCTTGGACCCTTAAAGGTCGATGTTTGTTTGTTTGTGTCTGAATGGTTTATGCTGTACCTGATGTTTCAGAGAGTTAAACCTTATTTCCAGAATCTTTGTGCTATGTGGTAAACAGCTCTTGAATGGTTAACAAATAACAATGACATGAGTAAGGGTTGAAGATTGGAAGCGTATGGCGAATGATTCTGGGATGTTGTATATGGTTATATTAGGCTGGTGAATAAGGAGAATCACCGACCTTTTCCGTGGCATGTATTGCTTTACAACTCTACATTGACGTGAAGCTTTGCAATTTGCTTAATACTTAATAACTGCTATGATGCATGTGTCATTTGTTTACCATAGTGAACACTTACTGAAATCTTGAAATTAACACTTTAATGAAATCCTGTTCCGAGCTCTCTCTATCAAGTGTCACTAGAAACATAGAGTAGTTACACATCCCTTTTTGGTTTCTGCTCCAGATGTTTTTGTTTCTTTTTGTTACTCTTTTCATGTTTCTTTAAAATGTAGGCTTCAAGGCTGCAAGACACATGGTGTTCTCTGGTCTCTTTCCGGCTGATGGATCTGACTTTGAGGCACTCAACCATGCAATAGAGAGGCTGACATGTAACGATGCCAGTGTCTCTGTTACTAAAGAGAGTAGCACTGCTCTTGGTCTGGGTTTTAGGTGTGGCTTCAAAATCATCCTTTTGTTTGACATTGAATTTACTTAATTCAGTACGTAGTTACATTTTTCAGTGGCACTTTGTTGACAGATGTGGGTTTTTGGGTTTACTTCACATGGATGTTTTTCATCAGCGACTTGAACAAGTAACTTTTCATCTTTCTTTGTCACATTTGGTAGCTGAGTTATGGTATGTGTTACTGGATTTATTGACAATGCTTTTGTTCTTTTATGATTCATTACTTCACAGGAATATGGAACTCATATTATTTCCACGGTCCCAACTGTTCCATATATCTTCGAATATTCTGATGGAAGGTATTACTTGTGATCATTATGATTTGAGATTTGTGCCTCAAAGTTTATCCATCCAATAATTTGTGTTGTTGCCTTTACTAGCAAAGTGGAAGTTCAAAACCCTGCTGCTTTGCCCTCAAACTCAAAGCAGCGAGTTACAGCTAGTTGGGAACCTACAGTATTAGCCACGATTATTATCCCTAGTGAGTAAGCCCCCTCCACTCTTGCTTCAGCAGATGGTGAGCACACGTATTATAATTCATCCATGTAGTTCCTCATAGGGCTGCTCTTGACCATGCAGGTATGTTGGACCGGTTATTACCTTGTGCTCGGAAAGAAGAGGGCAGCAATTGGAGTACTCATTCATTGATAGGTAACCTATGTTGAATGTCTTTTCCTTTAACTATTCAAACGATCAACTGGTTAATTTGATCAAGGACTTGGTTTTATATGGCAAGTCATATTTTCTGTTCTTGATTGAATCAATCGTGTTTGATGTAGCCAACGTGCCTTTATGAAATACCGCTTGCCTTTGAGAGAAATAGTTGTCGATTTCTACAATGAATTGAAGAGTATAACATCAGGATATGCGTCATTCGACTACGAAGATTCAGAGTATGTATTGATTCTCTCTCCTTTTACCTTTAGAGGTTTACATACATGCTGGTCATTATTTATGGAAAAGCTCAAACAAACATGACCCTCAGAGTCAGATGACATATAACTGGTAGGTTAACCTCAGCTGCTATTGTGTGAAAATCATAATAGTAGTAGATTGCCTTTGTCGAATGACTGTGGTTTTATGTACTCTTCATTAGACATCTCCTGGTAGGAATTTTACTTCTCTTTACATCACATCAAATCGAGATGGATTAGACAAGTGGAATGTTTCATGAACACTTGGGGAATAGCTTTTGTTAAGAAGACTGATTGATGTGTGCCATTAACAGATACCAACAAGCCGATTTGGTGAAACTTGATATTCTCCTAAATGGTCAGGCAGTTGATGCCATGGCAACAATTGTTCACAACTTGAAGGCACAACGGATGGGCCGTGAACTGGTGGATAAGTTGAAGAAATTCATAGATAGGTGATGTACTCTTTTGAACCCAAGTTGTCCATCTCTTTATTCTGCCCTTTTTTTTCTATTCCTTTTCAGACAATAGTGTATGGTTTTAATTTGAGCAGGCAAATGTTCGAGATAATCATACAAGCAGCAATTGGGTCAAAGGTTGTTGCTAGAGAGACGTAAGTTAATTAGACGACTCTTGTGAAGAGATATTATTCCGTATAGGAGCAATGCAATATCTTATCAATGAGAGAATGTTGCTTTGGCACAGGATCTCAGCTATGAGGAAGAATGTTCTAGCAAAGTGTTATGGTGGGGACATTACTCGGAAGAGGAAGCTACTGGAAAAGCAGAAGGAAGGAAAGAAGAGAATGAAGCGAGTTGGGTCAGTTGACATACCTCAAGAGGCTTTCCATCAACTATTGAAGGTGTCATAGGGAAAAACAAGCAAGAACGAGGTCCTCTCCTGAAATATTTCCAGCTGGTAAGTCCATCAACGTCGATATGTCTTGGGGTTTGCTAGGACAATCCTCGAAGTGGATACTAGCATGCTAATAGTTTTTCATACGCGATCGACAGGAAGGAAAGCAGGCCTGCAATGCATCTGTGTGCTGCGAATGATTACCGGAGAATGTTACAGCAGAAGCGAAATAGCCCCTGAACTTGTATGGGAGTTAGTTTGTCTGGTTTTGCGTAAGGAAGTGTCACTTGTGAGAGTTGGCTATGATCCAGAGCGAGGTGCTGGGGACTTGGGTGAACTTTGAAAACGAATTGATGTAGGTGTGAGGGACATGTATAAGCGTCAAGTACAACAAAACTTGGGCACAGTTGGTCATAAATAGTGTTGGAAAAATCAAACACATACACATATGAAATGTGCAGTTGATAGCTTGTATTATTCATCTCTGCTCCGGGTAATTTTCTTTAAGATGAATGCGAGGAATTCGTGATCTATGGTATTACGAAGCAAACTTTTTCAAGCATTGTCGATCACGAATTGTTTCCTCTGCTTGTGGATGAAGTAAGGTAGCAGACATAATTCCTTGTATCGATTATCAATTGAGGGCTCCTCTGCTGTGTTCCGACTGGGGAATACGTGGTGTTCCCAAGTTCCACATATCCGGACACTTGACACCACTTCACCGTCGTCTTCTTCCAAAATTCCAAGATAAAGAAGGTGCTAAACGTAAGGATGGCCGCGTTTGGGTCCTGCCTAGCGCATAACATGTTTAGACAACGTCTAGATATGCGTTTAAAGTAAATAAACATTTTTTTAACAAAAATAATCATTTTATAACACTTTGGTAAATACTTTCAAATGATTTATAATTTAACTAGTCTTTAACAAAAAAAAAAATGTCATAAACTCCTAGAATCACAAAAGTTTCTACAATAACGTTAGAAACACTACTACACAAGTTCACAGCAAACATTTATCTTTATCTTATATATATAAAAACTAGGTACACTTTTTTTTGTCTTTTGACTTGCCATCTTATCCCATCTCTCACACACATTCGTATATGTTAAAAGAAAAAGTCTTTATTATTTGGTCAAAAGTATTGTATGTATAACTACTATTAACTAGAGGGAGATTGCTTTGTTTAACCGAATCGAACCAGAAATAAAAATCGAGTAAAATAATTTCCTTAAAAATTAACTGTTAAGAGGTTTAAACGGTTCAATTTGATTTCAAGAAAATGAAACCCGAGGCTTAATTGAATATTGAGTGTTTGTTTATTGGCTGGATTTTATTTTAATTTTAATTAGTTTTTCAATTTTGACCAAACAAAAAACGATAAGCACAAAGAGTTTGGGACCGAAACCAAAAAACGATAAGAGTACCTTATCTGGTCATTTAGTTGAAATAAAAAAAATTGAATCCAAACTGATAGTCCTATGTATGGCACACTTTGCCATCTTTCCTTTTGATCTTCAGATTATCCAAAATCTCAATTAATTGATTTTTTTCATTGTTGCTATGAGGGAAGTAGACATTGATGATGAATTTATTTTCTTTTTACTACACATTAGGTCAGGTGTCACCTACTTTCAGGAAAACCCTTTGTGTGGTTGGGTTTAGCCATTGAAAATCACTAATAGGATACCACAGATAGAGGAGAGATTCAAGTTCCTTAGATTTGATGAAAATGTAGTAAAGAATTAATTGAAATTTAGTAAGGATGAAAAGGTTTGTCATCTTACCACATCCCTCACATACACTCAAACATATTAAAAGAATTTTTTTATTTGATCAAAGCTATTATATGTAATGTATGACTAGGATGGGAGATTGCTTTGTATAACCAAATCGAACTGAAAATAATATAAAAAACAAATATTTTGAACAAATATTTTCCTTAAAATGAACTATTAAGAGGCTTAAACGGTTCAATTTGATTTCAAGAAAATGAAACCCGAATAAATTTAATAATGAGAAAAATTCATATGCTAATATACGTTGCTCAGTGTACACATCTTACTTTCTTTTTCTCATTTACAATGTGGTCTTATTGGGGGTTGTTGGTTATGAAACTTAGTGCTTTATATTGCTATGGATTTGGTCAACTTGTTCCAATGTTGAATTGTTAAGTTTTACTACATATATAGGTGACTGCTACAATTCTATCATTTTGCTTCCATCTTTACTTGATCGGATTTGTGTATCCAACGAGTTAACTGGTTGATAGAACTTGGATCCAACAAATTATATTATGAATGTTCTTTATTTTTTGCTTAATAAATTGGACTTGCAAGAGACAACGATTAGTGGTGTTTTAGGTTGTATGGACAATGAGGAATTTTTTTTTGTTAGTGAATTAGAGGCGAGGTGTTGTAAATGTTAGGCTTATGAATAATAGTCATATGTATGCTCACTCTTAGTGTTGAATTCGCTTACCATATGGATATGAAATCGCTCCATGTAGTGATTAATTTATTGTATGTTTCATGATCCAAGTCAAGGTTGTGCTCGATCGATAACCTTCTAACTCTCTTCCTCACTCACAACAAGTTGAATGTTATTATTCAAGGATTTTTTTTAATTTTACCCATTTTCTCCAATAGTTTTTATGATATGAGTTCTGATGGTAACCTCCATCCATGATGTCTCAGCTAATTACGATCGACTGGCGGAATTGAAAGCTTTCGACGAAACTAAAGCCCGGGTGAAAGGTCTAGTCGACTCCAGGATCACTGAGACTGAGGTGTCTCGCATCTTCCACATCCCACCTGATCACCTCATGGACCACCGACCACCGCCGTCGGCCGCCGCCGATCCAGACTTCACCTTCCCAACCGCATAGACCTGAGAGGCGGAAGAAGATCGTGGAGGAGATTAAAGATGCATCGTCGGAGTGGGGATTCTTCCAAGTGATCAACCACGGGATCCCCAAGAACTTGCTGGAAGAGATGGATGTTGGATGCTTCGAGTGTGACGACGAGACCAAGAAGGTTCTTTATAGCAGCAAATAAATATAATCACTAAGAATCAAACTTTTTTATTATGGGCATAATTGATTGCGATAGCTTTCCTTTTCGTTACCAGCCCCCATTTTAGTTGTGATAGCAATTCGTAACGCAGCTATAGTGATCAATTATGCTGCCAAAATTGTTTTGGTCACGATTGGTATTAGTAACCAAAATATGTTTAATTAGGACTAAAGTTTATTATTGAGAAATCTTGCTTGTAGTGATGCTTCCCACTTCTTCTTCTTTTCAATCCCTCTATATATTTCTTCTGGTCTCCTGGAGAGTGCCGGATAGTAGAGGATTGGCGGATCCGGTGGAGAATGAAGGAGTTGTGCAGAGGCGACATTCTGAGACCAGGTACTATCTATCTTTGTATGTATTTTTTGTGACCATTCTTTCATTCTTGTTTCTTAAATTTAAATTCATGAATAGTGATGGTATTCCATAAATTGTTAACGTGTCTCTAGAGTGTAAGCAGGGAGTTGGTGCTTTCCCTTTCTGTATGAGATATATTCCAAGGAAAGCCAGAATTGGTGGAGGTGGAATCTCATACTCTGCTCTTTGCCTCTTTCGAGTGGCCAGTCGGCGCACATTTAAATATATAGAACCCGCCGTGTTTCCTTTCCGGTTTTCACATCGAGTGTCCTCTCTAGAGCCTATTTTTATCGGCATTCAACGTTCCAATAATTTTTGTCTCCCCTTGAATTGTTGTCAGGACAGCATGATGGCGATTGTCGAAAGTTACTTTAAATGAAATTTGCAATGTATATAATTGGACACTCAGCTATCTATTATATTAATTTTGTCCCTATAAGGTGGTTTCTAAGTTTCAGTGTTATTTATTGAAATAATATTATTTCCGGTGCAATTTTTGTCAGATTCAAAAAGGGTACCATCACCGATTTCGGGCGATTTTTTGGAAAGTCAATTTTCCTTGGATTTTGAAGGCGATGGATCACAGATTCGGCCTCAGGGTACTCTCCACCAACGATCAAGTCTAGTAATGGCCGATTTGGGCGGAAATTTGGTAGAATTATTCCGGAGGGCATTTTCGTAATTTTTAGGCAATTTTTCGAAAGGCCGTTTTCCTTAGATTTTGAAGGCTGCAGAACACGGATTCAGCCTGAGGCTATTCTTTAGGAATGGATAAGTCTATTAAACATCGATTCGTTGGGAAAATTTCCGGGGCAATTTTTGCCAGATTCCAAAGGGGTACCATCACCGATTTCGGGCGATTTTTTGGAAAGTCAATTTTCCTTGGATTTTGCAGGCGATGTATCACAGATTCGGCCTTACGGTACTCTCCACCAACGATGAAGTCTAGTAATGGCCGATTTGGGCGGAAATTTGGTCGAATTATTCCGGAGGGCATTTTCGTAATTTTTAGGCGATTTTTTCGAAAGGCCGTTTTCCGTAGATTTTGAAGGCTGCAGAACAAGGATTCAGCCTGAGGCTATTCTTTAGGGATGGATAAGTCTATTAAACATCGATTCGTTGGGAAAATTTCCGGGGCAATTTTTGCCAGATTCCAAAGGGGTACCATCACCGATTTCGGGCGATTTTTTGGAAAGTCAATTTTCCTTGGATTTTGCAGGCGATGTATCACAGATTCGGCCTTACGGTACTCTCCACCAACGATGAAGTCTAGTAATGGCCAATTTGGGCGGAAATTTGGTCGAATTATTCCGGAGGGCATTTTCGTAATTTTTAGGCGATTTTTTCGAAAGCCCGTTTTCCGTAGATTTTGAAGGCTGCAGAACAAGGATTCAGCCTGAGGCTATTCTTTAGGGATGGATAAGTCTATTAAACATCGATTCGTTGGGAAAATTTCCGGGGCAATTTTTTCCAGATTCCAAAGGGGTACCATCACCGATTTCGGGCGATTTTTTGGAAAGTCAATTTTCCTTGGATTTTGCAGGCGATGGATCACATATTCGGCCTGGGGCTATTCTTTAGGGATGGATAAGTCTATTAAACATCGATTCGTTGGGAAAATCTCCGGGGCAATTTTTGCCAGATTCCAAAGGGGTACCATCACCGATTTCGGGCGATTTTTTGGAAAGTCAATTTTCCTTGGATTTTGCAGGCGATGGATCACAGAATCGGCCTTACGGTACTCTCCACCAACGATGAAGTCTAGTAATGGCCGATTTGGGCGGAAATTTAGTCGAATTATTCCGGAGGGCATTTTCGTAATTTTTAGGCGATTTTTTCGAAAGGCCGTTTTCCTTAGAGTTTGAAGGCTGCAGAACACGGATTCAGCCCGAGGCTATTCTTTAGGGATGGATAAGTCTATTAAACATCGATTCGTTGGGAAAATTTCCGGGGCAATTTTTGCCAGATTCCAAAGGGGTACCATCACCGATTTCGGGCGATTTTTGGGAAAGTCAATTTTCCTTGGATTTTGCAGGCGATGGATCACAGTTTCGGCCTTAGGGTACTCTCCACCAACGATGAAGTCTAGTAATGGCCGATTTGGGCGGAAATTTGGTCGAATTATTCCGGAGGGCATTTTCGTAATTTTTAGGCGATTTTTTCGGAAGGCCGTTTTCCTTAGAGTTTGAAGGCTGAAGAACACGGATTCAGCCCGAGGCTATTCTTTAGGGATGGATAAGTCTATTAAACATCGATTCGTTGGGAAAATTTCCGGGGCAATTTTTGCCAGATTCCAAAGGGGTACCATCACCGATTTCGGGCGATTTTTGGGAAAGTCAATTTTCCTTGGATTTTGCAGGCGATGGATCACAGTTTCGGCCTTAGGGTACTCTCCACCAACGATGAAGTCTAGTAATGGCCGATTTGGGCGGAAATTTGGTCGAATTATTCCGGAGGGCATTTTCGTAATTTTTAGGCGATTTTTTCGGAAGGCCGTTTTCCTTAGATTTTGAAGGCTGCAGAACACGGATTCCGCCTGAGGCTATTCTTTAGGGATGGATAAGTCTATTAAACATCGATTCGTTGGGAAAATTTCCGGGGCAATTTTTGCCAGATTCCAAAGGGGTACCATCACCGATTTCGGGCGATTTTTTGGAAAGTCAATTTTCCTTGGATTTTGCAGGCGATGGATCACAGATTCGGCCTTAGGGTACTCTCCACCAACGATGAAGTCTAGTAATGGCCGATTTGGGCGGAAATTTGGTCGAATTATTCCGGAGGGCATTTTCGTAATTTTTAGGCGATTTTTTCGAAAGGCCGTTTTCCTTAGATTTTGAAGGCTGAAGAACACGGATTCAGCCTGAGGCTATTCTTTAGGGATGGATAAGTCTATTAAACATCGATTCGTTGGGAAAATTTCCGGGGCAATTTTTGCCAGATTCCAAAGGGGTACCATCACCGATTTCGGGCGATTTTTTGGAAAGTCAATTTTCCTTGGATTTTGCAGGCGATGGATCACAGATTCGGCCTTAGGGTACTCTCCACCAACGATGAAGTCTAGTAATGGCCGATTTGGGCGGAAATTTGGTCGAATTATTCCGGAGGGCATTTTCGTAATTTTTAGTCGATTTTTTCGAAAGGCCGTTTTCCTTAGATTTTGAAGACTGCAGAACACGGATTCAGCTTGAGGCTATTCTTTAGGGATGGATAAGTCTATTAAACATCGATTCGTTGGGAAAATTTCCGGGGCAATTTTTGCCAGATTCCAAAGGGGTACCATCACCGATTTCGGGAGATTTTTTGGAAAGTCAATTTTCCTTGGATTTTGCAGGCGATGGATCACAGTTTCGGCCTTAGGGTACTCTCCACCAACGATGAAGTCTAGTAATGGCTGATTTGGGCGGAAATTTGGTCGAAGTATTCCGGAGGGCATTTTCGTAATTTTAAGGTGATTTTTTCCAAAGGCCGTTTTCCTTATATTTTGAAGGCTGCAGAACATGGATTCAGCGTGAGGCTATTCTTTAGGGATGGATAAGTCTATTAAACATCGATTCGTTGGGAAAATTTCCGGGGCAATTTTTGCCAGATTCCAAAGGGGTACCATCACCGATTTCGGGCGATTTTTTGGAAAGTCAATTTTCCTTGGATTTTGCAGGCGATGGATCACAGATTCGGCCTTACGGTACTCTCCACCAACGATGAAGTCTAGTAATGGCCTATTTGGGCGGAAATTTTGTCGAATTATTCCGGAGGGCAGTTTCGTAGTTTTAGGCGCTTTTTTCGAAAGGCCGTTTTCCTTAGATTTTGAAGGCTGCAGAACACGGATTCAGCCTGATGCTATTCTTTAGGGATGGATAAGTCTATTAAACATCGATTCGTTGGGAAAATTTTCGGCAATTTTTGCCAGATTCCAAAACGGGTACCTTCACCGATTTCGGTCGATTTTTTGGAAAGTCAATTATCCTTGGATTTTGCATGCGATGAATCACAGATTCGGCCTTAGGGTACTCTCCACCAACGATGAAGTCTAGTAATGGCCGATTTGGGCGGAAATTTGGTCGAATTATTCCGGAGGGCATTTTCGTAATTTTTAGTCGATTTTTTCGAAAGGCCGTTTTTCTTAGATTTTGAAGACTGCAGAACACGGATTCAGCTTGAGGCTATTCTTTAGGGATGGATAAGTCTATTAAACATCGATTCGTTGGGAAAATTTCCGGGGCAATTTTTGCCAGATTCCAAAGGGGTACCATCACCGATTTCGGGCGATTTTTTGGAAAGTCAATTTTCCTTGGATTTTGCAGGCGATGGATCACAGATTCGGCCTTAGGGTACTCTCCACCAACGATGAAGTCTAGTAATGGCCGATTTGGGCGGAAATTTGGTCGAATTATTCCGGAGGGCATTTTCGTAATTTTAAGGTGATTTTTTCGAAAGGCCGTTTTCCTTATATTTTGAAGGCTGCAGAACATTGATTCAGCGTGAGGCTATTCTTTAGGGATGGATAAGTCTATTAAACATCGATTCGTTGGGAAAATTTCCGGGGCAATTTTTGCCAGATTCCAAAGGGGTACCATCACCGATTTCGGGCGATTTTTTGGAAAGTCAATTTTCCTTGGATTTTGCAGGCGATGGATCACAGATTCGGCCTTACGGTACTCTCCACCAACGATGAAGTCTAGTAATGGCCTATTTTGGCGGAAATTTGGTCGAATTATTCCGGAGGGCAGTTTCGTAATTTTTAGGCGCTTTTTTCGAAAGGCCGTTTTCCTTAGATTTTGAAGGCTGCAGAACACGGATTCAGCCTGATGCTATTCTTTGGGGATGGATAAGTCTATTAAACATCGATTCGTTTGGAAAATTTTCGGCGCAATTTTTGCCAGATTTTAAAGGGGTACCTTCACCGATTTCGGGCGATTTTTTGGAAAGTCAATTATCCTTGGATTTTGCAGGCGATGAATCACAGATTCGGCCTTAGGGTACTCTCCACCAACGATGAAGTCTAGTAATGGCCGATTTGGGCGGAAATTTGGTCGAATTAATCCGGAGGGCATTTTCGTAATTTTTAGGCGATTTTTTCGAAAGGCCGTTTTCCTTAGATTTTGAAGGCTGCAGAACACGGATTCAGCCTGAGGCTATTCTTTAGGGATGGATAAGTCTATTAAACATCGATTTGTTGGGAAAATTTCCGGGGCAATTTTTTGCCAAATTCCAAAGGGGTACCATCACCGAATTCGGGCGATTTTTTGGAAAGTCAATTTTCCTTGGATTTTGCAGGCGATGGATCACAGATTCGGCCTTAGGGTACTCTCCACCAACGATGAAGTCTAGTAATGGACGATTTGCGCGGAAATTTGGTCGAATTATTCCGGAGGGCATTTTCGTAAATTTTAGGCGATTTTTTCGAAAGGCCGTTTTCCTTAGATTTTGAAGGCTGCAGAAAACGGATTCAGCCTGAGGCTATTCTTTAGGGATGGATAAGTCTATTAAACATCGATTCGTTGGGAAAATTTCCGGGACAATTTTTGCCAGATTCCAAAGGGGTACCATCACCGATTTCGGGCGATTTTTTGGAAAGTCAATTTTCCTTGGATTTTGCAGGCGATGGATCACAGATTCGGCCTTAGGGTACTCTCCACCAACGATGAAGTCTAGTAATGGCCGATTTGGGCGGAAATTTGGTCGAATTATTCCGGAGGGCATTTTCGTAATTTTTAGGCGATTTTTTCGAAAGGCCGTTTTCCTTAGATTTTGAAGGCTGCAGAACACGGATTCAGGCTGAGGCTATTCTCTAGGGATGGATAAGTCTATTAAACATCGATTCGTTGGGAAAATTTCCGGGGCAATTTTTGCCAGATTCCAAAGGGGTACCATCACCGATTTCGGGCGATTATTTGGAAAGTCAATTTTCCTTGGATTTTTGTAGGCGATGGATCACAGATTCGGCCTTAGGGTACTCTCCACCAACGATGAAGTCTAGTAATGGCCGATTACGCGTTGGGTGTTTACTACTTATTTGCGCAGTTATATTTTTGCTGTTTAAACTTTGCATTCATGCACAAAAGCTCTATGATCGAGCTATCCCTTTAGAAAATTGAAAGGAGTACCGTGACAACCACAGTAGTGGTAGTCACGCAAAAATTTCTAGCCAAGTTGAACTCGTATCCGAGGATGATCTCGAGGTATCCAGACAGTTCGAAAGGGCTACCACAGGATACAACTTGGGAGCCGAATCCCTAGGAATTCCTCTGCTAGCATATAGTAAGCTTAGAAGCCACCCTTAACCGTCCAAAACAAATCCAAAGCCACCCTTAACCATGTCGTTACGTCGCCCGTATGCACCTAGGTAATACCTAAAATAGGCCGTCATTTTCTTATATATATATATGTAAATATTGCGTATGTATTTCCTGCTGCAATGATAAATGTTTCGAGTGTTTTTTATTTTAAATGTGTATAGCTATACTATATTTTGTGTATAATGTGTTGCGATAAATGAATATTTTTATTGTTTACTCTCATTTGTTTTCATAACAAAGACTTACGTGTTGAAAATGACTTAAGAATATAATAATAATAATAATAATAATAATAATAAGTTGATACGAGCACATTTCTCATGCATCACTATCACATGCATTATTATCGCAGGCAATTAAAATTTAAGCCGTTTACATATGATGATTAGATGGAAGGCACCTTTATAAACCATCAAATGCTCGCTCGTTCTGCTGCCAACAGGCCCGCACCTGTCTGGATTGATTAAAATTTTGTCCGCAACCTGAGGAGGGTGCCATTTGAAATCGTTCAGGATATAATCATGAGGGGCCTGAAGAGGAATGACGATGTATTCATCGAAAGGGCGAGAAACCTGTTATTATACAAGTATGGCAATTACAATCTCCCGATCAAACATCTCGACTGGACGCCACACCTTATGTTCCTGAATATATTCTATATACCTCTCGAAGAATACCCAGACATGTTGAAGATTGTATATTGTCTCCTTAGACTCATGATTTGTGTCTGTACAATAGGAGTCATAATGCACCAACATGTTTTGAAGAAATGTGTTCACGAATGGGAAAATTTCCCTGACAAAGTAACACTCCTAGGAAAATGGCTCCGACAGTTTCTATCACTACGCATCTGGGCGTTGCTCCTCGATGAAAGCCATCATGACTATCTTTTCCTCACCTTTCGTGTGGAAAGGGAAATAATTATCGTGAAAAATGGGTACGTGGTAGTGGAAAAACCGTCCTCAGAGTATGAACAGGGCTTCGTAGAGAATCCCACTCTGGAACCAATAAAAATGGCTACATCATGGAAAAGCATGAAGGATAGACTCTTTGTCCGTAACAACTTGTCACCAAATGATGTGCCAGTGGCATTATGATCCACCAGAAACTACCACACCGACGAAAGAATCAAAGAGGTCTGTTTCCCACCATTCATGAGAGAGAAATACTTTCTGAAGGAAGCTGAATATAAATTGAAGCAAGTAGCAGAAGTGAGTGCTTACATAGGTGAATGCTCCAAGGCACCGGAAGATGCAAACCCCGAAGACCTAGAGCCCTCTCGAATGTTGGACTGAAGGTCGGAATCCGTAGTAACTATCGACTACCAGGAATAGGTCGGTTATTTTGACACATTTTGTTCCGAAACTCCCAGAAAAAATGGAGACGAAAAGGAAAGGGAGTTTTGATGCCTTCCCCGTTTTTCTCAAGGGCCGAAGATGCTCAGGGCATGGTAACCAGTTAGGTAGCCATTCTGTTGTAAAATACCGATGTAACCTTGAATGAAGAAATAAAAGGTTTGGTGTTTTGTGTCTAATGTCTATGTGGATGGCTTAACTTTAACTGTGCTCGGTAACCATATCATTGCACGCATTCATTCATACTTAATCTTCAATTTTGATATTTCTAACATGTCATCTCATGAATAGGTTTTGCCACGAGATAACATCCGTGTTGCAAAACTTTATATGCACAACATGGCGGGAATATCAACCATTATTGAAGAAGAGGAAATAGCCATGTTCAATTCAATGAAACGATATAGGGAAAGAGGTGATCGTCTACCAAGAGGCGCAAATTGATCTGCTACTCGTGGGGCCAGTTAGGATTCTTGAAAATAGGATCCAATCACTACAACAGATGCGGGGAACTTTCACTGAACAGGAGCAGAAGGTGTTCACTCGCACATACGGAAGAATACCTAATCTGTGATATGTCCCATTCCCAGCGACATGGTTCAAGAACTGCTCAACTACTGGGATCCGTTTTATCATTGCTTCTCCATAAATGAGAATGATTTCTCCCCCCTTATGGAAGAGTACAAATCTATTCTCCAAAAAGATCCCAAGAAGCCATATAAAATCTACATCCATAAGTCCTATCTTAAGGCAAAGAATGTATTGTCCCAGATATTAGATACAAAAAGTGCAAAGATAGAGCATCTGATAGGATCTGATGGTGAGATTGAATACATTCATGTCGATAAACTCATATCTCATATCAACATCGGACCGACAAATGAGAGGGACTTGAAGATATCGCGCTGGTACTTTACAAATTAATCATATACCCTCGAATCCCAGACCATATTGACAACTCCGCAATGAAAGTGTTTGAACAAGATACACATGATGTCAACCCAATATTCGCCATTTTGTATGAAACATTTGTAGCATTGGGGAGATGTTGAGAAAATCGTGGGCGCATCCTACTTGGTTGTGCCCCATTTCTAGTGGTCTGGATCTTTGGACATCTGAAACCCTCTCCGAGAAGGGGGATCCCGATAATCAGATACTCGTTAGTCTTTGACGAGAGGAGATGCTCAACTAGAGAGTTTGCCTCAGGGGACTCAATCTATATGTCCGCGTCTGAAGAGCATTGGAAGAGTTATTTCGCCACATTAGGGAGTGATGATATCCAATGGAAAGCCCCGTGGATGTACGAGGGAAGTGTATTGTATAGTTGCGGGCCCAACCCATGGGTACCTCTGCAAGGCCCCGAAGGATGTGTGGCGTATGCACCAAATATGTTCAGAAGACAGGTTGGTTGCATGCAGATTGTGCCAGCAACTGAAGGAATGGGCTGGTTTAGTTACCGGTACTTTAATCCCGATTCGAAGGCTAAAAATGAGCAGGTGCTACCATGTTGGAAAAACCCAAGACTAATCAATCGTAGTTTGAGCATTGTAATGACAAAAGGTAATCAAGACCTCCATGATTTCTTGGCTCTCGAATACACTCCATGGTATCAGGGATGAGGAAAAGCAGTCACTATAGACAGGAAAGGCAAGAGAAAAATGGACTTTGAACCCAGGTTGCCACCTGCGATGCATCACCAAGTGGGATCTTTGGCTAAAGATATGGCTTTAAGCCAACTACAATGAGAAAATGACGAGATGAGAGCATACACAAGAGGGCATTTCACCCAAATGAAGAGACTTGAAGAAGCAAACTATATCCTGAATCAAAGGATTATTCAGTTGGAAGATATTAGCCACGGGCAAAGGTCTGCAATCAACGAACATCAAAGTGCAAATCGGGAAATGCAAGAAAGATTAGAGCATATGGAAGCATGGGGTCAACAAAAGGAGCATCTTATCAGTAAACAAAGGAAGGAAGCCACCAAGTACCGTGAAGAGATTGACCGACTAACTGCTGAAAAGAGGCCATCGAGATAGAAAATACAGACTGGCAAATTACAGCGCAGACACTGGAAAACAACAGACTCAATGAAGAATGGAAAGTTAACCATCTCATGGAAGTCATTAGAGGAGCTACCAGAAGGGCATATGAGTTGTCCAATGAAGCCGAAGTGCTAGACTACGTTTGGCACAAATGGAGAATTCGGATCCCGACCTTCGAACCTATCTTGAAAACCTGCAACAGGAGCTGATATATTATGGAATTTTCTACTAATCATATTATAATGTTTTGTAATACGATCATGTAAGGTAGCAGGGGGATAAACAATGTATTTTGGGTTGTTTTTGCAATCATGGTCTCTTGTGATATATGTACGAGACCATGTAATAAGTGTATAGGGCCTTGAAGCGCAAATATATTGTAATAGTAGCCCCAACTATTGTAAATATAAAGTTTGGAAGCAGAGGTGTTATCTCCTTGTCAAACCCTAGAACCGCATTCATGCGTTAACAAAAACACCGTATCATGCATTCACCTTATCTAGCATAAGCATGACATCATATCAGTCTGCATCGACTAATTACGAATTATTCCACGAGGAAACAGGAAACAAAGCACCAGGTTTTCTTTAAAATTGGTCATCCACCAGGAAAGAGTGAAGACTTTACATACTTAACGAGATCTAAGACCGAGTTCGTCATGGAGGCTTTTCAGAAGAAGTTGAGTGACATTGAAGGAAAGATAACAGGGTTTGATGAAAAGCTAGTTGGGTTTAATGAAATGAAGGATCAACTAAACATGATAGTAAAGATGTTGTCGGCAAAAGAGAAAGAAATAGCATCCAATGATGAAGAAGTACATTCTGAAGATGATGTTTCTCCAAAAAGGGAAGGCTCGGGTCCCAAAGTCATCATCGTACATGACAAAAACAACTAGCTTTCCCTTTGGGGCTCGAGCCTTCCCCTTTTGGAGAAACATCATCTTCAGAATGTAATTCTTCATCATTGGATGATATTTCTTTCCCTCTTGCCGACAACATCTTTACTATCATGTTTAGCTGATCCTTCATTTTATCAAACCCAACTAGATTTTCATCAAACCATGTTATCTTTCCTTCAATGTCACTCAACTTATTCTGAAAAGCCTCCATGACGAACTCGGCCTTAGATCTCTTTAAGTATGTAAAGTCTTGACTCTTTCCTGGTAGACGACCAATTTTAAAGAAAACCTGGTGCTCTGTTTCCTGTTTCCTCGTGGAATAATTCGTAATTAGTCGATGCAGAGTGATATGATGTCATGCTTATGCTAGATGAGGTGAATGCATGATGTGGTGTTTTTGTTAACGCATGAATGCACTTCTAGGGTTTGCCAATGAGATAACACCTTTGCTTCCAAACTTCATATTTACAATAGCTGGGGCTACTATTACAATTTATTTGCGCTTCAAGGCGCTATACGCTTATTACATGGTCTCGTACATATATCACAAGAGACCATGATTGCAAAAACAACCCAAAATACATTGTTTATCCCCCTGCTACCTTACATGATCATATTACAAAACATTATAATATGATTAGTAGAAACTTCCATAATATATCAGCTCCTATTGCAGGTTTTCAAGATAGGTTCGAAGGTCGGGATCTGAATTCTCCATTTGTGCCAAACGTAGTCTGGCACTTCGGCTTCATTGGACAACTCATATGCCCTTCTGGTAGCTCGTCTAATGACTTCCATGAGACGGTTAACTTTCCATTCTTCATTGAGCCTGTTGTTTTCCAGTGTCTGCACTGTAATTTGCCAGTCTATATTTTCTATCTCGATGGCCTCTTTTTCAGCAGTTAGTCGGTCAATCTCTTCACGGTACTTGGTGGCTTCCTTCCTTTGTTTACTGATAAGATGCTCCTTTTGTTGACCCCATGATTCCATATGCTCTAATATTTCTTGCATTGCCCGATTTGCACTTCGGTGTTCGTTGATTGCAGACCTTTGCTCGTGGCTAATATCTTCCAACTGAATAATCCATTGATTCAGGATTTAGTTTGCTTCTTCAAGTCTCTTCATTTGGGTGAAATGCCCTCTTGTGTATGCTCGCATCTCGTCATTTTCTCGTTGTAGTCGGCTTAAAGGCTTATCTTTAGCCAAAGATCCCACTTGGTGATGCATCGCAGGTGGCAACCTGGGTTCAAATTTCATTTTTCTCTTGCCTTTCCTGTCTATAGTGACTGATTTTCCTCATCCCTGATACCATGGCATGTATTCGAGAGCCAAGAAATCGTGGAGGTCTTGATTACCTTTTGTCATTACAATGCTCAAACTACGATTGATTAGTCTTGGATTTTTCCAACATGGTAGCACCTGCTCATTTTTAGCCTTCGAATCGGGATTAAAGTATCGGTAACTAAACCAACCCATTCCTTCGGTTGCTGGCACAATATTCATGTAACCAACCTGCCTTCTGAACATATTATGTGCATACGCCACACATCCTTCGAGGCCTAGCAGAGGTACCCATGGGTTGGGCCCACAACTATACAATACACTTTCCTCGTAGATCCACAGGGCTTTCCATTGGATATCATCACTCCTGAATGTGGCGAAATAACTCTTCCAATGCTCTTCAGACACGGACATATAGATTGAGTCCCCTAAGGCAAACTCACTAATTGAGCATCTCCTCTCGTTGAAGACTAACGAGTATCTGATTATCGGGATCCCCCTTCTCGGAGAGGGTTTCAGATGTCTGAAGATCCAGACCACTAGCAATGGGGCACAACCAAGTAAGATGACACCACGATTTTCTCAACATCTCCCCAATGCTATAAATGTTTCAGACAGAATGGCGAATATTGGGTTGACATCATGTGTATCCTGTTCAAACACTTTCATGGCGGAGTTGTCAATGTGGTCTGACATTCAAGGGTATAGGATTAATCCGTATAATACCAGCGCGAATATATTCAAGTCCCTCTCATTTTTCGGTCCGCTGCTGATCTGAGATATGAGTGTATCGACATGAATGTATTCAATCTCACCATCAAATCCTATCAGATGCTCTATCTTCGCACTTTTTGTATCTAATATCCGGGACAATACATTCTTTGCCTTAAGATTGATGAAGTCTTTTTTTATACTTAATGTTTTTATTTTTTTCATCTTATAAATGTAATAATTATCAAGTGTACATTTGTACTTTGTAATTAGGCATGTAATTGTTTTTTTACTTATCATTAGAACGTTGATAAAATTATTGAAATGCAAACATTCCAATTATTCTCTCCAACCCAATTTGCTTGCTTTCTCCAATCGTAACCCAAATCCCAACTTCTAAGTAAGTAGTTGGTAACTATAAATTATGACCAATAGTAGTAAGATTACCATTGTCCTCCTATCCCATTCGACCAATTTCAAACCTATGCCACCAATCGTTTACTGAATACAATAATACAGTATGTCGTGACGACATACTATTGCTATTCTAAATAAAGCGAATTTGGTAGCCATTAGCTACTGCTAATCCTACCTAGTACAAATATTCGAACTAAATAAAAAGCGGATTTGGAAATGGTTGGTACTTATTGGTTCGCCACGGCTAATCTCAACCAACCTCGTCCAAACTTTCACTTGAGTTTTCTTTTTAAGTTAGATATTCTTCTGAATTTTGAGTATGATGGTTTGTCCGGACAAAATGTGGTGTCCATATATATTGTACTTCAAATGCATAACAATTAACAAGAACTCAATCAAAAATTAAAGCTGCCCTCATATACAGAGAGCTAGGGGTGGATTCGGTTCGGTTCGGTTATAACCGATAACCGATTGGTCGGTTACCGGTTAACCTAACCACCATCTCCCCCTACCGAACACCGGCCGACGCCAATGCTTCGGTTAACCAATAACCGACCAGTCGGTTATCGGTTAGTTGGTCGGTTAACCGAGATAACCGAAAAAATGATGGTGGTTCGTTTTTAACCGGGTAAAATTATTATAATTGCCTAAAATGAAAGGTTATAACTTACATTTCTACATCTAAATCACCAAATTAATGTCTCAAATTCAACAACATAAAATTATAAACTTCATAACCGGGTATTTTCACATCGATTTGGTGAGGGGGGTGGTCGGTCGGTTATTGTCGGTTAACCGGATAACCAATTTTCGGTTACTCGATTAACCGAATTACTTATTAGGAGCTCCGACCACCGACCGAAGCATATAATTTTCGGTTAACCGGTAACCGCCGGTTATCGGTTTAACCGGTCGGTTAACCGACAACCGATAACCGAACCTCCCGCCCTACAGAGAGCGCCAACTTCATCTCTCTCCCAAGAGACCCAAACACTAAACCCCACTTAACTTTCCCCATATATCCCAAAAAAGACCAACGAGATTGCCATGCAAGAATAATTTATAATCAGTTTTGCTGAATAATATACTAGAATCATACTCTTATGAAACGAAACATACAGATTCTAGTTAGTTTGGACATGCAGGAATCAAAACCTCTCTTTTCATGCGACACTCTATATATGTACAATCATAAGAAAGAGCATGTAACTTGGATATACCTCATGTATTGTAACTTCCTTGTTGCTCCTCCCTACTTAAAACTCTTCCTCTAGCTAGCTAAATCGGCAATTTAGCACGGTGAATTTCTATGGCCATAAAGCAACACAGTCAGTCTCTTATCTCAGGGGGAAGAACAAAAGTGGTAGGCGTCTCTCCTTCTCTTCCCTCTAACTCACTCTTCACTTGACTTATATTATTCTTTTCACCAAGGAGGATATGAGCTACGTGGAATCTGGAGCTAATTGAGGGTGCATGGCTTCATACGTGTAAGAGAAAGGGAAATGAAAGATAAGATGAAGGATAGGTTTACATCACCCCTTCTTCCCTTGCTTCTCTCCCCTCTTATCTTTATTTCTCGGTTTTCACACAGAGCAACCAAGGGTGTTGTATGTTGCTGACTCTTCCTCCTGTCCACATAATTAATTTCACCTCTTCACAAGCCTAGTCCTAGTGCTACACGTGTATTGCTAAGTGGCAAAGAGCCAATCTATGTCTTACTAAGTAAATTGAAAAGGGGAAAAAATGACAAAGGGGAGTAATTGCACCCCTAATCGATATTTACATAATAAATTTAAAAACACACATGTTAAGTAATTTGAGAGGGAGAGGATGTGACACTTTACCAAGTGATAGACCGTTAATTACACATGTTTTTACCCCTGTTCTTACACCGTTTGAGATGTGATTTCTCGTGTTTTAGGCCGATTTCACGCTAGGGTGTGCTTGTTTGTGATATTTCAGGTCCTAGTACGTGAATGGAGGCTTGGGAGCGAGTTTGGGGTCGATTGGACGAAGATCGGGCGAGAGGCAAGTCACAAAGGAGGCCACACGGGCACACCCACAAATCACACGGCCGTGCAACTCATATTTCTGGCCGTGTGAGATTGTGCGAGAGCAAACACGGCCTGCCCTGATAATCCACACGGCCGTGTGAAGAAGTGGTCTGGCCGTGTGACTTTTGCCGAGAGCAAACACGGGCAGATGGAATTCCCACACGGTCGTGCCACCCTGGCCGTGTGAGAAGCCTGAAGATCGAACTAAGTGGAACGCAGCGTTTTCACTCACACGGGCAACTGGGTATGCCACACGGCCGTGTGGCCCTGCCCGTGTGATTCGGGATTTCCTGGTTTTAACCCAATTCCGGGCTGCAAGAGAGAGAATCGGACTTTTTGAGCAAAAACAGAGCCCTAGAGAGAGAAAGGACGAAGAACTCACCCTAGAAGCCATCTTGGAGCTGGGTTTCATCAAATCAAGCTTGGAGATCGTCCTAGGAGTGGAAATCATCATCCCCGAGCAGATTTTCCTCATCTTTATGAGTATGACTACTCCGATTACTGTTTTCTTCTCTCTCTCTATGGAGTAGAACCCCTCTCTCACTTGGGGATGAAGAACCCTAGTTCTATGTGTTAGGGATTGATTGTAATGACCTGGGATGATATTACTGTTTGATTTTAATCGAATGATGCATGTTTATTGAGTCAATTGAAGTCTGATCAACTTTTCCTGATTCCTGCTACAATCTGAGATAGATAGAATCTGATTAGGTTGCTAGAGTCTCATCATTCGATAGTAGGAGATTGGCTATACGAGAGTTAGCCAGTTTACTGCTTTGTACTGGAATCCAATTCCAGTAGTGGAGTTCTGTTCTTACTGCTTCAGCTTTCTATCCCGGTGAAGACTAGTCGTCTGCCGGGTAGTTAGACTGAGAGGGCTTGGTCAGCTTAAGAGATTCCAAGCTACTGTCGGATCTTCCGCAGTCTAATCAACAGTAAATCAACCCAGGGAAATTGCAATTGAACCTAACTAAGGAGCTAGGGGGACTCATTCCCGAGTGACTCTTACCTGCTTGAGAAAACCGAATGATTTCCTGCTTTCTTTCTGCTTTTGCTTTTAAACAACAACCACATACTTTAGTTGGCTAGATAACAGAGAATCACTGAGTAAGCAGTAGATCTAGACCCGGGTTGATAATATAACTTGCCTGTTACTGCATTCCCGGTCTGCGATTATACTTGGTCGCAGATTGGTGTTGTGTTTTGGCGTGTCACCAAGGCATTCCGTACATGTAACCGTGCACAATTCGTTTTGTAGGCAATCACACACATTGACACCCCCCACACCAGTACACACATTCATACACACATGATTATTCAGATTACGTGTATTTTTGCCTTTAAATTGTCAAGTCATGCACTCCCCTGGGTATATATCCCGTAGATGCATAAAGCAACACCAATAGATGCATTAAGCATTGCCAATGACCAGCTCTCTCAGAGAGCTAGGCATAAAGCCGCAGTATCAGATCTCATGGAGTACATGACAGGGCGTCAATAAGTTTGATTTAGGTGATCAGACAATTCTTTAGTTAGTTACAGAACAAGTACCAAGCAGTATCATCAATTATTTAACACGTGTCTATTCACATATTCATAACATTCACATAGTCACATTCACCATTTCCTATAATCATATCGTCACTTTATAGGCTTCCCAATATCACATTTTTGCCTTATAGGCTTTCCAGTAATCACACAATAGCCAATTAGGCTATCCCAGTATCCTCGTATAGCCATTCAGGCCATTCATTATCCCCCATTGCCTCATAGTCTTTTCAGTACTGTAATATCCCCTTTTAGGTCATTTCACATCACATACACATTTAATTTCCTGTTCGTAATCATCATCTATCACGTTTCCCACATATCATCAAATAATCATACACACATCGCATTCACCCATCATTCATCACATATAATTTCATTCACACACATATAGTCATAGCCATCTATCAATCGCACATTTCAGGTTCCATATTCGGGTCGCTGCATGACCCGAATACCATATTTGTATCCATACGGTTAATAGGCTAGAATTTACTCACAACACACTTGATATTCCGCTATACCCTTGCCCTTCTTCGCAGCTTGCTCGTTACATTTAATAACCATAAATATAATTTTCATCACCATTATAAAAAAAAAAGTATTCACGTCTTCAAATGTAAATCTTATTCATATAATCTCTACCGCCTCTCGAGTGATTCCAAATAAAAAAACTATAATAAATTACAATTTTCTTGGTTCTTCAGTATGTAAAACAAAATATAGAAATTCAAATATCAGGCCAATAATTAAAAGCTGTAATTTTGTTATTAATTGCATGGATGCATGCAAACTATTTATACGTACACTTGGTCAATTTGGATGCATGCAAGCTGGCATTTAAATTTACTTACCAGAGAGCAACAAAACTTTATGAGACTCACCAAATGGTATCCAAACTCTAAAATTACCACCATTACTACTAGCTAGCTAGCTATATATAGGCTATAGCTACTTCATTCTTGGGTAGTGGTGTTAGAAGCAGCAGCAGCAGAGACCGAAGCACTGTTAAGAATGTTGAATGGAAACGTAGTCGGTAAATATGACGATGAAGATGATGATGATGACGATGAAGAATAGTACCCCATTCCCAAACTGCTACTCCCTCCATCACGACGTTGTAAAGCAATACCAGTCGTCGCCGGGGAAGAAGACGACGAGGATGCTCCATTGCTCATCATGGAAGTAAGAGCGGCGGCTATGACGGTGCGGAAGCTTGGGTCGGAAGTTAACGCCTTGGTCAACGTCTCCGTCAAAACAGCCTGTTGGTTGGATCCATTATTATTGCTAGTTACATTGGGGTATGGTGATGAGCTGGCAAAGCTGAGGCTAGGTGGAAAGTACTGTAGTGGTCTTGATGATGAAGGTGGAGCGAATAGAGGAAGGCCGCCGGCACCGGAGGTGGTGGAAGGCGCGGTGAGGTCTAGAGTGATGGTGGGGAATAACGGGGAGGGAGTGGTGTAGTACTGAGACGGTGGTGATGACGTGGAGGAGCCGGAGAGCAACATGGATGCGGCGGCGGAGGTGGTGGAGACCATGGCGGCGGCGGAAGCTGGAACCGGGTGGTTGTGGGTTCCCTCGTATGTGGTGATCAGGATTGACATGTCATCGGCACATCTTTGCACCTGCGTTCCATCGATCAGTTGAACATCATTAGCACTCAGAATAAATTCAATATAATGGTGTACTATAATTAATTAGTCACGAGGAAAAAAAATAAGGAAACGCTCCTGATTAAAACTCTATTGCACTCCATAATATATGCTGCCAAATTGGGATGTGTAGGGTTTATAGTACTGTGCATTGGTATTGTTAGATTCGTGATTTTATAATTGTTATGGGATTTGGTTGAGCAAAATATATGTAAAAGAAAATATCATTATTTAATTCGACGATGAGAACATATGTACATTGATGTAGCGAGAGAATTGGTCAAGTGAGGTTCAAAAGCAAAATAGTTTTTTTTTTGTTGTAACATGTAATAATTGTTGTGGTCGCAATTAAAAATTAATACATTCATTCAAGGGTAGGTCTGAGTTGTAACTTCCATCAAATTTGGTTAAAAAGAAAGAGAAAAAAATAAATAAAAATCAAGTACTGATAACTAGCTAGATTTTTACTGATTGTCAAATTGATTCATTAAAAACAAAATTTACGGGGTTAGGAAACCAAAATAAAATAAATATTATAGTAGCTAATGTATCCCGTTTCATTCTCCTAAATATTGAGGATTGTGAAACCGTACCAGAAATTATATTGACAAACTCAGTAATAATGTATTTTGTACTAAAAACGTGGTTTAACTATTTCCGAGTACTAAAACGGCTACCGATTTCGATCTGATGCCCACTATTTCAAATCTGACCATCTAAAACATTGGTAAAAACATCAAGCTGATGTCCTGATTCATGTAGCCAAACTAACCCATGAGAACTGACATTCTATTTTTCTTTGTTTGTTTGTTTCCCCAGCAAATAATAGGTTATCTTGTTCTAGAACTGCTCATGATGATCTCCCTAGCTCTATTCTCGATGAGTACTCAGCATTGCTTGCACATGCTTGGTGCTAATTATTATATGAACTAACTAAATCAGATCAGTGCACGATTTTGATACGATTGACCCCCTAGCTAGGCCAGGCCACCTTGATTTTCTCAACTGTAGTTATGGTAAGCTGTCAATTCCACATTCCAAAGTTCCATAAACTAATCAATTTCGGTATGTGGATCTTGCTCCATTTTCCTAAACCCAATATATATGGTGGTGTTTTCAGTGCACTCACTTTTTTGGGTGTATTCAGTGCACTCGTTTTATAATCGTCATTTTAAACATGCGGTTTATGTCAAAATGATTTCAATCATCACTTATGATATGATCAATAATAACGCACATGAATTTGCACAAAAATCATTAAAGATTTATTATAATTTCAAGGATTTCGAGTTTAGAGATTTAGAGTTAGGGTTAGGGTTTACAATTTGGGATTTAGGGATAGAGCTCAAAATTGGAGGTCTTTGGCTTAGGGTAATCCTCTAATTAGTTGTTATCATATGTTATATCATCATATTACACTAATTCTTCAAATTAAAATTCAAAATCCGACACCTTAAGACTAGTCTTTGAGTTGGGTGCATTGAACGCACTCATTTTTGTGGGTGCACCGAAGTATATAGTTGATCAGTAATTTTTTTTATGCAATCACAAATTTCAATCAACATCCGATCCCAATATTATAATTTGAGACATATATAGTTGATCAGTAATCGGTGCAAGTTGATCTGCACACTACAAGTAGCTAGTCTCTTTTGGGCAATGAGAAGTTGGTGTGAAAAGCCAAGATTGGTGGAGAAATGTGGTGTCGGTAACAAAAAGGACTAAGGCAAATGGGAAATATTGGTTCAGTATTTTTCTTATGAAAGGTAAGGTATAACTATAGGAGGATTATACCTGTTTTCTGACGGGGCATGATGGTGCAACGGTGCAACGATAGTAAGCTCGCGGGCAAGGGTTCCCCTTGGCTATTTTCTGCCCATATTTCCTCCATTGGCATCCATCATTCATCTGCACGTACGTACACATTCAGGCCCATAATCAATAACTAGCAACTAATTAAGTAACCCCACAAATTAAAGCTCAAGAAACTCAAGGTGATGGGTACATGCCGTAGGGGTTTGGCATCTTGCTCTAACGCAAACCCTAGCTCTCTTAGTTTGGTTTTGTTGCTGCTGCGACGGCTCATGATCCTGATCAGGATGAGAATCATCCCTACTACTATAAACCCTCTTCGCTGGCGCTTTGCTTGGATCCCACGTTTCATGAGCTGCTGCCTTGTCATCCTTGGCCGCTTCTTCACCACGTGGGTTAATCTTGGTATTACGATGAGAAGAAGATCCCAAGTTATCTACAGGGAATTTGGCATCATCATGATCCACGGTCAACCCTCGGCCCAGTGTGAGGCTGCAGCTCCCAGCTGCCTTGACCTCTTCTTCCTTATTGTTCCCCGATGAAGAAGTAGTAGTAGTAGCCGTACTTGTGCTGGAAGATTTCTCCTGAATCCGATCATCTTTCGCAGCAGCGCCACTTCCCAAGCAAAGCGAGAGCTCTTGATCATCACGATCTACTGCTGCTGCCAACATCTTGGAACTAGACGCCGCCGTTGCAGTACCTTGATTACCAAGAAAGTCGAGGAAATTGCGGCGAAGGGAGCTGTAATCCCTCATCATCTTATCCAACGTCAGCTTTAGCTTCTCGTTCTCTTCCCTAACTTCCCCCATCTCCGCTCTCGCCGATTCAAGCACCACCTCCTGCACAGCTCATCAAGTCCCTTAATTAGCTTTCTTTTTATGACAGATACATAGCAACAACATATACCGACCAAAAAACTATCCACAACTCCATGAATACCCGGTAAACTTAGGAGAATCTGTAATATACAGTACCTTTGGATCGTTGACTTTGGCATCATCAACTCCACAACTGCTGCGATGATGATGATCATAAGTACTACGAGGAGGAACAACCTTGTCCTCCACGATGGGAGCTGGTGAGGTAGACATGTTACTTTTCTGGAAGAGAGAGCAAAAAGGGGAACAGGAAAAGTTAGTATTGCTGAACTGGGATCTTGAGCTTTCTTGTACGTGTTTGATTTGTTGTTGCCCGGGATGTGAATTGAATTGATGGTGGTCTCTATATAGAGGGGCTTGCTTGTAGAAAGAAGAAGAAAAAAGTCGTCTTTTTGATTTGATGGAGTTGGGTGTGAAAAGTCGTATGTTGGAAAGTGGCAACTGGCAGCCCAATTCGATCGGCTCATCTTACGCTGCAAACACACAACCAAAGGGCCCAAAAAGGTCAACGCATACGGCCTCCTCTGACCCCCCCAAACATCTACACTCTTTCAAAATCAATACCTGCCCAACTTCTTTCTTTTAATTTTCTAAGAAGAACACGACTTTCCCCACTCTCACTCAGATTTTATTGTTTATTTTAAATATATAGAATGGAGATCTCTAGACCCCCAAATTAAGAAATCAATTTCAACGCACAGTTATGGCACAGATCATTATGTAGATGACGCATTGAATATACAAGTTTTTTTTTTTTTTTATCCAAGATAAGCCCCCACGGCATGGCCGAACAAAAAATATATATAACCGACAAAATTAAAGAACGGTAGCCCGTATGCAACCGGACTCCCGATGAAAGAGCCTCTTATGTCACGAGGTGGGCGGCTCTGAGAAAGCTCTGAGGAGCAAAAGGACACGAAACCGACACAGGGGACGAGAAGAGAGAAAATAAACTTCCCTTATAGTGAGAAGACTTCCACGATGCTGCATCACCAATGCCGGTTGAGAACCTCCGCAAAAGTAACCAAAAAAAAATATAAGACACTATCGCATAGTATCACGAAGAACAAATAGTTTTGTTATAAAAACATAAGTAATATCATATAATAAAATTTACCACAAGCAAATGAGATAGTTTCATAACCTGGGAGGTCAACGAAATCAGATGCATATCCTTGAGCATTCTTTGTGGCTCAATTAAATCGAACAATTACATCTTCGCTACGGAAAGACATTGCGGGAGGAAGGGAGGGTGAGACTTTAGGTTTCAACTTGTTGAATGTGAATTAAGCAGCCATTTCCTGTACGTTACTATTATTATTGGAACTGTATTATTTCTGTATTTTTCTTTGTTTGTTGGGGTGTAATAGCTACTGGCCTGGCAGATGTTGGTTGTTTAATTTCTCAAGGATTCTTTCTTTCTTACGTCCACACTCAAGAGAAAGAAGGGAAGGGAAGGAAGGAAGAAGGGAGACAGACAGGCGATGACCTTTGACTTAGGGTTCAGGAAAGGAGAGGAAGAATGCTAGAGAGAGAGGGAGAGTCAAAGTTTGTGCCGGTGATCATCATCACTGTTTTGGTTTTTCTATAGAGATCCGGTGGAAGGACGCTTTCTTGCTATCTAGCTGGTCTATTTTTCTCATATATGTACATACTAGTGATTATGAAACCAAAAATAATTAATACGGGCTTCACTAAAATACTACATTATACACGTTAAACATTGCAGAGTTTTTATCACCCTTGTAAAATTGGATGAAATTGTACATGCATGATCTTAACATTATTTTGGGGAAAAGGAGGTAATTAGAAAATTCATTGCTTCTCACCCACATAATGAGACAGTACAATAGATTTGGAGATCATATGTCTCATGATGCTACTGTCAAACCGGGCTGTTCAATTAGTACGATATTGTCCGCTTTGGGCCAAGCCCGCACGGATTTATTCTTGGGTGTCCTCCCTAAAAGGTCTCGTACTAATGAGTTTGGTGGACACTAATATACAAGGGTTTCTTCCCTTGTATTTTTGATGTGGTACTTGGATTGTCTCATAACAACTACCATGGTAAGTAAGATTAGAGCATTGTAATATATAGAGAGGCCAATATTGTTGCCAGCTATCTAGCTTCATTAGCCAACTATTCGGCTTTTGGAAGACATGTCTTTTAGGGGTGGCTATACAGTCCGGTCCGGTTAAATTGGACCAAATTGATCCGGTCCCAGTCCGGTCTTTTCGGGAATATAAGGACCAAAGATTGGATTGGATACAGTCCGGTCCCAATTTTATATTGATTTTAGGTGTTGGGGGTCTCTTATCCGGTTTTTTACCTCAAATCTAAGTCCAAATATGAGATTGCATTGTTTGCTATCCGGTCCCAGTCCGGTCCGGGTTATACGATCCGATTTCGAGTAAAACCAAATAGTCCGGGACCAAATAGCCCGCCCTAATGTCTTTCACACTCACCTCGCTTTCACGTATTGGTTATAAATTGATCAAATTAAAAGTGGATTTCCACCATCCCATAAAAGTAAAGACGTTCAGTAAAAATATATTTACACTCCACATTGTGTAACAAAGGATATCATACCTTATTATTTTCATTAAATTAAAAATAGATATGTGTAGTAATTTGATGAGATGGGAATGGTTGAGAAAACATTATTGCGAGGAGATAAGGGATAAAATGGGTTGATTGTGCTCATAATATTAGAGTGCATAACTATTAGTAACCAAATTTGAACCCTTCTTTTAAATGGCTGCGGATCTAAAAGTGGAGAATTAAAGGAATTTATTTTCCAGTTTTCTTGATTGGATCATATCTTCTTCATATTTTTCTGTGTCAAAAAGTTTCATACTTCTCGTTACCAACTCCATACCATATGATATGTTGTTATTTAATACCAATCAATATCATATGGTATAGACTGGTAGTAACTGGCAAATTTTTTTTGTTCCAAAAAATATCAAAGTGGATATCATTTTGAAGAGCACAATTAATCTGATCTAACCGTGCAAAAAAAAATTAAATTCACAGTTAAAGCGAGTGAGAAATCGTCCGTTAAAGATTAAGAGAAGAAAAATTAAAGGTTTTTTTATGAGAGAGAAGGAAGTACCGATGTGGCGGATTCTTATTGGGTTATACATGAGATTATAACACCACAAGGTTACTCACCGGATCTGCTCCGGTTGATTGGATTTTGTGGAAATCCAATTTTCTTTTAGACAGAGTTTTGGCTCATATTCTATATGCTTGGAAATAAAAGAGTTTTGGTAAGAGCGGCATACGATTATTTTTATATTTATGTGCAAACGAAAGAGATTCGAATCTGACACTAATGGTATATAACCATTACTCCAAGTACTTGTTTGTAACTTCGCAAGTTTTGATAAAATAAGCCACCAATAATGTTTCACGAAGGGATGATGGTGACTTGCACCTCATGCTTAAATAAAATTATTCATATGCATTATCAAATATTAAAATTTAAAAAAAAATGTGTTGAGATTGTGTGAAAAAATGAATAACGTAAACGAATGTAAATAAATTTAGCATTAATATGTGAAAAATAAATTATGTACGTGATTGAGAAAGAATAAGTGTGACCGGCCAGAACAAACTCTCAGTCAGACATACTTCCTCTTATTCAATCAGTTTTTATTATTAAAGAAAAGAAGTTGATGGCAGCCATGGAACCGGCCGACGTCATTGTCCCTGAGCTTGACGGTCAAACGCTCGTTTAACACGGCCTAAAAATTTGAAAAGCTCTCCCGCCGGCGGCCCCCACGAAACTCCACAAGTTGGAAGTGTTGAACCCTCATGCTGCATATGCCCACTTGACCGGCCGTCCATCTCTCTCCAGGACTCAGTCAGTCCTCACCGGTCACCGTTCCATCCCATTGTGTCGCATCGATCTACCCTCTCCTTTCATCCACGGATCTACCACATTGGGCCGCTCCACTGGCCTAGGGTAGGCCCGTATCCTCCTTTAGTTATGTACTTATTCCTCCCACCTCACATTTTGCAGCAACTCATTAAGCTCTGGCCTAATGAAAAATCAGAGGATCGTGTCATTGGTGTGCATTGTCATCTGCTTTTATAGTTAGGCATTGGAATTTCGAATTGTTATGTTGTACATGATTTTATCACAACTTGTTTTAGATAGGTAATATTTGTCTCTAGATTGTATTGTGCGAGAACAAGTCTTCTAATTGCTAAATCGCTTTATTCAGTTTTGTTCTATGACAAAATCCCTTATATATGTCACCTAATGATAAGTTTGATCCCTTACATGTGATGTGACAAAGGCAAAAGTATGTGCTTCCAAATGCCTACCGCAATCGATTGCGGTTCAAGTATAAATCAGCCACGATAAACGCTCAGACACATCCCCTCGGCCTCTCGGGACTTTTCTTTCTTGTAATCTTGTTTCTCCCAACAACGTCACATCTTCCAACACCCCCCAAAAAATTCTGCCACCTCCCAAACCAGCAGCAACACATAACCTGTCACCCCAGCAAGCATCATATCATTATCATACATCGCCACGTCAACCCTCAGCTTGCGTAGGATGTTTCCCCCCCAGCCTGCAACCTTCCACAGATTCATTTCTTAATATAGCAACTCACCAATGAAGATCCTTTCCCATTCCAGCCCTATATATCCTGTTCCTGGGGATGCATGCATTCTGGTTTGATAGAAAGAATATTGCTCCTTTTGAATGAACAGAGAGAGTGGCAAGTAACAGTAGTGTACTACTGATATGCTGTAGAAAGGAACTGTCTCAAGCACTTGTGTTTCCTTTTCTTTTTATCCCATTCAACTGTGAACCCAATGATTTTCAGGTGTAACTATGTACAGAAGATCCCTAAATGTTACAACAAAGACTGGTGTCTTAAGTCTCAACTCTCAAACGTCATGTTCCACCACTAGATAATAAAGAGAAAAGACCACAAGAGGAAAAGGCTATGGAGGAATATAAAGCAGCAAGACTACAGCTAGCAAAAGGATCTGTTCTGTGTGAAACTAAAGCTAGTCTTTCTTCTTTCTATTCATCCATCTGTCAAAGAATCCGCTCTACTAGCTCTTTCATCCAGTATCCTGTAAATTGCTCTCTCTTCTATGTTGATTGGGTAGTACTCTGAGCTTACTTGAAAAAGGGTGGCCCTCTATACAATTCGCCACGGACAACCAAGTCTGCCGGTCTCTCCCTCTCCTGTAGCCAACCATACCCTTCCTTCTCTTCATCGGGCACTACTACTCCATCGACTGGAAACAGTATTTTTACAAGCATGGTGGAAGTTAGTGGGTTTGATTCTTTAATCCTAACTAAATGAATGGAGGTAGTAGCAGAGCGAAGGAGAGGTACCAGAAAATTGGGACAATGGGAAGTCGAAGTAGTACTGGCAATGCCTGCCTTCGTCATCGTTGTAAGGAGGACCAAGGACATCTAACACTGCACAGGCTGTTACCGCGGTGAAGCAATGCATGTTACCTCCATCTTCAGGGTAGAGTATGGAGGTGTTGCATGGTGCTGTGAGGTCCGAGTTGGTCTTCACCTTCGCCAAACGAACTTTCGGTTGCTGGTGCTTCATTTCTGGCTGCTGCTTACCTTCACAAGCCAAAACCTCTCAGGCAACGTACAAACGAATGTGAATTCGATCACTTCTTTCAAGTAGACTTACCTTCTTCATCGAGTACCCAATCATATGATTTGATATGCATTGTCCCGAAGAGGAGCTTGCTAAACACGGTCATTCCAGGATGGTTATGAAGTGGAATGACTCCTGATGGTGGCAAGCAGAATACCCCAATCTGTTGAAGTTGAAGGGAATTAATTCTCAATTAGTCAGAAACTCAGAGTCAAGGTTGCAAAACCAAACCTACAATTCACTATCTAGTATCTAGCATCATCAATGCAATGACTTCCACTTACCGAGAACTTGTTGCATTCATGGAGATGGAGGTATCTTATTGCTGGTTTTTTCCCATTGGGGGCAGCTCCATCCAAGTTTGCAAGAGTGAGGCAAGCAATATCTGGGTTAAGCCCAAGATCAGCTGGTTTGATATCATCTACCACAAACAAAAGAAACCATTGATAAGCAGACGCATAATTAAGGATATCCTATGGCAACCCACTAAGCAAGTTCAACACTTTATTCTGAAACACCAATAAGTACCAAACAGCAACATAATCATCCTAGAAAGCCTAGCAGCACGCGATAGTGAATTCAGAAAGACATCAATTAGAATAATCAGAAATCATTTACGTACCCAAAACAGCTCTCAGCTTCTCGACATTATCAGGTGAGGGAACAATTCCAGCGCTTCCAGATTTAAACACGTCCTTGCAAGTGTCGAACAACCGCTGCACGGGCCTCGCCATCGCAGCGGAGGGCTGCTTCTGTTGTTGGCGTCGCCGGCTCTTCTTCCCCTTGCTATTATTGGCATTCCTAGCCGGATGAGGGTTTGGCGCCGGGTTCGCGATTGGTTTCTTTCCCTTAGCCAGCTGATCGAATTCTTCTCCCCCTATCGCTTTATTATCAATAATAATTCTTGACTCTGCACCCATTCACTTCCCCCCTACTAACCAAACTCTGTAAAAGAAAGAGAGCCAAGCTGAAAGGCCGGCGCTTTAGACACAATTGGCAGCTGGATCAAAGAATTTCGATGTGGGCGCGGATGAAACTCGTAAACAAACAAAGACAGCTAAGCTGAGAAGTCACGGAGTCATTATCAGATGTTGATGAGGATCTCTCTCTGTTTCGCCATGGATAAGAAGAGAAGATGGATCGATGGAAGAGGGAAGGTGAATTGACAAAAAGGGTGAAGTTGGGTAAAAGGAAAGTAAGGGATTTGTTGAAGAGTTCTAGGGTTGAAGGTAGAAGGAGAAGAGGAATAGAGGAAGAAATACAGTTGGTTTTCATGGACACAGGGGAAGCAAAACCAGGGGCCATTGTCTTCCGTTTACTATGGGCTGTTGCTAATACCAGTTTTTCATTGTTTATCCATTTCTTTACTCCCCCGTTATCCCCAATTTGCCCCTGATCTTCAGAGGAAAGTTAGCAAATCGACCCTCAATAAAATTGTTTCTGTCCGTTTGTGTCCTGTTTCAGTGGTGAAGTGCAAAAATTGCAGATTTTAAAAGTGATCACAGACTTTGGAAACCTCGGATTCGGGGTGGGTTCCAACGAAAAATATATATTATTTTTTCCCACAAGTATTAAACGTCTGCGATTTTATATTGTAAAGAGTTGGAATACTGAGAGTAGGGCTGGCAGTCGGTCGGTTTCAGTTTAACTGAAAATCGAATTTTCGGTTAACGGTTAGCCGACCACCTCCTCCTGCTAGCCAATCACCGACCGAGAAAGGGAGCACGGTTAGCCGACCACCGATCGGTCGGTTACCGATTTTTGGTTTGGTTAGCCGTGAGACCGAAATTATGGCAGGTTTGGATTAAAAACTGGGTAATCGACCCAATAACATCGACTGAAGAAGAAGAAGTGGCACCAGCGCCTATGGCTCTCAACCGAGAGAATCAAAGCTTGCGTCAACGGCGAGAAGTGAAGGAGGCGAGAAAGAAGATACAAAAATTGGGTGGAAAATGAAATTGAGATAGGGAGGAGATTGGGGACGGAGAAGGGGGATTTCTGAGTTCATCGAGCATCATCGCCATCGTTGTATTCTCACGATTGAATCGTCGCCGATTCAATTCCGTTTGCCAAAATCCAGAGCCGAACTTTTCGTCGGTGGTCGCGGGTTTGTGGAGAGGTTGTTGGAGGTCGAGGGAGATGGCGCTCGGCGGGGGAATTGGGGAACAACCGCCGAACAGGGGAAAGGGAGAGGGGCTGAAGGATTTGGTATTCTGGAGGGTGGAGGCGGCGGGGTGAGAGGGAGAGGGAGAGATCGATGAAGGAGGTTAGGGTTGGGGGTTGGCTGGATAGTTTGAGAAACGGCGTTGTTTTGGTTTAAACGCCGCCGTATGAACATTGTTGGGAACACGGTCGGTTAGCTACGGTTAGTCGGATAACCGTGGTTAACCGCCTTCGGTTACTCGGCTAACCGCAACCAAGCTCTCCCTCTCCGAACACCGACCGTCCATTATTTGTGTCGGTTTTCGGTTAGCTGCTAGCCGACGGTTTTCGGTCAAACCGACCGGTTAGCCGCTAACCAGAAACCGAACTGCCGCCCCTACCTGAGAGAGTGCTGGTTTGGAAACCTCGGATGATGGTAGAAAACAAGAATTTGAATATCAATCTTCCCTATTCAAATAAGTGGAAAACAGAAAGAAATAATAGGATAAAATAGTTTAGCTTATGGGGCTTTAACATTTAAGAGTATTGTAAGAAAGTTAGTAGAGAAGAGGATTGAATTTGGATTAAAAACTACGAAAGTGTGAAATAAGAGAATTGAAGATTTCGTCGAGTATCTTTGAAAAGGTTACGAAATAGTTGTTACAATTGTAAAGTTAGAATGATATTTGATGTCATTCTATAGGATGCCTAGAGCAAAACACGAAACTAAAACAAAGAATGGGGTGCAATGGAATATAATCGATGGAATTGAGCCACATAATTCTTTGTTTTTGTTCGAAAATGACAAAATAGAATGGCAGGAATAGCAGCATGACCTGCACCTAAAAGATTGATACTAGGCTAAAACCAGGACCAAAAGGGCAATCAGGAGGAGCTTCTGAGATATGCATGCATTTTACCCATATACTCGACCCATATGAAGTACTCCTTCAAAAGAAGAAAGCGTTAAACGAAAGAATTGAAAGCTACTAAAGAAAAAGAATCGGATTCACGGATTGGATAGAGCTGAAGTTTTATAGAAACACTAACAAAAAAAAACCAGGATAAATAGGAGAAAGAACTTAATAACAAGAGGAGGATGTCAAACCACATATAGCAGAGTAACCGAGCATTGAGAATATATAAAAATTGGGTATTGTTTTTACACATTCGTAAAATTTATTGAAATGTCGCCTTCAATCACATAATCGGCAAACTAACTATCTGGATGATTGCCTTCAATCAAACAATATGGATGAGTATTTCACAAACCGAATTAAAGAATGACTAGCTTTAATCAAAAGCGAATGTGAAGGAGAGGAGAAAAACCTTCTTCTTCTCATGTGTGTTTGAGTAATAGCTCTTTGATTGCATTACTTATGGATCTTGATTCTCGACTACTAGGTTTCTGATAGAGGTTAAGAGTGAAGGAGAATGATCTCAACCTTTACTTGGAAGATTGTGCTCAACTCCATTATTCTACAAACTCTAAAAAGTAAAAAGTGATACTGACGAGTACAAGATTAATGACCACACTCTTTCTAGCAAAAGAAAAATATGGTATCAATCTTGTCATGAAGAACTCTATACAAATCAATCGTTTACAAGAAGAACTCTACATCATATCTCTCAGCCAAAATGATAATGTCAAATGAATATATAGTTGCATTGTGTACTCCATTTTAAAAATCGAATATATGACATGCTCATTATTCTATATATATGAGAAGTTGCTCATGACACAAATGTCACATGTAGAGCGAAACTTATTGAAGAGTTGGATGCTTGCATATATCCACACTCCAAATGAGATGATTAGTACTTAAAGCAAGCTCTTTAATGAACAAGAAAGTTGACCAATGAATACACATCAAAATTATTAAGAATTATAAGAAACTAAATAGAATCCAGAATAATGTGCACAAAAAAAATTTAATGATACCAAGTTCAGATTCGGCAAGCAATGACCATTATCATGTCATCATTTTTTTTTGACAAAAGAAAATTTTATATTGATTCAGAAAACGAGATAGTTACACCATTATCATGCCAACATAAGAGGATTAAAACGTTCTTGTCAAATGGAGACTAGCATTGGGCCCGGCCCGTTGGCCGGTGGAGTATAAAATCGTTATGTGTACTCTGTTGTACTATATTTGCTTGTGGAGTATAAAATACTTAAACAATATTAGCAGATAGTAGTAGCTATGGAATTAGCAAGTCCAAACTTAGTAGATGATCTTGTTGATGTAAAGTGTTGTATATAGCATATGTAATTTTCGAAGATGCTTGATTTCTCAAGCTTGTGCTTAATAAAAGGATAACAACAATTACCATAAAAGGAAATGTTTGCTCCAAAATATTGTTCGCAGTTAGCATCTCTTGTAGACTTTCCACAATGTGATGTAATAATTGATTAGCAGAAGACCCATAGAAATGAAATCAAGTCGGATTATGCAAGTTTGCTTCAAATTACGAAATTCAATAACTTCCTTGTTTGTTTCAAGAATGTATGCTTGTGCAAATTTAGCCATTTCTACATCAAAGGGAACTAAGCCTCCTATACGGTGATATATTTGGCCTTCAATGGAATAAACATACAAACCATGACCATCATTTGTCACATGCTCCACCTTACCATCCACAGAAATAAAACTAAACAAATTGTCATACTGACTAATATACTGTATAAAGTGTCGAGCGATAATAGAATCAAACTCTCAGGAAGTTTAACTTTCCCACCCTTACAACATAAAGTGGATTGTGGGTAAACATTTCCTCTAGTTGATCGAGGGCTTTCACTTCTCAAAAAAAAAAAAAAAACCACAATATTGATAGAAAACAATCAGGATGATTGATTGAGAATTCTTATACAACCGGATTACCTGAAATCCAACATATATGGATTAAATAGATTTTCATGCTTATGAAGTAACAAAAAGTTACTCAAATACATATCACATACTGCTCTGATAAAATACTATAGGAAATCCAAATTTCATCCGTTTTTGACAAATATAAATCATCCTTGTAATTCCATTATGCTTGGGCTGAAACGTCTTCAAAGGAACATCGTATGTTGTACAATAATATAGACAGTCAAGATGCAGCAAGTACTATGAGAGATGTAGGAAACAGAACACATGACTCTTCGTCTCAAACATTAAATTGAAGAATACCAATGGTTGTAGGGAAAGAGAGTGGAGGAAGTTTTGGATTATGTAGAGCATAACTATAACTTCCCCGCTGCTTGCAACAGAAAAAAAAAAAAGACCACACTTCATAACAACAACCCCATATCCCTAAAGAGGATCAAAGTCCAAAAGCGCATGAAGGAAAATTCAATTTAGAAGATCAAATAAAGTATCCATTTCTACGAAGCCAAAAAAGGGATAAAACTTTCTAGGAACTAAAGAGGTCCAAAAACTCCATCGAACCGACACCAAACAAAGCATCGAATTTAAGATTGCAAACAGCTAATTAGCAGGCAGATACATAATCATATTAAATGTAGCACCTTTCAATGTCATTCTCAGAACAACAGTAAGAACAGAGGAAGAAATGTAACTAAAACAGAATTACAAACTGCTTTTACTAATCACAAACTGTATGATTCCAAACAACAATTAGCAGGCAAATACATAATCATAATAATTGGATCACCATTCAGTACCATTCTCAGAACAACCATAAGAAGAAATGTAAAAAAACAGAATTACAAACTGCTTTTGCTTATCACAAACCGCTTTTGATTCATTAGGTATATCATGATTAGAAATTGCAACTAATTTAGTATAAGTATTAAGTAGCATGCTATCTAGAGAATTTTCTTCTGCCTCGTTACAACTGAACTACTTCATTACTTATTAAGCATGCTTAGAAGCTAGAACTAATGAAGTACAACTCATGAAACGAAACTTTAATGACAGGCAAAGCTAAGGGAAAGGCGGAGAGCGACATACTTGGGAGTTGGGACCAAAACAAAATGCACTCGATCCATATGACGTATCACCGAAAGGACCTTCAGGCGAGATACATATTGCCTTACTTTTTTCTGACAAAGATATAATGGGGAAACGAAATCATAACACTAAATGGATGCATGCATATATTTAATACAATCTTAAAAGAACATCAAAGGGAAATAATGAGCATATTACATCGACTGAGAGTACTGGAAATAAATACCATGTTCTTCGCAACAACGCTTGGGGGGGGGGGGGGGGCATTGAAATCGGTCAAGAGCCAAGACCAATCCTAGCAACAAAGCTAACAAATCAACCCGGGAAATTAAGTCTTCATCAAACAATGGCTCGAGCACAATCCAGAAATCGCATCTAAATCTCGTCCAAAGCAAAGAAAATCAAGAAGCCTATGTAGAACAAAACCGACAACGTGTAATAGTTACCAATTGGATCGAACGCCCATTGGAAAAGGAAAAATATATGGAAGAAAAGGAGCATAGAAATCCGATTAATAGATTGCGAGAAGCTGAAATTAATACACAGAAACCAAATTTCTGGAACTTAAAGGAACATGGAATATAGCTCCGATTAGGCGCTATGCAAGGTTTCTCAATCAGTCAACCCTGAGCAGGAGACAAAGAACGAAACAGAGGAGTTACCCGGGATGGCTTGGGAATACTTCACCATTGGAAAGAAAGCACGGAGCGGGACATAAGGGACTTCAATTTTCTGTGAGACAAACAGCGAGAGCGAGAGAGGCTTGGGAATACTCGCCGTTGGAGAGAGTACAGAGCGGATGAACCGCAAGAGCGACAAATCAACATCAGGGTGAGATACACAGATGCCGGTAAAACAGACCGGCAACAAAACACTAACGGCTCAGAGCAGGAAATACAGAGACGACGGGGTTGGGTAAATGATCGGACTTCGATTAAGTGAGAGATCTTCGATTATTGTGTTGGATAGCGAGTGAGTAATTCGATTTCCGGTGGGGCTTGGAACACATAAGGGGTCGGGACGGCAAGAGAGAGGGGATGATTTCCGGTGAGATTGCAAGACAGAATGCGTGGAATAGAAGGATTGGGGAAATTACGGAAAAGGGCCGCCGATTTGTGCGGCGGTTTCAGCAGTGCCTGACGTGGCAATTGTTGTATTTCAACACTGGCTTATAGTAATTTGTAGACTATCCCACCAAACAAATAGAGCCATGTAAAAAAAAAATATAGAGCACCTAAGGGGATAGAAACCAAAAAAAAACTTTAATGATACCAAAGTTCAGATTCGACAAGCAATGACCATTATCATGTCATATTTTTTTTTGACCAAAGATAATTTTATATTGATTCAGAAAACGAGATACTTACATCATTATCATGCCATCATAAGAGGATTAAAACGGTCTTGTCAAATGGAGACTATCCCACCAAACAAATAGAGCCATGTAAAAAAAAAAATATATAGAGCACTTAAGAGGATAGAAATTAAAAGGTTCCATTGCCGGGAATCGAACCCGGGTCTCCTGGGTGAAAGCCAGATATCCTAACCGCTGGACGACAATGGATATTATGTTTTATTTTGACAACCTATATTAAAGTACTAAGAAATTGTCTGTGGGAGGAAGCCTACGAAACGTGGACAAATCTGTGACTAGAAACAAAATAAATTGAAAACTAAAATCAATTAGGAAATTGGAGGAACAGATCACAAAAAGTTTCCATCTGATTTGTGATCGTAGAAGGAAGAAATCCAGTCACGCACAGACTTCAACAGATTTTCCTCATCTTCTTCCTCCAGCCATCCCCCTTCGCCTTCGCTGCTTCCCATCGTCGGTAGGGTTTTTCCTTCGGAGGGGAGCCACTGGTTCTTCTTCAGATCCCCGGATATTGGAAAATTGTCAGCTTCCCCCAAAATGTACGGATTCGAGGCACTCACCTTCAACATTCACGGTGGCTACCTGGAAGCCATCGTCAGGGGCCATAGATCGGGGCTTCTCACCGCCGCTGATTACAACAATCTCTGCCAGTGCGAGACGTTGGATGACATCAAGATGCACCTCTCTGCAACCGAGTACGGGCCCTATCTCCAGAATGGTGCGTTGCTTTTCTCTCTTTCTAACATGACAATATGGCAACGATCATGGGTTCAGTTCGCTGCTATTGGGAATTGGAGATGGCGAGTGGAAATTTTGGATCTTGTGTGATGTTCGTTTGGCGGGTTATTAGTTAAGCTGGTGGATGTGTAATCGAATTCTGAATCTTGTGTTGCTGCGAAGTTGAATTGCTCCTTTTTCTCTCTTAGCTGATTGAAAATTTGTGATGTCGGTTCATCGGTGCTTGGATTGGAAGTTCTGGACTTTCTGTTTGAGCCTGTGTGAGAGTGAGATTCGTCGTCCCTGTCGCGTCAGTGTTCTTAGGAACTTATGAGTGGTCTTTCCTCGTTTCTCGTCCTAACTACAAAAACTCCTTCACTTTAGTTTGTGAATCCTGGAATTTTAGTAGTTTGGTACTGTTGTTTTAACTTGAGGTAATAGTTTCTTGAGCATGATCTACTTAAGCTTCAGATAGCACCTCATCTTTTGTTTAAACCTGTACGTTTAACGAAGGGATAACTCCTATTGTGTTCTCTTCTTTCGCTAGTAAGATTAGATCAGCAATCACAGAATAAGAGATCATTCCTATTGTATCATTATTGTTCGCCAACCATATTTTTTCCTACCTTATTGCAGTCATTGTCCCCACTGCGTCATATTAAGTTCGGCTCTTGGCTCCAAATTTCTGGTTTTTTTCCTCTTTTGTTTTTCGGCTCAGAAGCTTCTGTATTTTCTGATTTTTGCTATTTGTTTGCAGAGCCTTCCCCCTTGCATACCACTACTATCGTGGAGAAATGCACCCTTAAACTTGTTGATGAATACAAGCACATGTTGTGCCAAGCGACAGAGCCTTTATCTACATTCCTGGAGTATTGCACGTATGTGGACTTCAGCTTTGGGAAATGCTCTTGTTTTGTTTCCCCCTTTATGCTCTTTACTTTTGTGGGATGGTGGCTTGCATAAGAAAATGGACTTCTGTCTTTTGCCCTGTTTTTTTTTTTTATAGATATGATTGGAAATAAAGATTAATTCTTTGCTCACTTCAACAGATATGGCCACATGATAGACAATGTTGTTTTGATTGTGACTGGAACTTTGCATGAGAGAGATGTGCAAGAGCTGTTGGAGAAGTGCCATCCTCTTGGCATGTTTGACAGGTTTCTGGCCTATTCATTCTTGTTTCTCCAATGTTGGTGGTGTTTTTTTAATTGTTTCTCACTACTTAATGTATATCCCTTTCAGCATTGCTACCCTGGCCGTTGCCCACAACATGAGAGAACTGTACCGACTAGTGCTTGTTGATACACCTTTGGCTCCATACTTCTCTGAGTGCATCACATCAGAGGTAAGTTCTTCATATGTGTTGCCCGTTTTTCTAAAGGCTAAAATAAAAAGGCACTCATCAGTCAGCCCCTTTCATATTCAGCTTTGCCGCCTATTAAGAGAATAGGTCCCTCAAGCTTAGCCCACCCTTATTCATATTAACTAGCTGCCACGCACGTCCCCATAGGAATGATTCCAGCCCCCCTCTCCAGATAAGAAGCAAAATGGGCCATTACCTACCGCCCGTCCCTTATATCTTGTGACAAAATGGCTTGAATCATACATGCGTCTTCATCTTTTATCTCTGATACTGTGATTACCATGATTAAGTCCTTCGAATCTGGTGGCATGATACCATTAAAAATTGAAGCATCTGTACGATAATCTAGAAACTGGTGGCTTTTGGTAGTGAAGACCTGTTCCAACTCTACCCTTTCTGAACTTTGAAGCATTGGTAGCCTTACATATATGTTCTTTTGGCATGAGATCATAAAATAGTTGAGTATCTCTATGATAATCTGGAAATTGGTGGCTGCTGGTAGTGAAGACCCGTTCCAACTCTACCCTTTTCTGAACGTTGAAGCATTGATGTTCTTACATATATGTTCATTTCCCCTTATAAATTAGTGATGATCACGTAGTTGTATCTTAAACTCCTAGACAGTAATAGTTCATTTCCATTTTTGTAAAGCTAGCAACTTTCTACTTCTCCTTATAGGAAACTGAAAGGATCAAACTTGTTTAACGGATGAACTTAGTTCTAAGGTTTCAAATTATATTTGAACCCCGTAAACTACCATTACAGTTTAAGTGACTGCGATTTTCTAATCTTGTTGACATACTATTGTCAAATCTCTTCTGGCTTTCCCAGGACTTGGATGACATGAACATTGAGATCATGAGGAATACACTTTACAAGGCATATCTTGAGGATTTCTACAGGTTTTGCCAGGTGAGGTTGGGTTGATTAATGATGTTAACAATGTTATTTCCACTTCTATTTTGTAACTTTTATGTCTTGTATCTTATAGATCAGTTTCTTATATTACAGAAACTTGGTGGAGCCACAGCTGAGATTATGTCTGACCTCCTTGCATTTGAAGCGGATAGGAGAGCTGTTAATATCTCCATAAATAGGTATGAGTGGTTCTCTCCTTGTTCTGTTTTTAGTATTTGTATCAGTAGCGTCTAATTTTGTATGTGTTGCTGACTTGATCCATTTTGTTCAGCATTGGCACTGAGCTTACCCGTGATGACCGCAGGAAACTGTATTCTAATTTTGGCTTACTGTAAGATCCTGATATAGTCACTCTCTGTCAGATGTTAAACATCTTGTTGCTCTATTACCTTTTTGTGACATCGTGATGGTTATGTATTGCAGTTATCCATATGGACATGAGGAACTGGCTGTGTGTGAGGACTTGGATCAGGTTGGATATGAGTTTGATCTTGCAAAGAGAAGCGTCCATATGTTATGTACAAGTTTATCATTTGTCTGCTTTCTTACTGGTTCACAGGTCCGTGGTGTCATGGAAAAGTACCCTCCATATCAGGCCATATTCTCCAAGTTGTCCTATGGCGAAAGCCAGCTGCTAGACAAAGCATTCTATGAGGAGGAGGTGAAGAGGCTATGCTTGTCTTTTGAGCAACAGGTTTGATGTTTACTCAATCTTGTGTATGACTGGTTGCTCATGATCAACCACCCAGTGACTCATTTTTTTGGTATGATTCTTGTGCAGTTCCATTATGGGGTTTTCTTCGCGTACATAAGGTTGAGGGAGCAAGAGATCAGGAACCTGATGTGGATATCTGAATGTGTGGCCCAGAACCAGAAGTCGAGAGTTCATGACAGTGTTGTCTTCATATTTTAGATTGCTGTTAGAAGGGGCGGTGGCTTATATCTCCATAGCCACTGGTTTTTGGGTTCCTTTTATGCCATAATGCTGCTGCTGCTGTACATTGTGCCTTCTTGCTTGCTTCCAGATCGTGAACTTGGTCGAGCTTTCTGCCGGGTCTGTGTCGAAAGTGAAGGCTTTTACCAAGTATCTATTATGTTTTCTTTATCCATGAGAGGGGAACTTTATTGTACTTAATTTAAAATTTTCATACCTAGTATTTGCTGTTGGAAGGAGACTGCTTGGTTGCATTGTTTGCTGTAATGAAGGAAAATAAAAATGTAGGCTTCCCGCCAGTTATTTTGTTTTGATACAAGTGGAACTTCTGCTCTGCCTAGATGTAGAAAATGAAGGTAGCCTCTATATCAAATATTTGTCATTGCTTTATCCCAAAAAAAATTTGCCATCTGAAGAATATAAAGAGATCCAAGTCATCAGGTTAGATAGCGTCATCGCACGAAATTATAATTGGCTGAATCAGACCAGACTATACATAATACATGATAAAATACCTCATGAAAAACACCATCCCAAAAAGGTGCAAACTTGCTGTGATCTGGATCGTTGAAATGCAAAAGTTATGATATGTACCACTGGAAGTCCAATGGGTTACATGGTTTTTAGCCTTTTAGGCGGTAAAGCTTCAGCATTTCTGCCGCCAAAAGCCACGGTGTCCCGTCTACGGTCTACCGGCGGCGCTCTTTTCGGCTTTTCCCCATTTGGCAGAGACGCAGGGTCAGGAAATCTCCGTCCCCAAATGTTCCGACCGGCGAAGCACAAAACGGCTAGGCCCTGACCTAGCAAACAGTCTTTGTAGTTTCTAATCTTTATTTTTTTGGTAGAAAGTTTCTTATCTTTTATGTGTCGGACTTCGGACTTCGGAGATAGTAGAAGCGTAGCACGTCCCTAATCGGAGAAGAAGATGGCCGAACCTTCTCCTTCCCCTCCACCGCCGAATTCAACCACGATTACAGACTTAAGCGTGGACTCGCTGGCTCACTGCGCCAATTACCTCACTCTTCACGACCTTTCCAACTTCTCCATCTCTTGCAAGTACCTTAATGGCGTCACCCACTCGGATTCCGTGTGGCAACGCCTGTTCAGGTTCGCCTTTCCCTTCCCTCTTGCTGCCCTCAAAAGTTTATGCATCTCTCTTCGTTTGAGTCATTGTCTTCTGTAGGATGAACTTAAAATCTGATTTCCTGTTGCTGAATTGGATTGGGTTTAAGCAGAGAGCAATGGCCGCATGTTGTAAGGCCCAATTTGTCGGATAACTCGGGATTCAGGGAAGCTTATTTGGCCAGGAAGGCTGCTGTGCGGCAGTTCAGGTTTGCTGATCCTTTGGTTGCAGACTTCTATACAGAGGCCAAACCTTTTAATCATATCCTATTGGATGAGGACGACATTATCTATTCTCAGGTAATTGTGCTTTTGCATTCATGGGTTGAATGTTTTTCCTGGCTGATCATGTTATTGATCAGGGTAATGTCATTCAAATGATGGGCATAAGTAGTTTGCTAAGGGGCAGAGATTCCATAACTAGACTGAGTGATCATGGAGCTAGAATCACTTGTATGAGGTGAGTGGTCACATGGATAATGGATTTGTTCTCCATCTTAAATGCTGTGAGCCTATGAGGATTGCCTAGTACTTAGATTTGGGTGACTGATTATTTCAGTACGATCTCAATACTATTCAGAGTTCTGTTTGCTTACAGTGTCCTTGTATTGTGTTTCCTCTTGTCCTTCTATAGTGTTTTCACTTGACTTGCGAAGTGCGGCCCAAAGAAAGCAGAGAGTGTTGGTAACCTCAAGCTGTGACCATTCTATTCGTGTGTGGTGGAAGGTATTGTATCAATTACTTTTCATTTGCCACTTTTTGGTTGCTCAAAATCTTATTTGCCTCACACAATCGCACATAATGTGCTAAATATGACAATTTGCATTGTGAGATGTTTTATACACCATTCTTAAGTTTCCTGATGTGGTTTTGCATTGTGGTTTCATGGTTTAGGGTTCTTGCCAAAGATGTCTTAGAGGGCATAATGGGTCTGTTTCGTGCTTGACGGATAGATTTCTCGGCGATGGCAGTTCAACAGTACTAGCAAGTGGTGGTGAAGATTGCACGGTTCGCCTTTGGTCCCTAGGTTCAAGTGGAAAACGTGGACAGCATGCTTTAAAAGCTACTTTTTATGGACATGAGAAACCTATCAAACAGATGTCAGTTGCAGAGTAAGATATCATTTCTTGCCATTGCTCCTCCTCTCAAAACCTTGACTTCAGAAGATACTCCCTTCCCCCCCCCCCCCCCCCCCCCCCCCCCCCCCCTCTCTTCTTCGTATCTTCCAAGGAGTGTGGTATTATGTTTTGTTGTGGCTGATTAGTACGTCATAGTGTAACCTTTGCAATGCTTAGACTGCTGATCTGCTGGTGCCTACTCATTTTATGGTGACACTCGAACCTTTTTTCTCCCATGTTTCTTCAGGCACAATTCTTCCCTCTTGGTTACCATCTCAAAAGATTCTAAGGTAACCTACTAGTGATTTGTATTGGATTCTCGTTACCCAGGTGCCTTGAATTTTCTTGATTCAAAGTCGTGAAAAAAACTGACTATCTTGGTGCTTGCAAAATGTAATAGGTTAGGCTCTGGGATACCACTACACCATCTGCTGTTCGTTCTTCCTGCTGTTTGGGGATGGTTTCTGTGCCTGGTGGTGCACCGATTGATTTGAAATGGTAAGACTCATTGCTTTACGTAGCCTCTGGATCCTCTGTTGTAACGATCGATTTGAGGACCATGCGGAAAGTTGGTACAACAGCAATCTGTCGACAAAACTTATTCTCATTCGCCATGGTGCCTTCAAAACCCTTGATCTGCACGGGTGGAATGGGCAAGTTAGTGCATATATATGGTCACTTGAAAGTTCTTTGTTTTCCCAGCTGTAATCTATTACTTTTTCATCATTGTCTGAACCAAATGTCTTTTGGTATGGTGCAGGAGCTTGATTTGGGACATTAGGAGAAACCAGGAGACATTGAAACCACAATCAGAGGTTGAGCTGGAAGGACCTGATGGTCCAGTAACACAGCTACATGCAGACCGGTACAAGATTGTTACTGGAGGGCCACAGGATAGATTCATAAATGTCTGGGAAGCTGGTACTGGAACACGAACGAATTCCTTTGTCTGTTCGGACCATGAAGATGCAGAAGAAACCAGCTCTGGATGTCTGGTTATGGCTGTCGACAGAGCTCGAATTGCGACTGCTACTAGGGGCGAAGGACATGGGAAGACCACATTAGAGTCTCTAATATACATCAGAGGACTTGAAAGAAGAGTGACATAAATCTGTACTAATTCTCCTCCTTTCGAATGTCTAGCTAAATAGATTTGTTAAAAACAGTTAGAATACATGACAATTGAAGTATGAATAATCGTATTTTAGTAACAAATTCAATGAGTCACCTTATTTTCGTATTAGAATGAAATAAGAAAAATGATTTAATGTGATGCTATCATATGCAGTTCTTTATATTAATTGGAAGATGTAGAATGTTCTCAATGAATGAAGAAATGAATGTAACAGATTAGCTATAGAACCAACTCGTTAGTTTTTGCAATATGTAGTGACTATTTTGTTAGAAGTTCAAACAGTAGTGATCATTTTGTAAAATTAAGAAAGCTGTTGGCCGAGGGTGAACTCTTCTTCACGACGGCGAGCTGAGCTGAGTTTCCTATATCTCCTCCGTCAATTCCCACTCTCTCTTTCAGTCCACCATCGTCCCTAACAAAATGCCCACTACCGTCTTCTTCCTCCTCCTCTTTCTCTTCTCCGCCGCCGCCGGCCCGGTTCCGGGCCTCGACACCTTCCTAACCCACCAATCCCACATCGACCCACAAGCCTCCAACGACACCTTCGAATCCCTCCCTTCTACCCTCCGCAAATCCCTCTCTTCCTTCCCTCACGCCGCCGCTGCCGGCGGCAGAACCAATTCCCTAATCTCCTCCCTCCTCTCCCTGTCGCTCCCGCTCTCGATCAACCTCCGCCTCGTCGGCTCTGCCTTCCCGGCCGACTCCGAGGCCATCCTCTCTTCCTTCTTCTCCTCCGCCCACACCTCCGACCACTTCCACGTCATAACCCCCGATCCCGTCCCACCTCACAGCGGCTCCCACCGCCTCGCCGTCCGCCACACCCCTCACCTCGACGTCTCGCACTCCCCGCCTTCCCTCGCTTCCCGACTCTCCGACGCCATCAAATCCGCCATCGCCTCCACCCCTTCCCCTCTCCGATCAACCCTACTCTCCATCCCTTACGACTCCGTCGACCAAATCATTCGCCAGGAGTTCGATAAGGAGAAGCCCGCTCACGGGATCTATGTCTACTTGATCTCACTGGGTTCTCAGTCCAAGAGCTACGCTTATTCGTATTTCCCTGGCGATTCCTCCCCGGGCTTCACTAAATGTTCCGGTACGATTTGGACGGGGAAGGAGAGATACCTCTGGATTGATCTCTCCGCAGGGCCGGTGGATTATGGGCCAGCTCTTTCCGGCGATGGGGTTTTGCCCCGAGGTGAATTTCACCCTCTTGCGACTATGCACGGCCGGCCCAAGTCACAGAAGGCTCTGCTCTCCGATTTAGCTTCATTGATATGGAGTGCTTATCAGGTACTGCTCGTCCCCTCATTGCGAATTCCGGTTCATTTCGATAGCGCCTTGATTGTTCAGTTCATCCACGTTTATGCTTCGAAGAACGGTAAGGATGCCACTGGTTTGGACTGGAAAGCAATGGAGAGGTCCTTTAGGGATGGAGCTAGTGAGGATGGTTTATTGCTAGGTGATCAGTCTCTAAGCTTCAAGAGCTATGAAGTGAAATATGAGGAGTGTTCAATTTGTTCTTATGCCATTTCGAGATCGATCAATTCGTACACCTCGAGGTTCCTGTTCGATAACTATACATTGATCGTGAGTGAGTATTTGGATTCCAAGAGATTGCACCAGATATTGTCAGACTCGGCTGAAGAGTTCAAAAGGGTAGCTGGAATTCCAGAGGAAGATTACGCCACAGTGCTCCCCGTTTATGTGTTCGATCTCGATTACAATATGCTGCTGTTGCTCGATCGATACCATCAATCCGTTTCCTTCAGAGACATGGTTGTAGCAGTGAGAACAAAAACTACCCAGACAGTGAGCGATTACAGCTGCAATGGCCGACATGTGTTCACTCATACACGAGACCTCGAGCGACCTCTTGTTGGCTCGATTCTCCAGAGCATGTGGGGAGTTTCTCCAACTCACTTGTCATGGAGTCCGCAGCACAACACAACTCTAGTGGACTACACTTGGAGCGTGGGGCAGACACCCTTTGGTCCTTTCTCCGAGTCTTCGACCTTGTCCTTTGTGCAGAAGGATGCAGCTAGGAGAAATGTGCTGTTAACGTCGTTGAATTATAGTATAACAAGTGCGATTGAAGTTCTTGGCTCGATGGAAGCTCATGGCGGGGATAGGAGGCTGCTTAAGGATAAGCAGCATGTGGAATTCGTGCAGCGGTGGAACTTGTTCAAGCATAAGATTGATAAGGCGGTTTCTGCTTTGTCGAGATTGAACTTCGAGATGGCTTTGTATTATTTACGGTCTTCAGACCATGATCTGTATGGCATTCACTCGTTGGTGTATCGTGCGTCGCAGGAATTGGAGGCGTCACTTGCTTGCTTCAAAGATCCGCCGTTTCCTTGGGGATCAGTCTCGTTATCCGCCGGAGGGTTCTTTGCTGTGTGTTATTTGTATGTGAAAAGGGAGAGCCTTTTTAAGAACAAGAGGAAGCAGTTTTGAATGGTTTGGAAGTAGAAGGGGTAGAGAGTTTTTCTTTGTGCATCTTTTGAAAGCACACTATTAGGGTTGTGAGTTTTAAGTTGATGCTGACTTTCTTGGCTCTCACATTGTCATACAAATCTTATACTGTAATTCTGGTTTTATTGCCAAGATCAATTGAGAACGTGCAATGACAGAAAGTCCAATGGAACTCTTGAATCTGGATGCTAGTTTTTGTTGGCTCTGCCTGTTGCTGTTCTGTTCTTTCATGTATTGTTAATCCTTCTACTGGCTCGGCTCTTACATGATGAGAGCATGGATTCTGGGTTTCATCCTTTGTTCTATAACTTTTTTAGGGGATTGGATAGCGTCACAACCCCTAAGAGGGTTGTGAGTTTCACTTCCCAGGTTAGAGCCCTCCATTCCGCTTCCTCTCAGTCCAGCGGTCTAGATTCCTCAGCGGCGATTTTGGTACCAGCCACACTATCTCACACCCCCTCTCTCATCACCCTACATAAATGATGTTTCAAAAAAGAAATAATTTTTTGAGAGAGAAATAATTGTCTTTCTTTTCGGGATGAGATACGGTGACAACCCCCAAGGGGGTTGTCAGATTCACAACCCACTCACTAACCGTTGGATACACTCTCTCTCCTGTCTCTTTCTTCTTTTTTTAAGTTGATGGTTAGGATTAAAAGAAGGGTATTTTTGGAAAGGAAAAATGTTAACACACCCAATCATTCTCCCTCCCATATAAATAAAATAAAAACCCTAACTCCTCCCTCTCCCCCTCATCTCTCTCTTTCCCTCCTCCCTCTCTCCAGACAGCACTGCCGCCGGCCTCCACCACCTGCCGCCGGCCTCCTCCCTCTCTCCACCCACCATCAGCATCTCTCCTCCCACCATCAGCATCTCTCCACCCCCTGCCGCCGGCCTCCACCACCTGTAGCAGCTTCCCATAAGCACCACCACGAAGACAATCAAGGGGAAGCAGTTGTCCCCCCCCTCCCCCCGCGCCCCGCCGCGCCGCTGTCCTCCCCTGCTGCCACCATTTTTATGTCGCCGCCACCGCGAGGTCAAGACTCATCCCTATTTTTTTCCAGATCTGATAGTCTCTACTGGTACCAATACCACTGGTAGCGCTATTGGTACGCTACCACCACTCACTGGTACCAATACCAGTGGCTCCCTTATCATCTGGTACCACTATCATCTGTTTTTTTTTGTGTTATTTGCTACTGGTATCGCTACCAATGCTAGTGGTAGCGCTACCAGTGCTAGTAGCGTTGTGTTATTCTCTACTGGTAGCGTTGTACTGGTAGCGTACCACTAGTACTGGTACATTTTTTACTGGTACCGCTAGTACTGGTACATTTTTTAACTTACTGGTAGCGTACCACTAGCACTGGTATATTAATTACCAGTAGACTAATAGATTGGTACACTTTTTAACGCATTGGTACATTTTTTCAGGTTGCCGGAGGGAGTCTGCCGGAGAGAATTCGCCGGAGAAAAAGTTTGTCGGTCGATGCGGAGTGGCTGCTGGAGAAAGGAAGAGAGAGAGATAGATAGAGATATTAATGTATAGGATTTAAATTTCAGAAAAAAAATTGTATTTAATATGGGTTTTTAATTCCCAATATAATTAATACAAAAAGGTAATTAATATATTTTTTTTCATACCCAAAATACCCTTGGTTGTGAATCTGACAACCCCCAAGGGGGTTGTCACCGTATCCCGTCCCCATTTATGTTATTAATTCAAAATTTTCCATACACAGTCATTCCAAAAAAGCCCTTCATATTTTTGTCAACCGTGAGATGAGAAAGGGAAACGGACGGCTGGAAGCAGAGATTATTAGATGTGCTTATTATTGAAGTGGTTAGTTAAATTGTTGTCCGCACGTAATTGATCATCCTTATTTAAGAATAAAGAGGTCACACTCTAAGACATTAATTAAAACTCATTTGAATAGTACAAGGATTTGATAAAATTATCCATAAATTTTTGGATACAATATACGTAAATTCTTGATTCATGTCTATAATTATCGGACCCTACTAAAGACATACATTTTCATTGTACGTGGCGATCGATAAAAAAATGTTCTTCAAATCGATAATCATCGATCTATTTTATTTGATTTATTGTTGATGATTCTAAAAACTACTCCACACTCCATCTCACATTATACTCTTATGGTAGTCCCCCTCTTGGGGGATCACTATTTTGATGCTAGGTTAACATGAACACCAGAAGAATATTGTTTCTAGATCCCGAGCAAGTTACATGGGAGGATGTGTAATCAAGTAAGTGATGATGAAGATATTTTATGGACGAGATCATAAATGGTAAACCTACAAAGAATTATGTTGCGAGTAATTTCTGAGTACGAGACAAAAAAAAGTGCCGAGATGATAAGTTTTTGCTAGATCAAACGTCCAACAAATAGGACAACAGTGACTTTTGTTGACAATGACATAATCACATGATCCATGAGTTTAATTCAACACTTATCCTAGTCAATATGTTGTTATTTATGAGAGATTGTCAATACCACAATTACAATGCCTATCAAAGCATATCAGAGGGATGCATGGAAAAGATAACATATATATTAACTAAAGCAAATTCATACATCAACAGTTGAGAGGGTTGATCTTCAGCTTTTCAGAGTGCAAGCAATGAGTAATAGGCAAGAGATATTGGCAACCCAATGAGCATCCCAAGTATAACCGATGTGCTCAAAACATCAGGATGAACATTGTACTCTTTAGCAAACACAAATGGAACTATCCCTTGAGGCAGAGCAGCCTGCAACAGCAAAATGGACTTTCTAGTTATTAAGCGCTCAAAACCACAAGAACCCTTGTTTGTATTGGTCTGTAATATGAGAAAACCAGTAAAGGAGTTTGAACCTGAACAATGGCAACTCGAAGAACCGTGCCTCTCAATCCTACAACGACAGAAGAGAGTGCCATTAGAGCCGGCCCTGCAACGAACTTCATCGCCATGGCTGCCACGTCTACCATTCGGATTCTGCAAGAAGTTGCAGTCGCCCTTGACGCCATGAACAGCCCTGTCAAAGATGATAGAAACCCAATTTCCGGGTTTATTCATAATTATCATAATTACTTTAATTAGAATATTATTATATATGGTTAGTAGTATTTGAGTCATAATAGGATAGTCTATTAGGTTTTTCTAGTCTTTCGTTATAAATATATATTTGCGTTTTATTCAGAATCAATCAAGAATGTTAATACGAAATTATCCCAACCCTAGTCTATCTTTCTCCCTCAATCTCGTCCCTCTCTATCTCTCTTCAAAGGCTTCGGCTGTTCTTCTTCAACCCCTAAATTCTTCTTCTAATTCCCAATTCTATTCTAAATCCCTAAATCTCAATCAATTCCCAAATTCCGAAACCAATCGATAGAGCCCTAGAAATAGGTTTCTATCATCTGGTATCAGAGCCAGAATGAGCTCATCGAAGTTCTTCGATCCAGAATGGGTCCGTCTCAGCCAGCGGTTGCAGCAGTCTCTTGACCGCTACGAACGGGAAAAGCGGGAGAGGGCGAAGGGTGCGGCGACGGCTGAAGGCTCGACGACAGCTAAGACAGCTGCGGCTGCGGACGACAAAGAAGCATCGGCGGAGACCTCGACTCTGGTTGCGAGCACTCGTACTGAATCCATGTCAAAATTTGAAGAGCTCTCACTCAGAGAACTTACGAGGGTTTTAAAGTCGAAGTTGGAAGAGGTGACAAAGGACGATGAGACGACTTTACCATCGACTGCCGCAGTCCTGCAATCCAAGGAGATAGTCTCGCTCGCCGTAATTTCCGAGGAGGCGATGTTCCTTGATGTCGTCGACCCACCAGCACTCCTCGATAAAGACAACCGGGCGGTGGAGATCTCCAACGAACTATCGCAGTTTCAGGCGGCTACAACAAAGCCTTCCGTGATTGCGACACCACTGGCGCCATCATCACTACCTGTTCCTCTACTCGACGCCGATGGCGATAACATCAAACAGCCGCAGCTCTTGATGATCACCACCAAACCACCAAGGAAGAAGAGCCATTGCTGATGCTCGAAACCGCCATTGCTGTTATCACCCCACCACCATTGTCAAAGGCCGCAGTCGTAGTCGAGGCGTTGCCAAGCAATTCGGCGAAAGGTGAGGGGAAAAGCTACCTCTAATCCTCTGGAAACAGAGGTTCACAGGAACTGGTGCGAGCGAAAATGCATTTGGAAGAATGGATGGAACAATCAATGTTCACAATCCAATCGGTTGTTTCCTGGAAGTTCAGGAAGAAGATACAAGAGCCCAGAGACGGCTCTGGCTGTGCGAAACCGACGGAGAGGGAGGAGAGGAAGCTATCGTCGGAGCTGCGTATGGTGAGGCCAGAGTCGTTCGTGGCGTCGTCGACCGTTGGAAAGAAGAGGCCGAAGTTGAAGGTGTGGCGGCCGCCGAAGAGCCTGAAGAGGGAGGACGGCGGCGCTGAGCTTCCTCGGCCGTCGACGGAGACGGAAAGGAAGGACGTCGACGTGGCTTGGCTGCTGCTGAAGGAGAAGAGGAAGCTGACACTTGGGATTGGAATCGATCGACGGCGCCGCACAGGACCAGGGCAGAATCGGCGAGCCATCTCGCCCTCGTCGCGAGGAGCGTGGCGGGCGACGGAAGCCTTCGACGAGTCGCTGGTCGAGGAGAAGGAGAGATATGAGTCGTCGAAGGAGGCAACGGCGGAGATGGTGACGTCGATTGCGGAAGACGGGGGCACTAGGGAGAGGAAGACGAGCCGGCGGCGGGTCGCGTCGGACAGGAAGAGTCAGAGAGGAAGAGGGCGCTGACGGCGGAAGTTGAGGAGAAGTGGGCGAGGGAGGTGGGCTGCGTGATGTCCCCAAACCCTAAGCCGTCTCGGGTTGGGCCAGAATTACCAAGTCGATTGGACTAGCGGCTTGGGTCGGATGAGATGGTGGCTACAACCACAGATTGGACAAAAGATAGGCTGGCCTGGGAGGGGTCGAATTGGGCCAAGCAACCTCCACGGGACGGTTCAAAGCTGGGGCTGAGCAGGCCGAATGATAGAGGGAAGTCTGGGCTGCCCTCGTGTCTTCCGGTCCAACGGAGCAAAATGAAGATGGGCCAACAATGTGGGTCGTATCAAGCTGCACCTGGGTTGAAGAACAGTTGTCTTGTTAGATCTCTTCTGCATGAGAATGGGCTGGAGTCAGTGGGCCTCGTGGGCCAACATGATGGGCTATCTTGGAATAGGGCTCATGACTTAGAAGAATGGTTTATTTGTTTAACAGGTGGGCTCTCTAGGAATTGTGGGCCGGGAGCAATTGTGGGGACAATTAGACAGACGAAGAGGCTAAGTGGCAGGAAGATGAACTCAAGTCCAGAGTCTCGACCTCCTTGCAGAACCGAATCAGTATGGGTCGTCGACATGGAGTTTGAAGTTTTTGATGGGTTGATGCTCAAGGACAGATTCTTGTACAAGAAGGAAGCAAATAGTGGGCCCATTAAAGTGAAATTCAACAAGTTGGATTGGCACAAGAGGTCAATGCAAGAAACCCAAGTCGAATTGGAGCATGATTGGAAGAAAAGGAAGCGCAAGAAGTGGAGGAGACAATGCGCGATCTACACGGGAGATAGGTTGAAGAAATGGGTCGAGTCGGTCAACCTTGAGGACAAGGTTGGTTTGAAGGGGGAGGGGATGATAGAAACCCAATTTCCGGGTTTATTCATAATTATCATAATTACTTTAATTAGAATATTATTATATATGGTTAGTAGTATTTGAGTCATAATAGGATAGTCTATTAGGTTTTTCTAGTCTTTCGTTATAAATATGTACTTTGCGTTTTATTCAGAATTAATCAAGAAAGTCTATCTTTCTCCCTCAATCTCGTCCCTCTCTATCTCTCTTCAAAGGCTTCGGCTGTTCTTCTTCAACCCCTAAATTCTTCTTCTAATTCCCAATTCTATTCTAAATCCCTAAATTTCAATCAATTCCCAAATTCCGAAACCAATCGATAGAACCCTAGAAATAGGTTTCTATCACAAGACCAGGATTAGAGGGCACAGCCAAATGGTAGCCAGTTTTTCCCCCCCGGTATTTGTTGTCCCAATTTTATTGCTCATGCTTGGTAAATCACCAAGCTCTCGAAAAGCAAACTGCAGCATCAGCACTACAAACACATCAAAGAGTACAAAACCTTCTACCATAGCTAGGAAGCTAAATGTTGGTGTCATTACCTAAGCTGAACATTGCCATGCCAAGTCCACCTGTTGCCAGTATCATGATGGAGTTGTCGATAACAACTGGAAGCTTTAGCCCCCACCTGCAGACAAAAATGGTAGCAAACAATGTTGTTCAGTCAACTGATAAAGATGATGTTGACCAATGATGTAATGTATAAGATACCTGAACCGAATGCAAGCCCAAACAAAGCCGATCGAGGTAGCATAAAAGTTGGGATTCCTTATCAGCTTGCTTCCAACGATGATGAGAATGGACATTATTGTCTTCTTCACTTCCTTTCCTGTGTTCTCAGAAGCTTCTTGTTCTTGTGCTGCTGCTCCATCCTTTGATTCTCCTTGATCAGAGGCAGAGCCATCCCTATGGTTCCCACCTTGGAGATATACAATGTTGTTAAAGAAGATGCAAAGAAAAATAAGGGTTAGTGTGTCATGCTTAGTCACAGAATTATGATCCTTAACAAATACATTATGTAATATGTTATGGATCTATTTCTAGTTCCTTCGTTAAAATTTTAATCCAAATTCATTACTAGTGAGGTTGACCCATATTTAATAATCAGATTCTTAATTCTTGATTGCATTGTTACAGCAAAAGGTGTACTTGACAAGGGGACTAAATATTAATTAAAGGCATAGTATACAGAATTAGAGATGTATATGTTAAAGACTTGCTTACTACAATAAACTTGGCTAAAAAAAGCATTCAAAACCTTCTACCTGCAACTTCTGGAGAGGGGTTAGCAGTTGCAGCCATGGCAGCATTGACCTCAAACATAAACAGCAGAAAATTGTACCAAACAATGCTCTGCAGGAACACAATCTGAGACAGCAGTGACTCTGCCTCGCCACCATACATAGCCTTCAAAACCGGGACCCCGATGATCAACGTGTTGGGCAATGTCGACAGAGACAGCCCTGTAATGACCAAACTCAGCCTCCAACCTCTGAACCAGAACCTGGTGACCACTCCAATCAACACAATCGCCAGCAGTTTCTGAACGAAATCCGAGAGTAAGAGCCTCAGGCTCATGTTGTAAGGGTTGTTGGCCGAGATGATCTGGAAGGAGAGCAATGGGATGGAGAACTTGGCCACAAACTTGTTGATCCCACCACATTGCTCTGGGGTGAACAGCTTCCACCATTTCACTGATGTGTAGGCAAGTATCATGGCGACATACAGTGGGATTGTGGCTGCAACCACATGGTAGACATCCTTTGAAGATATCATTTGGGTTGGTAGTTTTAATTTGCTCTCTTTAAGAATGTTTCTTTTTGTGACGATGATGATGACTATGATGATGGTTGGAGATATATTGGTGGGGAATTTTGAGAAAATTTGTTCATGGAATGGCTCGTGAGAAGCTAGTTCAAAAGGAAAGGCAGCTTTCAAAAGTTTGTGCTGATGAATCCCAAGACTGGTTGACTGGTGTTTTAATTTATCTTTTTGTTCTTAGTCTCTTTTTGTTATTCTATCGTAAAAAAACTCTTCTTGTTCTTCCTTTCTTACAAGTGACTTATTACTTATCAACCACCAATTTGAGTCGATTGTACAAATTATCAGTAAATGTTGGGTTATTGACAAATGGAACATTGAAGTTTGATTCTTCACAAAGTTGACACTGAAGTTTGAAATAAGTAGTATATAAGAGGGGTTAATTGATTATGTCAAAGAGTATTGTTAGGTTTTCCATACAAAATGTCCATATATATTGATGCGCCAAATCGCCCAGATAAATAATGAAAATTCTGAATATCTTCTTGTTGATTAGCTTATAAGGATAAATGATGAGCAATTTTCAATTGTATTCGATCTAAAGCAGACTCATAACTTGATCAAAATTTTTTTTTTTTTGGTAGAACTTGATCAAATTTTAACTAGTGAGTTTGTCTCAAAATCACCCTAATAACTTCTCCCTCCCTTTACCCGACATTTTCATTCATGTTTGAACTAAATCATACTCATAATTTGATCCTATTTCAACCAACTCAGAATAACCCTAATAATCTCTTCCTCCCTTCACGTAATTGATAGTTAGAGGTTCTATGTGTCTTTTTACTAGTAATTTAGTGACCGATTTGTCAACGATAGCAAAGTATAATGACCTTTTATGTACTTGATCCCACATGCTCTATAGTCTATAATAATTCCTGCAAGTCATATGTTTTTTCCTGTTAAGATGGTTTAGGTTTCATATTTATTTCCCTTGAGTGGCTATGGATCAGCCAAAATTAAGTTACAGATTATCTAGTCTAGTCTAATCTAGTCTCATCATCATAAAATGAGTCGAAAGATAGATTCCTCCATCGTTAGCTTCTTGTTGATATGTCTTTTTGGCTAATGGGACTTTCTTTTGGCAAAGCAAAGCTAGCTAGAAGCATATGCAGGCTGACAGAAAGAACGCTATTTCTATATCTTGTTCATCAGGTTTCCATTCAACTGTTTTTCTAAAACGGCGAGAGAGGGATCCATCTGAAGAAGAAAAAGGAACCAACTCTGGCCCCCGACATTATGAACGGAAAGTTGTTGGATGCTGTCCACCAAGTCCCATGTATGTTCACCCTTTGTATCCGTACAATGTATGCATAATTCGGCAGGTTGTTTGAAGTCGTCGCGTGGATATAAGTCAGAACTCTAAATAAGAGGAATTCGAAATATATGAATTCGAAGTTCAAGAGATTTGAATCCGTGGAATAGAATGGGTTAATATTTTATATATCAATTGTTTTATTTTCCGAATTTGTTGTAAGTTGTACGTGTATTTTAACTATATTTTGAAGGTTGAGAGTATCAAGAACCAGTTGATCCCAATAACTCGAGTTGTTGGGAGAGGTTCAATCGTGGATCATATACCAAACACTAACACGCCCCCTCAAACGAAAGCCACTCACAAGGGCTTGAAGTTTGCACAGGTTTGAAGACAAGAATATCATGTGCTTAACAAATGGGGTCACCGGGAATCGAACACAAGACCTCTCGGTCACAGAAGGCTCTGATACCATGTCAAGAACCAGTTGATCCCAATAACTCGAGTTGTTGGGAGAGGTTCAATCGTGGATCATATACCAAACACTAATAGAGAGGGCAATGACCTCCTCTCCGTATAACTATAACTTATGTCTTCCACTGATTGTTGAAAATGTTATTGTAAGCATTGTGCTTATATTTCCTTAGACTTCCAATCAAATGAATGTTTATGATCATGCAAGTATCTGATTAAAAAAAAATTGCGAGTAAAGATATCAGAAACTTTATTAAGAAGTAGCTTATGACAAAAAGGTTGGCTATGATAAATTACTAAGGCCTAGCTAGGTATGCTACTAATTAAGGAAGGGGGAATAAAGCGGTGAATTGCAAGGGAAGTAATTGGGGAAGTACTGAAAAGAATTTATATGGGGAGTGTGTGAGTGGGAATTTTTTACCAAAAACACATCCTGGCTCTCTCTTGAAGCCTGTCTTTTGTTACCTCAAACTGCAATTTCGTGAGAGGCGATGCAACTGCAAACTTTAGTCTATGCTTATAGCCATAGTACTACTTACATGTTCTTTGCATGTGATTTCTGCAAACTTTTGTATTCATGTTTATGTCAAGCTTATATTGGTCGACCTCGAAGATGTGTTGTGTTCTTTGGAAAGAGGAATAATGACCTCATGACTTAATTCTGTGGGACACGATTGTTCGTAAATTGGACAAACAACTTTGTGCATATTCATCGACAAGTTTTACAATCATGAATACATAAGATGATCATAGACAACAACTTTATCAGTTTGGTTCCCTCTCAATCATCTTCTTGTTGCAATCTCTTGTTAATTCTATCTTATCAATTTCAGATGATAGATGAGTGACGCAATCATTCTTGTTTATCAAACTCCATGTTAGTATATAGAATAGTTATAGGTTTCACTTTGTAATATTTGTTTACTTAAGGTACTGTATTGTAATTTGGTAACATAGGACACACATATATTGTAAAGAGAACAATGTAAGTTTTAACTTTTGGTGAAATAAAATCGATCGTTTCTCTCTCTTACAACATGGTATCAGAGCACTTTCTCTGACTTCGTTTTCTTTTTGCTTCCGCTTCCTTCTAGGGTTTCTGTTCTCGAAACCTTCTTCGATGGCGCCTTCGTTCCAGCCGCCGATACCTCTAGCAGCGGCACTCGCGCCCAACCATCCCTACTACATCAGCTCCGGTGACTCCTCGACGACGCAGCTCGTGTCAATCGTACTCACCGGGCCGAATTACCACTCCTGGGCGAGGTCCATGCGCTTCGGTCTTCTGTCGAAGAACAAACTCGCTTTCATCGATCCAGCCGTTCCGACGCCGCCGCCGGGTGATCCTCTCTACACCGCTTGGCAGCAGTGCGACACGATGGTGCTCGGTTGGATTCTTCGCTCTTTGGCTCCAGACATCGGCCAGAGCGTCCTCTGGCTTGATTCCGCAGCCGAGGTCTGGAGAGATCTCAGCGAGCGCTTCAGCATCGCCGATCTTGTCCGTATCGCCGATCTTCAAGACGAGGTTTTCGCACTCAAGCAGAGCAGCATGTCTGTGTGTGAATTCTTTACCAAACTTAGGGTTCTTTGGGATGAGTTGATGACATATCGTCCGATTAGGTCCTGTTCTTGTGTCCCTAAGTGTTCCTGTGCTGAGTATGCGAGATCTGATTAGATTATTCGGTTCTTGAGAGGTCTTGGTGAGGATTTTGAGTCTGTTCGTTCTTCGATCTTGTTGATGGATCCTCTGCCTCCTATCAACAAGGTTTTCTCCACGATTGTTCAGTTTGAGCGTCAGAATAGGGTTTCCATTACTGCTAGTTCCAATCCTTTAGCTTGTGCTGTTCAGAACACTCAGTTTAAGGCTAATAGTCAGTCTAAGCGTCCTATCTGCTCCTTCTGTGGATTGACTGGTCACACTGTTGACAAATGCTTCAAGAAGCATGGTTATCCCCCTGGTTACAAAGGAAAGTCTAGGGTTAATGCTGTAGTTAGTGAGTCTAAGTCTACTGATGTTTCTGTTTCTATTGAGAACGGAAGTCAAGCTTCCGATTCAGTTGTTCTCACACAGCAGCAGTACCGAGCTCTAGTTGCTCAGCAGTTTTCCATGAGTCAGCCTTCTGCTCCTGTTTCACATGTCCCTGTGGCCAATGCCTTTACAACTGGAGGTGCTTCTACTGATCCTGCAGCACCCTCCTCCTCTGGAGGTAAGTATGTTCTAGCTAGTAGTCATTTGCCTATAGCTGAGGTTTCTTGGGTCATAGATAGTGGGGCATCCGATCATGTCATTTCCAGTTTAGATTATTTTAGTCACTACTCTGCTGTTAATGATATGAATGTTTCTCTTCCAAATGGTGCAAAAGTGCATGTCACTCACATTGGTTCTGTTGTTCTGTTTGATTCCTTAGTTCTTAGGAATGTGTTGTATACCCCTTTGTTTGGGTTCAATCTCATTTCTGTCAGTAGATTAACAAAAGACACATCATGCTCTTTGACATTCTTTCATAATCACTGCATCATCCAGGATCTGGTCTCCCGCAAGCTGATTGGTACAGCTAGAAAGTCTGGTGGGCTTTATTGCTTCACACCTACCTTCAACAGCTCTCTTCCTGCCCCAATCACTGCTTCCTCACCAGATTCCAGTTGTTTTTCTGCTGTTTTTGATACCACTATTAATGACATTGACATTAGCCATTATAGGCTTGGGCATGCTTCCTGTAATCCTTTGAACAATATTATGTCTAAAGATACTAATGTTTTTTCTGATAAAACTAAGCACTGCACTGTATGTCCTATGGCCAAACAGAAGCGTTTGCCATTCATGGTAAGTGAGTCTCACTCTATTGCTTTGTTTGACTTGATTCACATAGACATATGGGGTCCATATGGTGTGACATCTATTGATGGTTATCGCTATTTCTTAACAATTGTTGATGATTTCTCACGAAATACTTGGGTTTACTTAATGCATAAGAAATCTGAAGCTCGTGACTTATTAACTTTCTTTATTAGTCATGTTCAAACTCAATATAATCTTAAACCTAAGGTTATTCGTTCTGATAATGGCCTTGAGTTTCATATGCCTACATTCTATAATTCTTTAGGGATAGTACATCAAACCACATGTGTTGCATCTTCACAACAAAATGGTCGGGTGGAGCGTAAGCAGCAGCACATCATTGCTGTTGCTCGTGCTCTGTTATTTCAGTCTTTTCTTCCTTCCAACTTTTGGAGTCATGCTGTCTTGCATGCTACCTTTTTGATAAACAGACTACCTACTCCTGTCTTAGATAATAAGTCCCCATATGAGTTGCTGCATCACTGTATTCCTGATTATTCAACCTTTCGTGTATTTGGTTGTTTAGCTTACATGTCTACTTTAGCACATAATCGTCCTAAATTTGATCCTAGAGCACACCCTTGTATTTTTTTAGGTTTCCCTTTTGCAACTAAAGGTTGCAAACTTTACAATTTGGTTACCAAGTCTTTATGTGAGTCTCGTGATGTGGTTTTTTCATGAAAAGATTTTTCCCTTCTTTTCAAAAGATTTCTCTCCTGTTTCTTCTGATTTTGTCTTTCCTGTTATCTCTGTCTCCTCAATGGATACCATTGCATCTCATGGTGTTAGTGATAATCCAGAGACTTCTACCGGTTCGGCACCCGACCCACATATCTCTCTTCCTCCTTCCTCCATTTCTGATTCTTCAAATGATGATGATGGAGTAGCTCCTCCTGAGTATCCTCCATCTTTCGATGATGAACCAGATCCTCGTCCCACACGAAAGAGGCAACAACCTCTTAAGCTTCGTGATTACATTTGTAATTCCGTATTTGATTCTAACATTTCTTATCCTTTATCTTCTGTTTTATCTACTAACAAACTTGCTGATCACCACTCCAAGTTTGCCTTTGCTGTTTCTACAGTTTTTGTTCCCAAAACATACAAAGAGGCATCCCAACATGACAAATGGAATGCAGCTATGGATCTGGAAATAGATGCTCTGCTTCGCACAAACACATTCACTGTCGTACCTAAACCACCAGATGTTAAACCCATTGGCAACAAATGGGTTTACAAGGTAAAATTTCATTCCAATGGTACAGTTGAGCGAGAAAAAGCTCGACTCGTTGCCAAAGGATATACACAAACGCCAGGAATAGACTACTTAGATACTTTCTCCCCTGTAGCTAAGTTAACTACTGTTAGATCATTACTTGCTTTAGCCTCCATTAAAGGATGGCATTTACATCAACTTGATGTAAATAATGCCTTCCTTCATGGAGATTTAGTAGAGGATGTTTATATGAAGCTTCCTTTAGGTTTAAAACTACCTGGTGATACTTCTAACCTTGTTTGCAAACTCAATAAATCACTTTACGGTCTAAAACAAGCTAGTAGACAATGGAATCACAAATTAACTGAATTCCTTCTACAAGCTGGTTATGTTCAATCCAAAGCTGATTATTCTCTATTCACTAAACATCAAAATGGGTTGTTCCTTGCTGTTTTGGTGTATGTTGACGACATTATATTGGCTGGTGATTATCTTAGTGAAATTGAGTCACTTAAACAAAAGTTAGATGCTGCTTTCAAGATAAAAGATCTTGGCAATCTTAAGTATTTTCTAGGTCTTGAAATAGCTAGAAATGAAACTGGAATCTCAATCTGTCAAAGAAAATATGTGTTAGATTTGTTACAAGATACTGGTTTGCTTGGAACTAAACCTGTTCCTACTCCTTGCAACCCTGGTGTTCGTCTTTCTATTAAATCTGGTGTTCTTTTGGATGATCCTTCTGTTTATAGGAGATTAGTTGGACGTTTGTTATATTTATGTAATACCAGACCTGATATTGCGTTTGCTGTCCATCAATTGACTCAGTTCATGAGTGCACCCACTGACCTTCATTTGGCAGCTGCTCACAGAGTGCTCCATTATTTGAAAGGTTCACCTGGGCGTGGTTTATTTTTCTCCTCACGAACTGATCTTACTCTTAAAGCTTTTTCTGACAGTGATTGGGCAGGTTGTCCTGATTCCCGGAGATCAACAACTGGTTTTTGTGTTTTCTTAGGCAGCTCCTTGATTTCGTGGCGATCCAAGAAGCAACAAACCATCTCTCGATCATCAACCGAGGCTGAGTATCGAGCCATGGCTGATTTAACTTGTGAAATCCAGTGGCTACACTATCTGTTTGCTGATTTAGACTTGTCTTTTCATAAACCTACAGCTATGTTTTCTTATAGTCAATCTGCTATTAGGATTGCTGAGAATCCTGTTGCACATGAGCGTACTAAGCATATAGAGTTAGATTGTCATCTAACCCGTGATAAGCTTGCATTTGGTCTTATTAAATTGTTACATGTTTCTACCATTAATCAGATTGCTGACTTATTTACGAAATCTCTGCCTACTGCTGTGTTTTCAGGCCTTGTGTCCAAGCTGGGCACTCTTGACATCCATGCTCCAGCTTGAGGGAGGGTGTTAGTATATAGAATAGTTATAGGTTTCACTTTGTAATATTTGTTTACTTAAGGTACTGTATTGTAATTTGGTAACATAGGACACACATATATTGTAAAGAGAACAATGTAAGTTTTAACTTTTGGTGAAATAAAATCGATCGTTTCTCTCTCTTACAACACTCCACAATTAACAAATTAGGAATCAAATGTAGATAAGATAATAACTAATTTATTGAACATTAACAAATATTCAAATTGCACAAATACAAGGTAATGATGTGCTTTACGCGTCTCTTGTTTATAAAGAAGACTAAGGTGGTGGGCCAAAAAGGCTTGCAAAATATGGCAATGAGCACAGCCCATCATGGAAGCCCAACACCCGTTAATATACTCTTATAGCATGTCCATAGGCTGCAAATGAGCCAAACCGCTAGCGAGCAACTCGGCGTTCGAATCAGAAAAAACTCGTTCAATACTCGGCTCATTAGTTAACAAGTCGGCTCGCGATCCGACTCGTTACTAAACGAGCCAAGCTTGAGCTAGCTTGATTCGGTGGCTTGTTGAGCTAAGCTCACGAGCTGGCTTATTTAGAGCTAGTAGAATGATTAATTACTCTTCTGAACATGAACATTATCTTGTTAATACGAATGTGTATGGAAGTTAACTGTTATTTTTAGTTTCTAGTGTTCTTTTTATCATTGAAACTCATATGTGTACACATTTTTCAGCAAGAATGATTTCAGATCGAGCTCATCTTGAGTCGAGTTTGTACTCAGCTTGACAACATGTGTTAATGAACATTTACCGAGCTATACCGAGTCGAGATCGAGTTGTATTATTTTTAATCGAGCCGAGCTCGAGCTGGATTATCAAAATTCGAGTTCGAGCTGAAAAATTTACAAACAAACCGAACATAAGTTAAGCAAAACTCGACTCGACTCGTTTGCAGCCCTACATGCAGGGGCGTAGCCAGGATTTCGACCAGGGTGGGTCCACTTTGAAAAAATATATATGATGAAATAACTTTTGTTAATTTTTTTAATTATTCATAATATAATTTTATATTTAAAATTTTTTATAAAATAAAATACATTAATAGTCAAAACTATTAAGAATATCACTCTCTCTATATACCAAACATTTATTCATAATTTAGTTATTCGGTCGCTTTCGAATGATGTTATTTGCCAATAATTATTTACTATAGGTTTAATAATGAATCTTATACAAATAATTATTCATGATTTAGTTATTTGTTCGCTTTCGAATTGTGTTCTTTGTCAATAACCATAGTATCAATAACTAGAGTTGTTGGTTGAAGTTCAATAATATATTTTATACCATTTACCAACATACCCCGTTATAAGAAAATCAAATTATGTGGAATTTAAGTTTGCACAAATTCGAATACTATATGTGCTTAATGAATGAGGTCGTCAAAACTAGAACACAAAACCTTTCGATCAACGATTATCAATTAAACATACTCTAATTTTCCGAATCAATTAATTGTTATACCTAATTTAGTCCTTTTTTTCCCGAGCTAGGGTGGGTCCCGGGACCCACCCATTTGCCCTCTCCCTCCGCCCCTGCCTACATGTCCATATACAACGGTACGGTATATCAACCATTAGAAAGCAACGGTGTTTCACCCTCTCCGCTTAACTCCATGTTTAGTATTAATTCTCGTTAATCAGAAAATTAGCAGCAGAGCTAAATATAGCTCACGATTTATTTTTAGTGCATAATATTCTCATATAAATAAATTATCTCTGCATCACCCAGAAAAAAAACATAACAATAAAATTTTCTACTTCTTTTGTGGCTTTCAAATAAATAAATAAATTTCCTTTTTCGTTGCGCGACTTCCAGACGAAAGGGGAAGACAGACAGACGACGGAGAAGATGGCGTCAGCAAAGATGGCTCTGGTTCTGGCCGTGTGCTTAGCCGCCGCAATGATCCAGACGTTGAACGCGGACCCGGCCGTGTACGACCCCGTTTGGCAGAAGCGCGCCGAGGAAGCCAAGAAGAACACCATGAATGCTTACATACCGGACGTCATGGAAGTCAGCAACGACAAGAACGCCGGCGACACCACCGTCGTCGTCGAGTCCGCTGCCGGACAGGCTCCGCTTGCAGCTGTCGCCGGAGGTGCCGCCACCAGCCCTGCTCCTGCAGTCGCGGAGCCAACAGGCGACAAGAAAGTTAGTGGCAATTAATGTTGTTTAATGATGACACACCTTGTAAAAAAAAATAATTAAGCTTGAAATGGTGAACTAATTCCATTACCTAATCAAAGCTTTGTTTTAATTTGAATGTTCTGCGATCTGAAGATTTGAATTCCATGATTCCATTTTATTACCTGCTTCCGTTGTCTATAGTATGTGCTTTTGCATGCACGTCTCCAGATATATATAGTTCTACATATCAACACCTTGTTAATTGTTACAAGAACGAAACCGAATGAGCGGTTGACCGTCAAACTAGTTACATTATGATTACTAGAATATTAGGGATGGATCAAAACGGTTGGACATGAAACCATATGAAATATCACAATTTGAATGGTCCAGTACTTTGATTTACCATTTTTACTACACAAAAAATATTTTAACGTAAACTAAGACCATATAACCTGAATTGTTAATTTTATTTATGCTTCATTTTCTTGTTTCTTAATCTTCTTGTCGGCATTACATGGTCCATTACTGATTGCCACCCTAATTAGTAACTTCAATGTAATAAAAATATATTTTGTGAGGCATTTTGGATGATTTGTTAGAACTGTTCGCGATGGATGATATTCTTTTGAAATTGTTTATGGTTAATAATAAATTCAGTCAAAATTAGTGTATCATATATGTATTTAATGTCATAATGCACCAAATGTTCCGACAACGGTAATCAACTGTTTCATAACAATTAACCTTTTTTTTAACATAGACAGTAGCTAGGTAAATCCCTAGCCAATACAGAGTCAAAAAACAAAAGATAAACACCGTGCGGTAGTCGACAAATAGTCGAACTTCCGATGAAAGGGCCTGTTATGCCACAAAATGGGCAGCCCTATTAGCAGTTGTACCTGCAAAATGAGCAAACACATAGCCGCAAAAGATAGAAATCTATAATCTCAAGCAAAACGCTTCCTCGTCGAGGATTAACCAACCGACCACTAAATGTACCAAGCAGGAAAGCCATTCCCACCAACAACAGAGTCTAAAAACACAAATAAAAAGTGTATCTAGAATGCCTACTGAAAATGCAACCATTCCTTTGAGAAAGCCATTTAATTTGTTATAGAGAACAAGAAGTGAAAAAGTGCAGAAAACAGGATGCAACCACAAGCAAGGGATAAACACATCCCTAATTTCCAACCATAATCAGAGAACGACGGAAATGGGACCAAAAACACAATAGAAACTAAATAAAAAGGATAAGAGACTTGATAAATAAAAAAACTCAAGGAAAAGAAGTTTAGAACGTGGCAAACTCAATCAAAAAATAAACAAACGTGCAATTATGATAAGGAAAATGAAAAAAAATGAAAACGGTAATTATGAAAACCGGAACACAAAAAAGAATTAGGGAGAAATTAAAAATACTTATCTTGGGACGGTTGAAATCCACTGGGAGTTGTAACCATCTGCCCACGAATGAGAGAAGCAACTGCAAAAGATTGTAACCGTCGCGCTTATTGCGGCCGCCGAAAAAGTGGCCATCCGTCGGAAAGATTCGCCGGTCCGGGGACCTCAGCCCGCAACTCCTTTGAGATCCTGCAAAAAGAGAGGTAGAAGCCCCCGGAAAAAGAATTTTATGGGTGAAGGAAAGTCGGAATCGGCGACGCACAATGGCGTCGGCCAGCAAACTGCTGAAACGTACGGTGGCAGAGGCGAGGATGGGTGCATATTATCCCACAAAGGCCTTCAGATCACCCAGTCCACCACTGCATGGAGACGCTTCTGTAAACGGATCGGCATTTGGAAGGGGATCTCTTGGCACGCTCTTTCTCGTCCTCTTGCAGTTTTATCCCCGGGCACAATATTCTTCATGACAATATCCCCCAATCTCTCAGGGTAAACCGAGACACGATGCCACTGAACAGCACATCGATTCTCATAATCTCTGGGCTCCTCATTCTCCAGAGGCCTACGGTTATTTCGAATCCCTCCGGTTCCCAGGGAGAGCAGAGTCACCGTTCTCCCGCCCTTACGATTAACCTTTGAAGCATAAATCACTAACTTTTTTGGTTCAATATTGAATTCTATTATAAATGCATAGACTATCAAATAAGAGGAGAGGATCATTTTTTCTCAAAACACATGCGATAAAATTGAAATGATATGTAAGAAAGTGGTTAAGTACCATATATGGACCTTCCCAACAACTCGAGTCATTGGACCAGTTGGTTTATGACATGATATCAGAGCTGGTTTGTCCATGAGATCACATGTTCAAGTCCTCAGTCCTCACGACTCCCAATATTAATCATTTTCTTAAATCTACCAATACTTATAAGGCAATGTCAGAAAAAGGAGTCTGACACGTAAGCCTCTGCTCGCTAACCCGTGCATATCGGGAGGTCTCTTTAGTAAATTCCTCATTTTCAATTGTTAGTTTTTATTTTCGTTTTTTATTTGTTAGTTTGCCGCTGAAACTGATATTCCATCTCTTTCTTCGTTCCATATCGGCGACAATGCATATGAGCATATCCCACCACAACTTCTCTCTCTTCCATCTCTCCAGTATTGTGCTGGTCTCCTCGCTACTCTGGAATCCGGACTAATTTTTGTGTTCTTCCTGCTCCTGTAAGCAAAGTAGATGGACTTGCGTCTGCTTTAATATTTTAAAAGTTTAATTGCATGGCAAAATTTGTTTTTTCTTTCTTAGGATTACATTGATTTTTTATTTTTATTTTTATAGATACATTGCATTTGTTTAATTAACTTTTAATCTTCTTAGGATTTGTCGGGCGATGAAAAAGAATTGTATTCAAATTGTTGACGGTGAAGCAGGGGTTTATAAAATGATGAGTTCTCAGTTTAAGTAGGAATTACTAATATGTTACCATTGTAATTGCCCTTCATTTTATGGTTGTCAATGTTGCCTCTATTTCCCTCTTCCCAAATTAAATTAACTTTCTGTAGTGAAGCAATTTCAACATAGTACAACAAAGTACAGTAAAAAGCTATAAACTTTTGCAGGGTATAAACTACAGCTTTTTGCTAAATAGTTTGCCACTATAGAAATCTTTTTAGATAAGGATGGTACAATTTTTTTAGTACTATTTACAGGATTCAAATCTTACCTCTATAGAAATTTTTTATTTGCTTCGGTTGATAGTTATTATTTATTGCATTGATACAGTCATTGTCTTATACCCGAAGGTATATGCTGCCAACTATAGTTTGATTTATGATGGTTGATTGTATCAATAAACATTTAGTGGCTCCTTTTTTGTTGGTCTGTGCTACACTCTTTTAAAAATATTTTATTGTTGTTTATCTTTTAGGGAAGTTTGCTTTGTGTATTTGAAAAATGAGAATTTTGATAAAGTTTAGATTTTAATATTCATATATTTGAATTGAATTTATTGGCATTATGAATTTAATAGAGTTTACTATTTGCTTATTGAAAATTTGGGACTAGATAGTGTAACAACACTTTTTATGTTGTTATTGTAACAACACTAGTCCCCAACCAATAGGAAGCTAGGATTGTGATGACTTTTTATTAGATGAGTTGACCTAGTGTAAAATCAAAACAGGGGTATAATTGTCATTATGAAAAATCTATTTAAATAAAAAATAAAACAAATAAAAAAATTTAAAAATATTTTTTTATTTTCTGCCCAAAAATTTGGTCGCCGGAATCTGGTCGCCGGTCACCGGAATATGCTTTTTTGTCGCTGGAATATGCTATTTTGTCATCGGAATATGCTCACCGTCGCCGGAATATGCTTACCGGCGTCGGAATATACTTACCGGCATCGGAATCTGGTCAGCGGGGCCGGAATATGCTTATCGGCGCCGGAATCCGGTCACTGACGGTCATCGGAGTTTGGTCAACGAACTTCGTTGACCGGTCAATGGTCTTCGTTGACCGGTCAACGGTCTTCGTTGACCAGTCAACGGTTAACGACCACCGGATGTATGGTCTACATTGTGAGATTTATGGTTTGGTTTCACACATATTTGTATGCCTTTTGTGGTTTGCTTTATTGTGTTTGTGGTTTGCATTGAGAAGTTTCTAGTTTGCTTTATCGTGTTTATAGTTTGCATTGAGAAGTTTCTGGTTTGCTTTCAAAAAATTTGTGTTTTGCATTGTGGGGTTTTTGGTTTGTTTTAGGAGATTTGTGGTATGCATTAGGAGGTTTCTGGTTTGTTTTTGTGGTTTGCTTTAACGTGTTTGTGGTTTGTATTATGAGGTTTCTAGTGTGTTTTTGAAAATTCCGTGGTTTGTTTCGTGAGGTTTCTGGTTTGTTTTAATATATTTTTGGTCTGCATTAGGACGTTTCTGGTTTGTTTTTGTGGTTTGATTTACGATGTTTATGGTTTGCGTTATGAGTTTTCTGGTGTGCTTTCAAAATATTTGTGGTTTGGTTTGTGATGTTTCTGGTTTGTTTTAGGGAATTTGTGGCATGCGTTGGGAGGTTTTTGGTATGTTTTTTATGGTTTGTTTTACTGTGTTTGTAGTTTGTTTTATGAAGTTTCTAGTGTGTTTTGTGGTGTTTTTGGTTTGTTTTAGGAGAGTTATGGTTTGTATAATAAGGTTTTTTTGTGTGATTTAAAAATATTTATGGCTCACTTTGTGGTGTTTATGTTTTGCTTCACGAGACTTATGTTCTACATTAGGATGCTTTTGATACATCATTTACCCGATGTGAATACGTCTGCTTTCTTGTACTATTTTTGTGTAGATGTATGAATGCGTGATTCAGTAGTAGTACTATATATACTTGTGTAAATGTAGGGTCTTGTTTCATGACCTAATTATAGTATGAGGAAGACTGTTCACCAAGAAAGGAGAAAAAAACCTAGTATAGGCAAAAGCTAATTGATCTATCTGGATCTTCTGTAGCTGTCCGTTCCTGTAGGGCAGCAGGAAAATAATGGTGTGGAAGAAGGGTTTCATGGATGATACTATTTGAGAACAGAAGAAGAATTCAGCTCGTGATGATGATTGTTCTAATTGAGCTCGGGACGACTTGCTGATCAGCGACCAGTTCCGCGGGCCGTGCTTCTCGACGAGGCGCTGGAGCTTGTCGTCTTCCTCGGGGCTCCATGGACCTTTGATTCGATCTATATCTCTTCCTGTAATAGCCATTTCGGTGATATTATCACAAAAGCGAGGGAATAGAATGGAGGCTTTGGCCGGCGGTTGAGATTTCCCGATGGCCGGTAGAGAGAGAGAGAGTTGGTTGTTTGGAGAGGGGATAGAGGAGGGGAGAATAACAGGACACGTGCTGCTGCTGGTTGTGGCGCCCGGCGCCGCCACCGTCGTAGGAGTAGCTGTCGGCGGTGGTGGGGTAGAGGAGAGCAGGGAGGTGCGAGACGGCGGAGGGCGGCGAGCTCACCTCCTGGTAAGCGCTGCTGCCGCTGCTCATCGCCGCGGTGGAGCGCGGCTTCTTGGCGGAGGAGGTGGCGGCGGTGTTGTTACTCGCCATGCAGCCGTTCCCGCCAGCACCCACGCCGAACTTCTGAAACACTCGGGAGATCACCCACTCGTCCTATTCGATCAAAATGGGAAATATTAATTTAATTTTTATTTTATTAAATATATGAGTATATTTACCCTTATACCCTTAATGAATCCTGTTGTTAGTATAACAACACCTATACTATCCGGACCCCAGTGCAACCATTGCATTTGCAAGTTCTGGGAGTCCAACCAAAATGAACTTTGGGACAAGTCGACAATACATCTTCACTAAAACTATTTTAGCGCGGTAAATTTTTTATGACCGTCTATTATTGGGACAAATCATGACTGTCTATCATATACTACATGAAGCAAGATAGTTTGTTGGATGTATTTCGACGAATCATGACCGTCTATATTGTTTCTAATTGAATTGAACTGAGTGTTTGAGATTTATAGAATTTAGGCATAGATTGTAATATTTAATGGTATGTTAATGTATAGTACTATATCTCATACTCCGATCTACTTAAAGTCTATATATATATATTTTTTTAATGAGATATAGTAATATATTCGATTTTACTGAATATACGATAGAATAATTTTTATCATGAAAGAATATTACATACTTGGCATTATATATGACTTCCAAGTTTAACTTTACCTGCATTCCTTATCTTGCTTACCAAGGAGAAAAGTTTATATCATTTTAGAGGATTAGATAAAATTAATATATTACTTATAAATATATTTTATTGAAATTATCGATAGTCCGGCCAACGGCCGGGCACTAAGCTAGTAACATGGTATGCCTGAGGTTGTGCAAACTTCAAGCCCATGAATTAGCTTTCGTTTGAGGAGACGTGTAAATAAGTAGTTAAGTATCATGCATGAATCTGTCCCAACTCCCTAACAATTCGAATCGTCTAGATCCTTACGATTCCATTAGCTTGGAGTTGGAGAGAGGCTTATACTTGATGGTGGCACCAAATACTTTGGTCCTTTGTTCACGTCAAAACATGTCCAAAACGATTCAAACCAAATCGTAGCCTTGCAAGGTCACTGCGATGACATGCTCGCCAGCTCGTGTACAAAGAAGAAACACAAGAACTAAGACTAGGATACTAAATGATCGTATAATAGACTGTAGTATACTGAACATGGTTTGGTACACGATTGTATTCTAGGTTCGGGTTCCATAGCTTGGACATTTGTAAACAACCAATTTTGTATTAAATATTTAGGGCGTGAATTATTAACTCCCTTTTGTAATAGCAACACATTCTTTACGATGTGGTTATGAGATATATATCTTGCCATTTATAGTTGTATACTACTATACTACCACACTATATATGGTATGTTTCCACACCGTCATGATATAATTTTTTGTACACTATAATATGTTGACAAAAAATTCTTTATCAAATCATTTTTTAAAATAAAAAGTAATTTATTTTTTATATGAAACAAAAAAATTGAAATCCAAATTAAAATGAATGAAACATAATAGGAGAATAGTTATGCAAAGGTTAGTAAGCACCAAGTTTGCTCTAAGAGAAAACATATATATCTATGACCATTTACTTATTGAATTAATAGTTGTAAGACGCTACGATTTGGTATTTAACCCACGCTTTTATTGTCAACTTGTATGATGACTCACAATTGGGGTGTGCCGAGTGTTGGAAGAGCTATGCTAGAAGAGGTCAGATGACTTGCTCGGCAAGTCGACTTCTGTTTTTCGTTTTGGCCTCCTTGGAGTTTTAACAGAGCTGCCCATCTTGTGGCTAAAGAGGCTCTTTCATTGGTAGTTCGACTATTGGTCGATTGCCTCCCGTGATTGTTTTTATGTTTTCTAACTATGTGATTGAATGATTATTCGTTCGTCTATGTTAAAAAAAAAGAACGAAAACTCGTCAACGAAAAACGGGAAGGAAAGGATCAACAGGAAATCAATGGGAAATTGAAACCAATGATAAACAAAATCTAAAAATAAGATTTACTTTAATTAAATTTCAACAAATACTTAAATTGGATTCGGTTAGTGTTTCCTTTGAGGCTTTGAAAATGATTCTACCACAATATGACCAATTATTTCCACGAGGTTTCAACTGTGAAAAGAGAAAACAAATGGTAGCCCACCAAACTCTCTCCGCCTTCTAAATTAGGCCACTCTTGTTGCTTAATTAATATCCACATGGAAAATTTAAATTGTTTTTCATATCTTGTGCTTGATCTATTATTATTCCTATTTAACCCTTATTTTTTGTGGATATGGTTGTGGTGCTATCTTAAACTTTTATCATCTTGCATGCACCCCCAGAAACATATCCCCTTTCTCATGTCATCTTTCTGGGTACCTCCAGGATTACTTTGATATTCCCAGATTTTTCCCCTTTTCTTTTAAGCTTTAATTCATTCGTTCATTCATGAGATTTATAAAATTAAATTAAAAATTTAAAAAGTCATTAAAAGAAAAAATTGAGGAAGAGGTGGAGTTTTTGTAAAAAAGGAGAAATAAAAAGAAAATAATATAGGCAAGTTGTGGTGAAAGAGATAAAATTATGGTGAAATATGTGTTCATCCTGTTCTTCTCTTTCGCGACAATAGTTCCGTGTTTGCTTGCAAATATTGCATATTATGATGACGTGTGGCAAAAGAGGGCGGAGGAGGCTAAGAAGAACACCTTGGAGGCTTACGTTCCGAATCCACTAGAAACGGATGAAGATGCAGACTCTCAATCTGTGCATATGTATGAACTTTCTTTTACAAATGTTATCTCTCAACTTCTTTGAATCACGCAAACAACAAAAGAAAAGGATTTTGCGACTTAAAACCAGTGTCACCAGAGACAACAAAATATTTGCTAAATCTTATGGCGCAATTATTTTGTTGCTTTTAGCATATACCATTTTTTCCATCACAAATCTCTTTTGCTTTCTTCGTTGATTAAAAAGAAAACTATTTTTCTTATGGTACCTAGCATCTTATTCTTTTCACTAAATTTTAACTTTTGTATTTACTCAATGACGAATACATCTAATGTTTTTCTTCTTTCTCTTGGGTTGCTTTGTTAATTCTAGTGGCTCCCCTCCACCTACATCAATGGGTCCGTCATCGAGTACGGGTGTTGTAGTGATCAAAGGTGGCGACAATAATAATAATAGCAGCACCGACCAAACCGTCCCTGAAAGTGAAGTAGAGAATAGCGGCGGTGGAAATAGCAACACTACGAGGAGAGGTTTGAGGCAAGGCAAGACCATGTACAGAGGGCCATGCGAGAAGACCAATCCCATCGACAAATGTTGGAGGTGCAGGAAGAACTGGTCAACCGACCGACGTCGTCTGGCCAAATGTGCACTTGGGTTTGGTCGCAAAACCACCGGAGGGGCAGATGGGAGGCTCTACGTCGTCACCGATAACAGTGACGACGACTTCCTGAACCCTAGGCCGGGGACTTTGCGCTATGCAGTGATTCAAAGGGAACCATTGTGGATCATATTCGCGCATGATATGAACATCAAGCTGAACAAAGAGCTTATCATGGCGGGAAACAAGACCATCGATGGCCGTGGAGCAAACATCCACATCGCTTATGGTGCAGGCATTACGATACAATTTGTTAGTAATGTCATCATCCATGGGATTCACGTCCATCACGTTGTGCCCACGAGCGGGGGCTTGATCAGGGATTCGGTCGATCATTTTGGGTTTAGAACTCAAAGCGACGGCGACGGGATCTCGATTTTTGGGTCCACTAACGTTTGGATCGATCATGTCTCGATGTCGAATTGTACAGATGGTTTGATTGATGCAATTCAAGGATCTACCGCCGTCACCCTCTCCAACTGTCATTTCACCCACCACAATGATGTAAGTGCATCTTTATTATTGGTAAATTATATATGATTCGGAATTGAACATCTTCTCACCACTTGAGTCATTGGCAACAAGTGATTCTTGACATTGTATCATAGCCTTTTACGATTGAAAGATCTTGCGTTGCAATACCGAGGACCGCCGTTTGTTAAGAAAATGGTATTCGAACCTGTGCAAACTTCAATCCTTTATGAGTTGGCTTTCTTTTGATAAGGCGTGTCAGTAAATGAGAAATGATCCAAACGTTCAAAATTGAAATTCTCCCAACAAATCGAGTTATTGGGACCAACTGGTTCTTGATGCTTATAAGTTTTGGATGAATTTCACCCACCCACAATGTGAGTATGTGACAAGCTTAAGCCATTTTCTCACTCTTGAACAGGCGATCTTGTTGGGGGCAAGTGATAGCTTTTCAGGAGATCAATTCATGCAGATCACAGTTGCATACAATCATTTTGGACAAGGGCTGGTGCAGAGAATGCCAAGGTGCAGATGGGGTTTCTTCCATGTGGTCAACAATGATTACACCCATTGGCGTTTATATGCTATTGGAGGTAGCCAACATCCCACCATTATCAGCCAGGGCAATCGCTTCATCGCCCCGCCCGAGAAGGAGCTGAAGCAGGTAACTAACTTATAACTGTGAGGTCAAAGTTTGAAAATGATGAAGCTCTTTTAATTTATGGGGTTCTCTTGCAATGAATTAATCTTCGAGTGATGTTATGAACGAGTTAATTTTGCACGACATGTAGGTGACCAAGAGAGACTATGCAGCAGAATCTGAATGGAGGAATTGGATATGGAGATCAGAGGGTGACTTGTTCATGAATGGAGCATACTTCATTGAATCAGGGAATCCAAGTTTGAAGCCAAGACCAGCTAAGAAGTTCATGCTCAAGCCAAAACCAGCAGTGTTAGCGACGAGGATGACGAGATATGCTGGAGCACTTGAGTGCAAAGCTAGGCAACCGTGTTAGGCAAGTTGAAGCAATCAAAACAAGAGAAAGAAGCCTTTAAAAGAAGGATGTGATGGATACATGATTTGTACATTAAGAAAATACTCTATTTGTGATTGGTGACGAGGAGGCTCCAAAGGCCAGATTCTTTTTTTTATTTATTTCGTTGTTGTTTATTTTCGTGTTGTATTCGAAATTCATTTTTCTATATATCTTGTTGTGATTTTGCCGTTGTTGGAAGTGGGTTGATACAATCATACAAATTATAGGAAAACAATGAAAAGGTATACATGTTATTTTATGTTCTAGAATCAAACAATCCTTTTTGTTTCCCAAGAATGATGAATAATATTTCATATGATCGTCATTTTAATACCAAAGCCATTTATGAAGTGCTCTTATTAAAACTAGCTAGCATGTGTTCTTATCGTACTCAATTCTTTCGTTCAATATCAAGTCGTACTCAATTCTTTCATGTTCCAAATTTGATCAGGCACAAATCAAACTCGATTCGTCCATTCAATCGGAAATTTAGGAAAACACTATCTTGCCATGAATAACACTCATTTTATTATCTCTAGTTGGCCTGTTTAAATCTCTTCATATCCAAAATGATCATTAAAAAAATCAAGTTGACAACTGAATTCACGTATCAAATTATGTTTAATGATAAATATTTTAGAGCCCAGAGTGATCCTATCTCTCAAGTTAGCAAATTTTTTCTCAAATGAATGTTTTTGCAATCCCTGCTATTTTTTTATTCACGTCGAAAATATTTATGAACATTAAATTACTATTAAAAATATATTATTTAATTGACAATTTCCTGTTGTAAGAGTATAAAATATTTAAATTTATTAATTATTTATTTTTAATTGTCATATCACCACTTTAAGTCTAAAAATAACTATTGACCGCCACATATGACACATTTAATGGAACTAGACGAGAGTGACCACAGATGATATAAGTGTGTAGTTTTGATGGCAAATTTGAAGAATTTTTTTTTCGAGTGAGAAATGTGAAACAAACTTGTAATATGAGTGACCAAACTTGCAATTCATCCTATCATAAGATCATGTAACAACATCCAAATGTGAATTTTCAAATCTGTTCATCCAAAAATAAATTTAAATATATGTAAATATCTAGCTTACCAAAATCAGTTCGGTCTGACATGTAAGTACCTGTACTTGATTGCTTTTACTGAATACATATTAGAGTTTATTGTGAACCCGACGCTTTAATAATTTAATACTAAAATTGAAATCTATTTGTCTTAAAACTTGAATATTTTTTGTTAACGATCTGCTTAGCTTTTTAAAATAGTTCGGCTTGTAAACTCGAATCACAGAATAAAAAATATATGCTACTATATTGTTATATTCATATTTAGAAATTAGATATTTTTAGAAAAATAAGAGACACTTTCATCAACAAAAGAGGGTACATCCATCAACAAAAGGAAGAGAGAAAGAGACAAATTTTACAAACACTTGCCAAGAAAACCAAGAGACACTTTCCTTAACACCAAAGCTTGCCTCAACATTCCCAACCAATATTAGGTGATATGATCATGTTAGTGACTCATCATTTACACACTTAGCAGATTGGTAAATTACTCATGATTAGGACATTCTAATGTTTTATGCCATATAGTCAAATATGTACATATATCAAATAATTTTAGAAAAATGGAAAATCAATGAAAAAAAATTGACCAAGTCAATAATATCCATTTTATTGGGAAAAAAGCCCCTACGTAATCAAGCAAAATACAAATTTAGTTGTCAATTTGACTTAATCAACAAACTTAATTGAGACATATAGGGACAACACAAGGAATATTATTCAATTTGATGATTTTTTTTTCTCACTTTTAAATTCGATGATTTTGATATGGCATATTATGGCATTGCTTTGAGGCTACTGTTTTGTGGATGAATGTGGCGTGTGAAAGACAACCACTCTACTTTGCCCATTGTAGGCTGAGATTATTTAGGCATTGTTAAAACACTTGGCTTAATCTGGTTTCTTCGTAATTATTTATTTTTGGAATGCCCTTGTTGAAGAATATGACTAAGTCTACAAAAACTACAAGTGAATCATCACCTAGCTATTGTACCCTCTAATGCTAGTACAATGTAACACCGGACTCCGTAACCAAACATTTCAATGTTTACTGATGAATTTGCTAATATCTATAACGACATTTGATTGTGTAGTCTACTAACATTCATTAATATTTATTAACGTGTCCGCTAATGATCGTAACGACAAGTAGCTAGACCCATTAATGAGAACCCCATCATATGTCCTATAATATTGTGACCTCCAAAATCCTACGACCAATTTATTCCGACAAAGGACATGGCTTAACATGAATATGAATGCCTGCAAACAGCATTTATACTGTATAACACAACCCCTAATGTCTACTGATGGTACCCGAGAAGTCCAATAACCCTAATCAAGTTTAGCCGCTTAAGAACACCATATATAGGCAGTTACGATACCGTTACTGCAGTTAAAAGAAAAGGTAATTAAAACTGTTTTAAGCTTTGTTTCAGTATTAAACTAGTGAAGTTACTTGGTATCAGAGGCGATTCCTTCTATCAAAGGACAGCCTATCCCATTCAAATCCTGTAGCGGGGAAATTACATTAAATAAAAACGACCAAGTTCTCCTGTTTTGTCATCATCTTCAGTGGGGAGGTGGCGTGGGATATGATTTTCTGAAAAATCGATGACACCAAATCCGACTCTATCCTTCCTTCCATCTCCATCCCCACCACAGAAACACACAAAACCACCAACTGTTATGTGTTTCATAATTGGGAATTAAAATAGTAACACTAATCAGCAAATAATTAATTATGTTGATAATCACAAAATTTGATCATTAAGATTTCTAATTTCCACTGGACGCAAGTAGCGGCGGATTCGGGAATTTTAAATAGGGGTGTCCTCTTAAAAATAAATTAAAATTAAATCAAATAATTATTAAATATGAAAATATTCAACTAGTAAAAGTTAGAATAAAAGTTCAAACATGTTTCGTATTATGAAAGTATGGTAAAATACATTCGGTGTATATACACTGCTCAACAAATCTCTCGTGACATATCCTACTAGACAAGGGTAACCCGTAATTGGGGTTAATCGTTAGGTTTTGAAAATAATTGGGGATAAGAATAGCCTTTTACTATTATATTTTGATCTAAAACATAACTACAAATGAGTTGTAGTCTAATTGAAACTATATTTACTAATAGTAGCAGTGTTCCCAAGTTCAAATTACATATACCCTATCATTTAAATATTATTTGTACCCACATGCAGAATACTATAAGAGGTTGAATAATCATTTTCCATATTTTAAGCTAAGGGTGTTCCACTATCACTATTTATTTATTTTTACTCATACACAAACTACTGTTGAAGGTTGGATTATCATTTTTTCAAATTTTAGAAGTTTTCCGGGACACCGCTAAACCTTCATGTATCTGCTACTGTACGCAAGCAGCCGCAAGTGTACATATCGATTGATCCAAAGAAGAGTCGCTGTTACGAAAGCTGTACAGTGTGTATACTGGTTGCGCCTTAAGTAGGGGGCATGCAGCTCTAGCACAGATCTGTAGCCATATACCGCCCCATCACATTCACACCTTAATTTTGTCATTACAATTCGACTGTCAAATCTATATATGTACCAAATCTCTTTCAAATACGTATAACTCACACAAGCCATAGCTTAATTATCACATTCGAATTGAATTTTAGGACATTGTATCTCACACACGCATATGCATGCATACATATATATATATAGTAACAACAGGGTAAACTCCTCAAATAAACTATATTCTAAGTGGTTTGGTTGTTACATGTACTTCGTTGTATTTGAACAAATCAAAATCGTCGATTATTTTTAAAAAAAAATTGATTTATGGGTTTGAGTTTAGAAAATCAAAATATGAGTTTCATCCATTAGATATTAGTGTACAATATCATATTTAATTTCAAATTCAATTGAATTTATAGTCTAAATAGAGATATATTAATAAGACTATACTTCAAGAGTATAGCAATCATATATATATATATATATATATATATCAAGTTCAGTTTAAATTATGATCTAAATAAAGATTCAAAAGCCTAAGTGAACTAAAAAGGTTTAATTCATGTTACTAGTTATTATCTACCAACAACATAAAGTTTTATATGCACATGCAGTCAAAATCCTGGAATGTACTGTAAAATGTCCTTTTTTAGTTCACTTTATTAGAGGCATGAAATTAAAGTAGCATTCTTCTACATATTTTCATGAGCATGCATGCCTCATGGTCAATTGGTCATGGCTGTGCCTAAGCAACAACCCACGGCACAATTTCCAGCTTCCATCCCGCGTTTCTTCTATCTGCTCCTTTTCGAAATTCTTCATATTACTAGCCAACCTTCCTGACTCGAGGGAGTTGCAAAATGCTGTTGCCAAATTAGAGAATCTCTGCATACTGACCAATATATAGTTCCATTGGCGGTATGGGTTCAACAGTTGATTACATAAAAATGGTCACCAAAGTTTTCGTCACTAAACGATGAAAATGATCAGCATTCCATCAACACCCATAAATTTTACCATCCTCCTGTCAATCATGTTAACATGTCACGCCACCTAAATTCATATAATAATGGCAGTAACACATTTCTAATAATCCTATCCAATCCCAAACTCTGATTTTTGTTTCAGAAGTTGAACTATTTGAACTACATGTAAAAAGATTGTAGCAAACTTGCAACAAAGATCGCTTAATTAAAAACTTTGTCAATAAAACTCAATTAATTTCTCTCCCCCGCTTCAAATCAACTGTTCACTCCCAGCTGTTTAAGTTTGGACTAATCATACTAGTAGTTTCAAGGACCTTAAACTGGGACTTGTTTAATCAATCACCAAACTCTTGTTGTGATTGCAACAAGTTGGATTATGTACAACTCTCAATTAATGGAGAGTTAGATTATGTGAACTAAACTAATAACACGACAAGTAAAAGCACTGTAGGCCATATAGAAACCAGCCATTTCCCGACAGAAAATTAGCTGGCAAATTAACCCATTTTTTTATTAGTGCATCTTTGTGTAAAAATCATGGCCGGCTACGTCATTTGAGCAACAACAACAAATTAATTTACAGCACTCGGACAAAAATAAAAATAAAAATGAAAACCACATCAAATAATAGGTTTATAAATAATGGACATTGGTTGTTCCACCATTTGTCTCTCCACCCTTACTCTTAACTTCTACCATCGCTAGCCAAAAACCCAAACAGATACCCTCGAAGAAATTGAGAGGAGAGGAAGAAAGATAGAAGATAGAGAGAGCAAAAGCTAGCAAAAAGGTACTGGGATCTCATACATGGAAATGACGATGTTGGTTAAGAATGAAGAGTTGTTGGGGAGCCGTGGCGGCGGTGGCCGGGGGCTGTCGCTAGGGGTCGATGGTACTGGTGGTGATCAGGCTCACCGGACGTCGGCGGCTCGGTCGGTGAAGAGGAGGAGGAGAGATCAATCTGCTGCTTCTGCTTCACCTGCCGGAAGCCAAAAGAGTGATGGGAGTACTCCTCAAAGTAGTGATGGCCAACAGCAGCAGCCGTCTAATTCCCCTGCCTCTACTGTTAAAAGAAGCTCCAGGTTCCGCGGTGTAAGCAGGTACGTAACTCAACCTCTCCCTTACTATAAGAAAAAAAGCTTTTGTGACCAAACATTGGTCGCTAAAAGTGGAAACTTAGGTTGTCACCTTAACGACCATATATTTTGTCTCAATTTTTTTGGAAAACCTTTATTAAGTTCTCTATGTGACACCTTATAATCAAAATTTGAGGATGGTGAAGGATGAGCAACATTCTTATAGTTATTCTTACCCTTTTTTTTGTTGTTGCCTTTGTGGGGACAGACATAGATGGACAGGGCGATTTGAAGCACATTTGTGGGACAAACTGTCCTGGAATGTCACCCAGAAAAAGAAAGGAAAACAAGGTAATTAACATATGGTTATATTTGTTTCATCTTTCATTTTCTTGCTACTATAGTGTAGGTATTTTGTCACAGAAACTGACATGTTCATTTGTCTTCATGAAACTATACAATTTGGGGACTCCTTATCATCAACAGTTTATCTTGGTGAGTCAGTCACTCATATATAATGAAACCTTCTATATATCATACACATTTCTTTTCCTACTTCAAGAATATTCCTTTAACATATATTTCTTCTTTTGTGGGATAATTTCTCAGGAGCTTATGACGTTGAAGAAGCAGCAGCTAGGGCTTACGATTTGGCAGCACTCAAGTACTGGGGACCCTCAACTTTCACCAACTTCCCGGTATGTACCAAGATTGGGAAATGTTGAAAATCGATACAATTACATTCCTTGAATTAGTAGAAACAACTTCTTACAATGTTATATTTTGTGTTTAATTACATATAGATATCAGATTATGAGACGGAAATCGAGATTATGAAAACAGTAACTAAAGAAGAGTACTTGGCCTCCTTAAGAAGGTAACTAGAATAATTACTCCAAAAAGGTCAACCTTATTTTCACTCTACTGTTAGCAATTGCCTTAAACATTATTTTCTGGTTACAGAAAGAGCAGCGGCTTCTCTAGAGGTGTATCCAAGTACCGTGGAGTTGCAAGGCACCATCACAATGGAAGATGGGAAGCCAGAATCGGGAGAGTTTTCGGCAACAAGTATCTATACCTCGGCACTTACAGTAAGTTCCATTCTACGGCTACCCATACTCTCACTCATTAATCATCATCACCACGAAACTTAGGGTTTTAGATAAGACATAAGAGAACAACATATTTATAACAAAATTATCATCATCCTTTGAATGTGCAGGCACTCAGGAGGAGGCCGCCAGGGCATACGACATAGCAGCAATCGAGTACAGAGGGATCAACGCCGTCACGAACTTCGACCTAAGCAGCTACATCCGGTGGCTCAAACCCGACGTCGCCGCCAAAGAACAACAACACCACCACCAACCACACACAATAATTGACTCCCAAGAACTAGTACTCAACACCACCAACAACAACATCCCAATAACAATAACCAACAACTTCCTCCACACTTACGACAACAACAGCAACAAATCCTCCTCATCATCATCACCACCACCACCGTTCTTCCACACCACCACCACCGCTCCTCCGTTCACCGCCGATTACTTCGGCGGCGCGACCACCAAGCAGACGGAGCTCTTCCAAGACTACCTCAGCTCGCCGACAAAGCAGCAAGTTTTCCAGGAAGCTGCCAACATCAACAACAACAACAACAAGAGCAGCTCTTGTTCTTCCACGTCATCTGCCATGTCATCAGGTGGCGGTGCCCCGTCGGCACTGGGGCTCCTGCTGCGGTCCACCATGTTCAGGGAGCTGGTCGAGAAGAACGTCGTCTCGGAGGACGTCGACGTGGGGAGGATCGGCGGCGGTGGAGGAGGAGGAGGGCACGTGATGAACGGCGGTGGTCATGAGGATGACTACGGAGGGATATTTTACGATGGGATCGGTGATATTCCGTTTGTCTACTCTTCCAATGCTAAGGATGATGGGATTGAGCTGCACGAGAGGGAGCTCCAGTTCATTTTCTAGATATATACCCATTATTACAACTGCTTTAGGGTTTACTTGAGAAACAAGGAAAAGGAGGTCGTGGGATGAGTACGTAGTGTGCATGCATGGGATCGATAGGGGGACATGCATTCTGATGATGACGTGGAGCGAGCAACTTTGTTCTTTCCTGGCGTAATTAAGAGTGCCTCTTTCTGGACAAAGAATAAAGACGGGGAGGCATTTGAGAGAGTTAATGGATTACTGATGATGATGATGAGGTAGGAAGCAACGTCAACGCAGGTTGTAGTAGTTTGTTGAAAATAATTTGGTCAGTGCTACTTCATTAGGGTTAATTAACGACTTTTATGCTAATAATAATTACTGTGGAATAGTACTGCAAAATTCCACCTGTGTAATTCACAGTAATTAATAATCATCAATCTACAAAGTATTGCCATCGGGCGGTCTTTGTTCTCTTGTTAGCTTAATTTCTTTTACGTAGAATTTATAGTGCTTTTCTTCTTAATGAATCCACCGAGTTACATATTGATAGTTCTCTGGAGTATTTTATCAAACTTGAAGACGACAATGATATTCAATGAATAACTAATTCAAAATCAGCATTCAGAACATAATCAATTATTTACTATCAACGACGGATTCAGAACACCATTGGACCGCATTTCATTATAAAATTAAACCGAAAAAAATATAGTGATTATAGTTTTTTTTACAATGTCAATTGTATACAATGGTATTTTAATTTAGTGAATGCATCAATAATGAAGTCCACATCCATACCAATACAATACACTATTTCAAATAAAATACTTGAGCAATCGGCGAGAAATTCATCGCTCATTTTGTTGCGCAAATAAGTTTTCACATGTTTCATTGTTGAAAAGGTTCTCTCCATAGTAGTTGTTGAAACGAGCAATGTCAATACTTGACAAATCAATCAACTAAGCAATTTGCATTGTGTGTCCATCCCTACATCCACCAGCTACTCTAGTAAATAAGTAGGGAACAAGGGCTCGGTTGGAATAGAGTTTCACGGGTTGAGCAGTTAGATTTGCTTTGGCCGCTCTTGTTGCTGTTTAGTTGGAGTCCCAGGGTACGGGCTGCAGTTTGGAGCTTCAGAAGTCTTTCTTCGGCAGTGGGACTCGTCCTTGTCCCTGTTTCTTTCTCTTCATTTGGTCTTTCAGCTCTTCTCTTTTGCTCCCTTTTGGTTTTGCAGGCCTATGAAGAAACAGGGGCCTTCTGGCGGGCTTAGTTTTCTTGGTAGGCCTGGTTCGGTCCGCACCCCTCGTGCGTTCTTGTAGCAGGAACTCGCTTGTTTTGTTTTTGTTTACTGCAATTTATCAATCAACTAAGCAATTTGCATTGTGTGTCCATCCCTACATCCACCAGCTACTCTAGTAAATAAGTAGGGAACAAGGGCTCGGTTGGAATAGAGTTTCACGGGTTGAGCAGTAAGATTTGCTTTGGCCGCTCTTGTTGCTGTTTAGTTGGAGTCCCAGGGTACGGGCTGCAGTTTGGAGCTTCAGAAGTCTTTCTTCGGCAGTGGGACTCGTCCTTGTCCCTGTTTCTTTCTCTTCATTTGGTCTTTCAGCTCTTCTCTTTTGCTCCCTTTTGGTTTTGCAGGCCTATGAAGAAACAGGGGCCTTCTGGCGGGCTTAGTTTCCTTGGTAGGCCTGGTTCGGTCCGCACCCCTCGTGCGTTCTTGTAGCAGGAACTCGCTTGTTTTGTTTTTGTTTACTGCAATTTATCTATCACCCTTATCAAAAAAAAATTCCAATGGAACAAACCTCATATTTCTTTTAGTCTTTTATGTTTTAGACTTTTAGAATTATAGGTTTCATTTTTTTATACGAATAATCTTTGGGGCTGGAATTTCGATGCTAAATATAGACTAGTGATTTGATTATGTTCATCTGAATCATTTTTCTAGTTATACGCAATCTTATTATAAAATAACACTAGGCCGAATGGATAAATTTATAAGAACTATACTAACACCGGATTCAGAGGAAGGCTGGACCAGAGCCCGGGGTGGCCACCTCCTGGATCCACCACTGACTATCATTAATAAGAAGACTGATAAACAAAGAAGATGAAGTAAAAAATAATTACTAAATATAATTTTGTTGATATTCGTTAACATTGTAGTAATCTTTTTTTAATAAAATTTATGGTTAAAATAATGAATCGATGAACTAGCCAAACGGAGGCGATTCATTTGGTTCTATGTCCAACTTTTAATTTTTTTTTTTATGCACTAGTGACCGTCCAAAACAAACGAACAGACTTACTATTGTAACTACATGGTTGTTCTATTGATCTCTTCTTATAACAAGGCACCAAAACTTGCCTGATATCTAAAACATGTCAAAAAGTCATTTATTAAAATTTTTGTTTGATTCATTGGTATACATATTGATTTTCTTACTTCCAAATAAGTATTCTACAATCACACTGAAAACTCTATAAAAAAAATTAGCGATAAAGTATTTTATGCTGGAATTATAGTTTATCATTGTTCAACCATTTCATATAAGTAAAACCATCTACCGATTTAAACTCCAGCAGTACATTTTTTTAATCGAATGCCGGTACAATCCAAATTTACAAACACGGCTTCCAAAATGCACCCTAAAAATCCATAAAAAAGATTTTAATAAAACAAAAAAAAAAAGAATCTGAAGATAAATTAATAAAACTAGCTTGGGCCCCAACCAGTTGGACGGAGGAAGGTGAGGTATGAAATTTGAAAATGTAATGGGGGTGTATAGCTTATTGTTGTATAGTTTTTTTTTTGGAAACACGTGATAAAAATAGTGAATTTTAGTAGGAAAGAGACATGAATGATGCAACGAATAAAAAATTCGCCTTATGAACCAAAATCAAGTACCTGTTACCTTGTGAAACAATATTATTTCTGGTAATATGATGAGGTGAAGTAAGTTTGATAAAAACCGAATTCCAGAAAATGGAATAAAAAATCGGTTATCCCGCCGATTTTTGGGAATGAGCATCTCACAATCGTTGCTAGCTTTTACTCGGCCCGTTGGCCGATTAATTTGCTTTATAAAACTTTCATCTTGTCGTCATTGTGCTTTCTGGTTTTTGCCAGGCCATGATAAAATCTAAAGAAATCAAGAATGAACAACACGATTTGGGATAGGAACTGCCGTTCCCGTATCCCTAGAAAATGGTGGTAAACACGGACTCACCTGCCAAACTGGTTTGAATTAAGATTTTTATCGGTTATCAGGGAACCATGTAATTATAAATTAGACTTGATCAAAACGGGCCAAAACTTGAAATTCAGTCTGTTTGATCGACCCATGCCAAACTCCAATTATTCTTTACTTTTAAACTTTCTATTTGAAAATAAAAAATAGTGCAAGAAAAGAGATGATTGCAATTCACCATTTGCACATTACTGATTCGCGAATAAAACTATAGAAATTTGAAAGGAAACTGAAAATGTTTAGAATCGTTTTAATGTTAAAAATAACCAAATAGATCTTTCTGTTTAGTTTTTTACTAACAAATACCAAACGATTCAATATAAAATACACTATAATTTAATCATTATGATATCAAATAATTACATAATATATATTTGAAATGATAAAAATTGAACTAATTGGGTTGGTCGAGGTTGAACCATTGAATAACTTTAAAATACATTATATTTTAGCCACTAAGATATAAAATAATAGCATAATATATATTATGCTAGAGAAAATAGCTTGTTTTAGAATGGCAAACCCATGATGTTCATTTGTTTTACTTGATGACAAAATCTCATGTAGGTCAGACCCATTCAACTCTTTATTTTATGGTTACGGGTTAGCCCATTAGAATTCATGCATTAGTTTATTGTTAAATTTTTTTCCTTCTAGCAATAAAAAGGAGTATTGTTTTTTCTTTTCATATATATTTTACCACCACAGAGAAATAAAATGGCTTAAAGAAAAAAAATTGTCACTCCTAGACTCGTTTAAATTCACATTGTATAGTAAGTTGATCCGTTCCACAGAGGGGGGAAAAATTGACACTCCCTATTCTACCCTTCCTACAAAGTACAAACGCTCATGGAGCAGAGAATTTGGGGAAAAGTTTTTTCCTCTATACTATTTTATATTTTTAATTTAAAAAAAATATAACAAATATAATTAGTGTGATTTGTTATTATCTTTGTTTTTTCAAAGTGGCATGGATCGAATCCTATGTGGAAATTTGAAATGAGGTCAGAATCCCAATTCTGGGCCCAATCCCACGCCAGGTCTTACTGATTTCCTCACGCGCCCGGAAAGGAAAAGAAGACTCTGCTACGACTGTCTTCTCTCTTTCCACATCCCCTCACTCTGCTTTTCCCCAGTCATCTTTGTTTCTTCTCCTTACCCTGCAAGTTTTCTTATTCACTGGTCACTACTGACTGGAACCTCATTGCGCCTATTTTTCACTCTCTTTTCCTCTGCTCATGGAAAACAAACAGTCGCGTAACAACAGCTTGCGTTAATTTTATTTCCCTATTTCACTCAGGTTTGCTTCATAAACCCCCGTGATCGATTTCGTAAACCAGCAACAATGGCGACGCCGAGGGAGCACATCGAGAAACTTCGTCGTCGGACGTTCTCGATCGGAGATGACGAGGAAAATCCATTGGCCGCCATGCTCGATCAAGCGGTCAAGTACCTCTCCGCTGAACTCTACGCCAAGGACGTCCACTTTCTGATGGAGCTCATTCAGGTTTTGCCTTGATTTCTTTGGGAATTTTAGGTTGATTCTTTTGAACGATGGCATTTATGGTTGATTTTGCAGAATGCGGAAGATAATGAGTACTCGGAAGAAGTTGATCCTTCGCTGGAGTTTGTCATAACGTCTCGGGACATCACCGGAACCGGAGCGCCAGCGACGCTACTGGTCTTCAACAACGAGAAGGGGTTCTCGGCTAAGAATATTGAGTCTATCTGCAGTGTTGGAAATTCGACGAAGAAAGGCAAAAGGAAACGCGGCTACATTGGAGAGAAAGGTTCTTTTCGTGTGCTCTATATCTCTATGTATTTTAGGCTTGTTTCTAATGGCCATGTTTTTTTTACATGATTGCAGGAATTGGGTTCAAGAGTGTGTTTCTGATCACGTCACGACCTCATATATTCAGCAATGGATATAAGATTCGGTTCAATGAGAAGCCACGCCCACCCTGCAAGCTTGGGTACATTGTTCCTGAGTGGGTTGATGATGGCAAACCTTCTGTTGCAGATATACAACAAGTGTATGGTTCTTCGAGGCTTCCCACCACTACATTGGTATTGCCATTGAAGCCTGACAAGGTGAAACCAGTGAAGGAGCAGCTGTCCAGTGTTCATCCTGAAGTCTTGCTGTTTCTCTCAAAGATAAAGCATCTTTCTGTAAGGGAAGAGAATGAAAACCCCAAGCTCAACACGGTTTCTGCTATTGCTATTACTAAAGAGGTTGATTACGTGTCTAGGAAGAACATTGATGCTGAGTCCTACACCCTTCATCTTTCGGCTGAGAGTAACGGTGAAAGTGATGATGGCCAGTGCAGCTACTATATGTGGAAGCAGAGGTTTCCGGTGAAAAGAGAAAATATTGTTGAGCAGCGAATGGATGTGGAGGAATGGCTGGTGACTTTAGCTTTCCATTATGGAGAGCGTCTTCACAAAGGAGGGCATTCACCTGGAATCTATGCATTTCTTCCTACGGATATGTTTACTAATTTTCCCTTCATCATTCAAGCCGATTTCATTCTGTCGTCGTCCAGGGAAGCCGTGCTGCTTGATAACAGATGGAATCAAGGGATTCTCGGATGTGTACCAGCAGCATTCGTTAATGCGCTAGCTGCTTTGGTTAAAACCAGTGAAGATGCTCCAGTTTCTAGTTTGCCTCCGATGTTTCGGTTTTTGCCTGTCGAGACCTCTACTTATCCCTTCCTAAATGCTGTGAGGGAGTCAATTCAATTGAAGTTAGCTGAAGAGAGCATCGTACCTAGTGAATCTTACAAGGAGCAGAAGTACTTTCACAAGCCCCGTGAAGTTAGCAGGCTTTTGCCTGCTTTTTGGGATATCCTGAAGGCGGCCAGGCAAGAAAATGTCAACCTTCACAATCTTTCGTCCCACGGGTGCTATATCCTTGCCTCTTCATTTGACCGGAGTAAGTATGACAAGGTTCTCAAATTCCTGGGCGTGGGATTCGTGGTAGATGAATGGTATACAAAGTGCATCCAAAGCTCTAATCTCGTGAAGGGAATCTCAGATGATTTATACATAGAACTTCTCCATTTCATCGCTGCAAATTGGTCAACAAACTTGAAGAACACAAACTTGAGGGGTGTGCCCCTACTGAGACATATTGGTGCTAATGGGAATATGGGTATCTGCAGCATTAACAAATCTGCCGACAAGAAAAGTGGGAGAGTATTATGTCTATCAGGGGAGTCTTCATATGCATCAATGCTTATCGATTGGAATAACGAGTTTTGGCACATAACACCGTTCTTTTTCCTCCCAGAAGCAATACAGGATGCGCTCAGGTCATCTGAAAGGAGGAGAACTGTGCTAGAATGGCTTAAAACTGTTGCAGGCCTTGTTGAGTTGAACCCGTGTGAATTTTCATATTCTCTTAGGGATCATTTAGGTACTGACCAGAAGCTTGTTGTGGCCTATGCTCACTTGTTGTATCGTTCACACAATGTCGAATTTCTGACGGACCAGGAGGTTGATAATCTGTGCGAGGACATGCCACTTGTTGATAGCTATGGGAATGTGATCAATGCTTCCGATCATGTCATCCTCGTTCCTGGTGCTGAAAGCAGATGGCTGGAATTGATTGGTTCTAATCCCTGGAGAGGAGAGGGTTATATCGAGCTAGGGGAAGAGTACTTACAGACGGCATGTTTTTGTGGTCAAACATCAGGAGGCGAATCATTCTTGGAGTTTCTTGAATATCATGTTGGAGCTTCTGATATTCCTGATTTATCTCCTCCCAATGCCGGGATTCCTACGGTGTCAGGACCACTGACCAAGAAGAATGCGATTTTATTGTTAGATTGGATAAACAGTCTCATATCCAATCGAATAACAATACCAGAGAAGTTCTTAACTTGCATAAGCAATGGCAGCTGGTTGAAGGTTACAATGAATGGGTCTTCTAGTTATAAGCCACCATCACAGTCATTCTTGCTCTCGCCGAAGAAGAAAAACTCTAAATGGGGAAGTATTTTACAGGATGGATCTGTGGTAGTTGATATTCCTTTAGTGGATCTGAACTTTTATGGTGAAATTATTAATGATTATGAAGTGGCACTCAAAGAAATAGGAGTGATGTTCGAGTATGATGAAGCGTGTGAATATATTGGTCAATGCCTCATGTCACATGTTAATTCCTCCACTTCAACAAGAAGCACTGTATTTTCAATGCTCAAGTTCCTCAGATTTCTTAGGGAAAAATTCTTGGCCCCAGATCAATTTATTTCAAGCATTAAAGGAGGAAAGTGGTTACAGACGACATCACATGGTTACCACTCTCCTGAGGAATGTGTTCTACGTAAGGGGCAATGGGCAGTTGCAGAGCAAATCAGTGAACTTTACTTCATCAATGATGCTTATTATGGACCGGAGATTAATTCCTTCGAAGATGAACTCAAGTGTCTTGGTGTGAGAGCTTGCTTGACTGGTAGCCACGATCTTATTGTCCAGCACTTGAAATCGAGTGCTTGCTTGTCTGGTGATTTGACAAAGGAAGCTCTCTTCCTGATCTTCGAATGCATGCGGAATTCCAAGGCTGCTGCTTCCAAAGTTGTTGGCACGATACAACAAGCTAGATGTTTGAAGTCCAACGTTGGTTACCGGTCCCCTGGCGAATGCTTCTTGTGTGACCCTGAATGGGGCTGCCTTCTGGAGGTTTTCTACGGTTCCTCCCCAATCCTTGATCGCAACTTCTATGGTGATGAAATCATCGACTTCAAGTCGGAACTAAAACAATTGGGTGTGAAGGTCGATTTCGAGGATGCCACCAAAGCTTTCGTGAGTACTTTCAAGCAGCAGGCATCGTTGTCAAAGATCACAAAGACACACGTCCTGTCATTTCTTGCCTGCTACAGACGTCTGAAGGTACTTAAGAGACCTCTCTCTGATATCAAAACCTGCATTCTGTCTCAGAGGTGGCTCTGGACAAGGCTTGGTGTTTATAGATCTCCAAGAGAGTGTATTCTGTTTGGCCCTGAGTGGAAATCTCTCCTTGCAATTACTCGTCTTCCTTTCCTCGATGATAGTTACAGCAGCAATGGCTACGGGAAGGATGTTGTTGACGAGTATGCAAGAGAGCTCAAGCTGTTGGGTGTGGTTGTTAGTTTGAAAGATGGGGCAAAGTTTGTGCCTTTCTGTCTTTATTTCCCTGAGGATCCATCCACCATCGCTCCATCAAGTGTCCTGTCACTGTTACAATGCATCAGGATTCTATTGGAGCAGAAAGATTATTCATTTCCCGAGTCTTTTATTGGTAAGATCTCTAGCGAATGGTTGAGAACTTGTGTCGGTTACAGGGCTCCCAAGGATTGCTGCTTGTTTGATTCCTATTGGGAGATGATGGGTCTGAAGCCAATTGATGGACCTTTCATTGACGAATCTTTTTTCGGCCCCAAATTGTTATCTTATAAAGAAGAACTAAGAAAGATAGGAGTTAGCACTAAACCGGAAGACGTATGCAAGATACTTGCCAGACAACTTGGTGAGCACTCGGAATCAACCTCCATAGTGAGGATATATAATTTCTTGAGACAACACAAATGGAAGCCTGAGAATGATGAATCGAAGCAGAGGATATGGTTTCCTGACGAGTGTGGCCGCTCTGGGAAGTGGGTGAATCCAGAAGAATGCGTTCTACGTGATAGAGACGATCTCTTTGGCTCCCAACTATATGTTCTGGGGAAACACTACGAATTCAAATTACTGGATTTCTTCAAGGAAGCATTTGGTGTTAAAAGTAATCCGTCGCTAACAGATTACTGCGAGCTTTGGAAGACATGGGAAAGATCTGGTCGCAGTTTGACACCTTCCAAGTGCTGTTCTTTCTGGAGTTTTATTGTTATGAACAGCCACCAAGTGGACAAGGAAAAACAAATTCTTGCTGGAGAGATGTCGAGGCTGCCAGTCGTTTCTGGTGAAGAAATTGTGTTGGCTGATAAGCACGATGTCTTCATCGCCGATGACATTCAACTGAAAGAACTGTTCTCCGAATATTCTTCAATATTTGCTTGGTATCCTCAACCGAGTTCCCCGTTTTTGCCTCGTACCAAGTTGATGGAAGTTTTCAGGGGAATCGGAGTTCGTGCCATTTCCGAGTCTGTGCAGAAAGAAGAAGAGAACTCCACAGCAGCCGCAGCAGCCAACAAGTGTAAACATCTGAATCACTTGACATGGAAGAATCTAGTCAAGATCATACTAGGCTTTCTAGCTCATCCATCTCTCGACATGGAAGCTAAGGCAAGGCATGATAAAGTGAAGATCCTCCTTAAGCTCACTGTCCTGGAGACGGTGGAGCCATTGACGGTCACCTACAGCCTGACTCTATCTCCAGGGGAAGTCATCAGTGTGAAAGCCACCCAAATGATCCGCTGGGATAAGGACGAGGGCAAGTTGTACACACAGAGGCTGGAGAAGGGTAGCAGAGGAAGCAGAAGTGGAAGAAATCTGCTCGAGTATGCTTGCCGTTTCTCTGAAGTAATCGCTAAAGGAGTCCTTTGGGATCAGAAAGAGGAACAAATAACTGCTCTCTCCCAGATAATCAAGCTGGCTGTTCTCGTCAAATTCGAAGGAGCAGCTGTCGACTTCCTGATGAAGGTCAATAATATGCAGATCTTCATGGAAGATGAGGAGTTCCTCGCCTCTGCATTTCCTTCTTCGACTTAGGTACGCCGCCACTTGAACTCCGAATAGAACGAAAGAATTCGTTGCAACTGATATCATTTTTGCTCAATGTGTTTGATTTTGTTAGCTGATAATGATGCAAGTGTGTCTGTCTATCCGTTTTGTATGCAGCAGGTTAAGCAGGAAGACGGACCGATGAGGCTCGAATATGCAGTATAGCTTCAGAAATCAGACTAAGCAAAACTTACAGCCGCTCTCTGTGGCTATTTGACGCAGCGATGTGTTTGGCTGGCAGCCTTTCTGTTTATTTAACCAGTTTCAGGTTTTCGTTGATGTAAAGTTTGTATTGGAAAAGAGGACCAGTTGTTTGGGGCGGAGTGCATAGTTGGTTAATTTCTTTTTCGATTTTCTTCATCATCCCAAAAAATGAGAGCTGTTTTGGTCATATTGTGTTGATTATGCTTGTTGGCACTGGTTTTTTACTGCCTATGCACTCAAAACCTTCTGTGCATCGTGCTTGTTGCAAAGTGTTACCAGAAGTTAACTTGGTTTTCACTTCTCTGCTGTGGGTGAACATTTTGTTGAAGAAAATGCCACTTGGCAGTGTCGTATGAGCACCCCGACTATTACAGCCATCGTCGACTTTGTTGCACATCATGGAACGAAATCGTATGAGCACCCTGACTATTACAGCCATCGTCGACTTTGTTGCACATCATGGAACGAAATCGACAGCAAGTAATCAATTGTGCTCTAAAAAAGGGGCCTGGATAGCGTCACAACCCCTTTAGGGGTTGTGAGATTCGCTTCCCTGCTTCCAGCCGTCCGTTTCCCTTTCTCATCTCACGGTTGACAAAATATGAAGGGCTTTTTTGGAATGACTGTGTATGGAAAAATTTGAATTAATAACATAAATGGGGACGGGATACGGTAACACCATTAACAATACATAACCGATTACGTTGCTGAAAAATAATTCTTGATTGCACTGTTACTTATACCACTGCATTGGACTGGTACTATTACTTTTACCACTGCACGGGTACTTGTACCATTGGTCTAGTAATTGTATCACTCGACTAGGAGTTGTATCACTGCACTAGTACTAGTACTTGTACCACTGCACTGGTACTACCATTGGTCTGATAATTGTATGATCACTGCACTGGTACGTGTACCACTGGGCTTGTAAGTGTGGTACAACAAATGTTTCTTTTTACAACTATGCTTAATAAATGTTTCTTTCCACTATTGTAGTTTAGTTCCAAATTCTAGTGCATTAAGTCCACTGGCCGGCCAAAAATTGTTTTTAACATAATGTTCAAACATTTGAAATTCAATTTGACATGAAACAAACAAACATGCTGAAGTAAAAAAAAAATTGTCTAATTTCTGATCATAGTACTAAAACTCCAGAACATCTACCGCTGGGTATCTAGGATAGTTGTGTCAATTGGGCAGTGCAACGGAGGAATGAGTCATGCATCTCGACAGCTTTAACGGTTAACTCTTGAATATGAAGGTTGTTTGTCCTCACCATGCCTACAACCAAAAAATAAGATAGTCCAACCAAAGTTATATTAATACCAATATAAATAAGGTTATAAACTATCAATCCCAACAAAGTTATAAACTACCAAATTTAAAACTTAAAATTAAAGGGAAAACACTGGTTAAATGAGTTTATTGACCAATACCACTACCAGTTCAAATAAACGGAAAATGACGACAATATCAATGTTATTGCCAATGTTAGACTGCCTGGTACAAAGTAACTGGTAGAGGCTGACAATGCAATGTACTGTTAGACACATAACTACCAGTAGAAAACCAACATGGGATCGATGGAGTGGTACTTGCACCACTAGAATGGTACTAGTAATCTAGTACCACTGCACTGGTACCTATACGGATGGAATGGTATTTGTATCACTGCACTGGACTGGTACTAATACTTGTACCGCTGCACTGGTACTTGTATTACTAGTTTGGTGATTGTATCACTTGACTCAAATCATGGAGAACCCTAAATTCATAGACCCAAATCACTAATACACAGAAAACCTAAAATACCACTACCAATCGAGACAATACCACTCCAATCTAAAATACACACCACAAGCAGAACGTTGCAAACCTAGCCGACAATGGGAAATAAGACACAACAGAGGGAGGACAACGGATGGGAGCTCTGCGATGAACTGAGAAGCAAAGAAAACCCGGTCAGATGGAGGACAACAAATAAGTAGAGTCGCTGCATAATGAAGATGACGGAGAACGAACAGGGGAACGAAAGAGAAGACGAAGCGGAAATCAAATGGAAAGAAGAAGGGAATACGTAGGGATTTCATATACCTTAAGTTTTGATGCACACGTAGATTCACCAAGACAGAAGGGGGGACGATGTCAGAAGGGAATCTCCAGCAAAGGATTTGATCGAAGATGAACAAGAACCAGTTTAGAACCGGTGGAGATGTACAGAGGTTTTTTTTGGGAGACAAACGGGTTGGGAAAGAAAGGAAAGACAATTATTTCTCTCTCAAAAAATTATTTCCTTTTTGAAACATCATTTATGTAGGGTGATGAGAGAGGGGGTGTGAGATCTAGTGTGGCTGGTACTAAAATCGCCGCTGAGGAATCTAGACCGCTGGATTGAGAGGAAGCGGAATGGAGGGCTCTGGGAAGTGAAACTCACAACCCTCTTAGGGGTTGTGACGCTATCCAATCCCAAAAAAAAAAACAATACTTTATTATTTTTTTTATCCTATCTATCATATAATCCAAAAGCCTTGGGCAAAGGGTCAGTCACTACTCACTAGACCCACTACCACGCCTCCTTGGCCAATAAGACAGAAAAAAATTTCGTTAAAATCCTTTCTGCCAAATAAATAAATGCCCTCTCGATTAATCGACGGTCCAAACCTTCTCCTTCTCTTCATCTGACGGCTAATATCGCTCAACATCGAAACAAATTCGATAAATAAATAATAATTCTCGACCGTTTAAAAAGAAAAAAGGTCCGATATTAGGTCTCCCCGGCTAGCTATATAAGATCCCAAACCAACCGAGCCAAAGCATTCCCACTGCTCCGAGCTCCACTCACACGAAGAAACACTCTCCTCTCCATTGCCCTGTGAGCTGTGATCCTTTTTCTGGGTTTTTGAAGGTTTGATTTCTTAGCTCGCGAGATCAACCATGGTGAAAGGTCCGGGACTCTACTCCGAAATCGGAAAGAAGACACTAGGTATTTGTTTCTCTCTCACACACACAGCTTTAATCGGTGTTCATCTATAGTCGGTGACGGGACTTCTCCGATTTGTTGATTCTGGAGTGGGACTGGGAGATATGACTAGTTTTCCCGTTCTTGTGTAACTTGTAGATCTGTTGTACAAGGATCATCACGGCGACCAGAAGTTCAGTGTCGCCACCGTCTCTCCCACCGGAGTTGTGAGTTTTGCTTGTTCTATGATATATTTGTTTGGCTCCCTTCGTTTTACGGTTAATTTAATCCGCTCGCGGAGTAGCTGTTCGGAAGTGGGTTTCATTCCCGATTTCTGCAACCCATTGGAGCTCGATTTCGCATGGGTCATTAGGGAAAGCGTGAATGTTTGGATTGGTGTAGCTAGACCTATTTTAAGGTTGCTCTTTTGTTTTTAAAATTTGTTTGGCTTCGCTATTAGGCCTCCCATTGTCCGCTTGTGTTGGGTCCTATCCAAAAATTGATTGTTTATTTATGGCTGTGGGATTCGTCATGGTATGATTAGGCGTGTCGAAAATTCGTTCTGCTTCTTTTGTCTGTAACTCAGTGGGCTGTGCATTGCCATTTACATGGCTAGCTAGTGCTGATTGAGCCTTACTGGTAATTCATTGGCGTGCAGGCGGTTACCTGTTCTGCAACGAAGAAAGGAGAGCTGTTTTTTGCTGATGTCAATACTCAGCTGAAGAACAAGAATGTGACAACTGATATCAAAGTGGACACTGGATCCAACGTAAGCTGTCCGACTCACTCTCCTTTTGTGTGAATTTGCATTCATTATGTACCATACCAAGTTGTTTTTCCTTCCGAGGTTCCCTGCAATTATCATGTATATCACCTGCTTTAATTTGCGTGAACTGGGTATGCTCTAGCTTGGTAGGTAGTTCCCTATCTTAAGCCTTTCAAAAGATGTAAACTCTATCATCCCTGCAGTCCTTTTACAATGTTGAAAGTTATTGTATTGTTGTTTCTTGCATAAGGAATAGCTGGGTAGAAGTTTCAATGAAAAAGAGGCCACATGGGCTGTGAATTCAGTTGTGCGTCTGTAACACATCAATATGCTGTAGATTATAATTAGTTCTGCTAATATTGAAGGTTCTCCAGTTGTTGCAGACACTTCTTGACATTTTGAGTTGAATCTTTCAATAATTTGGTCTGTTTTTATCTGAATTTCGTTACTGTGCCTCATTCTAGTCTGCTATTCTGAATAGAAATGGTATATTGGTTTAGGTTTGATGAGTGAACATCTATTCTAATTGTGTACTCATGTTCAGTATTTTTGTACATCTCAGCTTCATACCACTATTACTGTTGATGAACCTGCTCCTGGGCTGAAGGCAATCTTTAGCTTCAAAGTTCCAGATCCAAGGTCTGGAAAGGTAAATCATCAATCATGATTAAGATTTTCAATGCCCGCCTCAAAACCATTCTACTTTGCATTCTCGTCTGATGTCATGTTCGGTTTATTCATGTTTCATTCTCTGTAACAGATGGAGCTTCAGTACAAGCATGAGTATGCTGCTGTAACTTCAAGCATTGGCTTGACAGCAAACCCTATTGTCAACTTCTCTGGTGTTGTTGGAAGTGATGCCTTGGGCCTGGGTGCGGATGTTTCCTTTGATACCAAGACTGGAAATTTCACTAAGTGCAATGCAGCATTGACCTATGTCAATGCTGATCTTGTTGGTGCTCTGAGTTTGTGAGTAGCCATAATCTTTTGCCCCTTCTTCATGTCATTACTGTTATTATGTGCTTCTCCACTGATCCATCAAATATCCATTTCTCTGAATCTTCTCCAATGCAGGAACAACAAGGGTGATTCTCTGGTTGCTTCCTACTACCACTCCGTGAACACTTTCACTGCTATTGGTGCTGAGGTGGCCCACAGCTTCTCTTCCAATAAGAACAGCATCACCGTCGGCACCCAGCACGCTTGGGACCCGTTGACATCAGTGAAGCTCCGCTTGAACAACAGTGGCAGGGCAAATGCTCTGATCCAGCACGAGTGGCGGCCAAAATCCTTCTTCACTGTCACTGGAGAGGTGGAATCCAAGAACATTGAAAAGAGTGCCAAGGTGGGATTTTCTCTTGCTCTCAAGCCATGAGCAAGCATTACAGGCCCGTTTTTGCTGGAAGGGAAAGCCTTTTTAATTTTGGGATTCTGCAGTATAGTTTCACTTCTCGGTTTAGCTTTTGATGACTATTTTGCTCTTAGAGCTCGGTTGTTGACTTATTCGGAAGGGTTCTTGTGATGCCTTTATTTCCATGTTCGTCAATGTGCAAATAAAACTAACGTTCTTTCAAATTAATTCTGGAGTGTATGTTAGTTGCACACAGACTCAAACAAGAGGTCGAGCAAAAGCCTTTTTCTTTGCGGATTTGACACCCAAAGTCATTAATTCAAACACCTTAAAGCAAAGCAAACTACAGAAACCAGCTAAAAAGAAATAGTTGCTATTACCATTGGGTGTTGGGGGTGGGAGGGGCGCTGAAGTTATTGCCTTGCACACTCTTCCATCATTGATCATACATATACAACTCTTATCACACTGCTATATTATGGAAATCAAGTTCGAAGCTTTCTTCCACACGGTTACCGCCATAGATGCAATGCAAGAGCTTAAACAAATAATAGATAGACGGGCAGATGCTTAAGGGGTTTTCACTGAGGAGGGTTTGCCTGAAGGAGACCATCTCGAACCTGGGCAGCGATGTCGTTGACAGCACCGGGGCCATGAGGAATGAACACGGCGGTAGACTTGCTGGCAGCTCCGATCTCCTTCATGGTGTCGAAGTACTGGGTTATGAGGACCATGTCCAGCACATCCTTGGCCGATGTCCCCGGGACGTTGCCGGAGAAGCCCAGCACGCTGTCCCTCAGACCGTCGACGATCGCCTGGCGCTGGCGCGCGATACCCAGGCCGGACAGGAACTTGGACTCTGCATCTCCCTCTGCTCGCTTGATCTGCACGATCTTCTCCGCCTCTGCTTTCTCGTTCGCCGCCAGCCTCAATCTCGCAGCTGCAGTAAGGTAAGTTTGTAGTAAGAGCAAAGCTAATTACAGAAAGAGTCACTTAAGTTTGGGATAACGAATAAACTGGTCATTAAGCTCTGACGGTTTGATTGTGTATGAAGTGTAAAGTAAAAGCTCACTGTCTCACTCACCAGCATTGATCTCGTTCATGGCCCTCTTCACTCGCTCGTCGGGCTCGATATCAACGATCAGCGTCTGAACGATCTCATACCCGTACGCAGACATGGCCTTCTCCAGCTCGTCTTCAACTGCCTTTGCTATCTCGTTCTTCTGCTCGAAAGCTGCATCCAGGTTCAGTTTGGGGACACTGGCCCTGATCACTGCAAAAAAATATGAGATCAATTAATGATCACATATTCTGTTAATTTTCTCTGGTTGGATTTTGATTCCAAAAGTTTGTTGTGTTATGTCGTTTACCGTCGAAAACGTAAGCCTGAATTTGGGACCTGGTGTTGGTCAGCTTGTAGAAAGCATCGTTTGCTTTGTTGGCCAGGGCCCTGTACTGAACTGAAGCCACAACGTTCACAAACACGTTGTCCTGTGCCACATGCCGTCAACCCACAACACAGAGGATTAGTGATCTGAAGCCAGAGGAGAGTAAGAGTGAACAAGAGTGGAGACATTAACCTTAGTCTTGGTTTCACAGCGAACATCAAGCTGCTGCAGGCGAAGGGAGAGACTGCCGGCCACACTGCTTCCGAGGAACCATGGCATGCAATGGCAGCCAGGCTCAAGAACATCCTCAAACTTGCCAAACCTTTCCTTCATGGCAACTGTGGACTGGTCCACTTTCACACAGCAAGACAGGTTCCCCATCCTCTCTTAGCTTTGCTCTCTCAGAGTGGGAAGAAGAAGAAGAGAAGTTGTAATGGAGAAACTGCTTTGTGTATCTTGTGAATTGGATCTACAGTAGGGGAAGCACATTTATAAAGGTAAAGAAGCTAAAGACAGGTAACTTGACCTAACCCTTTTCTCACCGTAGGAATGCGCAGTTCCCCATTTTCCATAGATGTCCAAAGATTGCAGGATAAGTAATTGCAGTTTCATGTGACTATCAGCAAGAAATGAGAAATGCAACATTTCCGAGTAGAGGACAAGCAGCAGCAAATAGGCATCTTTGGGAAATTTTCCAGTTTGGGAAAACGGTTCATTGAGTGATGCTGACTTTTTTTGGTTCTCCATGGAGCCCAACACGGCACACAGTATTGAGCTCCCCACATGATAAATATCTAGAGTGGGTTGGTGCTTTTGATGGGATTCGAATTATTGGTTTCTCCATTATTGCTCTTAGCTGATCGTTTCATGGTATTAGTAATGTCATCAAATTTCAAAGTCCACATTTTCTATGGTTACATTAAGAAAGCCTAGTTAAACCCAGTTACTGACTGTCTAGGGGGGAATGTTGAATCAATCAGTTTTCTTTCTCTGAAGAAGACCATCGCGAATCTGCGAACAGACGTCTTTGACATCATCTGGGCCATGTGGGATGAACACAGAAGAGGACTTAGTGAGCTCCAATCTCTTTCATGGTGTCAAAGTACTGAGTCAGCAGGACCATGTCCATGACATCCTTGGCAGTTGTCTCGGAGACACTCTCGGAGAATGCCATCACGCTGTCTCTCAGCCCAATGACGATTGCTTGGCACTGGCGTGCAATGCCGATACCATTGTACGATGTGAAATTAAAAATGGGGGATAAGAAATTGAATATGCAGATGGCAGTGTACTAATTTACAGTCAGTGGATGCAACTGTAGCCAACAGTCAAGAGTGATTTGGAGAAAAAGAGGATAACTTTACAGCACCAACTTGTGTGCTTCTTTCCTCTTTACAGATGGATAGTGTCTATAATTTTCCTCCCAACAATAAAAATGGCGCCAGTTAGCTCCAGGGGAGAAGAAAGCAACAACAGGAGCTTAACAGAAACGGAGAAGGCTAATAGCAGGACTGATGACCAAGTTAATGAAACATCATTGAATGACTACATTCAGAAAAGGGGGGAAAAGGTATCGAAAAAGAAGCAGATTTACTTTCTGTTCCATGTACTTACCATGCCCAGCAGCTGTTAATCACACTACTAATTCCAACTCTCTAATACCCATTTCTTTGATTCCAATATCACCCCCTGTTGACTTCTGATACCAAGGCTCCACACTTTTGAAGGCCAGGAGAAGAAAGAGGCTATCTTTGTCATTTTACTTACACAGATACACAAAGAAGATGCATTCACCAAAGATCCCAATGGGGGGCCATATATGGTTCTAATTCCTGATACTTAACCATGGAAGTGGCAAATCCACACCCAATAGGACCTAAAATTTCAATATATAAACAACAGATGCTCTGATCCCACCCAACCACTGCTATGACTTCTTCCCATTAGGTTTTGGTGACTGGCAAGGCTGGTTATATGGAGAAGCCGCACGTGCATCGCCTAAGCTCGATAAGCTCCTCAGAGTTTGACCGTTCCTCGTCATAAATCCACCCTGAGTTCTAACCCCATTCTTGGAATTCAAGTTCGACTTGTTGCGCTCCGCTTGCATAGTCTGGAAGAAGTAAGAAGAGCTGGCCATGTCTTTCAAGCTTGGTAGAGGCTTTAATGTGTCAACTACCTCACTCATTCTAGGCCTGGCTTTTGGATCGCGGCTGAGACACTGCCCTGCTAGTTGTATAGCCTTCTGAGCACCTTTGATCGAGAAATGGCCTTCGAGACGAGGGTCTAATAATCTGTAGAACCTTTTTCTGTCGGCAAAATGCGGCCTTGCCCATTCCACTAGGTTGTGCTCCCCGTTAGGTCGGTTCTTGTCCATGGACCTCCGACCAGTTAACATTTCTAGTAAAACTACTCCGAAGCTGTATACATCACTCTTTGACGTCAAGTGTCCTGAACCAGTAAGGAAACTTGTTAAGAGTAACATCAGGTGGAGACTGGAGTATAAGCTCTTGTCTCATCTAACTCTTACAATAACACCAATAAACATATTCAAGCATAATATAGTTTCAAGTTTAAGAATGTTGCTTTAAGGATATTATAATTTCAAAAGTTGCGACACATATTTTACAGCATAATTTTTAGCAAGGAGGTAGGTATCTTGGTTAACAGTAAGACTAATTCGTGACCAATTTCACACCGATGCAAGAACAAATTGTCCAAGGGAAAAGCAGTTCAAAATCCAACTCACCAGTCATCACATACTCTGGGGCAGCATAGCCATATGTCCCCATAACTCGCGTAGATACATGAGTCTTATCTCCCTCGGGACCATCCTTTGCAAGGCCAAAGTCGGAAAGTTTGGAGTTGTAGTCCTAACAAAACGAATATGAATGGTTGTTAGCATTTGCAGGAAATATAAGGAAATACATTTCATAACAGTTGAAATAATCACATACCGCATCCAATAAGATGTTTGATGTTTTGAAATCACGATATATTACTGGTCTTTCAGCTTCTTCATGAAGAAATGCAAGACCTCTAGCAGCACCAAGTGCGATTTTCATTCTGATTGACCAAGGAAGTGGCAAGGATCCTGCTGCATAAAAAATGGTTGTTACCAGAAAAACATTACAAATCTTCCAAGAATCAACTTAACAGACAGCAACCTTTGGAACTTAATATTTGCCTTGCCCAATGCCCCAGAACAATTCAGTCTGTAGATTTAAAATACAAATAATTCTAATTAAAGAATCTAAAGATATTCTGATTTCCATGATTATGACAGTCCAATCAACAAAATCACTAAGGCCACCAGATGCATGCTCTCCATTTAGGGATCTTGCAAACATGCTACAGTTATTAGCTCATATGACTAAAGAAACCTAAATCTACGATCCATTTAGTTGTTTAGCTGCTGAACACTAGTAGCCATTAAAATCTACAGTAACTAATGTTAAATCCTTACAACATACCTTACTGACCTAAAAATCTAGCAATCAAAACTCTGCCTGAACATTTTTAATTACTGCTTGATTATAACTTTTGACATAAGCATGAATAACATAAAAGATTTTAGACCCCAAGCAAAACAAAGCAAGCTCAAAAAGACTTCACAGTAGTTTCCAAGGCCACATACTCCTGAAGAGGTGGTTCTCCAAGCTTCCACGAGGCATAAACTCGTACGCCAGCAGCCTTTGGTCGTCTTCAATGCAGTAACCAATCAACTTGACCAAATTCGGATGGAGAAGGTTCCCAAGAAAATTAACTTCGGCCTGAAATATAGAGGATTACATACATCAACAATTCAACAAATGAAAAAACAAAAGAATCAAAGAACAAGATAAAAAGATCACATACAAGCCACTCTTTATGACCCTGAAGGCCATCATGGTTCAGGGTTTTCACTGCGACAGTGAGACCGGTTCCTGGTTTAACTGGAGCAGTCCCATTCTCCTCAATCCACCCTTTGAAGACACATCCAAAACCACCCTCCCCTAGCAGACTTTCGGGCCTGAAGTTCCTAGTCGCTAGTTTAAGGTCATTGAACGTGAACTTCCGCAGCTGAGAAGCAAGCCTTAGTTCCTCGCTGAATTTAGGTGTTGATGCTGTACTCTCTGCATTACTAGTAGTCGTAGACGACAATACTGGGACAACTGGTTGGTCTTTGATTTTCTCATTTGCAGACTGGCTTTCAGCTGAAAGGGGAAAGAAACATTAGCAGAACAATTCAGTTGTACTAGATCAACCATGAAGATGAAGCATAAACATCAAGTAAACTCTTTGAAGGAAGAGTTCGGCCCAAAAAGAGGGTTCCATCTATTGGACTACGATAATATCCCAATCGGCTCTTCTCAATAAGGGTTTCATCTATTCCAGTCAACACTCCTACGTAGCTTTCCAAAATTAAGCAAACCTATGACAGTTTGACCAACTTAACAACCAGGCATCTTATGCATAATCCAAACCATAAACATAGACCACATTAAATTCACCCGCTTTCTCCTTTCCAAGCCTTGTACTTGCGATCTCAGGCAAGACAAAAAGGGCAAAAAGGACGAAACACCGGTATTAAGTTAAGCATCCTTAATTACCAAAGAGACCAAAAACATCTGATCATGCAGCACAAAATTTCACCGCCTGTCGTAAACTCAGCCCAAAGATGTTAAACAGAATCAATTTGACTTTTTATTCCATATCTAATTTGAGATATAAAGTAATTAATCCACATGAATAACATCACCAAAACAAAAGGGAACAGTTAAAGCGGGATTCATTTACCATATTGATTAGTGATGCCACTCAAGGAGCTATCAACTTTTGATCTTGAAGGCATGCAACCACCGATCAGCCTCAATCTAATCCAGCAGCCAAAATCTTCCTCTGACCTATTCTTACCCACCACAACATCTCTCTGCTTCTTCTTCTTGTTGTTGACCTTTGATTTCACCTCAAACTGCAACTTGGGTTTGGAAGAATCAGGACCCAGACCCATCTCCAGAAAATAGTGAAAAAGGTAGGGGGAAAAAACAAATCTCTACCTACAGCTTAAACCTAAAACCATGGAGAAAAGGGAACCCATTTCATAAACAAGTCTTATTTGCCCATTATAATCAAAAGACAGAAAGGAAAGGGGGTGGTGAAATGGATTAGAGATTAGAACAAGTGATACCCAGCTCCCAGTTGTGAAGTTCTTTTTAGTCAAAAAGGAGGTTTGATAGATAGGTAGGGAGAGAGAAGGAGAGGGAGTGCTTGTGAAAGAGGGAAAATGAGAAGTTGGGGCAGGGAGGGTGGGCAAGTATTGAAACCAGAGAATAAGGGGCAGGTTGGGGCAAGAGAGAGAAAGGAAGAGGTAGAAAAACTGAAAAAGGGTGGAGACTGGAGAGGGATTGGTCATACCATACCAACAGTAAACCTTGGCATATTCCAGACAAGAAGAAAGAAAGAAAACAAAACTGAAAATTCATCATTTGATTATGATTAATCAATTAAAAAAAATACACCATGTACAAATAATACTGGATAATACTATTCTAAATACAGAGGCACAGCAGCACCATTTGATCACATCCCCAAAGACTTGATTTTTATTTCTTCCCAATTATATATTTTTAGCAATAAAAAAAAAGGGTGGGAGGTTCATGAACTGGTCCATTCACAGAGTGCCACATTTGGGGTTTTGCTGGTGGTGTGGTGAGTTCCCTCACCTTCTCCCCCAATCCTCTCAAAGTCAAATAATGCAAGCTGCAAGTGCTGCAGCAGAGAGATCCCCCCCAAAAAGGCCGAGTTAGTTGCTTACTTGCTGGCTGCACACAAAAAAATGGCTGTTACTATCAAAAACCTCTTCTGTTTCTCTGGGACATCCTTTTTCTCTTTTGGTTAACTCTCTGGGTTTGTAAGGTTTGTATCACTTTCAGATTGGTGCAATCAGTTGTTTTTCTCCATGGGGATACTAGGGAAATGAAATGACAGTAATGTTTGACAGATAAAGGATAAGTCTGCAAGAAACAGATATTGAAGTTTGGTGGAAATAAGGTAAAGTATTTTGGAAGGCCATGCTCACTCAGTATATTAGCTAGGAATGTGTATGGCCGTATGGGCATGGAGAAGGTAATTTAGGGTGTGAGTATTGGTCCAATCCTCAATCTGACAGTACTTAACCATACAAAATAAGGTATTCTTCATAGCAATAGCATTTCGCAAGTAATCATTCTTGAGCAACATTATATCTCATGAACATGGTATATTGGTATGTTCTTTCATCCTACTGAAAAACCTAATGATGTTTTAATATAACACGGGAGGGTGATAAGTAGTCGCGAGGAAAATACTCATCATCATGTTAGTACACAAGCATAAAAATGAAATAAGTTTGTCCATAATTATTTGCCTGGGGTAGAGAATAGAAACGAATTCACAAGCTAAGCTAGCCCTGATTAGCTTGATCTTCCAAGTTTTCCACATCAAAATAAAATGTTTTTCTACAACTAAATACAATTTTTTAGTTGCTAGAAACATTTTAAAAAAGAAAGTAAAACCATTTTGTTCATCGTATTATAAATTATAGATTTTATATTAGCAGTCCAATAGCAAGCTAAAAACATTATGTTTGACAATCTAATTTCAAATACTTCTTATATTAAAAGTCTAACAAATGCTTGAAATACATATATTGTCATAATAATTAGAATTAAAGACTTCATTTATAAAGCATCTATTCCTTTTTGTATGACTAAACCTTTTTTTTTTTTTGGTCACAATCAAGTGGGGAAAACTCATTCATAAGTTCAACTTGGTGGTTGAAGTTTTGTGAGGCCATATTGAAAACTAAATACAATAATTAATTGGCTATGTGCAAATTAAATTAATTAAACTCATCCGACATCCGAACATTCATTATTGTCTAGTCTCATTCTTTACCTCAAACACAAGTCACAACACTTATTTGGTCTTCCATTGATGGCTACGTGGCAAATGAAATTATCCACGTTTTTATATTTTAAGCAATTGACATTATGTAATTCGGGTGGGATCCTAGTTATCTCCACTAACTTTCACATCTTCTAATCTATGAAGAAAAAGGACACCCTACAAAGTTGTCAATGCAAACTTTAAGTTTGTTTACACAGAAAAATAGGTTCAAGATGGAAATTTGTCATTGTAAGGAGGATTTGAAAGTATCGATAAGACTGCCTAATCTACTTCTATACAAGGACTCCAAGGTAAGAAATTTGTTTGATTGAGATCCAAGTGGACATCAAAAGGGTGTCTATCATAGAGGTAATTAAAAGAAATTATACTTTACTCAGTTTTTTTAGTTTTACAACTTCAAAATCACCAAGAAATATAAATTAGCCCGATGTTACGACTACTGAGATCTTTTAAACTTGCCAACGAATAAGGTCATCTAGGAAATCTAGTCAATTGAGATCATGTTATACTCTTTTATTTGTTTTAAGACCTCAAAATCACAAGGAAAATATAAATTGGCTACAAGCTCAACGCAATAGAGCTTGTAAGACCTTTTAGACTAGCCAATGGACCATGCCATAGAACCGCTCAAACGTCCAGCCATCTTCTAACCATATGACCTTAATCCTCGACAGCTTATCTGCAAGAGAACAAGCCTAGGTCGTACGTATCCACAAGGTCCCCTACATACAGTGGCGGAGCTGTGCATACTTGAGGGGGGTGCATGCACCCTCCTTGGACGGGAAAAAAAATCCAATATATGTTAGTAGGAAGCAAGGATCGAATCACTAATTTAGTGGTTGACAATGAGAAATCTTTACCATCTTGAGTAAGAGTTTTTCATTTATAATACATACATGTTTAATTATATTAATTATCTGTCCTAATATCAAAACGCAAAACTTTAATCGTCTATCCCAGCAATCCCCAGTTACAATTTCGTTCTTCCTCCACCCAGCGGTAGCAGAGGCGCTGCGAGTTGCAAGCCGAGCTCGTCCAACCTCCAAGCTATCCATCCTCCAGCCCCCATGCTCTCCATCTCCGGCTCCAAGCTCGCCGAACCTCCACCCACCACCCATATTTCCGGCTCCTACCCAACAAATCCAAACTATTTCTAGGCTCCAGACTTTCATTCTCCGTCCTTCACCTCCAAAAATCCTTCTCTTTTCAATCGTGAGCAGGGTAGGGGAGCAACAAGCCAACAACACAAAATTACTTTGTTTGACATCATCAATCTTTAACAACAAAGTAAAATCTAAGTTTTAATTTCAATTACTTGAAAATTTTATTATTTGTGTTAATTTAGGGTTAGGTTTGTGTGTTTGTTATACTCAATTTCATCTCCAAATTAACTACATAGACTGAATTAGTCATATAATGAAGTTGATTTTCATATTTTCGTTTAGAGTTGACTTTTCTATTATATAGTTGATTTTTTCATGACATGAAGAAGCACCCCCTTGGCCAATTTTCTGGCTCCGCCACTGCCTACATAGCAATTGGAACCAAAGCTTAAGGTCTTCTTAAGGCGAGATTACATGGTGCTTGTGACATACGCATGAATGAAATTGTCGGTCCACATAAAAGCTACACTGCCTTCCAATGCATACCACTTGCGACGTAGTTATCTTGGCTGTTACAAAGAAGCAGGAGGTTTGAACCTCGATCGACTATGTCACAAGTTCGTAGCATTTAGGATCACATCTGTCATTTCAGAAACGTAATTCGAGTTTTCCCATCATACAGGCCACAATGACCAATCCATCATCAGATTGATGGATGAGGACGCACCCACAGCTGTTACCATTCAATACCAATCCCACCATGATGCCGTCTTGCTAAAGCTTAGAAGTGTTTAGTCCCTTGCATATACTGTTCACATTCATCAAACCACACATTCATAAAAAAAAAAAAAAAGGAGAGTGGCAACTAACTCACAGATCTGACAAATGATATCACCCTGAGTTCATCATAGACATGGAGGAAGGTTAGTATTGAGGGCCTCCAGCCGAGTTAAACCAAGGTGGTTCACTTTATGTCTCGAGCCAAGTCAGGGTTCCCATCACCAAATACTTGCTTGGTAGCTCACCAGCAGTCGGTGACAGGTATGTCATTTTCCTCCTGCAACATGTTTGTACATGCCACTTCAGATATATAGGCATGATCCAGAACTTTGGATAACAGAGGTTTCAAGTAGTAGAAAGCAGATAAAGCTCTAACCTCTGAAGATCAATGTCAGTCACGTAGATGAACCCAGCAACATTACTGCAAACCAAAACAGTGAAGTAAACTATCTCTGAAACACAACTGGGAAAAAAGAAAAAAATAGAACTACTCTTTCTTGCGAATTTAATTGATTTACCTAGAGGAAATTTGATCTGGTTCTTGTGCATATGAAACAGCTAGGACAACATGGAGCAAATCACCGTCAATAGTCACAGGTGCAACTCTCAGAGGGTTGGCAACTGGGTCCGCACCTATCGGGAGAGCAGATCTCGGGGCTTGTGGTCCCCCACCAACTCGGTATACGAACAGATCATTGAAGTTTGCTATATTGGAGTGCGGGGATAGATCATTTGAAATGCCATAATAGTATTCCTGGAAAAGATAAACGTCTTTATTTTTTCAGTAGTGCGTTTGGAAGAAATAAGGAAACATGTTTGGCAGAATCACAGTGAGCTTACCCTGATCCTGAAACTCCTGGATCTCTGGCGGAGTTTCTGAGTTCTGGATACTACACCACCTGACTTCTGAAGTTTGACTACATCCACGTTAGGCTTATTCCTTAACACATCCCTCAGCATGCTGAAAAGTTTTTCCTGCATAAAGTTTAAGGCATCAAAACTCAAAATTTAAGAACTTTGAGTTCAATTGCAGAAGGCTAATTATGGTCATTGAAAATACACTAAAAGGAAGCAACAAAAGCAAATGACAAAGAGCTAGATGATAGGCAGCCAATTCCAAAGGCACTGATTATCTACCTGGCCCAAAACCAAGACAACATTTGCTTGAAATGTATCGATGGCATGAAGAAGCAGCTGCAGAAAATAACAAAAACATTGAAGTGGTTTCACTTGCTTGATAGAAAATTATCAGCATTTTGAGAACAAATGTATTACTCTCTCACGGCATGTAAACAACGGTTACCTCATAGCCTACGCCTTCTATCCATCCCATTGTATTGATCACCATGCCTGCAGCACGAGATTCAGCATTTCCAGTAAATTGTTTCTCCAGTACTTCGGCTAGCTCCTTAACAAGTGTTCTATATAACTCCACATTTTGACTACAACAGTAGAAATTCATATCAAACAGAATAAAGTTGTGAGCAGTCTATTGCAGTATTACTAACAGAGATTCAATCATAAGCCACAGCCAGATCGTTATTTACCTGGGAGTTGTGTGGCCATAAAAATAAACTAGAGGCATTTCCAAGGGGATGCCTTCAACAGGGTCGATAGGCAACTCTATGGGGGTAGCAGCAATGCATCCAGGAATTGTAATAGCCCCTTGACCCACATCCAAGTCGACGAAAGTAGGTTTCCAGCCTTGTTTGGCTGCCCAACTGAGCAGCATCCTAGACAATGAGCTCTTTCCAGAATCCGTAGGTCCCACAACAATCACCCTAGGACCCTATATTCAGCACAAGTGAATTCAACAATCCAAGCCTAATAACTTCATTACCAAGGCAAGTACTTCCTAAGCTTGACATCAAATTGTAGTCATTGTTGCTTATGATGACATTTGATAGCCACGATAGTTCTGGAATTTGCCTCCAAGAACTGATAACACACAGAGATGGCCTAGCCCAGACCAAGGTGGATAAGAATGTATACCTGAGTGTGTTCAGAGTCACCTGAAGAAGAAGCTTTGGCTTGGATCCTTCGCCCCTCAAGTATAGCATGCACATTGACATAACTAACCATAGGTGTCTGGAAAACCAAGTACAGGGATTGAATTTGCTAATTTCAACAGAAACCCAGAAGGCCTAAAGAAGTAAACATGCAGTATATTCAAACCTCATCAGCTGTGTAGTCGGTTTCTGTGGCGCCATCCAGCTCAATTGTAGCTCCGTACCAAGTAAACACCTTTAGAATCAATCAACGAAACCCAGTTAACGAGCTTGAAAACAGATAATCCAGTTCCCAAATTTACTTGCAGTAAAGATTCGAGATTTTACAGCGAACTTCAAGCGGGGAGGGAATGTGAGCCAGATTTCACGTGGAAGCTCAGTGCCAAAGATTTCAGCTGTACCGTTTAGGAGCCTCAATCGAAGCGGTGTCTCGTGGGCGGCTTCAATTCTAAGTTCACTCTCCTTTTCTAATTTCACTTGCCTCATTGCCGGCGCAGCCGCCGCTCCGGCTGTCATCGCCGAGCCCGTACCACCGTATGCCATGTCGTCCCCTTTCCCAACTGTAAACAGTCTTCCGCTGCCACCTTCTTCCACCCTCTGCTCGAAAGCTTCGGGCAAGCCGTTGCCGCGACTTGAAGTCAACAAACTGAATTGGCGATTTTGGAATTTTCTAGGATTGACGCCAGAAATGGAACGGACAGATTGAATTAACGACAGAGGAATGAGGTTTAGGGTTTTGGTACGCCGCAAGACAGACTGAAGTGTTACGTCTGTTCCATTTTCCGATGAACAAAAATTTTCACATGCAAGCCGGCACCGTTTCACATTGTTCAAATTAAGGGTATACACTATACATTAGTCCGTTTGGTAAGATTTGACCATTTTCGACCAAGTAATCTATACGTTACATTTTAAGAGTAAAATTTATCAATTTCGTCTACGTTTAAATAAGTTTGATCGATCATGTTCGAATAATACCCACCATATAGTTATTATTGTCTAAGTATTCAACAATATAGTTACGAATAATAGGGTTCAGATAATTATTCCACCTGAATCTTGGCCAATAGTCCTAATTCCTAAACATTTGGAAGCTAAAGAACATGATGAAACAAACACACCCCTCAACTACATGGCTAGCTATAAACAAAAAGCTCAATCAAACGTCAAAAACCCTCTCTTGACCAACAAAACCGAAAGCAACCGCCCTATGCAGCAGTAAGAGCACTCTTTCAGTTCAACACACCAGCAGCAGCTGGTTCCACAGCAGCACCTTCTTCATCTTTGGTCGATGATAACGCCTCCCAGTTCACTTCCCTCAACAGCTTAAACCTCTCTTCCAATCTCAAAAATCCAACTTGAGGGCACACTAGACCCTCACTCCCAGCTCTATGGAGCAACACCATGCTCCCACCGATGTCAGGACCATGCAGCTTCCCAGTTAGCAGCACCCTCAGCGGCATAAACAAAGATTTCCCCTGCCCACCACAAAACCGAAAAACAAAACGAAAAGATCTGTTAGGATCAATCGCTTCAATTAGTTTTAGAGACTTGGGGGCAGGCACAAAGGCGTTACCTTGCGCTTTGTAGATTTACCAAAGTCCTTCACCCAACTCTTCCACCCGGAATGACCTCCTTCTAGAGCAGTAATAAGCTCCCCGCTGTCAAATGCTGCCAACAGCTTCTCTGCTACTTCAGAAAGTTTGTCTTCTACAACAGCTTTACCTTCAGCACTGCAAACATGGCAATTCATCAGCTGAATAAGAAATCATTTCTTAATAATGCGGTGATTTATTTTCTTGCAAGTTAAGACAATTCATCAGCACCATTCCGGTTACAAGAAAAGGGCATTTTTGTTGCCAGTAAGTCAATACTAACTAAGGATATTGCTCCCAGAACTTTTTTTAACACTTAAGTATGGAGAATTCGGTGTGTGTAAAAGGGGTTTGAGCTTGCGGATCACCTCATTAACGTCTCTTGTAAGGGATATGACAACAGATTCAACATCACTTTGTCTGCATCAGGTACCAAATCTATGCCATCCTTAAGCAGATTAACAGCCTCCTGTTTGTAGAAGGTGGAACATTTAAGCAGTAAGAATTCAGATGAAAATGACAGCCACAAGCGGCTAAACTTCAAATAAATTGATCATTCAGCTGTCAAGTGTAAATGCTTCAGTAGCAAGAGTGGTAAAGTTCATGTACAAGTAGAATGTACCTACAGGTGCAGAGATTCTTACTTCTATAAAAGAACCCTGGGACTCCATTAGGATTCCAATGTTCTTCCACCGTTCACCTATAAGCTTTGTCAATTTCTCAGATGGAAGCGCTTTTAAATGCTGGCCATTCATCCACCTTTAGTTTGCACATACATTTGAGAGAACAAACTTTAGGAAACCAATTTAAAGTTAACTATGCTTTGCAGGGTAAGGAAAGTAACAGTTAAGTAGCCTTATAATATGCCATCCATCTCAAGGAAGCATTAAACATGCACTATACCAAGCAACATGAAGGGATAAGTACAGCCTACAGAAGATATTCCAGTAATATACAATGCAATTTTTCCACCTAATCCAATAATTGGATGGACTCAAAAACAGAGCCAGTGGTTGAATATTCTTAATTACCTCAACTTAGTGGAATCAAACACGGCGCCACTTTTGTTAACACGATCAATTGTGAACTTTTCAACTGCAAATGAAATTAGAAGTTAAACTACATCCACTAGCTTACATAAAAATTCCAATAAATGATGAAGGAACGGACCTAGTTGTTCAAGGCTGTAAAATTCATTTTCAGTGCCATCCCCCCAACCTAAAAGTGCCAGGTAATTTATCATTGCTTGGGGAAGGTAGCCCATCTCCTTGAACTGTGAAAAAAGTAATTGTATAAATGTTAGAAGACCCGAAAGAAATCACCTTAAGGAGTCTGTGGACAAAAATGTCAATACCCCATATGACTTCCAATAAAGTAAAACCATTCTTTCCAAGCAAGATGTGAAAGGATTCATTAACTACCTGACCAACTGAAGTTGCACCATGCCTTTTCGATAGCTTGCTACGATCAGGTGCTAGAATTAGGGATACGTGTGCAAACTGAGGCATCGGAAATCCAAGAGCCTGAAACAGAATGAAAGTAGTTCCTCAATCTGTAATAAAGGACCAAGTGACTGAGTTTTTTTAGGAGCATGAACATCAATACCTGATATATTAATGCTTGCCTCAGAGTATTTGGCAAATGCTCTTCAGCCCTGAAATGCAGATGTTGAGCATGAAATCAACAGGTTGTGTTTGTGTCTGTTTGTACTTATATCATCCCTACCAAAGTATCAAGTGATTAGGTCAGTTACCTAATAACATGTGAGATAGCCATGGTAGCATCATCCACTGTGACACAAAAGTTGTAAACGGGTTGTCCATTGCTCCTCATGATTACAAAATCCCCAAGTGTGTCCAGATTCCAACTAACCTTCAGAACACTATCCAACATACTTAGAAACTCGTAAACGGAAAAACTCAAGATGGTCAGTTGAAAAAAGGATTCAGAACGGGTTCCAGCAATAACATCAAGCTCGGGGTAAAAGAACTACTCTAAACCTAACTACAAAGTTGTTCTTGAGCAAGATTCTCCAATGCAGAACAAAGTCAAGCAGGCTAAATTGACCAATTATAATGAGGCATAGAGTTCTTTTTCTAGTTGGCAATAGGATGGAAATGGAAGAGACAGATGCCTAGTCGATTGTTACTTACTTCACCCCGAATGAGATCATTAATTTTCAGATTCCCATGCTTTGGAACACGGAAACGGTAGGTATATGGGGTTCCCTTTTCTATCTCATGCATTACTTCATCATCTGTTGCAGTAGCCCACTTTCCGGAGTATACAGGAGGTAGTTGTTTCAATTGTGCTACTTCCTTCATCTTCTCAAGTTCCTGGAAAGAATGTGACACCAAATTTTGGATTAGACAAAGGCCCTAAGATCAACCAATGATTTATATAACCTCAGCATCAAATAAACCAGCTACATAAGCAGATCCCAGGTCAAGAAGAGCCTATGAGGATTTAGGAAAATACTTTACTCTCTTAAAACCTGACCAATCCAAAGAAATAATAAAACGGCTCTGGACTTTGTTGGGTAAACAAACCATATACAAGTAATACCTCTTGGATTTCTTATCAACCTTCTTTAATATTACCAAACTCTGGTTTTTCCTCTTTAGTAGAGGATCACTTTCTCATGTGAACTACAATGGTGACAATTTCATCACTGAAACGAAGGCAGATGACGCAAGTCATGGCTTGAAGAAAATTCTACCTCACTGGAACAGAAGCAACGGTAAACATGACCAGACTCCAAGAGCCTCTCAGCATGTTGTTTATAAAGAGAATTCCTTTCAGATTGCCGATACGGGCCATAGTCTCCATCAATCCCAGGACCTTAGACCACAATAACGCACAAGAGAAACTTTCAGAATCGTAATCAAGAAAATCAAGTCATTTCAAGTTAGTCTAACAGGTATGCACATGTAAGGTGATGTTTTAATGCATAATTCAGCTGCTAACAGGTAATGCACATAGAAAATAACCGCCTTCTTTAGGAAACTGTAGATCACAGCAAGCCACAAACTTTCATAAATGGGGAGTTCCTACTTGAAGCTGAATTATCTAAAATCGGTCATTTCATGAAGTGGCATTGAGAAAGAACGAATGAAGGAGTTGAAAGAGACCTTCATCCCAATCAAGACCAAGCCAAGCAAGATCCTGGAGCACGGCCTCTTCAGATTCTCTAGTCGACCTCTCCAAGTCGGTATCTTCAATCCTCAGCACAAATTTACCACCTTTGGACCTGGATGGAGAAGTTTCTAATGTAACTATGACAAGAGAGTAAAGATGCACGAAATGTGGAGTGAGGGGGCAGAGCGAAAAACCTTGCAAAGAGATAATTGAAGAGAGCAGTCCGAGCACCACCAACATGAAGATTCCCAGTAGGAGAAGGAGCGAAACGAACCCGGACTTGCTGGTGTTGATCAGCAGTAGACTTGGAGGCAGAAACAGAGAACTTCCTCGCGCTCCACGTCCGAGAGGGGGAAGGCGCAAATGAAGAGAATCGCAAGGCAAGAGGTTTCAGAACCGGGGATCGAGTAGCGGAATGGAGGGGCAGATGGCAGAAATCAGGGATTACCCTGCTGCCCATCCTCATCCATGACGCCGTTCCAGTAGCGGCTGCTATCGAACTTGCCATTGTCGCCCCCAAAGATCCCTATAGCCTGTACCATGGCAATTTCAAACCAGAGATATTCCTATTATACTCTAGAATGGAAAAACCCGAAATTTGGGGCTGAAAGCTTAATTCTATCGTTCTGGAACGGAAAATAAAACGAAGATTGCATCGAGGGTAAAGTGCTTAGAGTTGCAACACCTTTAATTGCTTCACGTCAGCGGCGGCGGCGGATGAGCGAGCCGGTTCTGCTAGAGAAGGGGACGGAGAACAGAGAGATGGAAGGGTCAGAACTCAGAAGATAAAATCCATTCCAAGCGGGAACCAGCGATATGGCCCGCAGCAGAAGAAGTAGTTGGATCGAGATGGGCTAACTGATGATTGGATTTAGGGCTGGAAATCCGGTCCCGGTTTTCCGGTCAAACCGGAAACCGCCCAGTTTAAACTGGCCCAGTTATAACCGGAAACCGAATACCATTTAACCCAATCCAGTCTGCGGTCAGAGTCTAGGGGAAAAAACCGCCCCAGTCCCGGTCCAATTTGGTCCAGTTTTAACCGGAAACCGGATAATTGCCCGTATAGCCCATAGCCCACTCCCAAAGCCCACGGCCCGCAAAACCCTAAAAATCGATCACCTCCAATGCTCCAACACTCCGTCGCGCGCTGCTTACGCTTCTTCATGTTCTCTTTCTCCAACATTCTTCCTCGTTTCCCTCTTCTCTCCCTTCGGCCGACTCACCCTCTTGCGACGAACGGTCAGTCGAGCTCAGCCCTCGTTCTCTCTACTCTCCCTTATTCCGCCTCACCCTCTGCCTGACGAAAGCTCAGACGAGCCCAGCCCTCGTTCTCTCTACACTCCGGCTACTTCACCCTCTGGTCGATGAACGCTCAGTCGGAGGAGGGAACATCTCAGCCAAGCCTCGATTCGCGTCTCTCCCGACATGCAAGGACCTAGATACTCCCGTCATGGCACCATCCAGCGGATCTACGACGATTCCCCAGTCAGCAAGTTCCTCACCGAGATCTGAACTTTGCTGTCGAATCGACGCTGAGGAAGTCGGCGGCGAGGCGATGATTTTGGAATTCGCTAGAATCCGATCTCCTATCCGAAAGGAGAGGCTAAGGCGCACCCATCCTCTTCCTCCGACTCTTCTTTGCCAGTGTCGTCATCTGGAACTCCGCCAACAATGCTTTGCCAGCATCGATGAGAAAGCAGAAAAGAATAGGTTGGGTTAATTTTGTTCACGAAGAGGCAGAAGGAGAAGAATAATCGCTAAGGGAAGAATTAGGGATTGTGTTTCAATAAAAAAAAAATTAGAGATTGTTCATTTGTGATTGTGCGGGTGGGAGGTGGGGTTTGGGAGATAGTTTTTTTTTAATTTCATTCAAACGGTAGCGTTTTTGGGAGGATCCAATTTTACCCAGTTTTTTGTTGAAACCGGACCGGATTGGATCCCATCCAGTCCGGTCACGGTTGAAACCGGGTATCCGTCTTCGGTTGTGCTGTATGCCAAAACGTTTCAAAAAACCGGGTTAATCCGGTCCGGTTTTAACCGGACCGGACTGTTTCCCACCCCTAATTGGATTAATACAAACATTGGTCTTTAAACTTTGATACTTTCTCAAATAAAGCGTGTGAACTTTATGTTTTACTAAACAAGGTCTCGAATGTTGTTTCTTCCCTGTCCACATCGTCGTCAAAGATGATAGAATTTGACGTTCAATGTAACCCCTCACATCGTCAAAGTTTAATTTTCTCGAGGATAAAGGGTGTGCAATGTCCAGTTTGGTCAAAACATGATAACTGTAGTGCAATAAGATTATTATTGCATTCATTACAGGCTCTTTCATCGGTAGTTTGTTTGATTACGAACTACCGCGGTTTTTCTATTTTAGTCTTGTTATTGAGTCTTGAGTCGAGTCTTTGTCCATGCCCTTTGGGCTTGCCCTGGAAAAAAATTCTTTAATTCGAAGCAAGAAATTATTCAATAATGTTTTACTCTTGGAGTACCAATTTGTTAATTAACTCAAGGATAAGTTAGACATATTTATCTGACAAAGTCATTTACGAGATAATTTTTCTCATGATACAAACTAGCTTAATTAGAGCTTACGATCGAATACGAAAAGTTTCAAAGTATAAATGCAAAACTTATATCGATCCTTGATTAGTTAACTAGATTGTAGTCTCAAAACAAGGGGTGGAGGCATCGACCTCTCATCGGCTGACAAGTGAATTTTTTTTTTTTTTTGACAAAAGATAATCATATATTGATACCAAAACATAGATAGTTACACCCTGGAACCAAGCCAGGCCCGAAAATCAAAGGAACGACTCATAGTCGGGTACAAAGAGGGCTTTTCTAGCCACCATATGGGCTACCCTATTACTGTCTTCGCGATGATTAAAAGCGACAATCATTGTCCGCCCTACACTTTTTGCTTTTTGGGCTCACAGAGTTTTCCTTCATTATGAATAAAAGCGACAACTTAAATGGGATGAATTTCTAATTCTTTAACACTCGATTCTTTCATCTCTATTCTACAAGCTAAGATTTATCAATTTCATTGTTGAAAATGAAAATTTAACACGACATATTGTCTAAAATTATATGTCAAACAATAATGTTTCAATGGTTTCATCTATTCACATTTTGTGGTTCTAAATTCCACATATTTCAACATTCCACTAGAGGTCAATATTCTTTTCATTCAAAGGACTCCAAATAATCATACAACTGAAACCAACACACTCACAACCATATAACAATAAATAACATGTATTTGTTCATCACCATTGTGGAACCACCTTTCACGATTGACATCTCGTCGATACTTACACCAAACAACACCAAACACTTTGAATAATAATCCATCTTAAAAATGTTTTAGTCTACATAATAACATAAACTTCAAACTTTTGCATTAATGTAGAATGGTGTTTGATTTTGCATTCATGCTGATTAAAAATTGGTCAATATGTCATTTTGGGAGAAGAAATTCATGCAACATCCCATCTCGATTATCAACTGCCTAGTAGTAGGCTTGGCCCTTGACGTTAGCAAGCTAACATCATCTCTGGCATGGTATAATGCTCTTCTTCTTCTTGTCACATATCACACTATTATAACATTGAATCTTCAAATGCATGGTAACAATCATCACAACAATTCCCCTTCCTGAAGAACAACCCATTAAATTCACTCTCATTGTCTTCCTCCTCTTCTATTCCCTGTGAGTTTCCCATATAAACACCTCCTTCAACATGTTGTTCTCAAATCTCAATCACCAAGCCCAAAAAGCAAAAAGCAAAAAGGAAAAAAAAGGCTTTGTTTTCTCATCTTATCCCCCAAAGATGTAGCTATTCGGCACCAACATAGGTTCAACAATGGCGGCACTAATGTTAGGGTGGACAATGTTCCAGCAATTCTTCCCTTACCATCCCCTTAACCGCTTGCTTGAATTGTATACCCTAAAGATCGCCGCTTTCTTCTACCCTTACATCCAGATTACCTTCCTGGAGTTCACCAGCGACCGCCTGACACGGAGCGAGGCATACGTCACCATCCAGAACTATCTCGCTGCGATTTCCTCTGCCACCGCTAGGCAACTCAAGGTCGACTTCGTCAAAGAGAATTGCGACTCTGTCCTCCTCGCCATGGATGACTACGAGGAAGTCACCGACGTGTTCCACGGCGTCAAAGTCAAGTGGTCTTCCATGAAGATTGTTCGTCCCTCGCAATCGGTGTCGTTCTACCTTGCAGCCGACGAGCGGTGGTCCTTCACCCTCACTGTTCACAGCCGCCACCGTGAGTTAGTGACCAGCGGTTACATAGCTCATGTGTTGAAGGAAGGGAAGGCAATTGCGTCGAGGAATAGGCAGAGGAAGCTTTATACTAACAATTCGAGCAGCGAATGGTCTATGTATAACGCTACGAAGTGGAGCCATGTTGCTTTCGACCACCCTGCGAGTTTCGATACTCTGGCTATGGCAACGGGGCTCAAGGAAGGGATTAAGAAGGATTTGGTCAAGTTCCATCAAGGGAAGGACTACTACAACAAGATAGTTAAGCCATGGAAGCGCGGGTGGGTTTTCGTCTCTATGATTTCCCAATTTTTCTTGCCGATTTCAGAGTGCTGATTTTCTCTTCTTGGTATCTCGTCTACGGTCCGCCGGGAACGCGGAAGTCCACCATGATCGTCGCCATGGCCAATTTCCCGAATTACGACATCTACGATCTAGAGATGACGATAGCGAGGGACAACTCCAAGCTGAGAAAGCTGCTGGTCGAGACTACGAGCAAGCCGATCATTGTGATCGAAGACATAGATTGCTCGCTCGATCTCACTGGCCAGTGAAAGAAGGGCACGAATGGGGAGAAAAGCAAAGAAGAAGATGAAGCAAACGCAGTGGAAAAAGACCCTTTGGCCAGAATTAGGAAGGGAAATGGGAATGACGGGGATGAGGGAGAGCAAGGTGACACTCTTGGGCCTTCTGAACTTCATCGACGGAATATGGTATGCTTGCGGCGGAGAAAGGATCATCGTGTTCAGCACCAACTGCATTGACAGCCTCGAGTCGACATTGATTCGGAGAGGGAGGATGGACATGCACATCGAGATGTCTTACTGTTGCTTCCAGGCCTTCAAGCTGTTGGCAAGGAATTATCTGAATTTGGAATCACATGAGCTATTTGGAGAAATTGAGGTGCTCTTGGAGGAGACAAAGATGACTCCCGCGGATGTTGCAGAGAATTTGATGCTGAAATCGGATGACAAAGGGGCCGAGTTGTCTGAGAAACTTGATTGAAGCTCTTGAAGTTGCCAAGTTGGAAAAAGAAGCAGCAAAGTTGAAGGCCATGAATTCAGATTTGGAGCAAATGGTAGCAAAGTTGGAAGAAGCTGTCAAGTTAGAAGAAACAACATCAGAGCTGAAAGCCATGAAATCGGAGGAAAACGTAGCGAAGTTGGAGAGCAAACTGCAAGTGAAGGAGGAGAAAATGGTTGAAGACGGTGAGAAATGTGCTGCGGCGCCAGCACCATGATCGCAATGGAAGTAGAACTGTAGCTGTAGTAGCATTTCTAGGCTTGCAGTTTAACCGTAGTAGTTGAAACTTGAAAGAGTGATTCGCGAGATGATTTGTAGTTCACACTTCAAATAGTAACAGGTTCTAGAAAATGAACAAAAATGGAGTTGCGTACCTCTCGGAGATTTTATATAAAAAGGATAAATTACTAATTTAGTCACTAAAATTAGTTAAAAAATAAAAATCGAGAGCGCTCAAAGATCTCGCTCTGACTCGGCTCTAAAATCGAGAGCGCTCAAAGATTGCAACCAAGCATTGGAAATCGAGCCTACCGATTACAAATTTTTGCTCAGCAAAGGCAGGATCTTATTCGCCTTAAAAACGTACTCCACCGCTTTACACTAATATTAGTTCATCGAAAACAAACCTCTTCCCAAGCTCGGCGGTTGAAGGCAAGCTGGGACTTGGGAGCACAAGCAGAAAATGCTACTCAGGAAATTGCTGTTGGGGGGAGCTTCGGCTTCCCGGCGTCTCCTATTCAATAAGCCTCCGCCAGCGTCGCGATTACCATTGGCTTCCGGACGTATGCGATTCTTCTCTTCTTCTACGCAATCGGAGGGGCCGAATGATGGTTTTGTGACCGGTCAGGAAGGCGGCGATGAGCAGCCGGCTGCTACCATCACTGTCGATCGTTCCGGCCTCTACCATCCACCTGGTTGGTTTTTACTTCTCTCTACGACAGTCTAAAAATTTGGCAGCGTTTAGGTAGAGGGGAATCATGTTTGGTTAAAGCACTTTCCTTTTCTTTGGTGTGTGGCTGTTGCAGAGCATTCTCATGAACCCACCACGGAGAGTGAGCTGGTTAAGCACCTTAAAGGCATTATCAAGGTTTCGTTCTCGGATTCCTTGACGCTACTACGCTTTTGTTGAGTTACTGGTGGTTGTTATTGGTTTGTTCTTGTTTATGTAGTTGTCTTGCGTAGTGAGCAGAACGTGTTTGTCGAAATGTCTGTGTGAATAGGAGGGTAAGGTTCAATGAAAGCATAACAAATGTATGTTTTTATTCTGTTTTTGCATTCTTATTGCACCTTTAAACCTTGGACAAATATCATCTGGAGAAAGAAATGTTGGGTGCCATAATCTGGAAAGTTGAAAGCTTTACTCCAGCCTAGAGTCTAATGAGTAATGCTGTGGAAGGCATAATGTTGGTAAACTGTTGGTTTAATTGATGGGAGTTAGGAGATCAGTGAGCATTAGCTCATGAGAGAAAAATAATTATACTTCCCCCCCGCATTTTGCTAAAATGGCTTTCATGATCTTGAAAAGATTAGTAGAAGGGAGAAAGAGGGGGAGGGGAGTTGTATATGTGCTACTCTTTCCGATCCATTGTCTGTTGGGTTTCTTGTGCCATGACTTGTATGGGTTTGATTCTGTTTATGTTAATCTCAACATTTCACATACTGCTTGCTTCTTCGACGACTTATGGCTTTCAGTTTAGAGGCGGACCAATCTCAGTGGCAGAGTATATGGAAGAAGTTTTGACGAACCCTAAATTTGGCTTCTATATCAACCGAGATGTATTTGGAGCAGAGGGTGATTTCATAACCTCTCCTGAAGTCAGCCAGATGTTTGGGGAGGTAGTACTTCCTTAAGTTTGGGTCCTAATATTCTAGTTCATGTCGTTCAATGTTGGTATTGTTCATTGGTTTGACATGGGTTAGTTGGCTACCTCTGTGGCTAAAGCCTTTGCTTATTTGCTTCTCTGATGAGATATTAGATGATTGGTGTCTGGGTTATGTGTTTGTGGGAACAAATGGGACAACCCAAGAAAGTGAACTTAGTTGAACTGGGACCAGGAAGAGGAACTCTCATGGCTGATCTTTTGCGGGTATGCTATTCATTTTCAAATCATGTAAACTGGTGGACTCTTTTTTTTTTTTTTAACGAAGGAAACATGCAGAAAGAACCAACATATTGTACTAAATGGGATAGTCTTATTAAATACCTCTCAGGGCACAGCAAAATTCAAGAGCTTCAGGGACTCGATGCATATTCACATGGTAGAGTGCAGTCCAGTGTTACAGAAGCTTCAGCATCAGAACCTAAAATGTGAGAAAGTTTGCAATGCAGATGAAAATGGAGAAAAAAGCTCAGTTACATCGATCACAGGAAGTCCTGTAACATGGTATTCTTCACTGGAGCAGGTGCCATCTGGATGTATGAACTTATCTTATAGTACTAAGTTCCGTTTCAATTGCCACCGGCAGCATAAAATATGATCTACCTCGGTCTTCCACGGAAAGCTTTGATTGCCGATTATATTTGCTTTATTTGATAATGTTCCAGCACCAACAATCATCCTTGCACACGAGTTCTATGATGCTCTACCTATTCACCAGTTTCAGGTTTGTAAATTTGGCTGCTCCCTTGTTCAACTGAGCATTTGGATGGTTTTGGAGGATCAAAATAATTTCTGATCATCCGATAATTTGATGTTTTGCAGAGGTCTTCTCGCGGCTGGTCTGAGAAAATGGTTGACGTGGGAGAAGATTCAAAGTAAGCTTTCCTCTTTAGTTGCATCCAGAAGCACTGTTAGGCTTTCTGAACTGTGTGATTACAGCTTGATGATTCCTAATTTCTACTGCACTCAATTAGGTTGCGCTTTGTTCTGTCCCCTCAGCCAACACCAGCCACTCTTTACCTAATGAAGCGATGCAAGTGGGCCACTGAGAAAGAAGTAGAGAGTCTTAAACAAATTGAGATTTGCCCGAAGGCAATTGATCTGACTCATAAAATTGCACAGAGAATAAGTTCTGATGGAGGTGGTGCCCTCATAATTGACTACGGCCTCAACGGAGTGGTCTCAGATAGTCTGCAGGTGTGTTCTCTCACCATTGCTATTTCAATTATTTCTAAGAACTTGTCCAGCTTGTTTGTCCAAATCTCGTTCAATTTTATGCATGTAGGCGATCCGGAAGCATAAGTTTGTCAGCATCCTTGACGACCCTGGGTCTGCTGATCTCAGTGCTTATGTCGATTTTCCTTCCCTCAAGCACACCGCAGAGGAAGCTTCAGGTATTCCTGCCTTTTGTTATTCTCGTGTTAAGCTTGTCATCAGTAACTCGAACTAATAAGTTAGATCGTTGTTGCCAGACAATGTAGCTGTCCATGGCCCTCTTACTCAGTCTCAGTTACTTGGTTTACTGGGGATAAACTTCCGAGTGGAAGCATTACTAGAGAACTGCACAGACGAACAAGCTGATTCCTTAAGGACAGGATACTGGCGCCTTGTCGGTGAAGGGGAAGCCCCGTTCTGGGAAGGGCCAGATGAACTAGCACCAGTCGGGATGGGTACGAGGTACCTGGCAATGGCAATAGTGAACAAGAAGCAAGGCGCGCCTGTTCCATTCCAGTAGCTTTCTCAAAGCGCTTTTACAATTGAGTAGTGTGGAATTCACGAACTTTATCAGCAGGATTGGAGAAGAACTCAGACATTTTGCAGTCCTTGTGGGAGAAGGATTGAAGAAGAAGAAGAAGAAGAAGAAGAAGAAGAAGAAGAAGAGGGTTTACCCGGCCTGAACGTTTCGAGTTTCGTTTGTTTGTTTTGCTTCCGCTTTTGATAAGAACAATGCCGTTTGTGAATGGAGGGTTAGCCGTTAAGCTACAGCGATTAGCATTTGTAATAGCCAGTGAAACTTGGAGACTCTGTAATCTTGTTAAGCTATTTCTAACACAGAATAAATAGAAAAAAACTCTTAAATTTGTCGATGATTGTGTGTTAGTCTTTTGTAATTCACACACACCACAACCGCTCATTTTTCTCACCTCGAGCATATTTGACAATCATTCATCTCACAGTCACATACCCTTGCTCAATTTTGAATGATAAAAACAAAAGATGAACTAGGGTCAAAGATTTTTCCCCCCTTGTTCATCATCTTAATTATTCGATGAACCCTTTATTTTCTCTCTATATATTTGCTTGCGTGAGGAGATATAATGACTTCTCTCTGATTGCAGCCTTCTGCATCACATTCTCGAACTATAGAGAGGATTAGAGGAATGGAAGGACTAGGGGAGATCGTAGTGGGGTTCCAACTTCCAAGCCACCATCATTGTTTTTCCACTCTTCTTCTTCTTCTTCTTCTCCTTCTTCTTCTTCTTCTTCTTCTTCTTCTTCTTGTATTGTCAACTAATTAAATGGCTCCAACTTATCCTTTGTGAGGTTGGACAAACCTATACGTATGGTGTACATATATAGGACTAGGAGTAGACTAAATTGAATGGATCGTATGTATTTGCAAATGTGTATGGTCACTGCTATATGTCAAGTGGGGGGGAAAGAAATGGAATGGATGCATACCAAAAACCAAAAGCATAGCTATGCCAAAGTGCCAGAGTTCCATAACTAACGCATAAGTGTTATTAAGGTACGTGTACTCCTTACTTACGTATTTAATGAATAGAAATTGTTAACTTTACCATTGTTAATTTTACAATTGTTCATATATTTAATGAATGGAAGTTGTTAACACGTTTAAAACCCGTATAACACGTTTAATACCGTATTTAATGAATAGAAATTGTTAACTTTACAATTTTTTGTATATTTATTTATTTTTAAATAATTAATTATATATATATATTTATTACTATTAACGTAATATTAAAAGTAACATTAGGTCAGAGAAAAAAATATAATACCCTTATGTATTTTATATGTAACTTTTATGTACCATATTTTATTAACTATGTTTCGAGTATGCTATGATCCCCGTAATATTTTTTTATTGGTAGAAACCCCGTAATATTTTAATATCATACATTCATCAGACAGTGGTGTGATATCGGGCCACCTTTTCTGATACACATTGAAGTTTGGCTGCCAAACCTCAATATTTATCAGAAAAAACTCAAGTTGGATATGTGTAATATGTAAGCCAAACCTCAATGTTTATCAGAAAAGACCCAAGTTGGGTATATGTAATATATTAATCAATTGACTATTCAACCTCTCAAGTCTCAACAATAGATTCCCATAACCTGTCACTGCTAATCAAATAATAAAATTTAACAATAATAATCATTAATTTATTACTGTTAGCACATACGTGTACATCTTGGGTTCATTTATTTACTATAATGCTCCGTTTAACGTCTGCCGGCAATATGATTGGTTAATTGGCCTATATTAGGCGGCAGGCGTCATGCATAGATGCTCAACGAGTCAATGTTTACTGTTATCTTCTTCCTCCTTCAATCTATATTATAAATATCTACTACTTCACACTTCCCTTTGTTCAGAGAGAGAGAGAGAGAGAGAGAGAGAGAGAGAGATACAAAGTTGATTTGAAACTGAAACTCTCTCTTTAATGGAGGAGACCAGGAACAGGAAGAAAGAGGATGAGGAGGAATTCTCAAATGGTCATCACCACAAAGAAGAAGATGAGGAGCCAGCAGTCAACTACAGAGGAATCAAGGCTATGCCTTACATCATTGGTATGATATCCTTCCCACCATATCAAATATGGAGTTGCCTTAATTAATACTGCTCGCCCTTGGTTAACTCGTTTTTTCCAATATCTAGATTTTCTTTCGGTTGCTTGCTTTTCGCTCTCTGTGATTTGGTTGATCCAAAAAGTAAAAGTTTTTAGTGCGTAGGATGATTAACAAATATGTTAATTTTACACTATATTGTGAATTCCAACAATAAAGTTTGTGTATATTCTCATTTATCCATTTTCAGTCTTTCGAATTGAAATAATGGTTCAAATTGATTATTAATAGAATTAATGCATAATCGGTAAAGCGCATCTTCTGCTGAAAGAAGCATCCTTTTTTCGGGTTCATCTCCTGTTTAGGATAAATTAAGTCAAACCGAAAAAGAGTAAGACCAAAATTTGTTTTGAGTTGCAAGTTGAATTGATGAGACAAATTATGCTTACCCGAAAGAGAGCAATGATCAGAACTTTGTCAACGAGTTCTCAACTATAATTGGAGATACGTACAGAAAGATATATAAATCATCTTTTGTTTAGAGTACAATTTCAGGAGGTGTTGGATAAAACAACAGATTACAAGGACTAGAAAATGCAAATATTCGTCAGTTGGTTCTTGTCAATTCACTATTAATAACTTTAATTTAATCCCTGGTGTTTCATACGGTGTTATTATATGGTGGTGAAGGAAACGAGACGTTCGAGAAGCTGGGGACGGTGGGGTCGGCGTCGAACCTGATAGTGTACTTGACGTCCGTCTTCAACATGAGCAGCGTCTCCGCCACCACGCTCATCAACGTCTTCAACGGCACCTGCAACTTGGCCACTCTCGTCGGCGCTTTCCTCTGCGACACTTACTTCGGCAGATACAACTGCCTCGCCTTCGCCTCAGTGTCCTCCGTCTTGGTAATTAATCACTTCTACTTAATTACGTACGCCCAAATCGATCTAATTAATTACGTTGATCAATCTGCATTTTGCTAGTTGGTGACTAGGGACAAAAAACATCGGTTGGCAAATCGGTCAACGATCCCATGGCAACTTGATCACCGTCCTACAATAATTATATGTGAATTTTGTCCCTAGCGATCCTAGTTGTTGATTTATGAGCTCAATAGTCAAAGGAGGAGAACGTTGATTGATGGGTTTGGTGCCATAGTATAATACTTTCTCTTTCTATGGTAGTTCCAGTTTCAGACCTGTCTGATTAAGGTTTTTTTTTTTTTTTTGTCTATAGCTATTTTGTCTGGGGACTACTAGCTAGTAGTCTTTGTTAATTAACGTTGTAAAAGTCGAGTCGAGCCGATCCGAGTTTTGATTTAGGTTAAGTTCAACTTATTAATATTTGAGTCGAATTTGAGTTCAACTTGTTTTAATGATACAATAATTAGTTTGAGTTTGGCTCGAACAACTCCACTCATGAATGAGCTCATGAGCTCCACTGAAAATTGTAAATCATCAATCAGCCCAGTTTGAGCTCAAATGTTATATTATTATGTAAATTTTAATTGTTCGTATCATATTATTTAATAATAATTAGTATTTTAAGCAATCTATACAATATTTAGTTTCTCTTTTATTCTATGTTTTTTTTACTTCTCATGGTAATTAACACTTTTTTTGCTTTTGGGCTTAATTACAGGGAATGCTAGTTCTAATGCTAACCGCCGCAATCCCGGTCCTCCACCCACCAAAATGCGTCCCCGGCCAACCATGCTCCAAGCCAACCGCTGGCCAGTTCACCTTCCTAATAAGCTCCTTCATCTTCCTAGTCATCGGCGCCGGCGGCATCCGCCCATGCAACCTAACCTTCGGCGCCGACCAATTCAACCCGAAAACCGAATCGGGCCGAAAAGGAACCAACAGCTTCTTCAACTGGTACTACTTCACCTACACCTTCGCCGTCATGGTCTCCGTCACGGGGATCGTCTACGTCCAATCCGACGTCAGCTGGGCCATCGGACTCGGAATCCCCGCCTTCCTCATGTTCCTCTCGTGTGCAGTATTCTTCTGGGGCACGAAAATGTACGTCGTCGTCAAACCTCAGGGCAGCCCGTTGACCAGCGTGGCTCAGGTCCTCGTGGCCGCTTCCAGAAAGAGAACCTTGAAATCACCTGAAAATCCCCACGACGAACTCTTCAATTATTTGCCGGCCAAGTCATTGAACTCCAAGCTTAGGCATACCACGCAATTCAAGTGTCTCGACAAAGCAGCAATCGTCACGGGACGTGACGAGTTCAACCCAGAGGGCTCACCGAAACAGCCGTGGAGGCTCTGCAGCGTGCAACAAGTCGAGGAAGTGAAATGCGTCGTCAGAATTATACCCGTGTGGTCGACTGCCATTTTGTTTCACATCGCCATAATGCAACAGCAGACGTACGGAGTCTTCCAAGCGTTACAATCCGACAGGCGGTTATCGACCTCAGGGACATTCCGTGTACCGGCGGCCACCTACATCATCTTCACCATGCTTGCTCTGACCTTGTGGATTCCGGTATACGACCGGATCATCGTCCCTTACCTCGAAAAGATCACCGGCAAGGAAGGCGGCATCACGATGCTTCAGCGCATGGGGATCGGTCTCATCCTCGGCATCTTTTGCATGGTGAGCAGAGCAACCAAACTTTGATATAATAACTTATTCACTTGGCTATAATTTCAAGTTAGATAACATGTTCGTCTACGCTATTGAAAATATATTAAAATCAATTCAGACCGATAATGGTGATCAATGCACCCGGTCATTACTTATTGGCGTTTTACAATTTTTACGTAAAATACACATACATTACATAAATATTACAGAATTATATATAATTGTTTCTTACGTAATAGTTAATTACAAGCGTTATGTAATGCTTATATAATGACTTAGCATTTTACGTAACACGAGGTTAACATTCTTTATGTAAAAGGAACGTCCATTGCATAAGAATTTCGTAATGACATTTTACAACTGTTATATAAGAAAAGAATACGTCATATAATCATTATGTAGGAAATATCTAAACTGATATACTTTTATGTGTCTTATTACTGAAACCACAATACGGTACTTGTACAGATCGTATCGGGGTTGGTGGAAGAGTACAGAAAGCACATAGCAGCGACAAAGCCAGGGCTCGGGATCGCTCCAAAGGGCGGCACGATCTCATCCATGTCAGCGATGTGGCTGGTCCCGCAGCTGGTGCTTACTGGGCTGGCGGAAGGGTTCAACTACATTGCGCAGGTCGAATTTTTCTACAAGCAGTTTCCGGAGAGCATGAGGAGCGTGGCTCAGGCGTGCTTCTTTGCCGGGAATGCGCTTGCGAGTTATCTTAGTGGGTTTTTGGTGTCTCTTGTTCATCATATTACGAAAGGGAGCAGGCGTGGGGATTGGTTGCCTGATGATTTGAATGAAGGGAAGTTGGATTACTTCTATTTCATGTTGGCTGGGTTGGGTGTACTGAATTTGGGGTATTTTTTGGTTTGTGCTCGGTGGTATACTTATAAAGGGGCAGCGGAGGTGGAGATTACTGGAAAGGAAGACAAGAAAAATGTTCTTCTTGCTGTTTAGTTAGGATGAATGACTTTAACTTGTGGTTTGTAAATGTAATATTGGCCTTCTTTATATTACTAAGCAAATGCAGTTAATTAAATAACTAATTAAACATTGGGTCCAATCACAAAATTCGATTTATAAAATTACTAACGATTTATAAAATTACTAACGGTAATAGACAAATTGCTAATATAATAACTACCATCTATTTGCATTACACAAAGCCTTTGTAATATAAGTTCGTAACTTAGCTCCTTTTCGACACTATTCATCATATTTTAACTAATTTAATCAATTGTGATAGTTTTCTTAAAAATTATTTTTTTAATTGAAATATTTTATTATTAACTACAATATTAATCATCTCATTAGTTTGTATTACGCAAAGGTTTCATATGGTAAGTCACTTTTACATAACAATTCAATAAAATATGATACTTTTCTGTAACTTGATTTTATTATTAGAACACAATTTACTGAAATTTTACTTAACACTATTCTACAACAGAATTAAACTTTTTGAGAGATAGTGTATCAGTTAAACAAACGTATTACATAAGTCTTGTCGCTTAATAATTATTTAAATTACTAATTACATCATTTTTTAAAGTTATAGTTATTTTGTATGTATCAATAAAACAAGTGTATTACGTAAGTCTTACCGCCGTAAAACGCGGGCTAAAAAACTAGTTTAAGTTAAATGGAAACAACACCCATGACAAAGCCTAGCCTATCATCAATTTCCCAAGACATAGAATCAAAGATTCCCAAAACTATGAAAAGTTAGTGATACCCCACACTGCTTGATTTTGCAAAGCTTTATATCTTCACTCTTTGCATGTGTGCAGAATCGAAATGTAACATCAAGCCCAGAGTATCTCAAATACCAAGCTGCTGCTGCTTCTTCTTCTTCTTGATCTCCAGATGACGGAGTGGCCTCGGGTTTATGAGCAACAAATAGAAAGACATGATCTGTAGAGACAGAGTCATGCAAATCGCCCATACAAATATTCCATGATGTTGCAGCGGCACTAGAGCTATCGTCGTGGCCACCAATATCAGAGTTGGAGAAACATGCACATTTCATGTGTATATGCATGTCCGTCGTCTGTTTGGCGACAGTATTCTTGCTGGACGGTCCTACAGAATACACCATTGCCAACGCAATTCCCTTCAGTCGCCTGCAGTTTCTCGGCAAAGGAACTGTTACCTCATCTCCCATCTTCTTATAAGGAAACCATTCTGGAATTTCACTCCCGGGATATAAAATTGTTGTAGGGTGCCTCTCCCTACCACTCCCACCATACTGTCACAACATAAAAAAAAAAAATATTATTGATCACATAAATTTAATTTCAATTTGTTATATATGTATATCTTATGTGATAAAATATTGTATTTACATAACATGCATGATCCGTAAAAAAAAACAGGAAAACATCTCATGTGACGTTAGGTGGCAAAACACCTGATACCAATTTATTCACTTTTTTTGTGCTCATTCACGCTATTTGGTGTGTATTCACGTAAGAGTGTAAGTTATTCACGTAAATGAAAATTCAAACTTTTCCCCCCTAATAATTTGTATTGGCTATATTTTATGGAATTAAATTTGGATTCTCAATTAGTCAGTACGTAAAAATATGCTGCATTGATCATAATCTACACAATGACATCCATTTTGATATATTTTAACGTCTAAAATTTGATTTTACAATGGCGTGAATAAATAACAATATGCGTGAATAAACACCAGGTTGCATGACTAAACAATATTGGTTGCGTGAATAAGCAACACTCTTACGTGAATAATATCAATATGGCGTGAATAACACAAATACGAGATGAAAAAGATGCGTGAATTAGATGTTCTAGTCGGAAACTTGATTTAAAAAAAAAAATATTATGAGTGCACCTACCTGAGTTTGAAGCGATGACGTGGTCGTCCCATCATGAAGTGGCAATTTGGCCAGCAACCGAGCAAGCAACTTGTGGTCCAGTTGGAGACAACTCACGAAGCTGAGGTGGCGAAAACGCAGCTTCCGGAAGTTGTTGCTCGAAACAGCTTGTAAAGACTTGCAACACCCTGCTGCTAAAGTCTTCACATTCTCTGGAAGTTGAGGTAAAGAGCGAATGCTCTCGCAGCCCACCAAGTAAATTTGGGCTAGCTTCTGAAGCCTACTAATGCCACTCGGAATGGACTCCAAACTCTTGCAATGAGACACGTCCAACGTACGAAGTTGGTCCAATTCTTGTATCGATGAAGGCAACACTCTGATTGCTGCACCGATTAACGCTAGGGTCTCCAGTGACTTGAGACGGTTGATGTTGGAGGGGTACGCGCTTGAAAGCCGCGCAGTTTTCCACCAGTAGTAGCCTTAACCCGTCCATAACGGCCAAATCTGTAAGCACAGACAATATATAACAAAGCCAGGTATTTGGAGTCGGTGAGTTGAAGAAAAACAATGCTAAACCTAGCTTATTGAATGATATTCTACAACTTCCTAGCTAATATATATATATATATATATATATTCTCAATATATATATTCTCAACATATGCAAAATTGTATTGTAATTAATCGAGAGAGTTTAAAGTCCACGTACGTACCTCCACTTCTAAGCTCTGGGAGTGTTTCCAGCATGGGAGAACCTACAATGATGAGCTCGCTCGAGACCAACTTCCATATGGTTCTAGAGAGAACACCTAGCTTTGAATTTTCAAGGAGCACTAGTTGAGCAAACCTAGGGAGGGAATCAAGATATTTGCAATGTTCTGGTGGCATTTTTTCTATTAACGTGTGACACAAACGAAACTCCTTTATATTTGTAGAGAACTCGGGGAAATTGGTAATGTTTTTACCATGGAGGTACAGCTTTCGGGCTTCTTTAACTTTGTGGATTGCAGCGGGCAAGGTTGTAACCGGGGTGCCATGCAAGTCTATGGTTTCCCATTTGCTTGAAAACTGTGGGCATTGGTTGATTTTCTCACAATTGTAGATGATGATGTGCTTGAGTTGTTTGGAGCCAAGTTTGTGCGGGAGGATCTCGAGGTTTTCACAATACCCTAGGTCTAATAAGACTAACTTGTCAAGGTATTCGATGAAGGCAGGCAGCTCAACTATGCTTTTGCATCCCGTAAGTTTGAGTGATTCCAGATGTGTGGCCTTCGACAGATCTGGGACGATTGCAAGATTAGCGCAATATGATAAGTCGAACCACCTTAGGTTTACAAATTCCTGCCGAGCAATATTAAAAACATTCATAAGTAACGGTAGATATATATAAGAGTTTCCAATCAAACAGACTTCGATATCATGTAAAGAACAGAAGATAATAAATTATGAGATTATTTATTGAAAATGAGATTTTGTGGAATGAGAAAGGATTACCAATGACAACAAAATAATGGATATTGGTGAACCACGTAAACCAAGTTGTTGGTGTAAGAAAAGTTATACGTACCAGAACTCCATCCCAAGTTTGCACCAGAGGGCTGTGTCGAATACGAAGTTCAACGAGGTTGTGGGGAGAGAACTTTGATGGGAGACTTTTTGAAGGATATCCATCCCACCACAACATCCTTAACTCGGGGGGAAGCAAGTCCAGACCACTGTCTGGCAGATGGATTTTGCATGGATGTATCGGTTGATTCGAAGACGATGATGATGATGATGAAGCCAACTCTGGCCATGAGAATTTAAGAAATCTAAGACGATCCATCCCAACAAATGCATCTGATCCTAAATGCATCTCTTCTGCTTTTGAAAGGTCCAAGTTTACACCTTCTGTCGCTCTTGTACCCTAATAAAAAAATTCAAAGAAAATTTGACATAAACCAACTAGTTCCAATAACTTCGGTTGTTAGAAGAGGTTTAATTATGGACCTTATATCATTTACTGATATGTCCACACAAATGAAACCAACTCATATGAGTTTGAAATTTACACAAATCTAAATACCATGTGTTTAACATTTGAGAACATCCGTATTCAGACACCTGTCGGTTAACGAAGACTTTAATACTATGTCATAAACCTAGTTGTTGGAAAAAGTTCAAAGTATTGATTTTATACAATTTACTAAGATAAATTAAACTAGCTAGAAAGTAAGGATTACCTTCCAAGTGGTGAATAACTTGCGCACGTCATCCGCATTCTCAATTCGACTACGGTTTCCTAGCTCAGCTTCCTCTCCAATGATGATCCAAGCCGTCTCGTGCAACAAATCATGAACCTCAATCATCTCATCATCATCATCATCACTAGACGAGTGATCGCATATCAACAATGCCTTATCGATCAAGTCCTCCACTCGACTGTACGCAGAGTAATAGCTACACGCCATCATCTTAATCAAATGTGACTTGGTATAATTCCTTCTGAAAAAGCAAGCAATGTCAAGAAACATCCTTTTCTCGTCACTTCCAAGCTCATCGTAGCTTCTTCTCAGAACACCGTGAATCTCCTGTTTAGGAATCTTCCTTAATCCATCCAGGAAACTCTGCCAATAATTCTTGCTCTTCCTGAACAACGTACACCCCAACACCCTAAGTGCAAGGGGGTTCCCTTGACAATATCCCACTGCGGTAACCGATTGGTACCTACTCAAAACACATGCATGTTCATTTATCTAAGAGATCAATTTGAGTACTAATAACAAACACTATTAGTTCCGAAAGATTTATATACCAACACTATGTAATAACAAACAAGTCGTCTATAAATCGAGAAAATAAAATGTTATAGTTATTTACGTGATTTACTAACACAATGTCATGTCATCAAGCTACATTCACTGATATTAGGATATATTATAAATTATAGAATATAATATTATAATATATTTATACTACACTTCTCTTTATCCTAAAAAAAAGAAGCAAAAGAGGGTCTCAAACCCAAAACTAGATGTTTAAAACTCATACCCAGTAGCATTAGACTCCTTATATGATCAACTGTGACGCTTAACGAACAGATTCAATCTATTCCAACACAGTATTTAATAAAATAACATAAGTTTGAAGAACAACACATACCTTCTGTCCTCTGGCGGTAACTCTCGTCTAAAAGAGTATAAACTGAAAAGACGAAGAGAATCCTGAGGGTTGAGCCTCTCCACCTGGTAGATCCTAGCCATTGCAAACTCCAACACTTTCCTATTCCTCGTCGTGACGATAATTCTGCTCCCTAGGGCAAACAACTTTGCGAGGTTCAACACATCTCCAAGCAATAACTGCTCGAGCTGAGACCAGTATTCAACATCATCAAGGACAATGAACACTTTCAGGCGAGAAAGGCGAGCCCTACGGTAGCTAGTATCCAAATCGCGACAAGTGATGTTTTGGTCTTGCTCAGAGAGGAGTGTGGAGTAGAGTTCCTTCTGGAGGCCTTCCAAGTCGTTGTCCTCCTGCCCTCCTTTCCACTTGGCATTGATGTTTGGGACGAAGTAATGTTTACTACTACCATCTTCTTTTGAGATATTTGTGAGTCTTTGGTATAGGGCTCTGGCTAGAGTGGTCTTGCCGATACCTGGCATTCCCCAAAGTCCGATGATGCGAATGTCGTCGTCGGATCGATTCATGTCGAGCAATCGCTCTACCTCCCATACTCGGGAATCTATGCCGATTAAATTTTTGGGTTTTAGACTTGGGGACATCTCGACTAGTTCTTTCAACACATTGTCGACTATTGCCTTTATTAGTTGTGAGTCCAACCTGCATATAAATAGAGAGTGAGGGAAGTATGCGAAGTTAGGGTGGCTGATCACAATTCGATTCATCTAATAAACTAGAATTGGGCCCGCCCGTTGGTCGGATGTTACGCCAATGGTATAGATAACAAAAGTAACTCTTCGAAGCAAGAAATATTTATTTGATATCATTGAAAAATTCAGTAACTATTGAATTAATGAGAATATCGGAAATGAATACTCATAGAACTTTTCGACATGATAACATATTCATTGATAAAAGTCCTTACTGGAAGTAAAAAAATGCAAATCCAAGAAAACAACTCCTAAAACCTTAATAAGATCACACTATTTGGTCTCTGTTGTAAATAAGTATTGCAATTTTATTTTCGATTTTTTTTATCGCTTATCCATCAAAAGCATAATCTTCTCCACTAATTAAAGCATTTTCGTCCGGCATAATGAATTATTTTATTGGAAGCCAATTTTTGATGGCAAAATATTTGAAAATATAAAACATCAATGTCATACAGTAGAATTTACTATGTTCAAGTCATAAACATGTTATGAGATTTGCTATTTCTCCCTATCATTGATAAGCAACCAATAAATTTTTTTTTTCATTGATTAAACAATAAAATATTTGATAACCTTTAGATTGGAAAAGTTATAATTTACTCAAAGGTGTGTGGACAATTCTTCGATTGTTACCGTGTTCTTATAAACACATTTCTTTTTTTGCTTGACAATTCGTTTCAAACCATGACTTATGGAATTGATTTATGAAATGTATACAATAAAAGCGTGGAACTGTTAGAATGATCATAAACTATTAATAGTACCACTATGGCATACTCGAGCTATTCGCCCTCGTCAAATCTCAATTCTATTGAAAGAAATTAACTTTTGACAGAAATGAGATATGACATGATTAAAGAAATGAGATATGACATGATTAAAAAGTGGGAGGCAATAAAAAATAGTTTTTTGACAGCTCAAAACTAAAAAAATCTCTCCTATCTCACCCTTGCTCTTAACTTTTGCCATTAGACATTTTAATTGACGATTCCCTATTTGAATTTTGTAGAGTTTTGTAGAATAAGTATTTTAATTATCTACTGTCTAATAATATATAAATATAACAATACAGATAATAATAATATAATTAAAAACGATAACCTTTTCTTAGTTGGAGTCCTGCTCCTTTGTGGGTGTTTTAATTCTTAAGCCCAGTAAAGGACCAAAGAGCCCTCCCTCAAAATGCGCAGGAGCTTGGAAAAACTGAATGGAAGGGGTGCTCACGAAGAACCTCCATATATTATTTGGAGGATATCCACTAGATCATTTGGCCCAACTGATTTGTGGGTAATCAGATAAATCAGATTACTCTCTCGTTTTTTTTAATCTTTAGATGATTACTCTCTCGTTTTAAGTCGAAATTTAACTTTTTTGTACAGATAAATCAGATTAAATGTGCTCTTTAAAATGATATTCACTTTGATATATTTTTAGTAAAAAAAAATTGAATAATTATTTACCAGTCATTATCATATGGTATGCTCCTATTTAATACCATGTGGTAAGAAAGCGTACCATGATGGTATGAACATACCAATATGGTAAGAAGGTTGAATACATGATAGTAAGAGTATACTAACTGTCATTTACGACTTTCATCATTGTTTACTACAAGTTACCACAAGTTGCCACCCACATACCATAGTGGTAAAGTATGATAATTTTTTATCCAGTACTTTTTTCACCCAGAAATTTATAGATCCAATAGATTATGATGAACTCGTTCATTCTGAGCAAACGTTTTCAAAAATGACTTAAAAAGGAAGAAGTTACCATATGGTATGTAGTTGGTAAAAATAAAGTTTCTCGAAATATATTGAAAATTGATATCATTTTGTAGAGCACAACGAACTCGTTCTATCTGTGCAAAAAAAAATCGAAATTCGAGTTAAAACGAAGAAGATAAGAGCCGATTAAGAAAATAGAAAAAATAAAATGATTTTAATTGACAACCCTTAGATCAGAATTTTCTGGACCCACTTAGATTTAAAGGTCCAGATTTAATTATTTATAAGTCAGTAACTAATGGTTACCGATCCTATCCTAAGTCTGGAAATTTGTACTATGAACTTTTCCTTCGGGTACGATAACAATAATTTGAAACTAAATAAAGGCATGTTCTATATATGACCAGATATAATTGGGGATGACAATTTTGTTCATACCCATGGGTTTTTTACTATCCAACCCAATTGGGTTGGGTATGAAATCCAAATAGATGGATATGGGTAGAGTTTGATGGATTTGTACCCATAACCATTTTCTTTGGGTTGGGTTGGGTTGGGTTTAGGGATGGCATTGGGTCAGGTTGGGGCGGGTTTTGTCAAACCCAAACCCATGGGTTTATCCGCCAAAAAAACCCGGGGTAAAACCCGTTGGGTTTGAAAAACTCAAACCCAACCCATTGGGTATCCGCGGGTTCATGGGTACCCGTGGGTTTTTGTGGTAAAAAATTTACAATAACAAGTTTCTTTCAAAATAAAAGTTTAACATCAATTTTCTCATACAAATTAATCATACAAAAAACACCAATCTAGAGCATACAAGCAAACCGCAAATGATCAATACAAATTGTTCAAAATTAAAGTTAAACATCTATAAACAAAAGATTAATTGAAAGCTCCTTCCTCGTCAACTAAGTTTCTTCACTCTCCACTTCATAATATCAACTTCATTCTAAACAATTAGAAAGAGCAAATTATAGATGTCTCCATAAACATAAATAATATTAATTGTTTAAGGAAAATATATTATTTAGAATATTAAATATACCGGGATAGTAATTATATGTGTGTGGGCGGGTACCCATGGGTCGGGTTTACCTAAACCCAAACCCAACCCGACCCGGTGAATAGTGTAGCGGGTTTAAACCCGAACCCGACCCAAAACCCGTCAACACAAATTTTACCCGCGTTGACCGGGTTGGGTCGGGTGGGTACCCGTGGGTTCGGGTTTTGTTGCCATCCCTAGTTGGGTTTATAACAAATGGATTTGGTTTTGTACCTATACCCAAATACAAATTACAGTTTGGTACCTAAACTTAATAGATATGCATATGTAGTACCTAAATTTAATTTTTTTTGCATATAAGTCCTCAAAATATGGATGGAAAATTACGTTTTGGTACCTAATTTTTTTTGGTCTTACATTTTGGTACCTAAACTTTTCAAGTTTTACAAATAGGTCCAATTTTTGCATGTGTAGTTAAAACACCTTCAAGTAAATGGATATCCATATCCAACCCATAGCCATTTAGATTATGGAAGCAATATTCATACCTTTACCCAAACTCATCTACAAACCCCTAAATCCGGGATGGGATTAGGTGCTAACCCCTATAAGGGTTAGCACTGTGATAACTAGCAAAAATCACTACGGATTATTATAAAATCAATACAACATCTAAGCTAAATCACTACTAATTCAAACTAGTAGTAGTTTTTCCCTTGGTTAGTACGGTGCTAACTATTGTACAATTAGCACCGTAACCCCTCTCCCTAAATCCATATGCACTTCACCCATACCCAACCCATTATCAATGGGTCTACTTGGGTTTGGGTATAATTACCCATGGGTAGGTAATTTCCATCCTAGATATAATGTTATAAATGGAGTATATTAAAGGGAAAGGGGCCAAGCCGCCAAGTGGACTAATAATTAAAGAGCGTGGAAAGAAGTTTGGCAGAGTTTTAATATTTTTTTTTAATTTACATATAGGTTCAAGTTTATGAGGTTTATGATTTATTTTAAAAAATATTTCATGAGATTTTTGGTTTGCTTAAAAAAATTGTGGTATGCTTTATGAGGTTTCTGAGCTGCTGTAATAAACTTGTAGTATTCTTTATGAGGTTTTTAGTCTGTTTCGAGAAACTTGTGATATGCTTTAAGAAACTTGCGGCCTGCTTTACTAAATTTGTGATATGCTTTATGAGATTTATAAATTATTTGAAGAAACTCATGGTTTACTTTATAAGGTTTTTGGTAAGCTTTGGGGAACTTAGATTGGTTTAAGTTTTTCTTGAATATATGCTGAATTTTGTGGTGTGCTGAGGTTTTATCCACGTTATGGTATGTATGGTGTTGTTGTGTTTCTGATATGGATTTGGTCATCTGTTTCATGATACTTGTGGTGAGACACGTGACGAGGAATTAAAGCACTTCGCAACACGTGTGTGCCCCACTAATTTCGAGTGTTCAACCCATTTTAAATTCACATGAATTATTATCAACTTGTTGGAATAAAAATTATCAAAACAAAATAATCATATTGTTAACTTAACTGTAGGGTGGCTGTACGGTGCGGTCCGGTTAAATTGGACCAAATTGATCCGGTCCCAGTCCGGTCTTTTCGGGAATATAAGGACCAAAGATTGGATTGGATACACTCCGGTCTTGATCCGGTCCGGTCCCAATTTGATTTTGATTTTAGATTGAGCTTGTGGGTATTTGAGTATTGGGGTCTCTTATCCGAGTTTTTTTTACCTCAAATCTAAGCCCGAATATGAGATTGGATTGTTTGCTATCCGGTCCCAGTCCGGTCGCGGTCTGGATTATACGGTCCGGTTTCAGGTAAAACCAAACAGTCCTAGACCAAATTGCCAGCCCTACTTTAAATGTAGTTAGTTTAAGCATCATGTTATAAATTATATAAGTATTAGCAACCTAACATCTACCCATTAAATTAAGTATTAGCAACCTAACACCTACGGAGGAAGAAAAAAATCCATCCAATGATATATTTAAACCAACCCTTCATTTACGTTGAAATGGGAATTTCATAAATTTAATTTTCGATAAATTAGGTAATTACGCACCTAAACTCGTGGGAAGTAAGGCCGGCCTTATCGACGACTTCCTTGAGCGCATTCCTCCACTTCAACTTCACCTTCGTACCGGCGACGTCGTGCTTCTCGATCATGGCGGCGTAGCTTCCGGTGTCGCCGTCGACCTCCGACGGGTCGACGTTGTAGAAAACCGGGATCACGCGGTGGCCGAATTCCTTGATGCTCCGGGCGATGGTGGCCACCTCGTCGAGGCACCAGGGCGAATCGGCGAACCTCTCGGAGAATATAATCACCGACACCGCCGATCTTTTGAGGACGGAAAGAAGCTCCGCTATGCTCTCACCTTTGCCGAGCATGGTGTCGATGAAGGTCCGGATCTTCTTGTCCGACAGCGCGGCCATGACGTGGCTGGTGAAGGAGCCACGCGTCTCGCCACGGAAGCACAGGAACACGTCGTACTCCCATGGCCCGTAGTACACGCAGCTACTACTGAAAGAAGAAGAAGAAGCCATTTATCTATGGTGGCAGAGATGCTATATATATTCTCGATCACTTTCAGTTCAGGGAGCTTTTTTTTTTTTGGAGCTTTAACGGAGGGAAAGGGGGTGGAATGGAATCCAGCTAATTAATCAATTAACTTCAAATATATATAGTAGTGGGTTTATGAGTATTAATTACATACGACTAAGTCATTTTCTAATCCCCACGGCCCCACCCCTAATAAGATAAATTATGACTTTGGTTTGGTAATTAAAATAAAAAAAAAGGTACTAAAACGCTCAGCAGATTCGAGTGATAAGATTATGACATGTTTGGTTGTGGGAAAATATAACCCTAGTAGTCAAAGGTCATCTATTCGATCTTGGTACGGTTAAGCCATCCAGATTGTATTTGGTAAATTAAATTTACTGACAATAATAGAGTAACTAATAGATGAAACTAGAGTTGGAACTAGAAATACAATGAAACTGGATGTCTGATTAGTCTCCTCTCCTCACTCAGATGCCCACATGTAATCACTGTTGATAGATGGAAAGGGTCCTATTGATCAAAGAAGAAGAAGAAAAAAAGGATTAATTCTTTGAAGAATAATCAACTGTACTGAAGCAATGGCAATAGGAGTCATTGACCCTGACCCGGCCGAAGCTCCAAAATTCCAACCGCGGGCCTACCGGAGCCCCTGTGTTTCGTTGGCGAAACTCGCGCGTTCAATGCGCTCTGTATTCAAGGAGACAAAAATACCAAGTCAATCACAATCGTCAAATAACTGTCGCCGAATGTCGGCGTCGTTGATTTGATCGATTAAACAGAAACCAAGATGACTGTCAAATATCCACCGCCGGCGTCGGCGATGTTGATTTGATCAATGCACCTTTGACTTCTAATCAAACAACCGTTACTCGGTTCACCACCTCTCCAAACTACGTTCGAACGAGGGTGTTCAACGAGAAACGAGAAACCAAACCGGGAGTGTTCTAAGTTACGTTACCTCTACTCCTATGGAGGTTCCTCTGGAGAGCTCCGCGACTACGACTACAAGCTACGATCTAAGACTCTGCAAATGGGGACTTTGACTGAGCAGTTCTACGAACTAGAGAGAAAAAAAGATAAATTCTGCGACGGTGCAGTTGTGATTTGATTTTGCCGTCCTCTGCTTCTCTCTCTTCTCGATCTTTATACCTCGATCTTCTCCACGTAGTCGTAGTAACCGCCTTCACGCTGTTGTCTCCCACGTTCGTCATTCCTGTCAACGACAGATAACTCCCTCCTTGTTGCGTAACTCCCACGAGTACGAAACCGCCTGGACACGCTGGAACTTGGCCAAAACGACACTGAACCAAAATCGACAATCCTCCACCACGGTTCGATCCTCCAAACAACCCTGTCCACATGATAAACAAACGACATCGAGTCCACGACATCGTCAAAATTGAACTCTCGCCACGACGTTGTTTTTGGCTAACCAGTGTCGTTTCCTATCCTCGCGGTGTCGTTCCACGGAACAATGTTGTTTCTACACCGTTTATGTGAAATTTCTCACGACATTGTTCTATATTAAACACTGTCGTTTTCTATTCGTGGTGTTGTTAATACCTCTCGCGGCGTCGTTTTCAACTAAACGACACCGTCTAAAATAATCTTTAAAATATTAATTAATTAAACCAGCCATCATTGTTGACACGCCGTCAAACTCTCACTTCGCGACGCCGTTATTAATTAAACAACATCGTTTTTTAGTTCTGCGATGCTGTTTAACACTGTCGTTTTAACCATTGCGACATCGTTTGACCTACTCGCGACATCGTTTTCAAATCCGCGGTGTCGTTTCTTTCCTCTTGCGGCACCGTTTTCAACTAAACGATGCCGTCCTAAACAGCCATTAAAATATTAATTAATTAATCCGGCCATCACTAGCCATGGCCAACGACATCATTAGCGCCACAACGGCTCCGTCTGTTTTTCCTCTTGCGACATTGTTTTATATTAAACACTGTCGTTTGCTAGTACCGCGGTACCGTTGGGCTTACTCGCGGTACCGTTTTTAATCCGCGGCATCGTTTTACTCTCCGCGATACCGCTTGTCTCCATGCGGTACCGGTTTTTCCCTTCCGACAAGGAATAAAGATAATAATAATTAATTAGAAAAACTCCTTCTCCAACACCCAACTAAACGTGCGGCCCTCTTTTGTTTTTCGGTATCGTTTCCAGTACCGCGACACCGCTGAGCTTCCTTGCGGTACCGTTCTTTTTATTTCGCGAAGCCGCTCGACTCCCAACGACACCATTTTTTACCCGCGGTATCGAATTAAATGTCGAGACTAATTAATGCGGCATTTAATTTCGGCCGAATTAATTTTAGGTGTCAACAGCCTGGCACGCAGTGCACTCTAAAGCCTAAGCTCTCGACCATACTCGAGTCTTCACCCGGCCGGACTTTGAACTGGTATATCTCCGGCCATCTAGATATATATGTTCTTTTCTGGGTAATTTGCTGATTTTGTTTCTTTCCAACACGACGCTTCCCGGAATCAATTTCGGAAAAGAAGTACGAAAAGGACAGAATATATATTACTTATCTACGGTGGAGGTCGATAGAATATTTAACTTAATTCTGGGATTCACTTTGGAAATTATATATGTGGTCCAAAAGTGATAAGATCGAATAAAAAACGAAAAGACTTTAGAAATGTCTTGCATATATAAGACATGTCTGTCTATGTGAGGTGCACTTGGTTCTAAATTCTGATCACTAGCGTACGTGGCGCGCGATATAAGCTAATTAAGCTTAGCTAGAGTTGAGAGCGACGTAACGCGGCATTTCATTGTCATTAACGTACAAAAGTGAGAGTTGTATCTACAACGACAGTGCAACTACTCATCAGTAGTATAATTCGATTCGATTTTACTAACCCACTGGAAGTTTCGATGTTACTTCAAAGTGTTATTATAAGTCCCATTTTGTGTAATTGGATGGTAAACTAAGCATCATCAGTCATGTCATGCATGTTAATTAGGAAGAGAAAACGTTTTAGCTTTATGTTTGAAACTCCCAATCATTTGAGATATTAGGACGAGCTGGTTTTTATTTGATGATATGATAATAACTAGTGGTTTGAGAGAAGTTTAATATTGTTGGAAGATATGTCGTTTGAATTATATGTCGTTTAATTTTATTTATTTATTTATGAACCTATGCAATGGCTGACCAAGGGAATCAACTAAGAGGTGTCATTGTTAGTGATGGTAATTTCAACCCGCCCCGCGGGTATTATCCGACCTGACCCATGATGGGGCGGGTATTACCCGACCCGCAGCAGCGTGGGGCGGGGCATGGGTATCTACTTCCGACTCGTCCCACCCGTTGTAGACTCATTTTATCTCAATTTCTTACAATATCTATACATATTTCTCCTATTTTGACTTTTCTTTAACTAGTTAGAGTCGATCTTTCAACTTGTTAGGCTCAATTATCCATTCTATTATCAATATTTTTCATTCTTAAAGTGTTTTTCCCTACGTTTTATTGTAAAAAGTAAAATTTACTTGTATTTTTTTTAACAACATGTAATAGTGGGTCGACCCGCTCCGTACCTGCGCAGGTTTTACCCACCCCGGCCCGTAGTAGCGTGGGGCGAGGCGTGGAAATTGAGGTACCCGCCCCGCGCCCCCGCCCCATTGTCATCTCTAGTCATTGTTGATTTCAAAACGTGAAAGAGTAAAGATTTTTTTTTTTTTTTTGGTAATAGAAAGAGTTAAGAATCAAATAAGTGTACAGATAATTAAAATATTTAAATTATAAAAATTATACAAGTTTGTTATTAGACTAATACAATTTCTAGAAAGAAAATTGTCCACTAGTTACCAGTTTACTTTCCATAAGCTATCGTGACATGTTTTCATATTGTAAATAAATCTAAAATCAATCCGTTTTCTATATTATTAAGCAAATTCCTTTTAATATATCCTCGCACGAATAACAATTTTCGTTTAGTATATCCTACTAGCTGTATTTATTTAATTTGAAAACTTTCTTTTATGTCGATCAAAACTTAAAACATTTCAACTAACATGTTTCTAGCAAGCAAGAGTTTGGTCTAGTGATAATACCGCTAGTTTTGTTAGAGTATGGTATAAAATCCAGCATAAACTTCTCCCAACAACTCGAGTTATTGGAACAAACTGGTTTATGAAATGGTATCAGAGCTGGTTTGACCAAGTGGTCGTGTGTTCGAAACTCCATGAGCCCCAATATTAACAGTTGATTAAAGCACAAGGTATAGTGGGCATGTGCAAAGTGCAAACTTCAATCCCGTGAGTTGGCTTTCGTTTGAGGGGGCGTGTTAGAGTAGGGTTTATGACAATGAACAAGTAGGTTATAGGTTCGAATTCTTTAAATAACACTTGACTACAAAAAGTAAACATATATCAGCCTAATAAAAAGGCGAAATCCTTACTATCAAGATTCCTATAATGTCAATATTCTTACAACGTATCGTCATTCATAAAAAAAAAATTCTTACAACGTCAAAACCTTAAGAAAATGAAAATTATATCATATCAAGTAGTAATAGAATAAATTTTATACCATTTACTTGCACAACCACATGTGGTAAGTCACTAACCTAACCGCAAGGCCTCTCCACATTAACAACACATACATGGGAACTTCATGTTCCATACAGACCACAATCGTACGTGTACCCATTATAACTAAATTGGAGCTTTAAATCACAGATGATCTTCAAGCTAGCACTAAGGGGTCAATTATTATCAACATTCCAACACAATTATCGATGTAATAATCAAAGATTTCCAAAATTAGTATGAAACACAAGGGAAACGCCACACCTCTTGATCTGGCAGGGCTTCATCTCTCCACGTTTCAGTTGAAGGCTGAAACGGAACGAAACGTCTCGTCCAGAATCCTTCAGATACCAAGCTTTCCCTTCCTCTTCCTCGTCTTCTCGATCTTCTCCAGCTCTGTGGTGAAGCCACAGAAAGACATGGTCGGTGGCCACACCGCCGTTGAAGCTTCCCATCACATTCATACATATATTCCACGACGCCACCGCATCGGTACTAGTACTCGAGCCACCGCCAACAACCAATTCATCGCTCCCACCACACCCGTGGCCGCCACCACAGCCGGGTTTCGTGAAGCATTCGCTTGAAATGTGCATGTGCATATCGGTCTTCTCTTCGTCGCCGGAAACAGGCGGCTCCGGAGAATAGACTACGGCGAACGCAAATAGCTTCAGTCTCTTGCAGTTTCTCGGCAGAGGAACCGTCACGAAATGTCCCATGCTTTTATTCGGGAACCATTCTGGAAGCTCGCTCCCTGGGTATAATACCGTTGACGGAGGTATCTCACCTCCAGCACCACCACCATACTGTAATGACAATCATCATTAGTTTTGACATTTCAACTTTACGATAAAATATTTTTATACGTAACTTATTCATAACTTACTCGTACAGTACTTTACTAACTATGGCATAGTATATGTGTACGTACCAAAGTTCGTTGAGAGACATCCTGGAGCGGCAGTTTCGCCAGCATTCTTCGGAGCAACTTGCGGTCTAACTGGAGACAACCCACCAAGTTGAGGTTCAAGAAATGGAGCTTGCTAAAGTTGTTGCTCGAAACTGTTTGCAACGACTTGCAATTACTGGCGACTAAAAGCTTCACTTTGAGCGGAAGTTCGGGCAAAGAACGAAGGCTCTCGCAGCCCAGTAGATAGAGTTGAGAGAGCCGATCGAGCCTGCTGATCGCACCGGGTATAGACTCCAACAGTTTGCAATTAGTCAAGTCCAGCGTGCGAAGCTGGTCCAGTTCTTGTATAGACGAAGGCAACATTCTGACAGCTGCACCAATCAAAGCTAGTACCTCCAACGACTTGAGGTTGCTGATGCTGGAAGGAAGGCGCCTGAAAGCTCTGCAGTCTTCTACTACAAGCACCTTCAAGCTCGAGTCGACGATCGAGATTTCTGGAATTGTTTTCAACATTTGGGAGTCCATGATGAGGAGCTCTTTTGTCACCATTTTCCAGAGGTTTTTGGATAAGGTGGCAAGGTTCGAGTTCCCGACCAGCTCCAAACGAGAGATTCTCGGAAGAAGAAAATCATGATGATCGCTTGGCAATATCTTTTGTATGGCGGTGTGGCACAGTCGAAACTCCTTGATGGATGCAGAGAATCCATCTAGCAAGCTGGTTATGCTTTCACCGTGGAGGCTTAGCTTTCGGGCTTCTTTGACTTTGTGGATTGCAATAGGGAGGGTTGTGATTGGGGTGCCACGCACGTCTAGGGTGTCCCAGTTGCTTGTGAACTCGGGGCACTGGTTGATTTTCCTGCAATCATAGAGAATTATGTGTTTGAGGTGTTTGGAGTCTAGTTTAGGTGGGATGATCTCTAGATTTTCGCAGGCTCCGAGGTCTAATAAGGTTAACTTGTCCAGGTATTCGACAAAGGAGGGTAGCTCAACTATGGTCTTGCATCCTGTGAGTTTGAGAGATTCCAGATGTGTGGCTTTCGATAGATCAGGGACGATGATGAGGTTGGCACAATAAGATAGGTCAAACCACCTCAAATTCACAAAGTCCTGTAAAACAATATTGAGTAGGAAAAAGTTAAGTATTCAATTTCCTTGATGCAAAGACACAACCACTACGATGACAACAACAAAAAAATGAAAAGCATTTTGAAACCAAACCAAGGGTCACTATTTTTTTTTTAATAATAATGACCTCATCTATTAAGAAAAGTGCTAAATATATAGAGAGCAAACAAACACCCTCCTAACCAATGAATGGAAAAAAGAGGTTGAACACCTACAAGTGCAAAAAGAAACAAGACAAAAGTGGAGCCAACGAGTGAGAAAAAGAGGCCATACACGAAAAGCTCCTTTTTTAGTGAGACCAAAAGTTCTTTTGCTTATAGTGAATTGTCATTATTGATGAGATGTAGCTATAGTACCTGTTGGAAATTAAGAGTAAAAGATGAGAAGTTAGTACCTGAACTCCATCCCAACATTGTACAAGAGGGCTATGGCGAATACAAAGTTCAACCAAGCTGTTAGGAGAGAAGTTTGAAGGCAAAGATGACGAAGGAAATCCATCCCACCATAGCATCCTTAACTCATGAGGGAGTAAGTCCAGGCCAGATTCCGAAAGATGGATCTTGCAAGTACGTGCATTATTTTTGGATGAAGACGACGAAGAATCTGGCCATGAGAATTTGAGAAATCTAAGTCGATCCATCCCCAAAAATGCATCGGATCCCAAGTGCATCTCTTCTGCTTTAGACAAGTCCAAGTTTATGCCTTCTGTAGTTCTCGCTCCCTAATTAGCAAATGTGCATGAAAAGAATGGTTTACCATTATTAAGTGAAATTGAAATTGAGAAGTAGTATGTACCTTCCGTGCAGTGAGTAACTTGCGGACATCCTCTGCATTCTCAAGACGACTGCGGTTCCCAAGATCGGATTCCTCACTAATAATGTTCCAAGCCATTTCGTGTAGCAAATTATGAATCTCAATGATCAACTCGTCGTCGTTGCTATTGGACTGGTGTTCACATATCAACAATGCCTTATCAATAAGATCCTCCACTCGACTATACGCCGACTAATAACTACATGCCATCATCTTAATCAAATGTGACTTGGAGTAATTCCTACGGAAGAAACAAGCAATGTCAAGAAACATCCTCTTCTCATCCCCTCCGAGCTCATCGTAGCTCCTCCTTAGAACATCGTGAATCTCCCGCTTTGGATTCTTCCGTAACCCATCCAAGAAACTTTGCCAGTAACTCTCGCTCTTCCTAAAGAGCGTGCACCCTAAAACCCTAAGAGCCAAAGGGTTTCCTTGGCAATATCCGACTGCTGTAACTGACTGGTACCTGTTAAAAAATATCGGTACTAGGACATAATAAGGCTAGCAGTTCTATGATGGCTTAAACTAGTGTTAAAAATTAGCTAATTTGAATATTTACCTTATGCTGGTTGGTGGTGTCTCGTGTCTGAAAGAGTACATGCTAAAAAATCGAAGCGACTCTTGAGGGCTTAGTTGCTCCACATGGTATATCCTAGCCATTGCAACTTCAAGAACTTTCCTGTTCCTCGTCGTGACAATAATTCTGCTCCCTAGCGCAAACAACTTCGTGAGATTCAATAAATCACCGAGGAGTAAGCTTTCTAGTTGGGACAAAACTTCAACGTCGTCCAGGACAATGAAAACCTTCAACCGGGATAGTCGAGCCCTGCGGTAACTTGTTTCCAAGTCTCGGCTGGTGATGTTTTGGTCCTGCTCGGAGATGAGGGTTGAGTAAAGCTCCTTTTGTAGTCCTTCCAAGCCATCTCGTTGCCCTTTCCATTTGGCATTGATATTTGGGACGAAATAGTGCTTGTAGCCGTCTTCTTTGGAGAAATTGGTGAGTCGTCTGTATAAGGCTCGAGCTAGAGTGGTCTTGCCAATACCAGGCATCCCCCAGAGCCCGACAATTCGAATGTCGTCGGAGCGGTTGACATCGAGCAGTCGCTCCACCTCCCACACACGAGAATCAATGCCCACTAAATTTTTTGGCTCGAGGCTTGGAGACATGTTGATTAGCTCTTTCAGCACGTTGTCTACAATTGCCTTTATTAATTGCGAGTCTAACCTGTACATACAAATATACTCAAAGAAAAATATATAAGTTCAATAATAAAATATACATATAAATGGCAATTTCAAGTGTTATTTTTTACTCAATACAAGATAAAGAGAACAAAAAATCGAAACAAGATTTAATGGTTTCTGTTAATAAAAAATTATTAAGATATCTTTATGATATCAGTTCGGCTTCTAGAAATCAAACAAGTTTTGCTATGTTATCCTTTAGATACCCTATCTCTTCTTTTTTAAGATGTTTTTGTTTTTTGTTTTTATTGACTTTTCAATTTCAAGAAATGGATCATTAAAATAGCTTATTGATTTTCAGTTCGATTTAAGCTAGGAAAAGACACGCCTCTATAGACTTCCATGTGCGAGTTTTTACCTATACTCAAATACTAAGAAAATTAAATTAAATTTAAATTTTAGGGATAGTATTTTTCATAATTAAAAATTAAGCCAGGTAAACACCTATGTTAAAAAGGAAAAGTCAGGAAAACACATGCCTCTAAAGACATCCACGTGCTAGAAGATACATTATGTACTATTACTACTTCCTTTATTAACAAGTGGTCCTATCTAGCAAAGTAATGTGATTTGAAAAGGTTGGCACGTTGTCGGAGATGCTCTAACTTTACTTTTTCCTTATAATTAGTTAATTACTACTTTAATCCACAGTCAATTATTCGAAGAAAATAATTAGTAGGTAATTAAATTACGCACCTGATCTCGTGAGAAGTAAGGCCGGCCTTATCAACGATCTCCTTCAACGCATCCCTCCACTTCAACTTCACCTTCGGGTCACCGTACCGACCGCCGGAGTGCTTCTCGATCATGGCGGCGTAGCTTCCCGTGTCGCCGTCGACCTCCGACGGGTCGACGTTGTAGAAAACCGGGATCACGCGGTGGCCGAACTCCTTCATGCTCCGGGCGATGGTGGCCACCTCGTCGAGGCACCAGGGCGAGTCGGCGAACCTCTCGGAGAATATAATCACCGACACCGCCGATCTTTTGAGGACGGAAAGAAGCTCCGCTATGCTCTCTCCTTTGCCCAGCATGGTGTCGATGAAGGTCCGGATCTTCTTCTCCGACAGCGCGGCCATGACGTGGCTGGTGAAGGAGCCACGCGTCTCGCCACGGAAGCACAGGAACACGTCGTACTCCCATGGCCCGTAGTACACGCAGCTGCCGGAAGAGGCCACCATGGGATCAATCGAAGAAGAAGTGGATGAAGAGCAATTAGTACTAGCTAGAGGAAGAAGAAGATGGTGAAGACATGGCTTGAGGACTAAAGTTAAATTTCTTATGCCTTTGTTTTATTTTTCTTTGGTAGGTATAGAGAGATATGATGAATTAATTAAGCTTTACACTAGAGGCCAACAACGACAAAGTCTGTTCGGATTATGTATAATAAATTAATAATATGACTTTGACTGGTCATAACAATTATTTAAGGACCTGGGGTCCTAACTTGGGAAATGGTTTGCTAGCGTGTATTAAGGTATGATGTGAGATCTATTTTTGAGTATTTTTTAATTATTTGAAGAACGGAATTTTTATATATGTAGAGGAGTAAATAGGATGCTAACAAGTAACAACAGTACTTAGTGCATCATATTAACATAATTATTAATAATTAGCAGTATTACGATAATTATTGTACATAGCTGTTTCATTCGTGTTTTTTTCGCCTCTCGCCTTTTATTTCCCACCCTCCACTCTATCTGCGCAAAAAAATCAGCAGCCTACTTGTAAATAAATATTTTACCATTATAAAAAATTATTTCATTAATATATATTTCTTTTTACTTGTTATCATTTATAATGTTTTTGCCTTCTTGATCTGCTTTAAGAAAGGATGTTTAATTTGGGGTCACTAAAAGAAAAACCGACCATGCATGATACAGTAGACAAAAGACAATAAGATAAGGTATAGAGATAGAGAAGGAGACCAACTTTGCATTTGTTCTTTTGGATGACAACAAAAAAGAAAGTTGAGTTATTTATTCTTTTGTCTGTCCATTTCTCTTTACCGCGTAGTTGCTGAGAGCAACGCAACCAGACAAGTCAATTCCTGAAACAGTATCATATTTTTCTACCCAAAAAAAAGAATATATTTGGATTGTGGTTCGATTGAATTGAAGTAGATGTAATGTGCCGTTAGAAGTTTAGAAGTGAAGAAGAGTAGATTTCTTCGATAATATAGGTTGAATATTGTATTTTTTTTATGAAACAAGACAGAAATTAAGAGCGTAACAAATGATTAACTATTCCGAACAAATAATAGGATATTTACACGAAAACATATATGATTATATACGAAGCCAAACAAAAAATATACCACACAATATCTCCTCTAACAATCTGCTAATGGGTCAAAATGATCCTAGCTATATAAATATAATTTTTGAATTCAAGACTTTCAAATTCTAACCAAGGACACTCTTAATCCATTGCCATTGTTTCTCCTTTTTCTCGATCTTCAACTTCCCATCTTCCTCCTCCTTAACCTTCTCAAGTGCTTCGACTAAGTTCCTCAAACACTTCTCTTCGCTATCCTCGACCGACTTTGGTAGTAAATTCTCTGCAACATTGGCGGGAGTCATCTTAATCTCTGCCAACAACTCCTTAACTCTGCCAAACAAACTATGCTCTTCTATGTCCAAGTAGTTCTTGGCTAAAACCTTAAATGCCTCGAAGCAACAGTACGACATCTCAATGTGCATGTCCATCCTTCCTCTCCTTATCAACGCAGGGTCGAGCTTGTCTACATAATTGGTCGTGAACACAATGATTCGTTCCCCTCCACAAGCCGACCATATACCATCGATGAAGTTCAGAAGACCCGACAACGTGACTCTGCTGTCGCTTTTGTTCTCTTTCTCTTTCTCCTTCAATGATTTGGAAACAATATTATTGCTCTTTCCGCCTGAATCATCGTCGGAGTCGGAGTCATCTTCACTGTTCTCCTTCTTTTCCGACTTTCTTTGTCCAGTGAGATCTAGCGAGCAATCGATGTCCTCGATCACGATGATGGACTTTCCCGTAGTCTCGAGGAGTAGCTTTATCAGCTCCGAATTATCTTTTACAGTAGTCAACTCCAAATTGTAAATGTCATAGTTCAAGAAGTTGGCTATAGCCGCTATCATTGTTGACTTTCCGGTTCCCGGAGGTCCATAGAGAAGGTACCTATTGAAATAGAAAACAAAATATACAAGATAACTAAATAATGTCTTACTAATCAATGATTGTTCCACCCTTGAAAAAAGTTATTATGCACATCATTGATGAAACTGAAGATTGAATCAATTGGCAAATAATTCAATTAATAATGACAAAAATTCTAATTGAAATCTTTATAATTTCTAAATCATTATATTTTATGTATAATCATATAATATATAGCAAAATCATGATAAAATTGTATTGATATACTCTCCCCGATCAACTCGTACAGTTGACAAAACATTGATGACTTAAACTTCAATAACCCAATTTGCAAGTTGAAACTAATAAGTTTGTTATTGTTGAAACTTGAAATTGATACTAATAAATAATACTTATTCTAATGAAAAATGAAAACATCAAGTCAACTAGATCTATATAGAATTCAACAAATCAACCACTTGAGAGTTGAGAGTTGAGACTACTAAAAATCCCATAGAGAAAATTATTGAAGTACATAAAGGAATATGTTTTTTTTTATGGTTAACATAAAGGAATAAGTTGAACATCGATATTAATTGTTTTTTACTTTAAAAATGTAATTAAAAATATTGCCGGAATAAAAGTAAAAACGTACCCTCGCTTCCATGGCTTGCCAATCTTAGCGTAATAGCTCTTCCCCTGACTAAACTTAACCAAATCCTTCTTAATCCCTTCCTTCACCTTCACCGGCATCGCCAGCGTGTCAAAGCTCGCCGGGTGCTCAAACGCCACGGAGCTCCACCCGCACCAGTTCCGGGTCGGGTTATTCGAGTAAAGCTTCCTCTGCCTATTACCCGCCACGATCGCCCTCCCTTCGCCCAACACGTGTCCCATATACTCCCCGACCACAACTTCCCTATCCCTCTTGTGAAAAGTCAGCACGTAGAACCTCTTCTCGTCGTCCTCCGGGTACAGGCTGATCGACTGGGCCTTCGGCGACGTCTTCCGCGAGGCCCACCACACTTTAACGCCGCGAAACACGTGGCAAACTTCCTCGTCCTCGTCCATCGAGAGGACGAGGGAGCGTCCGTCTTTCGAGGTGTCGGAGGCCTTGAGGGATTTCGCCGCCGGGGAGGTGTGGGCGGTCAGGTAGGCGTGGATCGTGACGTAGGCCTCGCTGCGGCGGTACCGGCTGGTTCCGGAGAGTTCCGGGAAGCGGATCTTGATGTAGGGGTTGAGGAAGGCGAGGAGCTTTTGGGTGTGTCGGGTGAAGATGCCGCGGAGTTGCTCCGGGAGGTATTTTTCGAGCATTGTCCAGGCGGCCATCAGGGCGATCAGCGATGAGCCGAGGTTGGTCCAGAGCTTTAGGGCTTCCATTTCCCTTCTCTTCTTGATTAGCATCATGGTGGGAATTTTTGTTTGGTTGTTGTCGAGTTGTGGGTGAGAGGTAGATAGGAAGGAAATGTTTAGGAAGAAGTTTGGAAGTAGTTAGTGAAGGGAGAAGAAATTTGGGTGGCAATTTCAGGGGTGGTTTCTTGGAATGTGTGGCGAGGTTAATGACCCTTTCCTACTTTTAGAGCCGTGGCGAATAAGGCCATTGAACTGGGTCAGCTCACCGTGTTCAACAATAGCACAAGCTGTAGTAAAGATTCAGGACTTCAGTCGCACCAACGGGAAGTAAATGAAGGATTAGCCAAGGCAAAATAATAATCTTGTCTTGGACACGCACACCTGCTGATTAACCATTGAGAGATTCCTTGATGAACAATATTTGCACAATAAGGTCAAGCAAAAGAATTTTCTCGTTTTGGGATTCTGATGTTCAAAGTGATGGTGACTTAGCATATCCGATATAGTAAAAGATCATATGATGGATGACCATTTTACTCGTGCCACCATAAGGTATTTGTTGGATCATAATTAAAAGTTCTTTTTCTTCTTCTTCTTCTTCATATTAGCACGTTGATATGAATTATGACAATGTCATAACAGCTGAATGTCATTGGCTTTAAAAATAACATTGCTCCATGGGGTGGAACGCGATAATGTCACGTCCACAAAATATTACTCACTTAAATATTGATATAGTCCCTACCTCATACTCAATTAGCTAGAAGTTCGCTATGCCTATATAGGAAAATAAATGCGTGGTTAGGATATTGCGAATTTTTTTTTTTTGGGTGGGAAATAATGATTTTCGCAACTCCTTATCATCAATAGTGACCACCCGAATCAAACTTGTGGTTCACAATTTTCCCCGTTGCTAATAAAAAAATTATGAGGAAATTTTTTCTCTACGATCCTCTAAATATTGCATATGTTTGGCCCTGCTTTTAGAAGTGCTTTTCGACTTCAAAAGCTGAAGCATAGCCAAACACCTCTAAAAACTCGGCTTTTGAAAAGCCGAAAAGCGCTTTTGTATAACATAAACGCATAAGCTCCGATTTGGAGCTTCTGCGAAAAGCTGTTTTGAAAATACAAGATTATCCTTACCATATTTTAATTTTATTTCAGAAAATATAATTTTCCTTCATTTATATCATTTTAAAAATAAAATAAATTATAAAATCATATTATTTAATATAAAAGAAATCTAACAAGATCCATTTTTATCACTTTTTATTGTTTAAAATTTTTATTCATATTTTATATTATAAGTCTTTTATAGTCATTTTACACAACCACTCATATTAAAAAGCACTTCTAATAGTTTTACAGCCAAACACTGAACTGCTTTTTTTTTAAAAGTACTTATCCAAAAGCTCCAGCCAGAAGCTGCTTCTGCAAAAGCTACAGTAGGGCCAAACTAAGCTATTAATATGTGGTATAAGATCTATTACTGAACTCAACCTAAAACTTCAATTATTGGAATCAATTGGTTCTTGGCATAATATCATAACCTTTTGTAATCGATAGATTTTTTGTTCGAATCCCCATCATGTCTGATACATGTGTAAACTTCAAAATCATAGAATTTTGAAGCTGCAAAAAGAACTATGACTGTTTTCCAATAGTATCATCACGATTTATCAAAGCATTATTATAATTCATTCCAACATTAGTAAAATATTTAGTTGTGTCATATTTTGCGTACTTCGTGCAACATCAATTTAATTGACAATACACAGAACTATTCAGTTCAACCAATCAATACAATGGGCCGCATAGGTAAGATTATCCATGGATCATCACAACTCTATTCTATTCTTTGAGGATTTACTTACCAAGAGGAGGTATCTTAGGGGTCGTTTGCTTCATGGATTTATAAACGAGGGTTTTGTAATTTAAAAACCCAAGGATTTATCAAGGATTTGAGACATCTTGGATTTGTAACAATCCTTTGTTTGTTGGGATGTTTTTATCATGGATTTAAAGGTGTGGGATTTACTACTTGAAGTCAAAAATTACATTACAGCCCTTTTCTATATGTTTGACATGTTTATGATATGTACACAAAACAAGGACAAAACTTCAAAATTACCTTACTATCATTTTCTATATGTTTGACATGTTTATGATATGTACACAAAACAAGGACAATACATACTAATAAGCATAATGTTGCCACATGGACAATAATAATAAACGAGAAAATTCCGTTTTAACTTTTAACGTAACATAATCAATTACCAATTCTTTGTCCTCCTTTTCAAAAGTAACATATAACAACATATATTAGAATCGGGAGAACAAAGAATTACACGTTCCATGAAAAGGTCAAACAAAACTAGAACACAAGAAATGATATAAAAAATCTAACTCATGTTTGCACATTAATTGAACATTTATATTATTCATTTATTGTTAATTATAATGTATAATAATTAAATTTGAGGGCAACCTTGGAATATTAAAAGTGCATGAGGGTATATGGGTAAAATGTCATCAAGAATTTATGTCATATTCCAAATCCCACATCAACATGTGGGATTTATAAGTCCGTGGGGTCCACGGATTTGGACCCTTAAAATCCGTGGGCCCCACGAATTTGGTCTCTAAAAAAGGTGCAAGCAAACAACGGATTGTACCTAAATCCTTGATAGTTGGTTTTTTGGTATCAAATCCATGTACCAAATTCTTGAAGCAAACGACCCCTTATTATCTCTTCTCCTCTGCAGTGTGCACAAAATTTAGTTATGGCCTGGATAATGAACATGAGATGGGCCGTGGCTTGGGTCAACGATGAGTTAAGAACGCACTGGGCCTACGATTGGGTTTGATTATCTCTTGGGCTAAACCGGCATCCAGTTCCTTTTATTTCCCTTTTTCCGCGTCTTCTATAATCTATAGACAATCATTAAGCCGAAAAAACCAAATTGCGCATCATTCCAATTTCACAGCTGCGGAAAGAAGAGCGAGAATTTTTCCGAACCTCTGAAAACCGACGACGATGGGCTCAGTACTCTCTTACATGCTTGGAGGAGGCGAAGGCGACGCCGCTACCGGTGAAGACGACTCATCGTCGGGCGATCACTCCGGCGTCACAAAGTTCCACTCCGCTGCCCGCTGGCAGCTCCACTTCAACTCCCTCAAAGATTCCAACCAGCTGGTAAACCCCTTCCCTCTCTCTCTCTCTTCAACCAAACTCAATTTTCTTCTATTCTCTTGCATAAATTAATTCAGTTCCGACTTGAGTTATCCTTTCGTGGTTTGGTTTTGAGAGCAGCTGGTGATCGATTTCGCGGCGTCTTGGTGCGGCCCGTGCCGGTTCATCGAGCCTGCGGTGAACGCCATGTCTGAGAAATTCACCGACGTCTCCTTCGCCAAGATCGATGTGGATGAATTGCCCGTACGTATTCCTTTTACTATGCTGTTTAATTTTGACTTCCATTTTGACCGATTGGAAGACCTAAGGGTTTCTAATTTTGACTTCGTCTATAATCTGATCAATAGCTTTGAATGATTTGGTTTGGCCGGGTTGGTGGATGGGGGAAATACAACAGGAAGTGTCGCAGGAATTTGGGGTGCAGGCGATGCCAACATTTGTACTGGTGAAGAAAGGGAAGGAAGTAGACAGGGTGGTGGGAGCTAAGCAGGATGAGCTGGAGAAGAAGGTCTCCAAATACAGGTCTGCTTGAGTAAACAAAGCCCCTCTCTGTTCTCCTTGTACCACTGAATAGGGCTGGCTTACTCTTTTATCTATCTGATCTTGGGATTAAATGTTCATAGAGGTCTCGGTGTTCTTATTTCATGACAAACTTTGTGATTGCTGAAGAGGAATGGTGACAAGTGACTGTAGTGTTTGTGTTACTGCTGTCGGATTCTGGTTGGCAATGTGTATTGAATATGGTGATTGCCTCAGTGGGCAAGATTATGAATGGGGAGATTCGGTATGTTATTTTCATTTGCTGAAATCTTGTAAGGTCTATTCGTTTCGGGTCCAGTTAGGGGTTGAATGGGATGTGTATGCACGTACTGATATTGTTGGATCATTGGCTCGATCCGAATGATATGAACAAATCTCGCTTGTATGCAATGGCATTATGTCCACTATAGTAAGCTGTGGGTAGCTTCTGATTGAGCATGAACTTGTTTCTATTGATTGGTGGTTGTAAATAAAATAGTATTATGTCATCTATCGCCTTTGATCATTGAAATTTGAAGGAGTAGCTTTCTGTTGCTGGCATATTGAAGGTCAGACCTCTACATTGGGCCGTGGAAGCCCAATAACAAATTTGCTCCTTGGCTAGGAAGGCTGTGTCAAAGGCCTCCAACCTGACCCAATAGATTGGGCCTGGCAATGCTTGTTCATCCTCCCTCTCTGAGCAGTCTCGTCGGATATTCGTGTCGCTTTGTAGTTTATTCGGCCATAAAAGGACAAGTATACCTCTAGCAGTGGATACAGAATTACAGATGCAGTAATACAATCAACTTGAATTGAAGGGTCCAAAATTAAGTATACCAAATCCAGCTCAGTCCAAAAGGGTTCTTCCCTCTACAGTTTTTATGATTATATGGTAGCGAGATGGATTGTTGACCATTTAAATCGACTGTCAAAACACGCATCCGACCAATTGAGTTAATATGGTATACAATTGAGACAAGTACAACAATATGAGAAATCACGCTTTAAATGTAGTTATTTGGATATAGTTCGGATAAAGTATTAACCCAAATAATTTCGTGGAAACATTTCCAACAAATTATACAATATTGAAGATTATTTCAATCCCACTAATCAAACAATACATATATGATATATTATATACACAAATTGTAAAAGAATTAATATACTCTAAAGTAGCGGTGGAAATTGGGGTGGGTGTGGTTACCCGCCCCACATTTTGCGGGTACCCACGTCCACAAATTTACAATTATGCTACCCACAACTCGCATCGCAGTGGTTGGTGGGTAACCACTACCCATTGTGGGTTTGTGCGGGTTGGGTGTGGTTACCCGCAAAAATCCATCTTTGCAAGCATAGAGTTCTAGTCGCCACTAAAGTATTTGTTGTTCGTAACTAGACTATAGTGATATACACTTGTTTTGTTCGTGGAGATACAATTTTGTACATCGATCTTACTCAACGTGAAGATTTTTTCTTTTTGAGTTTGGTATTCAACTTTTGTGTTAGAGAGCTGTGATTTCATATTTCCCCGACTAGGGGTGAAATATGACAATTAAATATGATCTTGTATTTTTTTCACACAAAAACATACTGATAAAAGTTACAAAAGGTGTTCACTTTTAATGAATTGATTATTCTCCACTCTATCGATTATAGTGTTTTATAAACTAAAAAATTCTTACATAAAACTGATTAGGTGTGTCTTTTTTATTTGGTGGCTAATTTAATTTTTATCCTCACACTTTTCACATACTATTATATTATAAAGTTAATTCACTAATAAATATAATTAGTGTGGTTATTGTGGATTTTGTGGGTTAACCGCGGTGGGTAGTGGATAACCACTAACCACAAAAATCGTTATTTTACTATCCACACCCAACCCACTACCCACAACTTATGAGTATGGTTACCCACAAGAGGTACGGGTTGGTGCGGTTTGCGAATTATCCACAACCCACTACTCTAAAGAATACAAATACGACAACAATTTACTAAAAACGATCATGGAATTTCTAGTGAACCCTACGTCTATGACTATAAGGACAAAAATTTGTCGCTATTCAGATTTTTGTTGAGAAAGGAACTCCAGGCACAAATCCATCTAGTGCCGACTCTCACATCACACGCTACGGTGGCGCCCCTCATCCCTGCTCCCGCATCTAACCGCCACAACTCTTATCAATACCTCTCTCTCTTCCTATCCCGCCACGTGACTTCGTCGTCGGCTGTTAATCATACCAATCGCCGGTCACTCTCTCCGCCTCTTTTCAGTCACGCCGGCGCAATAATTACCAACTACTAGGGACACGCCTACACTTCTCCAACTGCTGCTTTTGCTTCTGTGCACCTCTCCCCATCGCCGCTTCTCGTCCTATACAGGCCAGCGATATAACCAGGAAAGACGACAAAATTAGAAGGTGAGGTGACGGCAATGGAAACTACTCTGCTGCTGTGGCCGGCGTTTCTCTAGCGTTTTTGCTTGTTTTGGTGACTTGAGCTTCAGTAGGAAGAGGAGAAGGCAAATCGCTTTGCTGTTGAGTTCGTGTTTAGGGCGCTTTAAATGGCGGTGGAGTACACTTGCTGTAGCTCCGAATTCTTCATTCACATTCTGATAATCGTGATGCTGGTGCTGTTCGCCGGCATGATGTCTGGGCTCACTCTCGGCCTCATGTCTCTGAGTCTCGTCGATCTCGAAGTCCTGGCTAAATCCGGCACGCCTCAGGACCGTAAATACGCCGGTAATTTACTCCATTCCTCCCTTTTCCTTTTCGATTCGTCTTCCGTGAATGTGTTGTTTGGCAGCTGAGAAAATCCGAGAATAAGGGGGGAGAATTTTCGGAACGAAAGAGCAGGTGTAGCTATAGGCTATTCCTTTTCTGTGTTAATGTTACTTTATGTGCTCTTTTTAGGGTTCACCATCAATAGAATAAGGAATTGGAAGTGGGAACTAACGATTCCCTTCTGATGTCGCTTGGCCAAATTGGGGGTCGTCTTTATTTTTGTTTCTTTTTCTATGTCTGGTCCCTGGTGGAAGCTGCATGATACTATTGTCAATGTTCTCTTGCGATTCTTTGTCCTGCTTCTGTGAAAGCCCTCAGTATAAAATTCCCTGTGATGGTAACCTAACCTTTCCCAGTATTGTTTTCACGTGTAGTCCACTTGTAATAGTGGCATTAACTTTAGTAGTTTATTTCCAAACATGCCTAGAGTTGGCATATATTATAGGGCCTGGTTTGTTTAGTCATTCTGAGAAATCTAGCAATCTGGCTAATATGTTGAAAACCTTGCTCAGCTTTCCATTAGGCCTGTCTGGATAAGTTAGAGATGCAAAGACTTGCATCCTGAATATGGGGTTAATGAAATCTGAATAAGTGCATGTTTGGAGCTCATTCTCTGAGGGCAAGGGAAAAGTTGGGGATTTAGAATGAGTGGTCTTTTTTGTGTTTGTTGTTAGGGGTATTGGGAGGATGAGTTCTATGTTACAATTTCATTGGTATTTTGCCATGACAGGTTTTTTATTTATGATTAGATAGGCTGGTCTCATCTATATGGTTTGACTTCAAAATGAACCTGGGTAGTTAGGTACTATGCTCTGGACAATTGAGGCGGTACCAGCCAGGTTCAGATTATGTTGCATCTGTTACTTGTTCGTTAGCGTTAATCTGTTTCTATTTAACTGAACTCGATAGTTGAGGAAGATCCATTTATGTTGTTTTCCCATCTGCTTCTCAAAGTGATAGTGTCTGAAACAGTTACTGTATACACTAGTCAATATGAAAACAGCAACTCGCATTGAAACGACTCTCTTTGGTTCATATGCCTATTCATTATGCTGCTTGTGTGATATACATATGAGTCCCTCATCTTCTTCAGATTTTAGCTTATATAGGTTGATAAGATGCTGATTACTTTGTATTTGTTTAAACAGCAAAGATACTGCCAGTTGTAAAAAATCAGCATTGGTTACTCTGCACGCTGCTGATTTGCAATGCTGCTGCCATGGAGGTACATAAATGGGCTCTTTCTAATCTTTCGGCCAGGCTGTCGAATTGTACTTGATTCTGCAATGATTATTTCTTTTATTTTTTTCCAGGCACTCCCTATCTTCCTCGACAGCTTGATTACAGCATGGGGTGCGATCCTCATTTCTGTTACACTGATTCTGCTGTTTGGTGAGGTCAGAAATCAATTTATTCAATTTTGGTCTCTGAATCAGAAAAAGAGATAAATGCACTAGTTATTTTTATTTGTACTATCATAAGCTGATGTATGAGACATATATTCCACTCACCATGTGAGCAGCATGCTTGACTATTATTAAGAATAAGGCTCTTCTATGATGAGAGTGAGACATACTTTTCATTTGAATCTGGAACTGTTATAGGGAGAATTGGAAGAATACAATTCAAGGGCAAGTTTGGGTGCTTGATAAAGTTATTTTTGAAGAATAAATGAACTCTGTTAAGCAGGAGAGTTGTCATTGTTGTCTTTCCTGTTAAAAGGGATAGGCCACTGAGTTGATAGTCCAACTGATTAATAAACTTAAAACGATATAGGAAAACAGGGTACTGTTGGATGTCACTAAATCTCTGAATTTTTATGTAGATTATACTGCAAGCTGTATGCACCAGATATGGTCTGGCAATTGGTGCAACAGTGCCCCCCTTAGTCCAACTGATTAATAAACTTAAAACAATATACGAAAACAGGGTACTGTTGGATATCACTAAATCTCTGAATTTTTATGTAGATTATACCGCAAGCTGTATGCACCAGATATGGTCTGGCAATTGGTGCAACAGTGGCCCCCTTTGTCCGTGTGCTGGTGTGGATATGCTCTCCCATTGCCTACCCGATAAGCAAGGTTAGTTGTGCAAGTTTAAGCCTTGCTTGTAATCTCTGGTCTCACTTAATGATGGTGACTCATGTTTTATGCTCACGTCAGCTTCTGGATTATCTACTGGGTCATGGGCACGTTGCTCTTTTCCGCAGAGCTGAGTTGAAAACACTTGTGAATTTCCATGGTAATGAGGTGAGTCGATAAGATGTTATTCTGTGTTCTCAGCATGCCATATTCGATGTTCTTTTTTAGGGATGCTCAATTACTGAAAGCACCATACCTCTGTCTCTTTAGGCTGGAAAAGGTGGAGAGCTGACTCATGATGAGACAACAATTATTGCTGGAGCGCTTGAGCTCTCAGAAAAAACTGCTGGTGATGCAATGACACCTCTCGCTGAAACTTTTGCCATTGATATCAATGGCAAGCTTGACCGGTAAGAAAACTTGAATGAGTTGCTTCTGTTGCATAATGTCCAGATGGTTTAGAATTTTTTTGGCCTCTTCTTTGCAGTGATCTGATGAATATGATACTGGAGAACGGACACAGCAGAGTGCCTGTTTATTATGAGCAACCAAACAACATTATTGGCCTTGTTCTGGTAAACCAATTATTCGTTCTATATGTTTGGATCAGGACTTAGTTTTGTTCTTTTGGTTGCTATTTTCTATGTGTATTGGTTATGGTAAAGGACCGGAAGTAGAATAATTCTCAAGGTGCTACCTAAATCTTAGCATTTCTGGCTTCACCTTTGAATCAAGTCTCTTCTTGTGATTTTACAAGTACATATGGTGTCTGCCTTCGTCGCAGAAGTTGAAATAATGTAATGGGTTCTGTATTGTTGACTGCTGAAGTACCAAACAGGTTCTCTAGTTCTATTTTATTCTTCCATATGTCGATCCATTTTTCCATGTTATTTATACCAGATCGATCATGTTTTTGGTGTCTTTGACAAATATGCATGCATGATATGGTGACTCTTTGTTTCCCTCGAGGAGTGATTTGTTCCAGCAGACATTATGGTATCTATGCTTGTTTAATTGCCTTTCCCCATTCTCTTAGGTCAAGAATTTGTTGACAATCCACCCTGAAGATGCTACACCTGTAAAGAATGTGACCGTACGGAGAATCCCCAGGTGCATTACTTCAGTATAGACATTTATTACATGAAATAGATTGGTTAAATTTTGACTGAACCTTTTCTTGTTTTATTTTCATCATCAACTGATGCTAGGTTTATGTCCACAGGGTTCAAGAAAACTTGCCCTTGTATGACATACTGAATGAGTTTCAGAAAGGCCACAGTCACATGGCTGTTGTCGTGAGGAAGTGCAACATAACCGAACAGCTGCCCACTGATGGTTCAGCTAATAGTAAGTGCTACCATCTTTCCCAAAAGCACTAGTTCTATATCTCATAATTATGTACTGTAAGAAGTTTTGTACTCTGTTCTTGCCATTGAATGAAAACAGTTCCAGTTAAAGAAGTGAGAGTAGATGTGGACGGGGAGAAGCCACAGGAGAGGTCATTAAGGAGCCACAAGTCTTTCAAGAAGTGGAAAAGCTTCCCCAACAGGAATGACTCATTTAGGGCGTCAAGGAGCAGAAAGTGGAACAAAGAAGTCGACTCCGACATCCTGGAAATAGATGGCAAGCCACTCCCGACGCTTCCTGAAGAAGAAGAGGCTGTTGGCATCATAACCATGGAAGATGTCATTGAAGAACTGTTACAGGTATTGACACTTCTTTTCCCCTGCTTCCCTTTTTCGGCTCAATTCTCAGATCCTGACAATTTTTCATTTTGTTGTCACTCAAATAGGAGGAGATTTACGATGAAACAGACCATCATCACGAGTAGCATTGATTCAAATTCATAATCGAAGCGGTTTACATTTATGTATATGATCAGGACAGGAGAAATGTATTCGTTGAGACTGTTAGGAGGGTTTGATCCTCAAAGCTTTTGGCCAGAATATGTTTCTGCGAAATGTCAAGTGTAATCATGTTTTAGTGTTTTGTCCCTAATCCCTATATGGAGAATATGTTATGTAATAGATCGGATTGAGCTGAGACGGATGGGGAAGTTCATGTATTGCCCTGAAAACGAAGGGCATATATAGTAGTGTTATTAGGACGGATATAAACAGGCTTCGTTTGGATGAGTATTTCAATGAGATTTCATCACAATTTCTCATTATATCAAATTTTAACTAAATAATTCTTTTGAGAGTAGGATAGATTTCAAAACTCAAAATTTAAAAAATCTACAATTGAAGATTTTTGAAATAGACAATTCCCATCTTTCTACACCAAAAATATTCTATTAAACGAGGGTATTCGTGCTTGGATGACGACTCAAGATCAGCCCCATGAAAACCTTCTATTCCCTAAGGGGGTTCTACCACGTGGAAACGCTCTTTAATGGAACTTTAGCTGTAGCTGGTCGTAACTAAGAAACCATCAGTTATTTTGAAATTTCCCATTTGTCTAATTTATTCTATCGATTATGTCCCTTTTAATTTTTATAAATTTCAGAAGTACCCTCACTAGTCACTCCCATTGTTCTTCCTCAACGAAAAAGAGACCCTTCCTCTTCTGTCCACCCACCGCAGTCGCTTCTCCATCTCGTTGCTTTCTTTTATTCCTCCCACCTCCGGTAAATTTTCCCCAACTCCACCACTGGAACCCCTCTCCTCTTCGCATCCGTCATCAATATTGACTTCTCGATTCCCAATCCTCATCGACGACCCTCAAATCCAGATGAACAAAATGATTAGGTTGTCGTCCATTAATGAAACTTTACTCACTAATTTATTCATTAAAAAAGAAATTAATGTTCTTGTTTGTGTTCTCAAACTTGAGTGGTTGTTTATCAACTAATTGACCCCGCCATTAATTGAGATTTGACTGTTGTTGTTTATGCTCAACACGAGTTAGGCATGTTGTTGTTTAGGTTGGACATAAGTTTTCGCATGTTGTTTACTTTCATATTTGATATCTAATGTGTGTTGCTGTGGTTAGGTTGGATGTTATAAACGGGCTGCTACGGATCCGGAAATCGCCGGAATCGATCAAGCAAGAATACGAAAGCGAGAATCGAAAAACACAGACACACGATTTACGTGGTTCACTAACACGATGTGTGTTAGCTACGTCCACGGGCGAGAGAGAGCCAGTTTCACTATATCAAGGAGATTACAAATTACAGAGGAGTATGATAAGTATTTAAAGTACTTCTCCATGTGGGTCTAAACCTAATCCAATCTGACAAAAGAAACGGCCAGAGACCCCCGATTACTAGTCGTAGCGACTGATAGTCCGATTCAAGTCACATCAACATTGGACATTAACTTTCTCTTTCTTACCGTGAAAGAAATACTTTACTTACTTCAATTGCATGATTGAGGCTGCCTTTGATGATAAAGCGTAGCTGCGTAGGAGTAGAAGATCGTGTAGATCAAGCGGGCATAGGGAATTATGGGCAAGTTTGAAGCAAGCTTTGAGCTTGTTTGCCTCAACATTATCGGCCTTGTTCTGGTAAACTGATTATCCATTCTATATGTTTGGATCAGGACTTAGTTTGTTCTTTGGGTTACTATTTTCTACGTGTATTGGTTATGATTAAGGACATGAGGTATATTATATGATCGTGCTAAGATAATTCTCAGGTTCTAACCCAAATTTTAGCATTTTTTCGCTAACGTCGAAATAATGTTTTGGGCAATATATTCATTATATTGTTGATTGTTCAAGTACCAAATATATTCTCTAATTCTATTTTTTTCTTCCAAATGTCGATCCATTTTTCCATGTTGTTTATACCTGATCGAGCATTTGCTAGTGTCTTTGACAAATATGCATGCATGATATGGTGACTCTTTGTTTCCTCGAGGAATGATTTGTTACTATTTACCCATTCTAGCAGACTTTATCGATGCTTGTTTAACTGCCTTTCTCCATTCATTTAGGTCAAGAATTTGTTGACAATCCACCCTGAAAATGCCACACCCATAAAGAACGTGACCGTACGGAGAATCCCCAGGTGATTACATTAGTATAGACATTCATTACATGAAATATATTGGCAAAATTTTGACTGAATCTTTTCTTTTTTTATTTTCATAATCATCTGATGCTTGATTTATGTCCCCAGGGTTCAAGAAAAGTTGCCCTTATACGACTTACTGGATGTGTTTCAGAAAGGCCACAATCACATGGCTGTTGTGGTGAGGAAGCGCAATAAAACCGAACAGCTCTCGTCGAGGGTTCAACTAATAGTAAGTGTTGTCATCTTCCCCAACAAGTACCATATTTTATCTTCAGATTTTAGTTTGTGTGATATATACATAAGTCCCTCATCTGGCCACTGCTGCTGTACTGTCCATTGTCCAATGGGATGTTCAGGGGACCATCAATTTGGCCGTGCGGTGTAATTGTTGAATGTTGGAATAATTTTGGCTAATGCATTGTCCCCAAAATCTCGTTATTCACCATGGTTTTGGGACTAGATTGTTTAAAAAATCGAAAACATGAGATTCAACCGCTATTGATCGTTCCTCAATCCATTTATTTCTTAAAATCCATGAGAAAAAGCTACGGACAGGATAGTCATTTCTCAAGTAAGTTCCCTTGAAAATGGCAGAACAGGGACAAACATGATAAATTGTAATATAAGCTACTGCAGCATATTTAGCCCTGTATATTCTTAACGATCATAGTTCTAGATTTTGAAGCGACTTCTTTACAATTTATGTGCAAGCGATCTACAACTCTGCCTAAAATGGCCAATTCTCTGGCTTGTTGTTCAAGTTCGTCTCCTTGAACAGCAACAGTAATCCGACGCTTAGTTATCTAAAGTGTCATAATCACTACTTCAGCACGCTACAAACCGAAGCCTTACCTACCAAGGTTCTTCGTTCAGCTCAGCTTTCCAGCAAAAACATCCACACTCCCACCTGGCCTACGGCCTGCAACCAAATGTACAACAAACAAAGAAGAATGCTACTGACTACTGAGCATCTGGACAAGAATCTTGGTTCTGGAATCTAGAAGGAACCAACACGCCTTGGTTTTTTCCACTTACGAGAACAAGTTAGAGTGGTTACGAGACATCTGAGGCCGCTTGATCGGCGAGAAGATGAGGTTCTTCAGTTTCATCGCCGGGTTGCTTGGTGCAACTCCGAAACCTGCGTTACCGCCGGCAACACTTCGGTTTCCAAGGTCGAGTTTGGCTGCTGCGTTGGCTGGTGAGCCGCTGCGGGGACGGCTGCCGCCGGAGATACCAAAACCAGAAGTTCCAGGGTTCTGTCTCGGGAACCATACGTCCTCCCTGGGTCCTGGAGTTCGAGGAGTTATATCCGACCAATCTGTAAAGAGTAAGTCAATCCAGCTTCCGAGATCATTTTAAACAAAGAACGAGTTGTGGATGGGAGTTGAAAGACATGGAAGTAAAATTACCATTTCGCAGCGGTTCTCTGGTATCCATCATTGTAGCTGCCGGGTTTGAGAAGATATCAGCATCGTTTCTTGCATAGAAGTTGCTTGCCGGTTGAATGGCTGATCTTTTCACCGACTCGTACTCTCTTTTCAGTTGATCGTACATATCTTCGAGTTTCCTCTTTTGCCTGCGCTCACCAAGTCCAAACCAATAGAACATCGTAAGCAACAGGTTTATTCTGATAATGGAAATGAGATAAGTTAACAGTGTTGCTCTCTATTCAACTGACCTTGATTGCTCGGAGAACTTTTCTTGGAGCTCTGCTTTATCCCTTTGAAGCTCTTCTCTATCCTTCCTCAGCCTCTCGTTCTCCTGTTCCATCATCTGGCATCGTTTTGCCGCTTTCTGATATGCAGCATAGACCTGCTCTAGTTTCTCGTTGAACTTCTCCTGCGTGGCCTCAAATTTCTGTCGATACTGTGCTGCTAGTCTGCTCAGCTTGAACTGCATCTCTAATTCCTTCTGTCCAATATAGAACATCACACTCTTGAATGTGCTCTTCATCACTGTGCTATTTTTAAGGAACATTCATGGGCGTTAGGCTTTCCACGAATAAATTTTAGCCAATATTCCAGCGATTCCATGACAGCCCTCTTTTATTTGGATTTGGCAACACAGTACAACAGGGTTACCAGAGTCAAAATATCACTGCATAACATGTTGATAGTTTGGCAATTTAAGAAACAAGAATAAATTGTTTAACATCATAAGCAAGGATACATATCTGTGGAGATAGCCCATTCGTGACCATCTGCAGCAAAGTAGGGTTCAATAAATGCACAGTAAGCAAATGCATGAAAAATACACTAGCATGACAAAGGAGTGGAGAAGCAAAAGAATCTGCCATAAGAAGCTGTTGATAACTTCACAATCATTTGCTTACATTTACCCATTCGTCATTTGGATTTATGTCCACAGGTTTCATTTGGCTGACAAAACAGACAACTAAAAGTGAGTGATTCGGAACAACTAGGAAAACAAGAACCAGCAAGCCTCCATATAACTTCTTCATATGCAATTTTTCTAGTGAACTGGACAAGGGCTAAGCAATCTGGAGACGCTCCACCAACAAACTCTACCATCTAACTGAAGTGAAAATACAATGTGCTTCCGACAATCTAAACGAATGAAGGACCAGGATGGACTGTTTAGCAGGACAAAGAAATAACCTCTTAGGAAGGACTTGATCACAGACTGGGCATCCCCCATCGTTGCTAAGTATCTTGCTGGCATCCTCAGTACCTGTTCAAGCTGTTAAGAGAAACTTTGTGCAAGAACAGAAGTCGGTGACACATATTAGATACCATGAGAATGGCTAGGGCATGATAAATCAGACTCAGAAATATGAAATCACAATCCGGTGTAGGATACAGAGGAGGTGACCACAAGTAGTCACGACAGCACGCCCTTCCAACTCTTGCCAACACGCGTTGCACCTCATCTTAAACTTGATTGAATGATTCCGTTTTGCTATATGTACCTGCTTATCTTGATGTTAGATGAGGGACAACAAGGCTAGACCGCTTATGCAGACAACTATTAGCATTTGAACCAAGATCCATCGGCTGCTAGTTCCAGGTTATGCTCCACCAAAAATTACTGGAATCGAGTTCCTACTTCATAGCAATGACACATTTTCAGAAAGGTCCTATCAATTTACGCCACTATCATTTGGCAACACGCAGTCACAAGTCACCAAATTCAGAAATAACTGTCCAGTTGGAAAAAATTAGGTCACTCCTTAAATGGAAAGGAGGAAAGCAACGAACATATTAAATTCCATAGCACAATCGCGCTTTTCACGACCAAGAGCAGTGAAGCAATCAATAATTGGGATTATTAGCATATTAATCAATTCATGGCACCTTGTTCAGGACGAGTTTCTACATCTACGTTCCATCCATCGCCACTCCAAATCTAAGGAACGATTCAGAACAGCATGACTCTAAAATGCTGAGCTTGCACGAGCCCTAAGTATTGGAAACCGGTCGCTCTGTTTGGCAAATCGGACTAAGAGGCTAGATACGACAGCAGAATTCAAGGAAACTAGCAATGACATTTCGTCCCAGAACAACGATTTTGCTAAAGAGAAACGAGACAGATAGAGAGGCTAACCTGGTAGTAAGCCAACAGATACGCACATTGAGCTTCCTGAGCTGCAGGATCTCTCGAGCAAATCGCACGATAAACTGCTAACGCGGTGAAAATCTGATGTTCACTTTCCTGCCAATATACGAGAAGAAACTCAGAGAAATCGCAGCGTATGGCCGTTTTTCGAAGTTTTTAGAAGCGCGATTCGTAACACAAACAGTAGAAAGCGCCGACGATCCGCGAGCGCATCCGAGAAAAGTTCCGGAGAGATCTCTGAAATCGCTAGATTAAACGAGACTGAAATCGCTAGATTGAACGAGAAAGAAGTGAAGGCCCCCCTAACCTGAGGTGGAGCTTGATCGGTCTGCGGTGTAGCTTGAGCGCTGAGCCGCTCACTGTCTCCTTCCACAGTCGCCGAACTTGTGTTTGAAATGAGCGGAGGAAATGGCGGCAACATACGTTCCATTTCTCCGGCAACAGGGATATATAAAGGTCAGCGAATGTCGTTGGTTTTTCTTTATTTATTTACTTTTCCGAAAAGTTTTTGGGTGGAGTTCTACTTGGGCCGAACAAGCAGCAAATGGACTGGGCTGGTTTTCTTCTCAAGCCCATCTAGAAAGAAGGGGCGGTAAAAACGTTGTCGGTTTATTGCAACCAGAGACCCAAAGAAAATGTATAAATTTAGCGGCGAGGAGAAGAAATCAAGGGTTTTAGCTGGACGCGGGAAGTAATTTTCCACTGTGTTGTCCCCTGCACCGATTCCTGCCGCTAACGCAGCCGCCGCCGATCTCAACCTTCTTTCCCGTCAGCTTCCCGGTCGTGAAAATGATAGTGGCTGTTTCGTGGTTGCCGAAAGGAGTGGCAAAGGCTGTTCCAGTGGTGGCAGAGCTTCCTTCAAAAGAAGAGATTGAAGAGCTATTGAAGTCCGGTGCTTTGGAAGATGGGTAAATTTCCTATACCCTTCCTCTTCCTTGGGGTTTAGCCAATCATTGATTCTTTCATGTTGGGTTTTGTGCAATTTACTTGCTTCAATTTGAATTCATGGCAAAGTTGATGGGGACGATTTGGTTTGTGCAGAGAAGAAAGTGGGAGTGAGGCTGAGGATGGAGATACGGAGGTGGATGCTGAGATGGAAACTAACGAAGCAAGTCAAGCACTAGCTGTGGCAGAAGCACTTGGTGCAAAATCGAAAACCAACAAGTCATCTTCCGGAGTTGATCATATAGCTGATGAGTTGAAGGAACTTGACATGGACAATTATGATGACGACGAAGATGAAGGTTAGTATGGCTTTTCCAAGCAACCTTTTTTGCTTCCTATTTCAATGGCTAGGAAGATGCTGTAGTTGATACTATACTCGTTCGTTATTGCTGATATACCATTTGAAATCTGCAGAGATTGAGCTTTTCAGCTCTGGGCGTGGAGACGTTTATTATCCTAGTAATGACCTGGATCCTTATCTCAAGGGTGTGGATGTAGGTTTTGCTACTTTCATGCTTTCTTTTGTGGTGCAAATTTGCTCGCATTGCATTTTGACTGCATTTCGTACGATGAATTGTTTTTGTATATGTGCATTCCTAAGGTCGATGACTCTGATGAAGAGGAGAATCTGATTATTCAGCCAAAAGATTCAGTCATAGTTTGCGCACGGAATGAAGATGACATATGTTCGCTTGAGGCAAGTAATGTTGAATTCAACAACTCTCCCTGACCCCCCCCCCCCCCCCCCCCCCCCCCCCCCCCCCCTACTCTGACAATCACTGATGTTGTGTGTGACCAGGTTTTGGTATGTGAGGACTCTGGTGATGGTAATCTAAATATCTTCCCTCACCATGATATTATTGTGGCAGCATTCCCCCTTTGCACAGCATGGCTTGATTGTCCACTTAAAGGAGGGGAAAAGGGTAGGGTTGTGTATCCAGTGTTTGATATTACTCCATTGCTTAGCCTTTGTTTTTTTTTTAATCGTTTCTTTTCTATCCTGCTAATCGACTGGGGAATTACTCTCTTTGCAGGAAATTTTATTGCTGTCGGTTCAATGGAACCAGCTATTGAAATATGGGATCTTGACATTGTACGTGATAGATGGATGTTAAAGCTCTGAAAATGCGTTCATTTTGTCTTTCTGATAAACAGATTGTTGTGAATGTCTGACACTTTTTTTATCTCCAGATTGAGCAAGTAGAGCCATCTGCAGTGTTAGGAGGTGTTGTTGAGGTTCAGAAGAAGAAGAAAAACAAGAAGAAAAGTAAGAAGAAGGTGCGTAAACATGTAATGAAAGACTAAGGACTATTGTCTCACCTTGACTAAAGTAAACTTTGTTATAAAATTTTCCCATGTTGGCCTAGCTCTGAAAGCTTTCTGTTTGATCAGCTATCTCTTATTTTCTCCTTTAAAAGGGCATTGGACCGCAATTAACCTGATATACTTGAGGTTGATCCTCGGTCTGGTCATCTCGTGTTTAAGACACGACATATTTGTACCACCAGTGCAAGAGTTCCCGGAATTCGTCTTTCTTCATCTGTTATGTTTCTGTACAAATTTTCAGGCCCCGATTCAATACAAAGAAGGAAGTCACACTGACTCTGTACTAGGACTCGCTTGGAACAAGCAGTATAGGTTTGTTGAATATATTCTTTGGTGGCCTTCATCCTCACTTCCTTGAAATTTATGATCAATTTATCCTCCTTTAGCTTTAACCAGGTCTACCAAAAAATCTACAGGAATATCCTTGCCAGTGCCAGTTCTGACAGACAAGTTAAAATCTGGGATGTTACTACTCAACAATGTAATATTACATCGGAGCATCATACAGACAAGGTAAGAATGTTTTCTTTCAATAATTATGCTGCCATGCGGGAAGGATGATGTATTATTGATTAGTATAAACCTGCTTCTAGTTTCTTTGTATTTAACAGTTGTGCTTCTGTGGGTTTTGGACTACAATCTTTCTGTCCCTACAGGTCCAATCAGTTGCATGGAATCATCATGAGGCACAAGTTCTTCTCAGTGGATCTTTTGATCACTCAATTGTGATGGTATATAAATACCCTGTGCATTTTAAGATTCTTGGTATTAGTGATGCAGAAGTTAAGGCATGTCCCAAAGATGAACGATGCATGGCCAAGACTCTAACAATGAGCTACACGATGACATGTTTATGACTGTTGCATACTGCAGAAAGATGCTAGGATACCTACACACCCAGGTTTTAGGTGGTCAGTTGCAGCTGATGTGGAAAGCTTGGCATGGGATCCACACAGTAGTCACTCCTTTGTGGTGAGTGTTATAGGCAAGTTTGTTTCTCGAATTGCTGAGTTCCCTTTTTAGGTTGGGCATTAAAGTGGGGAAAAATATCATTTTTCAGGCGAGCCTTGAAAATGGTACAGTCCAAGGTTTTGATATCCGCACAGCCAAGTCTGGTGAAGCTTCTGATCTAAAGCCAAGTTACACAATCCATGCACATGACAAAGCTGTTAGCGCAGTTATCTATAACCCCTCGATTCCTAATGTAAGCTAGATTTCCATTCATTCATTTGTTCAGAGAGTTTTCTTTCTCAAGTGTATACACTGACTTGCCTGTGACTGCCTGCAGCTTATTGCAACTGGATCAATGGATAAAACGGTAACTTTGCCATCATCCTTATCTCTTTCATTAAAGTTGTGCACTAAGACTTGTTTCGTAGACCTAATTGTCCATCCATGTATGTCGCTACAGGTTAAAATCTGGGATTTATCAAACAACCAACCTTCATGTGTTGCATCAAAGAACCCAAAAGCGGTATGTCACCTTTCACCAAACCACAGATTGAATGTCACCCTTACCGGACATCAATGCCATTTACTACATAAATAATTTAAAAGTGATCTTAACTTGTGCTGGTGACAACATTGAAATGTGATTATTATATCCAGGGGGCCGTATTCTCGATCGTCTTCTCAGACGACAGTCCATTTATTCTAGCTATTGGAGGATCAAAGGGAACCCTGGAAGTAAGTGTACTTCAAGCATACATCTCAATCATTCGCTTCAATGCAGTGTTGTGAAAGTTATTTTCGTACATGAAGGATTGAATGTGTATTGTGCTCGAAATGTTGCAGATATGGAACACAGAATCAGATGCAGCTGTTTCGAAGAGATTGGGAGGCTATAAGGACAGCAAGCCATCTACCTCATCTTGAGACGAGATTCAACAGAGTTCTGACGAAGCAGTACCATCGGAAGTCGCACTGTGGAGAAGTTATAAGTCTTCAAATTTTTGCAAAATGTTAGAATCTAGGGTTTGATTAATTTAGCATGTTTGGAACTGTGTAGTGCGGAAAAAACTCTGTTACCCTATCCATACATTTTGAGATGAAGTTTTGTGTAAAGTTTCGTTCTTTTTGGTCAGGTATTGCAAAACTCTGTTACCCTATCTTGTATGGTAAGCTATTGCAAATTTTATTTGGCTCCATGATTTGCAAGTCTGTCCAGCTCCATGTGGAATTATGGATTGCTAATTGCTATGAAAATGAAACACAAAAGCCATGGATCCACAATTTTACAGTCCAAATCGAAACACAACTAGATGGGATGGGAATACATAGGTCGACCAACTTTTGTCCATGTCCCACTGTCCGGTTCCAATACCAAACCCGCCCAACAACCACTGCCAAACTCCCTCCCTCGCCTCTCTTCCTTCCTCCGATGGCCATCACCGCCGTCTCCTCCCTCAAATCCGCCCTCCTTCACCCAATCTCCGCCGCCCCCGTAGACTACGCCATCTCCCTCGACCTTTCCCCACCCTCCACCCACGTCTTCCACTACCACGGCTCCGGCGGATTCCTCCGCGAGTGTGCCAACTGGGATCCCCCGCCGGCCGGTTCATCGTCTCCCTCTTCAAAGGCGGCATAATCCGCTTCCTCGACGACTAATCCTCCGAACACGTCCTCCGCGAGGTCCAACTGGCCAAGCACACCGACATGACTGGCAACGGCGTCACTCGGTTTGGCCGTCGACGAGGAACAGGGTGCTGGTGGCGGCCGCCGATGCTCTGTGGAACAAGTACGGTTTCCTCGGGTTGGTGCACGTACGTCTTGTATATCCTTTCCATTATACAATTGAAAAAAGAAACAACAGAACATCAATTTGGAAGAATTCGGCAGATTTTCCAACAAGCCAGAAAGAGGACGACAAATTAAAAAGCTTTTTTACGCGACTTGGAAAACTTCTCTTGATGTTCAATACAATGTCCACAGGATCTGCCGCGGAGACATATGGTAAACAACTAGGAGAAGACAAACAATATTACGTGTCATTGAAGACACTGGATTTCCACTGATGTTACAAAGACAATATGCGAGATAAACGCTGTCTTCCATAAGACACATGAACGGTAGTACTCTTGCCTGCATTTTCTGTTTGCAGATTAACCAATCACCATGAACTCATTGTCGACTGTTGCTAGGTCATTATTAGTTTCAGTGATTTGGATGGGTCTATGGGATGGAACTCTTGGTGCAGGCTGCAGTGCTGATGAAAGGGAAGCCCTTTTGAAGTTCAAGGCTGATCTTGAAGACCCTTCTAGCTGGCTAACATCTTGGGTTGGCCAAGAGGATTGTTGTACATGGTCTCATGTCGTCTGTGACAACTACACTGGCCATGTCACCGAGCTCCATCTCGGATTGCCGCAGCCTTCTAACTGGTCAAATTCTGTGCTTAGTGGTAAGCTCAACCCTTCCTTGCTTGAGTTGAAGTATCTAGGTTATTTGGACCTGTCTAACAGCGACTTTCATGGTATTCAAGTTCCAAGCTTTCTTGGCTTGATGACTAGTTTGAATACCCTTTACCTTGATGAAGCTGGGTTTGGAGGATTGATTCCTCACCAGTTGGGAAATCTCTCGAATCTGCAACACCTTGGCCTTCAGGCCTCTAAACATTATGGACTGTATGCAGATAGTTTGAGGTGGCTTTCTGGTCTCCCTTCACTAAAATTCCTTGATTTGAGTAATGTTGATCTTAGTAATGCTTCCGACTGGTTGAACATGATAAACGCACTCCCATCCCTTTCAAAACTATATCTGGCTAACTGTCAAATCCTCCATACCCCGGCCCTCGCCAATGTTAACTTGTCTTCGTTGTCTTCTTTAAGTTTGTACCACAATCAATTTGATCAAACTTCAGTTCCAAGTTGGGTGTTTCATCTTAAGAGCCTTACTTTCTTGAATCTAGCATACAACACTTTTCGTGGCCCAATTCCTCTGCAACTTCAAAACCTTACTTCGCTCAGGACCCTTGAATTAGCTTCCAATCATTTCAATCATTCGGTGCCAAACTGGCTATACAGTTTACATCATCTGGAGTACCTTGATCTATACAGTAACAAATTGAATGGCAGAGTCTCAACAATTGGGATTGGAAACTTGTCTTCTCTTGTTCATCTTGATATGTCTGTCAATCATGGCCTCGAATTTGAAAGGGGGATTCCTGAATCATTCAAAAGCTTATGCCGCTTGAGGTCACTTTCTCTGGGATATGTAAAACTGAATCAAAATGTATCAGAGGTTCTTGAAATTCTTGGAGAATGTGCTTCTAATACTTTGCAGGAGTTGTATCTGGATACTTGCCAACTGCATGGTCAGTTGACCGATCAGATTGGCTTGTTCAAGAGACTTAACCGTCTCATTCTTCCTAACAATTCTATTTCTGGTCCACTTCCGAGTTCATTTGGAGAAATGACATCTTTGAATCATTTAGACCTTTCAAGAAACAAGATAAATGGGAGCTTTCCAACAAGTTTTGGGTCACTGACAGGGTTGGCCTATGTGGATATCTCTCGGAATGCAATGCATGGTGTTGTACTCCCTGAAATTCACTTCGCCAACCTCACAAAGTTGACCTTCTTTCTTGCTTCTGGAAACCAAATGGCGTTCAAAGCTAATCCAGATTGGGTTCCTTCCAGGCTACTTCAAATTCTGAACTTGGTGTCCTGGTATGTTGGACCTGGATTTCCCCATTGGCTCAAAGGTCTGCAGTATCTGAAGTCTCTTGATCTGGCTAACTCTGGAATTTCAGAACCAATCCCTGACTGGTTCTGGAGTATGTCATCCCAATTCTATTATATGAATTTCTCGCACAACCAAATCTCTGGGAGGCTTGCAAATATTATCTCTGTTGTTGGCACCGACTCATTGTTTGATTTCAGCAACAATCACTTGGAAGGGCCGCTGCCCATGATTTCGTCCAATCTCACTTTGTTGGACTTATCCTACAATCTGTTATCCGGAAATTTGGTCAAGTTCTTGTGTTTCCATCCTTCTGAAATGCGGACTACTCAGTATCTGAATCTTTGTGGTAATCTTTTGTCTGGTGAGATACCTGGCTGCTGGAAAAATTGGCGGAGTTTGGAGGTCCTGAGACTTGGTAGCAACAAGTTCATAGGAAGAATTCCGAACTCCATCGGAACTTTAACCTCACTTGTGTCTTTACACATTCAGAACAACAGCCTGACAGGTGAAATTCCTTTGTCCCTTGGTAACTGCTCGAAGTTGCTCACTATTGACTTGGGTTATAATGGATTGGAAGGAGAGATTCCAAGGTGGATGGGGGTGTCGCTTTCCAGGTTGTCTATTCTGAATTTGCGTGCAAATAAATTTCATGGCAGCATGCCGGTGGAACTTTGCCATCTCCAGTTTCTACAAATTTTGGACCTTTCTCACAACTCACTTTCAGGGAGCCTCCCAGAATGTCTGTCTAATTTCATTGCAATGGCAACCTCAGATAATACTGATGTTGCTGTAATTTATCTATTTTTTGGAGGGGGTGAAGTGTACAGCGAAAATCAAATTTTATTGACCAAAGGGAGCTTTGTTGATTACAGTACCATACTGAACTATGTAAGAAGTGTAGACCTTTCCTGCAACAACTTATCTGGAGTAATACCAGAGGAGATCACAGACCTAAAGGAACTCCAGTACCTGAACTTGTCGCATAATTTATTCTCATGTAGAATGCCAGAGGGTTTGCAGACAATGGAATCACTGGAATCGATGGACTTATCTGTGAACCGGCTAACAGGAGTAATTCCTCCTGGAATTGCAAGTCTGACATTCCTGAGTTACTTGAACTTGTCCTACAACAACTTGAGTGGTGAAATTCCTTCAAGCACTCAACTGCAGAGTTTCGATTCTTGGAGCTTCATAGGAAACCAAGACCTCTGTGGCCTTCCATTGAACAAAGGTTGTAGTGCGAGCATAGCTGTGCCTAGTTCTGGAAATGACGATGAAGAGGATGAATTTTTATGGTTCTCCATCAGCACGTCCATTGGCTTTGTGACTGGTTTTGCTGTTACAGTCTGGTCTTTTTTCTTTGGATTATCAAATAATATACCCTGGAGTTCCTGAATCACCCGGGGCACAGATTCTGCAGCTGTATTTATTATCATCCTCTTTTCCTTCCAGTTATCTTGTGGTGGCATCAGTTTGAAACTCTGCTCAAGAGGTACTTCTCCTGAAACTTAATTAATTACAATGTCACATATCTTTCTTTTGTGGCTCATGCTTCAACTTCCTAATATCACTTTTCTCTGTTTGCTGATGGGTTGAAGGAGCTTGATGTGGACAATTATAATGACGACGATGATGAAGGTTAGTAGGACTTTTCCAAGTAAACCCTTTTTGCTCACTATTTCAATGGTTTGTAACTTGTTCGTTATTGCTGATATATCATTTGAAATATACAGAGAGCGAGCTTTGCAGCTCTGGGAGTGGAGACGTTTATTATCCTAGTAATGACCAGGATCCTTATCTCAAGGGTGTAGATGTTAGTCTTACTACTGTCATGCTTTCTTTTGTGGTGTGAACTTGCTTGCATTTGCCTGTGACTGCGTGTCTTAGGATGAATTGTGTTGCGTATGAGCATTCCTAAGGGACTGATGAAGCAAAGAATCTGATTATTCAGCCAAAAGAGTTCCCTGAGTTTATCTTGCTTCATCTGGTTTATCTTGCTGTGTTTTCAGGCCTCAATTCTATACTAAGTAGGAGTCACACTGACTATGTACTCGGACTCGGTTGGAACAAGCAGTTTTAGGTTTGTTAAATATATTCTGTCTTGGCTTTTATCCTCTCTTCCTTTAAAATTTATCTAACAAGGTCTACAAAAAATCTACAGGAATATCCTTGGGAGTGCCAGTGCTGACAAGCAATTTAACAGCTGGGATGTTGCTACTCAACAATGTAATATCACATGGGCGAATCATAATAACAAGGCAAGAATGTCCCTTAGCTGATAATTATACTGCCATGCATTAAGATTATATTGTATTTATTGGTATAAACCTGCTGCAAGTTCCTCCTGATTTAACAGTTGTGCTTCTGTGGGTTGTGGACTATAATTTTTCTGTCTCTACAGGTCCAGTTAGTTGCATGGAATCAACATGAGCCACAAGTTCTTCTTAGCTGAGCTTTTGATCGCTCAGTTGTCGTGGTAAATGAATACCCTGTGCAATTTAAGTTTTTTGTTACTATTGATGCATAAACTACGGTCTATGTCTTGAAGCCAAGGCTCTAGCAATGAGCAACATAATGAGATACTTGTATGGCTTTTGCATACTGCAGAATGATGATAGGATACATACACGCCCAGGTTTAGCTGGTCAATTGCAGCTGATGTAGAAAGCTTGGCATGGGATCCACACAATAGTCACTTTATATTCTTCTCTATATGAGAAACGGAACCATCTTAAGGTGGCAATTTTAATCCAATCCACCAATCCAATTCATCAATCCATTAAAAATATCCACCTAATCCAATCCATTTAAATCCAATCCATTTTATCCAAATCCAATTAGATTGGTGGATTCATGGATTGGATCCATGGATCATTGGCAAATTACGGTTTAGTACCTATAATTTGTATTTTTTACATTTTGGTACCTAAAATTTAATTTTTTATACGAAAAATATCATTGGAAAATTACGTTTTGGTACCTAAAATTTTTCATTATGACATTTTAGTACCTAAACTTTTTACATATTGGTCCTTGGTTGAGGATGTCATTTGGATTCATGGATAATCCACCAATCCACTTGATCCAATCCATGAATCCACCAATCCACCAATCCAATCCATTTGCCACTTCTACATCTTACCATTGGGCACTAAAGCGAGAGTTAAAAAGAAAAATCCTTTTTAGGTGAGTCTTGGAGATGGTATTATTCTCCCTTGTCTTGTCAGAGGATAGCGCATTTCTCCTGGCTATTGGAGGTTCAAAGGGAACCCTGGAAGTAAGTATATTTCCTACATACCTCTCATCATTCTGTGCGCGATGTCAATGTGAATGAAATGCTGTGTTGTGCTGTGCAAGTTAGTTTGCAAAATCGTGATTGAAACGTGTATGCTGCTCGAAATTTTGCAGGTATGAAACAGAGTCGGATTTCGAACCGATTCAGGGACTATAATCATAGCAAGCTCTCGAACTCATATTGAGACGAGATTTGATGGAGTTGTGGTGAAGCAGTGCCATTGCAAGCCGCACCGTAGCAATGTTATGAATCTTCAAAGGTTTGTGAAATGTTAGAATGGTAGTGTTTGCTGGTTTATCATGTGCGGAAGCGGAACAATTTAGTGCAGAAAACCTCTGTTACCATCAGTACATTTTCAGTTGAAGTTTTGTGTAGAGTTTTGGTCTTTTTGGTATTGGAAACTTGCTGGAGAAGACGAAAAAGGTTTAGCGGCAAGCAAGAGTTACGGATTGGCTACATTGCTTGCTTCAAGACCACTAGCTTACATTCGATTTCTCCCAAGTCTTCAATGGTTTCTTTATTGTAGTACATGGTAGATAGCTCCATTAATTGTCTTCCAGAAGAAGCAAGCGTAGAAGTCAAAACTAAAGAAACCTAAAATATTCTTCGACTTTTGTAAAGAGAAATTTGCTGCGAGGAAGTGGGTTGTGGGAGTTGGCATCAACCAACCTACGCAGTTACTATATGGACATAAATGGGTATTGGGAAGTGAAAATTCTTCATTCATTTTTCTCCAACTTATGTTATTTTGAATGCCATTGTTCTTCTACTATATTACAACGTGGGATCTTGGTACATACGTTTAAGATTACCTTGATTTTTATGACAAGTATATAGGGAGAGCAATTTGGGCTTATAACCCTAACCCTTCAGTGGCCACCAAAAGATCTTTCCCAGAATCATAAGCTGGGAGAATCTAATACAAGAGCATCATGCTATCAAGATTGTTTTCCTTAAAATGGTAGGCTGTAAAAACTGAACCCTTATAATATAGGAAGAACCGAAGAAGTATCTACAAATATTCTAAACGATGACATTTTTCTCCAACTGAATTAGAAAAGTACATACTTAGCTCTTATTGATATTAGATTGGTTTAACTATACATCGTTTGAAACAAAATCATGCATCTATTTATAACATCCACTCGTATATACAACTTGTTCGTTGTATATCAATATTTTTTTTTTTGACAAGGTATATCAATATTATTAAGCTTTCATCATCTATCATAATATACACATTTTTTTATAATCACTTTATAAGTCATGCTCGTAAGAATTAATATAATATAAATTATTATTTTATCTATGAGATTGAACTCGTCTTTTAGTAGAACTCGAAACATAAAAATTTCTCACATCCAATTAAATTTACAGGGTTTTAGACTTTTAGTGTCAAATTTACTCCACCAAATTCTGAGACAAATATTGCAAAGTATAACACCTTTCAAAAGGGAAATAAGCAAATAAAAAATCCAGATATTTTGGAATTACATGCTCTCAGCTCTTATAAGAGATTGCAAATTTTACTTTTTCTACAATCATGGAGCACAATCTTTCTTCATATGTAATGTGTATAAATATTCGGGATCAGTAAAGCCAGCTAACAGAGCCCACTCTCCAACCTTTGTCGCTGTCCCACTTTCCGGTTTCCAACACCCAATCCCGCCCAACAACCACCGCCAACCTCCCTCCGATATGGCAATCTCCGCCGTCTGCTCCCTCAAATCCCTCCTCATCCTCCTCCTAATCTCCGCCGTCCCCGCCGCCTACCTCATCTCCCTCGAGCTCTCCCCGCCCTCCACCCACGTCTTCCACTACCACAGCACCGGCGGCTTTCTCCGCGAGTGCGCCAAGTGGGACCCTCCCGCCGGCCGGTTCATCGTCTCCTTCTTCGAAGGCGGCGTCGGCGAGGTCCGCGTCCCGGAAGACTACTCCCCCGGCGTCGTCCTCCGCGAGGTCCAGCTGGCCAAGGACGCCGACGTGGCCGGCAACGCGTCGCTCGGGCTGGTCGTCGACCGTCCTAGGAACCGGGTGGTGGTGGCCGTCGCCGATGCTCTGCGGAACAAGTACAGCGCGCTGGCGGCGTATGATTTGTCCACGTGGAAGCGTCTGTTCCTGACTCAGCTGAGCGGCCCGGGTTAGTATTACCGGCTTTCTCCTTTTCTGCTGTGCTGTCCCTTTCGTTTGGCTTCGTTCTTTTCGCCCGTAAAAGGTTCCCTTTCTTTCTGTTCTTTGGAGCAACGGCCGGCATCGATTAAGAGCTGGACCTTCATTAGTAAACAAAACAAAAAGGAATCTTATTAAGAAATTAAATTTTAGAAAATTTTAAATCTTTTAATAAATCCTTTCCTTCTTTTTTGGTGAAATAATCCTTTCCTTCTTAATGGAGTTACCGGCTTTTGCGTTTTGTGCTTTTTCTGATGGGATTTGAAAGTTTGATGTACCAATCTTAATAATAAAAGTGTAAAGGGATTAATCTTTGTATAAGTTCGCAACTGGTTAGTAACTTAATTCGTAATACGGACAATCCAATGACATTAACACTTAATTAATATTTCATGTATCATAACAATAAGCTATGGTTAACATTAGCTGTTTGTTCATGTGTTTGGGGACGAAAAATGCAACCTGACTTGTTGGGTCAGAGTGACAGGATTGTTCAGAAGAACAACTAGTTTAATGATCGGGATAGAGTAAAAGAGATGGATTCTTGAGTAGTTGACATGGTCTACCCCACTAACAAAGAAAGAGGTGATACTTCGATAGTGACAAATATGAGTTAGAATCCTATATATATATATATATATATATATATATATATATATATATATATATATATATATATATATTACAGTGTAATATTTTATAGGGTAATGTGTATTTTTTATCCAAATTTTTTTCAAATTCTTTTATATTATCCAAACTTATCGAAATATTAATAATAATCCAAATGTTGACTTTCCAGTTTCCATTAACAATTTTGTTAGTAATATTGGATTGGCAACATGATACCGACTTGGAAGATACACATGAAGTTCAACATTCCAAAATTTTAGTATTTCAACTAAGAAAAAAATTATAAAATTATTAACGATGACGTAAAAAGGCTAATATTTTGATACATTACGAAAGATTTGGCCAATTAATAGCATTTTAATAGGTTTAGATAATATAAACGAATCTGAAAAAGATTTGGATAAAAAATAAACATTATCCCGAGGTTAACTTATGTTTAGTGATCTACCAAGTTGCATATTTAATTTGGGACTTCCTACAGTAACTTGGATATATTTCAAGTTAGATAACTTGTATGGATCTAAATCATTAAAATCGATCAAACTTATTATAAATCATTGATTAAAGAAATAAAAATAAAAAATATGTAAAAAAAATGGCAACAGTCGGTTGCCGGTCACCAACAAAGCAATTTACCTTTTTTAACTTTTTTTCTTTCCTTTTCGCATTTAATGGTTTTCCTTATTTAATCATTTCCTTTTTTTAATTCGGATTGAATTAGAAGCATTACATAATACTTTCGTAATTACTTAACACTTTACGTAACATGAGAGATTACTACTCATTACGTAAAAGGACCTTCCATTACGTAAGGCTTTCTTAATGAACTTTTACAACTGTTACGTAAAATACAAGTCCATTACGTAAAGATTACGAAACGATAGTTATTTCTTACGTAACACTGAAATCGGAAGCGTTACGTAAAGTTTTCGTAATGACTTAGCTTTTTACGTAACACGGCGTTAATACTCATTACGTAAAGAGATATTCTATTACGTAAGGCTTTCGTAATGACATTTTCCAACTGTTAAGTAAAATACACATTCATTACGTAAAGGTTACGAAATGATAGTTATTTCTTATGTAGCAGTTAAATCGGAAGCGTTACGTAAGGCTTCCATAATGACTTAACACTTTACGTAACATGAGGTTAATATTCATTACGTAAAAAGACCTTCCATTATGTAAAGGTTACAGAACGATAGTTATTTCGTAGGTAACAGTTAAATCAATAGCGTTACGTAAAACTTCCGTAATAACTTAGCATTATACGTAATTTGAGGTTAATACTCATTACGTAAAAACACATCCTATTACGTAAAGCTTCTGTAATGATCTTTTACAATTGTTACGTAAGATTACCATATGTTACGTAACTATTACGTAATGTCTATTGTATTTTACATAATGCAATCTATGAAACTTGCTATAACAGGTTAAAAAATTTAAGTTATCTTACTTCAATTTACAGTAGGAGATCCCTATTTAATTTACTGTGAGCTGGGACTTGGTACTATACTAGCCGGCCGGCCCATAATTTGAACAGCCTAACTTTTCTTTTATTTAGTTTGGGCATGTGCTACGTGATAGGCCTCTTATATTAAACCTCCACATTTGCAGTCCTGCACCATTTTTATTGATCAGACCATCGAGTCGATGGTTGACTCAGGAAAAAGCTAGTTTAAAATTCATTTGAAATAAATTTTGTTCAGGTAACATATACGAATCAATTCACGAGTTGAGCTAGTTTATTTTGAACTCATGAATTGATTCGATAATATGTGACTAGCGAGTTAGGCAGCCAGCTTGAATAGCGTCCTATTAGGGAAACTATCTACAACTTATGACTTGAAATGGGCTTTGTGTGGCTGCAGAGGACGGGAAAGCCTTTGCGGACGACGTGGCAGTGGACGCAGAAGGCAACGCATACGTGACCGACGTCGCAGGCAACAAAATCTGGAAGGTCGGTCCCGACGGCCAACTCCTCTCCACAATCACCCACCCTCTCTTCACTCCAAAACAATGGTACAAAACCCTCTTCGGCCTAAACGGCATCGTTTACCACCCAGACGGCTACCTGCTCGTCATCCACACCTTCACCGGCAACCTGTTCAAGATCCGGCTTCCAGACGTCAGCGTCGTATTGGTCCACGTCGAAGGGTCTCTGGCGTTCGGAGACGGGATGGAGCTGCTGTCCCCGACTCAGCTCGTGGTGGCCGGTTCGAGCCCGTCGGCCAGGCTGGTGGAGAGCTCCGACGGTTGGGAGACGGCTAAAGTGGTGGGCAGCTTCAAGGGGCCTTCTCATCGGCTGTCGACGGCGGCGACGGTGAAAGACGGGAAGGTGTATTTGAGTCACATGTTTGGGATTGGGTACCCGGAGAAGAAGCATGCGATCGTTGAGGCAGTTTTCTCTGCTTAAATGAATGAATGAAACCCTTTCTGTTTAATGGTTTTATATTCATGTTTGTTGTAGTAGGAAACTTACATTGTTTTGGGTGTGGAGTCTTTTGTTGTATTGAAGTTCAGCAAGGCCGGAGTAGCTAGCTCCCGGTCGTCATACAACTCTAATTCCCTACGATTTATCGAGTCGCCAAAATTGAACAAATGATAGTAATTACATTTTCACAAATTAAGTGACTGAACTATCATGATTATAATTTGTCAATGATCGTAAAAAAAACATGACTTTCGGTGACCATTTCATTGTGGTCGCTCGAAAAATGGTCGCTGAATACTAACTTTCTTGTAGTGCAACAAGTTTATAACCCAACAAGTTCAGCAATCCTCTAAATGATAGGAGAGATGCTATCGGATGACCACGATCTTTGGTTCGAAAGTACATGTTATATGTTCTTATAAGTTTAGGTATGCAAGGTTTGTTGGATGGGCAATGAACTAGTTGGATGAATTTTAATCTTTGAGTTCAAAATCATTGACCCCACAACTTATTGAGTAATGGAAAACATTTACTCGCACTCATCTGAATATGCAAGGAAGACGGGTTGGATTCAAATAATGAAGCGATTATGTTATTTTAAGTGATTTGGGACTTTTTGGTCGTGACCATGAAATAGAAACATAAGGGGACGAGGGAAGAGTCAGAGAATGTCACGATCGTGATTTTTCAGTTTAGACCGTGAACTACAAACATAAACTTCTAAACTCATGACTATTCTCATTACTGTGGGAATCATAATCGACATTCACAATCCGGATGATATCGGAACAATGCTTACATCTTTTAACATATTATAATTTTAACATATTATAATTTTGTAGAAGATGATTTTTGAACTATACTAAGTTTATGCCAACAACGTATAACATGCACAAAAATATAAGATGAGATGTTATAATAGTTCATATGGCACCATAAATTAGACAAGAGTACAAATATCATTATTCAGTTACTCATTCCCAATTTGCCACAACACTAGTCCACAATCTTATAGAGCGAAAATTCACCTTGCTACTTACAACACTAGGTACGACAATTCTTTTACGCCGCTATTAAGTTAGCCAGCAAGTCAAACTAGAACTCCGATACAAGTTCTCGAAAAGCCAAAGTTAATGTACTGCCCAAAATCGCTGGAAGAAATAGCGAGAACGACCGCGATCAGTCAAAATCAAACTCGCCCTGCGGTTCGACGATTTCTTATACTAGGTTGAACCATTCCTATTAATAGGGGTGGAAGTTTGGTTTGCGGATTGCGGGTAACTCACAACCGCTCCAAACCACACACTTTGTGGATACCCATACCCACAATTTGTGGATAGTAGGCTGGGTGTGGGTAGCAAAATATTAAATTTTGTGGTTAGTGGTTAACCATTACCCACAGCGGTTTACCCACAAAACCCACATTAACTACATTAGTTATATTAGTTTGTGAAACTTGTAAGACTGAGAATTAAGGTAGCTACTAAAATCAAATACATATTTATTCTATAAAACAAAACCAAAAAATACGCAAGGTTCGTGTGAGATACTTTTATCAAATAACCATTGTTCGTGTGGTATATGTTTATTTTATAACAAAACCAAGTCAATAGATATTGTCAGATAAATTAATCAATTCGCTAGAAGAGGTGAATAATCGATAAAGGTTAGTTCGATACCCAAACTCGTCTCCATTTCTCCACGAACTCACGAACAACACAACATGCAACTAGCTACCAACAATACAAGACTATAATCGAGAGTGGAGACTAATCGAATTATTAAAAGAGGGTGACTCCACTTATCGAGCCACTTTTGTGTTTTGTTGTTGTTGCCATCGGAGGAGCCGTAACATGCAACGATGTTTGTCTGATAACAGGTCACTCCGCCTCTCCGTTATCTTCAAATCTCTTTCCAAATCCATCGCTTCTGAATTTACACTAACTAACCTCTTGTATGCGAGATTTATAATTTATCTAACACTTTATTAATGTGAGAAGAAACACATCTCCACTATTTAAATTACCACATTATTTTATTTAATGATGAAATTTTTGTGGATATCCACAACCAACCCACACCAACCCACAACGGATAGTGGTTAACCACTACCCACCGCAGGACAGGTTGTGGGTAACATAATTTTATATTTGTGGGTGTGTTTACCCGCAAAATATGGGGCAAGTAACCTCACCCACCCCAATTTCCACCCCTACCTACTGGCATTGGGAAAATTCTGAACCAAACCCCAGTCAAGCCAACCGCCCCCCAAACGGCCAAAACCCCTGGCTCGCGCCCTCCTCGACCTCATTCCCTCTCTCACTTCATCGCGCGCTCGAACTCTCCCAACGATTGTACCCTAGTATCTTCGCTTTCCGTTCCCGCCGTGTTTGCCTTAGTCCGCCGTTACTGTTTGTTTGCTCGTAGCCCTTTGCCGCCAATCCATTACCTCATACCCACCGCAACCCCTCTGCCCTTGCCTCTTGGGACCGGTTACTATGACAACACCCTTTGTATTGTTATTGTAACAACACTAGTCTCCAACCAATAGGAAGCTAGGATTGTGATGACTTTTTATTAGATGAGTTGACCTAGTGTAAAATCAAAACAGGGGTATAATTGTCATTATGAAAAATATGTTTAAATAATAAAAAATAAATTTTTTTTTATTTTTCTGCCCAAAAATTTGGTCGCCGGAATTCTGCCACCGGTCGCCGGAAAGTGGTCGCCGGTCACCGGAATATGCTTTTTGTCGCTGGAATATGCTATTTGTCGCCGGAATATGCTTACCGATGTCGGAATATGCTTACCGGCGTCGAAATCTAGTTATCGGGGCCGGAATATGCCTATCGGCGTCGGAATCTGCTCACTGACGGTCACCGGAGTTCGGTCAACGAACTTCGTTGACCGGTCAACGAACTTTGTTGACCGGTCAACGGTCAACGACCACCGGATGTATGGTCTACATTGTGAGATTTATGGTTTGGTTTCTCATATTTTCGTATGCCTTTTGTGGTTTGCTTTATCGTGTTTGTGGTTTGCATTAAAAAGTTTCTGGTTTGCTTTATCGTGTTTGTGGTTTGCATTGAGAAGTTTCTGGTTTGCTTTAAAAAACTTTGTGGTTTGCATTGAGGGGTTTCTAGTTTGTTTTAATATATTTGTGGTCTGCATTAGGACGTTTATGGTTTGCTTTTTTGTGGTTTGATTTACTGTGTTTGTGGTTTGCATTAGGAGGTTTCTGGTGTGCTTCGCAAATGTTGTGGTTTGCTTTGTGAGGTTTGTGGTTTGTTTTAGGAGATTTGTGGTATGCATTCGGAGGTTTCTGGTTTGCATTAAGAAGTTTCTGGTGTGCTTTCGAAACTTTTGTGGTTTGCTTTGCGAGGTTTCTGGTTTGTTTTAATATATATGTGGTCTGCATTAGGACATTTTTTGTTTGCTTTACCGTGTTTGTGATTTGCATTAGGGGGTTTCTGGTGTGTTTTTCAAAATATTTATGGTTTGCTTTGTCCGGTTTCTGATATGTTTTAGCGAATTTGTGGTTTGCACTAGAAGGTTTCCGGTATGTTTTTTGTGGGTTGTTTTATTGCGTTTGTGGTTTACACTAGGGGGTTTTTGGTGTTAGAAATATTTGTGATTTTGTTTATTATGTTTTTTGTTGGTTTTAGTGACTTGTGCTCTGCATTAGGAAAATTATAAAATTGACTTGTACTCACAAATTGCAATTAAAAATGAACTAAATTGGTGTATCGCAATGAAAATTAAAATGAGTAAAATTGCATTAATTGGCTTTTCAATTTCATTGACCCGAGATGCAATTCTTCAAATTTTCATATGGGATTTAGGCTCGACCATTTCATTTTCTTGGACAAAGCTCAAGCCCACCGGTTGGCCGCTACCCTACAGACAACCTTTCTCAAAGATTGGACCTTCCACCATCCTCGCCCTGCATCAAGTCCAAGAAGAAACCCTCACTGCCACCATTTCCTCCACAAAATCCGCCGCGCTAAAACCCTTCCTTTTTTCTCCCGACGATCGATCCAATCCCGGCGAATTGCGGGGAGGAAACCCCCGCCGAATTTTGAATTCCCAAGTCGGTTTATTTTTTGGCAGAAGAGATGCCGATATCGGATGCGGTGACGGCGAACCTGACACCGATCTACGTGGCGGGGATCGCAGGTGTCAAGCTCACGTCCGCCGCCGTCTCCTCCAGCAACGCCAGCTCGCTCCTCGTCGAAGCCGACTGGCTCCTCACCTTCGGCTCCGTCATGTCCGAACACTACGACGCCGTCGAGGCCTCGGTCTTGTATGTTGACCTCGACGGAGGCGGCCAGCTGAAGGAGGTTGCGGCAGATCGGTTGTCTTCGTTCGGCGTCGTCTGGCCGGAGCTAACGTTCAGCATCGGCCTGAAGGCGACGACAAGGGACGGCGGGAGTAGTGTCTTGGGGGACGTGATTGATGGTACGATGGGTCGGTGTGATAACAGTTCAATTTTATTTATTATTTGTTGGTTAATTTACCCTTATACCCTTATTTTTTGGTGTTGTTAAACTATCCGCACCTTTGCCTCTTCGACTTTCTTCCTCTCTTCCAGTCGAATCGCCTTCGCAGTAATTTGGTCTCCCGAAACACCAGATACTGTCTCCTTCCTTCAGCGTTTGGTTCCGACTTCACAGGAATAAGGGTATCCGTTCAACTAGTCCAGCAATAGGGTTTCTTTCCCCTTTCTAAAAGGGTCTTTCTTCTTCTTCTCAATGGGTACGGAGAGGAAGAGAAAGGTCAGCTTGTTTGATGTGATGGACGAAACAGCTGCTGCTAAGCTCACCAAGGCTAACGGTGGAGTGGCTACTGCGGGAGTCAACGGAATCAGCTATAGCGGCTCTGTAAATCCATGGAATGGGAAGCCCTTTTCACAGAGGTACTATGATATATTAGAGAAGAGGAAAACTCTGCCTGTTTGGCACCAAAAAGAGGAGTTCTTGGACGCGTTGAGGAAGAACCAAGTCCTCGTCCTTGTTGGTGAGACTGGAAGTGGCAAGACAACTCAGGTTTGTCTTTTGTTTTCCCTTGTGTTTCTTTCTTGTTTGGTGATATAGGGTTGGGCTGGGTTTGTTTATTTTTACGAGAGTATAGCTAGACTTAGGCAGAGCTTTAGACTTGATGTATTTTAGTTTTCAGAAAGGGGAAGTCTAGTTAATGCTGAATCGCTCATGCAGATTCCTCAATTTGTTCTGGAAGCTGTGGGGTTAGAAACTGCAGATAAGAGGCGCAAAATGATGGTTGGGTGTACTCAGCCTCGTAGAGTGGCTGCAATGTCTGTTTCTCAACGTGTTGCTGAAGAGATGGACGTTAGTATTGGCGAAGAAGTTGGTTATAGTATCCGGTTTGAGGACCGTAGCAGCACGAGAACAGTGTTGAAGTGAGTGCTTCTGAAACAATGCTTGTTTTTGTTCCTGAATTAGTGTTATGTCCCTCAAGTGCACAACTGATCTTTTAATTTGTTTACCCGCTGACAGGTATTTAACTGATGGTATGCTTTTAAGAGAAGCAATGACCGATCCACTTCTGGAACGCTACAAAGTAATAATCCTTGATGAAGCTCATGAAAGAACTTTGGCAACAGATGTACTTTTTGGGCTTCTCAAAGAAGTGTTGAAGAATAGACCAGACTTGAAGCTAGTTGTGATGAGTGCTACACTTGAAGCTGAGAAGTTTCAGGGCTATTTCAATGGTGCTCCTCTTATGAAAGTTCCCGGTAGGCTTCATCCTGTGGAAATATTCTACACTCAGGAGCCTGAAAGGGATTACCTGGAGGCAGCTATTCGTACTGTTGTTCAGATACACATGCATGAAGGACGTGGTGACATACTAGTTTTCTTAACCGGTGAGGAGGAGATCGAGGATGCCTGCCGGAAAATTTCGAAAGAGATAGGTAATTTGGGTGACCAAGTGGGACCTGTGAAAACGGTGCCCCTGTATTCGACTCTTCCACCAGCCATGCAACAGAAGATATTTGATCCTGCTCCACCTTCTTTGAAAGAGGATGGTCCTCCTGGTAGGAAAATTGTTGTTTCAACAAATATTGCGGAAACTTCACTCACCATTGATGGCATTGTTTATGTCATTGATCCTGGTTTTGCCAAGCAAAAAGTATATAATCCACGTGTTCGCGTTGAGTCCTTGTTGGTGTCCCCGATTTCAAAGGCGAGTGCACACCAGAGAGCTGGTCGTGCTGGTAGAACACAGCCAGGAAAATGTTTTAGGCTCTATACTGAGAGAAGTTTCAATCAGGATCTGCAGCCACAGACATATCCTGAGATATTGAGGTCGAATCTTGCGAACACTGTTCTCACACTGAAGAAGCTAGGGATTGATGATTTGGTGCATTTTGATTTTATGGACCCACCTGCTCCTGAGACATTGATGCGAGCTTTGGAAGTGTTGAACTATTTGGGAGCTTTGGATGATGATGGCAACTTGACTAAGCTGGGGGAAATCATGAGTGAGTTCCCATTAGATCCTCAGCTGTCAAAGATGCTAGTCATCAGTTCCGAGTTCAATTGTTCAAATGAGATCCTCTCGGTTTCAGCTATGTTATCAGGTATGTATTCTTTATCATTCGGTATGTTATTTTCTTGTAGTTGTTCTGAGTCATGTATAGTGGTAGTGCCATTTAAATTGCATACATTATGAAGTTATTTTCAACTGCATTCACAAACATGTTGTTCAAAAGAGTCTATTCAGGTTTTGTCAGAAACTGTCTTGTATTGGTCCATATCCTTACCCTTTGTTCGCATGCACCATAGGGTTCTAAATAAGTGTTGATGCATATAGTTGCAGTTTCTCAGTATTATCTCATCAAGCAAAATGGTGTCGTCTCTCGCCTGTATGAACTCTGCTGACCTACCATGGGGCTCTTCCGTGGTAACCAAATTCTTTCTTTAGTACCCAATTGCTTTGTCCGACCTAGGGAGGCTCAAAAGGTAGCTGATGAAGCAAAAGCTCAGTTCGGGCACAGTGATGGCGATCACCTCACACTGTTGAACGTGTACCATGCATTCAAGCAAAATAGTGAGTATTTATGCTTTCTTCCGCGTCTAATTAGCTAATGTCATCATTTCTCTGACTCATTGCCCTTTATTCCAAACTATTACAGATGAAGATCCGTCTTGGTGCTATGACAACTTTATCAATTACAGGGCACTGAAGAATGCTGATAATGTTAGAGAACAGCTTGCGCGTATCATGTTGAGATTTAACCTGAAGATGTGCAGCACAGACTTTGACAGCAGGGATTATTATGTCAATATTAGGAAAGCCATACTAGCAGGCTACTTTATGCAGGTTGCTCATCTGGAACGTACCGGACAATACTTAACTGTCAAAGATAACCAGGTATGAACTTGCCATCTATTTTCCCCTAAGTTCTTCTATTTTGTCAGTTCCAGATCAGCATGTTCTCTTGGATGACATTGGTCATTAATTGGGATCTCCTATGAATTGCAGGTTGTGAACTTACATCCATCTAATTGTCTGGATCGTAAGCCTGAGTGGGTTGTCTACAACGAGTATGTCTTAACAAGTAGGAATTACATTCGGACGGTGATAGATATCCGTGGTGAATGGTATGTCTTCTTTACATTTCTGCTTATAGTTTCCTTTAGACTTATGTGGTCACGCATTATATTGAGTGGGGGTTTCAAGAATGTGCTTGAGAATGTATTGAGTATTGGCCAGTGACCAACATTCGTTCTTGCTGTCCGTCTCTCGTTGACGTGATTTGGAATGATATAAAATGACTTTTGTATCCTTCTCTATAAAGATAGATTTATCATACTAATACTGGACAATGCTTTTTTCTGTCAAATGTACAGGCTTGTGGACTTAGCACCACATTACTATGATCTTGAGAACTTCCCACAGTGCGAGGCGAAGCGGGTTCTGGAGAAGCTCTACAGGAAGAGGGGATAGGGGAGAGGAAAGCAAGAGCAGCTGGAGATAGGAGTACTGTCTTTCTATCTCCCCCCAATGGATCTTGCGACAGATATAAAAATTGGCTTGCATTAGAACTGTGCAGTTTTAGCCACTCTGTATGCAAGCTTGCCTGTTAAGTCCCCGTGTTGATGAATTTCGCTGGTCAGCTTCTACTTTTGGATCTGGAATAGAGAAGTCACCACTTGCCATGTAGTGAAAGAGATAGAAGTGGCTCTGGGCTCTGGCTGGTTACTTATTTCGATCACCATGCTGCTACTTTGTTATTTATCTTGTCACTGCTGGACAGTGCATTAACCTGGGTATCTATACTTCCTACGGCCATTTTAGCTGCAATTTTATAACACCTTTCTGTTGGATTATGTCAAGGCATGTATTAACTTCCCTGCTGGTGTGTTATTTTAAGCCTGAAACTAGAAATAGAGGCTCAATTTACTTTTTTATCGGTTCGTTTCGCGATGAAATTATAGAACAGAGTCTCGGGTGGCATCTGCTAATTAGCCTCGGCTCCCTCGGTAATGTGGGCTCGTAAAGTACAACACTACAACCCAATAGCCCATATCACCAAGTACCGTGAACGGGTCAGGATAGTCTCACCGATCTGCCGCCATGTTTCAAAATTTGCCATAGACGGATTTGTAGCCGATATGGAAAGGTGTGTACGTAACAAGGACGGCTCCTGTTAGGCTGTTACCGTCTGACGAACGAATCCAACAAGAACAGGGAGAGGCGAAAGCGGCAGCGCATGATGGCGGAACGGCCGTATTCCGCTGAGTCGCACTCGGCAGATTCTCCAACAAACCAGACATGGGACGACGGCAAATTGAAATGCGATTGGGATGTTCTCCTTTTTTATCAATACAAAGTGGCCACAGGATCTGCCGCAAAGACGGATAGCACACAACTGGAAGACGACAAACAAAATTTGGTGCAGTTGAAGGCTGGAGATTTCCACGGATATAAAGTGAAAAACAGGAGACAAACACTGGGTCTCCCATCAGAAACATGTTTAGTCTTGCCTGCAGTTTTGTGTTTGTGGACTAACTAATCACAATGAACTCATTGTTGACTACTGTTCTTATTGTACTTTTAGTTTCAGCGATCTGGATGGGTGGTCTCTGGGATGGAACTCTTGGTGCAGGCTGCAGTACAGATGAAAGGGAAGCCCTTTTGAAATTCAAGGCTGATCTTGAAGACCCTCGTAACTGGCTATCATCTTGGGTTGGCCAAGGGGATTGTTGTACATGGTCTCGCGTTGTTTGTGACAACCACACTGGTCATGTTACCCAGCTCCATCTAGGGTTGCCGCAACCTTCTTACTTGACCAATTCTGTGCTTAGTGGTAAGCTCAACCCTTCCTTGCTTGAGTTGAAGTATCTCGGTTATTTGGACATGTCCTACAACGACTTTCATGGTATTCCAATTCCAAGCTTTCTTGGTTTGATGACAAGTTTGAATACCCTTTACCTTGATGGAGCTGGGTTTGGAGGACTGATTCCTCATCAGTTGGGGAACCTCTCGAATCTGCAGCAACTTGGCCTCGAGGCTGCTGGCGATTATGTGCTGTATGCTGATAGTTTGTGGTGGCTTTCTAATCTCTCTTCACTAAAATTCCTTGATTTGAGCAATGTTGATCTTAGTAAGGCCTTCGACTGGTTGCACATGATAAACACACTCCCATCCCTTTCAAAATTGTATCTTTCAAACTGTCAAATCCTTCATATCCCGTCCCTTGCCAATGTTAATATCTCTTCTTCTTTGTCTTTCCTAAATTTGCGTCACAATCAGTTTAGCCAGACTTCAGTTCCAAGTTGGGTTTTTCAACTTAAGAGCCTCACTTACTTGAATCTAGCTTACAACACTTTTGCTGGCCCGATTCCTGCACAACTTCAAAACCTTACATCGCTCCGCACCCTTACATTGGCTTCCAATGATTTTAATCATTCTTTACCAAACTGGCTATACTGTTTACATCATCTGGAGTACCTTGATCTATACGGTAATAAATTGGGTGGTAGAGTCTCAACAGGGATTGGAAACTTGTCTTCTCTTGTTCACCTTGACATGTCAGTCAATTATGGCCTCGAATTTGAAAGGGGGATTCCTGAATCATTCAAAAGCTTGTGCCGCTTGAGGTCACTTTTTCTGCGACATGTAAAACTGAATCAAAATGTATCAGAGTTGCTTGAAATTCTTGGAGTATGTGCTTCTGATACTTTGCAGGATTTGACTCTGGGTAGTTGCCAACTGCATGGTCAGTTGACCGATCAGATTGGCTTGTTCAAGAGACTTAACCATCTCATTCTCCATAACAATTCTATTTCTGGTCCACTTCCGGTTTCATTTGGAGAAATGACATCTTTGAATCACGTAGACCTTTCAAGAAACAAGATAAATGGGAGCTTTCCAACAAGTTTTGGGTCACTGACAGGGTTGGCCTATGTGGATATCTCTCAGAATGCAATGCATGGTGTTGTACTTCCTGAAATTCACTTAGCCAACCTCACAAAGTTGACCTTCTTTCTTGCTTCTGGAAATCAAATGGCGTTCAAAGCTAATCCAGATTGGGTTCCTCCCAGGCGAATTCAAAGATTGATGTTAGAGTCTTGGTATGTTGGACCAAGATTTCCCCATTGGCTCAAAGGTCTGCAAGATCTGACATCTCTTGATCTGTCTATATCTGGAATTTCAGAACAAATTCCTGACTGGTTCTGGAGCATGTCGTCTCAATTCCATTATCTGAATTTCTCGCACAACCAAATCCCTGGGCGGCTTCCAGATGCCATCTTTGTTGGTTACAATGACTCATTGTTTGATTTCAGCTCCAATTGCTTGGAAGGTCCATTGCCCACTGTTTCGTCTAATCTTACTTTGTTGGACCTGTCCAACAACTTGTTTTCCGGAAACTTGGTCAAGTTCTTGTGTTTCAATCCTACAGAGATGAGGACTACTCAGTATCTGAATCTTCGAGGTAATCTTTTGTCTGGTGAGATACCTGGCTGCTGGAAAAATTGGCGGCGTTTGGAGGTCCTGAGACTTGGTAGCAATAATTTCATAGGAAGCATTCCAAACTCCATTGGAACTTTGACTTCACTTGTGTCCTTACACATTCAGAACAACAGCCTGACTGGTGAAATTCCATTGTCCCTGGGTAACTGCTCTAATTTGCGCACTATTGACTTGGGTTATAATGGATTGGAAGGAGGGATTCCAAGGTGGATGGGGAAAAGGCTTTCCAGACTGTCTATTCTTAATTTGCGTGCTAATAACTTTCATGGCAGCATGCCGGTGGAGCTTTGCCATCTGCAGTTGCTACAAATCTTGGACCTTTCTCACAACTCACTTTCAGGGAGCCTGCCAGAATGTTTGGCTAATTTCAGTGCCATGGCTACCTCAGATGATACTGATGCAGCTGCTGTAATTTATATTTTTTTTGGAGGAGGTGAAGTGTTCAGGGAAAATCAAAATTTATTGACTAAAGGGAGCTTTGTGGATTACAGTACCATACTGAACTATGTAAGAAGTGTAGACCTTTCCTGCAACAACTTATCTGGAGTGATACCAGGGGAGATCAGAGACCTAAAGGAACTGCATTACCTTAACTTGTCACATAATTTCTTCTCAGGCAAAATGCCAGAGGGTTTACAGACAATGGGATCACTGGAATCCATGGACTTATCCGTGAACCAACTATCAGGAGTAATCCCTCCTGGACTTGCAAGTCTGACATTCCTGAGTTTCTTGAACTTGTCCTACAACAACTTGAGAGGGAAAATTCCTTCAAGCACTCAGCTGCAGAGTTTTGATTCTTGGAGCTTCATAGGGAACCAAGAACTCTGTGGCCCTCCATTGAACAAGACTTGTAGTGTGAGCAGAGCTGTGCCTGGTTCTGGAAATGGAGATGAAGAGGATGAATTTCTATGGTTCTCCATCAGCACATCCCTTGGCTTTGTGGCTGGTTTTGCTGTTGCAGCCTGGTCTTTTTTCTTTGCGTTATCAACTGAGAAGAAACGTACTTTGGAATTCTTGAATTACCCGGGGTACATAATTCTGCAACGGTATTTTGTGTGGAGGACTAGTTGATGTCAGGAGGGTCGAGGTGGAAGGCCACAAAGCTTGGAATTGGAGGTTTATCTTGGGGTGACACCAGCTATTGGAACATTTTTCAATGGGATGGTAGGAAAAACCAAATGTTGAATGCAGCCAACAAGTTTTCATTGGCTGCCTGTTTGAACTTTTGGGAAATGCAAAATTGGCGATCCTCTTTGTTTCATTTTGAACTTTTGGTGTGTTCAAATGTTCGTTTCTTGGGTGTGTATTAAAAATGTCGTTTTGTGATGATGTACAAATATTATAATGGAAGGATACAAAGACTGCTCTAAATGCCAGCGGTTATTGTGGCATAACCTTCTTTAATAGAGCTGAAGTTTATGGCTCTAAGGTGAGACCAGGCTTCTGGTTCTGCTTTTGTTTGTTTCTGGGGCTGAACATTGGCAGTCATTGATGACTATTGCTTATCATCCTCTTTCCCTTCCAGTTATCATTTGGTGCCATCAGTTCTGAAACTCTGCTCGGGAGGTACTTCTCTTGAAAATTAATTACAATGTGGCATGCTTTTCTTTTGTGGTGTATGCTTCAACTGCCAAAATTCAATTTTCTATAGATTCATCAGTGAAAGGAAAAAATGAAAACCAGAACTGAAAGCGGCATTGCCACTGAGTTTGCCGAGTTGCCATGGAGGATGAGATGTCAAAGTGTCCTATGTGCCCCCAAAGATACCCGAAGCTGTCATGGACTATTCTTCATTGAACTGTATCAGCTCCTCTGGTGTGCAGTTTCCTTCAAGTTTATGTCTGGTTAGAAGTTTCTATCAGCGATCACTTCTCCAATGCAGTTTTTTGTGTAAGTAATCAGTATCGTTCAAGTCCTGGAGAGTGGGGAAATTGAGGTGTTGAAATTGCTGCTCCACTAAAAAGAAGAAAAATAAATGCCTTTTAGAACTGGAAGATCAGGGTGTAGAAGAAGCTCAGTTCATTTCAGGTTGAATTTCAGGATACATGATGCTCTTGGAGATGCAGCTGAACATGGCCTAGTCAAAGCTGTTAGTATTTCATACTACAACAGTAATTCTCCAAGATCAACTATTCTCTATAAACAACTAGTCTACAGTGGTATTCCAGACTAGCAAAATTTATGTAGATGGATTTGAAGGGGCTTCTCAAATGGGTGCGGAGGAAGATAAAGGTCAGCTTGTTTGATGTGGGGGACGACACATCTGCTGCTAAGCTCACATAAAATCAGCTATAGTGGCTCTGCAAATCCATGGAATGGGAAGGCATTTTTCACAGACGTACCAAGAAGCTCTGCCTATTTGGCACCAAAAAAGATGAGTTCTTGGACGTGTTAAGGATGTATCAGGTTCTCATCCTTGTTGGTGAGAACGGAAATGGACAAACTACTCAGGTTGGTCTTCTTTTTTCCTTGTGTTTCTAGATCACTAATATGTGGTTACACTGTGTTTTGTTTATTTTCATGAGAGAACAGCTACATGTAGGTAGAGCTCTAGACTTGAATCACTTGATGATACATTTCTCTGTGGTGGGAATTTAACACATTTTAGAAAGGAGGACGCTAGCTAAATACAGGATTGCTTGTGCAGATTCCACAATTTGTTTGGGAAGCTGTCTAGCGTAAGAAACTCTGGATAAGAGGCGCAAAATGATGGTTGGCTGTACTCAGCCTCGTAGAGTGACATGGGCCGGATATTTCAGATTTGGCCCTTGTGGTCTTGTGCTTGGGCCATCTTGCTCTGATGGTGCACTTCTTATATATTTCCCTTGCATGATACAAACGAAACGAGGAAAAACCAAGAAGACGTTGGAAGAAGTCGGCGGACTCCAACAACCCAACAGATGACGACAGATTGAAGAATTTTTATGCGATTGGGAAACGTTCTCTTTTTTGTTCAATACAATGACCACAGGATCTGCCGGAAAGACGGATGGCGCACAAGTCGGAGATGATAAACCAGATCCAGTGCAGTTGAAGGCTGCACATTTCCGATGATATGAAGAGAAAATGTGAGGCAAATGTTGTGTATTCCATAAAAGTACTCTTGTGTGCATTTACTTTTTACTGAGTAACTAATCACCATGAAGTCATTGATGACTACTGTTCTTACGGTGCTTTTAGTTTCGTTGATCTGGATAGGTGGTCACTGGGATGGAACCCTTGGTGCAGGCTGCAGTGCAGCTGAAAGGGAAGCACTTTTGAAGTTCAAGGCTGATCTTGAAGACCCTCGTAGCTGGCTATCATCTTGGGTTGGCCAAGGGGATTGTTGTACATGGTCTAGCGTCGTCTGTGACAATCACACTGGCCATGTTACCCAACTCCATCTAGGGTTGCCGCGACCTTCTTACTGGCATAATTCTGTGCTTAGTGGTAAGCTCAACCCTTCCTTGCTTGAATTGAAGTATCTGGGTTATTTGGATCTGTCCTACAACGACTTTCATGGTATTCCAATTCCAAGCTTTCTTGGTTTGATGGCTAGTTTAAATACCCTTTACCTTGATGGAGCTGGGTTTGGAGGACTGATTCCTCATCAGTTGGGGAACCTCTCGAAGCTGCAGCAACTTGGTATCGAGGCTGCTGCCGACTATGTGCTATATGCTGATAGTTTGTCGTGGCTTTCTGGTCTCTCTTCACTAGAATTCCTTGATTTGAGTAAAGTTGATCTTAGTAATGCTTCTGACTGGCTGGACTTGATAATCACAATGCCATCCCTTTCAGAATTGTATCTATCACACTGTCAAATTCTTCATATCCCGCCCCTCGCCAATGTTAACCTGTCTTCTTCGTTGTCTGCTCTAAGTTTGTATCACAATCAATTTGGTCAGACTTTTGTTCCAAGTTGGGTTTTTCATCTTAAGAACCTTACTTACTTGAATCTAGCTGACAACACATTCGCTGGCACGATTCCTGCACAACTTCAAAACCTTATATCCCTAAGGACCCTTGACTTGTCTTTCAATTATTTCAATCATTCGGTGCCAAACTGGCTTTACGGTTTGCATCATCTGGAGAAGCTCGATCTATACAGTAATAAATTGGATGGCAGAGTCTCAACTGAGATTGGAAACTTGTCTTCTCTTATTTACCTTGATATGTCAGTCAATTATGGCCTTGAATTTGAAAGGGGGATTCCTGATTCATTCAAAAGCTTATGCCAGTTGAGGTCACTTTCTCTGCAACATGTAAAACTAAATCAAAATGTATCTGAGTTACTTGAAATCCTTGGAGTATGTGCTTCTGGTACTTTGCAGGAGTTGTCTCTGCCTAGTTGCCAACTGCATGGTCAGTTGACTGATCGAATCGGCATGTTCAAGAATCTTAACCTTCTCAAGCTCCAGAACAATTCTATTTCTGGTCCACTCCCGATTTCATCTGGAGAAATGAAATCTTTGTACCATGTAGACCTTTCAAGAAACAAGATAAATGGAAGGTTTCCAACGAGTTTTGGGGCACTGGCAGGTTTGATTTATGTGGATGTGGATATCTCTCAGAATGCAATTCATGGTGTTGTTCTCCCTGAAATTCACTTTGCCAACCTCACAAAGTTGGCTTACTTTTTTGCGTCGGGAAATCATATGGTGTTCAAAGCTAAACCAGATTGGGTTCCTTCCAGGCATATTCAAATTCTGAACTTGGAGTCCTGGTATGTTGGACCTGGATTTCCTCATTGGCTCAAAGGTCTGCAATATCTGAGTTCTCTTGATCTGTCTAACTCTGGAATTTCAGAACAATTCCTGACTGGTTCTGGAGCATGTCGTCTCGATTCTATTATCTGAATTTCTCGCACAACCAAATCCTTGGGCAGCTTCCAGATGCCATCTTTATTGACGGCTACGAATCATTTTTTGATTTCAGCTCCAATTGCTTGGAAGGTCCACTGCCCACTGTTTCGTCCAATCTTAATTTCTTGGACCTATCCAACAATTTGTTGTCCGGAAACTTGGTCAAGTTCTTGTGTTTCAATCCTGCTGAGACAAGGACTACTCAGTATCTGAATATTCAAGGTAATCACTTTTCAGGTGAGATACCTGACTGCTGGAAAAATTGGCAGAGTTTGGAGGCTCTTAAACTTAGTAGCAACAAGTTTATAGGAAGAATTCCAAACTCCATCGGAACTTTAACCTCACTTTTGTCTTTACACATACAGAACAATAGTCTGACTGGTGACATTCCCTTGTCTCTTGGTAAAAGTTGCTCGCTGTTGACTTGGGCTATAATGAATTGGTAGGAGAGATTCCAAGGTGGATGTGGAAGTGGCTTTCCAAATTGTCTATTCTTAATTTGCGTGCAAATAAGTTTCATGGCAGCATGCCGGTGGAGCTTTGCCATCTGCAGTTTGTACAAATCTTGGACCTTTCTCACAACTCACTTTCAGGGAGCCTGCCAGCATGTTTGGGTAATTTTAGTGTACAGGGAAAATCAAATTTTATCGACTAAAGGGAGCTTTGTGGATTACAGTACCATACTAAATTACGTAAGAAGTGTAGACCTTTCTTGCAACAACTTCTCTGGAGTAATACCAGGGGAGATCACAGACCTGAAGGGACTTCACTACCTGAACTTGTCACATTATTTATTCTCAGGTAGAATGCCAGAGGCGTTACATAAAATTGAATCACTGGAATCTTTGGATTTATCTGTGAACCAGCTATCCGGAGTAGTCCCTCCTGGACTGGCAGTCTGACTTTCCTGTGTTACTTGAACTTGTCCTACAACAACTTGAGTGGTAAAATTCCTTCAAGCACTCAACTGCAGAGCTTTGATTCTTGGAGCTTCATAGGGAACCGATACCTCTGTGGCCTCCATTGAACAATGGTTGTAGTGTGCGCAAAGCTGTGCCTGGTTCTGGAAATGGAGATGAAGACGATGAATTTCTATGGTTCTACGTCATCACGTCACTTGGCTTTGTGGCTGGTTTTGCTGTTACTGTTTGGTCTTTTTTCTTTGGATTATCAAACAACGTACTCTGGATTTCCTAAATCACACCGAGCACAGATTCTGCAGCTGTATTATGTGAAGAGGGAAAGTTAGAGTTAGGAGTGTCGGAGCTGAACAACTTTCAATGGGATGGTGGAGCACTAACCAGAGCTCAACAGCATCACCCAAGACCATATATGTATACTGAAGATCAACCTTGGCATGAACTCAGCTTCTTCATTACCAGAAACACACCAAAGCAGAACCAGTAACCAGGTCCCTCCTTAGAACCATGAACTTCAGCTGTATTAATTAAGGTTATACCACAATTAACACTGCATATTTGAAACAACCTTAAAAATCCTTCATGTACAGCTGCTGTGTTAGTAAAGAGGCAAAATGCAGAGGAAAATGATGTCAAGGCGGCATCTTTAATGAACTAGGAGTCACTTTGATCCCCCTAGAGTCCAATTGCTCAAGGTGGTCTGTTTGTTGGTTTCTTCTTTGTTCAAGCTCGTCGGTAGAAACTGGTGGTCCTTTAAGAAATAGAATGATCTCTCAACTTGTGCGACAAAAAGCTTGAAAAAAACAGAGGAAAAAGGCAGGATGCCAAAAAACAAGCAGGGATCAATTAACTAAGCATTCCTTATACCTCTTGGCAGCTTTTTAATGGTACACAAACATTAAACAATCGAGTAGCAGCCGGCTGCTGTAGCTTTGCAGCACATTGATATGATGATCTTCTCTTCTCTCAATCAACTTGGCGCCCCATCCCACCAACCCCCCTCTTGTCCTATATTCAAATGATTTTAACACTAAACTAGTTTCATTCCTTCCACTTGGTTGCCATTATTAATACATCTCCCCCGAGCTCCTTACCTTCTCATCCCACCAGTCTCTGCTCTTCTCTTCCACCATGGCGCCAAACCAGACCACATCTCTTCTCTCGGACGACGAATCGAACCACGACACCCGCCGCAATGCCAGAACCCACCCGGGCACCAACCCATTCATCTTCACAGCACTCATTGCCCTCAGCTGCGTCGGCCTTTCCGCCGCCTCTGCTTTTGGCTTCCTCTACTTCTCTACATCTTCTTCAACTACTCACTCGGCCCAGAAACTGTCTTCGATCGAACGAACCGGCCGGCCCAGCTCGAAACTCCCCCGCCCGGTCGTGATCATGATCTCCGCTGATGGGTTCCGATTCGGGTACCAGTTCAAGACGGCAACCCCGAGCATCGACCGGCTCATGGCCGAAGGAACGTCGGCCGACCGGGGTCTGATCCCGGTCTATCCGACCCTCACTTTCCCCAACCATTACTCCATCGTCACGGGGCTCTACCCTGCCTACCACGGCATCATAAACAACTACTTCGTCGACCCGGCCACCGGCGACGAGTTCACTCTGGCGAGCCACGACCCCAAGTTCTGGCTCGGAGAGCCGCTGTGGGAGACGGTGGCCAACCACGGCCTGCCCGCTGCTGCTTATTACTGGGCTGGAGCTGAAGTGGTGAAAGGGAGCTGGACTTGTCCTCCACAGTTCTGCCCCAAATACAACAGCTCGGTGCCATTGGAGGAGCGAATTGATACTTTGCTTAGCAACTTCGATTTGCCGCTCGAGGAAATCCCTGTTCTCATGAATCTCTACATTGAATCTCCTGACGCACAGGGTCACCAGGTAATACACATTACAATCATTTTGTTAATTTCTTTTGCACGTACTTGTGTAGTCTGTAGACGAAGAACGGAGGAAAAATGGTTCTTTTGCTTGAAGGCAGAGGAGAAACAGAGTGTTTAGGAGAAGGGTCAAAGTTGGAAAAAGGAATAAAAAGTTATTTAAAACTTAAGAATAAAAAGAAAGTAGATTAGTGTCATAATCCATGAAAAATGCACATTTTGTTGTATTTAAAATAATTAATTAGTTATTTGGCTCCAACTTTTGTTCAACAATTTTTAACTTTTGTTCAACAATTTTTCAATAGATCGGTAATTATAATGGTAAATCATTTTCACCGTGAAATATTCATTTTCCAAATATTAAAACCAATCAGAAAAACATAACTTTTTATAAAATTTACGGATTCAGTGAATTCATCATGCTCTCCGAACGACCTCTAATGGTTATTTTAGCTCCATTATTTTTCAAAGATAAAAATGATTAAAATTTCAAAATAATGGATAATATCGGTCCAATGTCTAAAGTGACGGTCAATTTTAATAGTGAACAATTTTCATCTTGAGTAACCCATTTCCCAAACCATTCCTAGTTTTCCAAATCATATAACAAATGATTTTGGATGGTTTGGAATATGAGAGTCTGAAACTCTGAAAGGTTAAGAGTGTAACGGTAAGGAATTAAAAGAAAATGTTATTGGATTTATTATAGCCATCAACATCAAGAAATGGAATTATAAGTCAAGGATAACTATAGCTTTCATAATCATACGATTTATTATAGCAAAAATAATTTATTTTATATCGTAGAGAAATAAATTGAAAAGAAGACTTTTTTGGCTTGATATTCTATGAATGCTAACGGAAAATCCTGTTTCAGGTTGGGCCCGACGATCCACAAATAACCGCAGCCGTGGGCCGAGTGGACTCGCTACTGGGCAGGCTAATCACCGGGCTGGAGCAGAGGGCCCTATTGGACGAAGTAACGGTGATCTTCGTAGGCGACCACGGCATGGTCGGCACGTGCGACAAGAAGTACATCTACATCGAGGATTTCGCGGAATGGATCGACATCCCGGAAGAATGGATCATGTACCACACTCCGGTCCTCTCCATCCGCCCTCCGGCCGGCGTCGACGCTGCCGAGGTAGTGTCCAAGATGACGGAAGCGCTGGAGTCGGGGAAACTGAACAACGGCGGCAGCCTGAAGGTTTACCTGAAGGAGAACCTGCCAGCGAGGCTGCACTACTCCGACAGCGACAGGATCACGCCCATCATTGGGATTGTGGCGGAGGGTTACACGGTGGAGCAGCGGCGGGTGGCCGGGGAGGAGATGTGTTGGGGTTCCCATGGGTATGACAATGCGGCGTTTTCGATGAGGACGATTTTCGTCGGGAGGGGGCCGAAGTTCGGGAAGGGAGTGGTGGTGCCGTCGTTTGAGAACGTGGAGCTTTATAATGCGGTTACTTCAATTCTGGGGATTTCCGGGGCTCCGAATAATGGAACTTCGGGTTTTGTCAACACCGTTCTGCGGAGAAGATGATGAGTGGGTTTCTCCTTAAGCAAATGAGTTTGATGCTCTGAGCTACTGGGACTCTAGAGGAGCAAGAACTAAATACAAAAAAGCTAAAAGTACGTGTGTACGATGGTGATGAGTGTAACAGGTGGTATTTATTACCGTTAGGTCCAACGTACCAATTTATGACCATCCGGTAAAAATTGGAATCAATACATGTATTTTCATTTTCCTTATTTGGTAATTAATTAATTGCGACTCCCTACAGTAATTTGGGTATAATTTTAAGTAAGGTAACTTGATTAAATATGAACCATTAAAATATATATTAATCATTTTAAGCCATTGATTAAAAGGGAAAAAAATAAACGCAAAAATAGATAATAATGACAACCGGCAGTGCCAGGTTACTTTATTTTGCGGGAATAGCGATCACGTTTCTTTCCTTTTTTTATGATTTGTCTTGCTTTTCCTTTCCATTTATCGTGTTTATTTTATATTATTTAGAAATTCTAATAGATACTCATTACGTAAAGGTTACAAAATATAGTTATTTCTTACGTAATAGGTAAAATAGAAGCGTTACGTAAGACTTACGTAATGACTTAGCACTTTACGTAATGTTAGGTTAATACTCATTACGTAAAGGGACCTTCCATTACGTAAGGTTTCCGCAATGACATTTTTCAACTGTTACGTAAAATACACATTCATTACGTAAAGGTTACGTAACGATAGTTATTTCTTACGTAACAGTTAAATTGGAAGCATTACGTAAGACTTTCGTAACGACTTAGCACTTTACGTAATGTGAGGTTAATACTCATTATGTAAAGAGACCTTCCATTATGTAAGGTTTCCGTAATAACATTTTACAACTGTTACGTAAAATACGCATCCATTACGTTAAGGTTACGTAACGATAATATTTCTTACGTAACTGTTAAATTGGAAGCATTACGTAAGGCTTTTGTAACGACTTAGCACTTTACGTAACAGGAGGTTAATACTCATTACGTAAAGGGGCCTTCCATTACGTAAGGTTTCCGTAATGACATTTTACAACTGTTACGTAAAATACACATCCATTACGTAAAGTTTATGTAATTATAGTTAATTCGTAACAGTTAAATCACAAGCATTACGTAAGACTTCCGTAATAACTTAGCACTTTACGTAACACGAGCTTAATACTCATTACGTAAAAGGACATACCTTTACGTAAAGGCTATGGAACATGGTTATTTCTTACGTAACAATTCAATCAGAAGCGTTACGTAAGGCTTCCGTAATTACAGGAATACAATATGTACAAGGAAAGGAAAAGAGAGACTAATTACAATCCTACTAGAACTAGGATAAAGACTTATCCTTAATACGCCATGTAAGAATTATGAATGTTGTGTGTTGTATTAACATAGAAGATCGAGGGCTATTTATAGCCTAGCTTACATTAATACAATACGTACAAGGAAAGGAAACACTAATTACAATCCTACTAGAACTAAGATAAAGACTTATCCTTAATATCGGCCATCATAACCATAGAACGTAACTCTCCGGACAAAAACCTGGTGGAAATTCTTCATCTTCTTCGTCTTGTTGTGCGTTGCATATAGTAATTAAGGTGATCCCCTGACTTATTTTTGCCTTCTGAAATAGAGCACATTCTTTCCCAGCTTCTTCTTGTTCGATACTAACTGTACAAAAATCTGCTACTAATCCTCCCAACGATTCTCCTCATAATAATATCTAGAAAACTATACAAAAAATTAACCCAAAATCCTACTAAACGGTTCCCCATACTAACTATCGATTCTAATCAATAATTCTTGATCTATTCGAGAGCATCCGATAAAATTTCTAATTTTTCTGTATCTTCTTCCTGGCTAAATACTAAAGTCTCCCAACCCATGTCCATAATAGATGCAAAATGAACTATGGATTTCTTTCTCATATTGTGTATTTATATTGTACAATGTAAAATAGAAACATTTGGTTCGTTTCGTACAGTAATTTTGATTTGCTTACATTTGGAATGATGAGGTCGTGTGGTATGGGATAGAAGAGCCCAAAAGTTATCTTTCCTAGAACGGTAGAACCCGGTAGTCTGGCTGCGAGGTGAAAACGGGAGAAGCTAAGTCGCTATCTTGGTCATGAGATTCAGGACCAACCTATAACATCTCGATTCTCGCCTAATAAATACGAACAACTATAATATATGGAAGAAGATTTAAGCAAACCCTAGCCAGCTCAATCCATTCATCCCGTTCTTTTCAGCCCTTCAGTTCATACAAATCATTTTAAATTGATTAAAAATAGTTAACAATTACAATTTCACCCCTAGTAATCTTATACTCTTAGTCTGTAGAGTGTAGAGGTTATTAATTACCGTCATTAGTACATTGAAACACTAAATATCTTATACGTAATGCATAGAAAGCTCACTTGTAAACATCCTCCCACATCTAACTAGCTAATTAAAGAGTACTGAATAGTAGTATAATAAGTTTTCTTTTATGAAATAGTACAGTAAGTTGATTAAAAATATTTCACCACAAAGAATAGAATAAGTTGATTAATTCTCCCAACATCTATTCCCACGGTTCACGGACGTCAACTTTATACAATTCCCCAATCCCCATATGACGCCCATGCATATTTCGCTTTCACCATGTTCATATTAGTGCAAGCAACGCATTTCTTCAGCTGGCTCGACACTCTTTACCCGATAGGGGAAAACGAAAATCATTCCCTAGCTAAGCTCAAGGCACAAGCGCCTATGTTCATACAGAACAGAACCACCATTTCCAAAGCTAGCTAGATCTGCCTGTCTTCTCAATCAAACGGTCACTAGCTAGCTCTCGAATCAGCTTAGCACGCACAATGCTGTCCTGCACCTGATCACCTAAAACTTGAAGAGTGCCGGCGTAAACGACGCCCCTTTATCGCTCATCGGAGGAGGAGAAGAAGAAGTACTCTATCCGCCTTTCTTCCCTCTCGCCGTTTCCATCCATTAATTTGCCACGCACGGATCCAGCTCAGCAAGTCGTTTCCATCCATAGCCGGAAAATTCATGCCTCAGATGTCGAATCAGATGTCTTCTTTGCTTCAGTTGTGGCCTGCAGTTGGGCTTCAATTGTGGCCTCCTCTGTTTTCGGTTCAATTATGGCATCTGATGTTAAACTTGTTCGCTTCAGTTGTGGCCTGCACTTGGGTTTCAGCTGTGGCCTCCTCTGCCTTCGATTCAGCTGATGCAGAATTGGATTCCTTCTCCGCTTCAGCTGTGGCCTCTTCTGCCTTTGATTCAGCTACCGATTCCGATGTTGAATTGGATTCTTGGTCTGCTTCATCGGTAACCTACTTGGTCTTCAGCTGTGGTCTCGGCAACTGGTACCGGGATATCCTTGTATTTCAAGCAACAAATTAAACAATAGATAAAGTTCAGCAAACTCAACGCAGCTAACAGCCAATAATACCGGTCGTATTTACTTGAGTTGGCATTGTCACCACCCCAGCTGCTGCTGTCCTCACCGGAGCCAGTTAAGCCAGTAGAAGTGGCAGCGGTACTTGTTGCTACCCGAGTAAACCTCTTCACCGCTGCAAATAGTGCAGCACCTGCAAGGCTCCCAAGACACTTCCCCATAGATGAGACCAGGTCTCCGGTGCAGCCAGATGGGAATCGATCGTTGATAAAGTTCAACAAACCCAACCCGAACAATGCCTCAGTTAGCCCCGCCAGACAGAGTTGCGGAATCAACAGATTGGCCGACATATTTTCAGTTCCATACACCCGACGACGGTGCTCCACCCACCCAGCAATAAAATTCCCAAGGCAACATGTTAGAATCCCCATTCCCATACGGTACCGAGATGGAATACCGTTGGGGATACGATTGGAAGATACCTTGGCTATGCAGGGCACCAGCAGATGGTTGTACCCCGTTACCCAGATTTCCATCGATGCAACACTGAATGCACCATATGCTACAACTGGGATTGTGAGACCTCCGAGGAAGCGAGTATCCATCAAGCTGGCTTGTGCGGTTGGAAAGGGCCCTGCTGTGTTGGGTACTGTGACGATGATCATAGTCGAGCAGATGTGGATCGCGTTGACCAAATCTTTCAGCTCTTCCACCTCTTGAACACTGCAGATGTTCCATTCTTCTCTGGGGAACCCGGTAGAAGAATTGACTTCCTCTTGATCGACAATCAAGCAGGCCTTGTTTAGAAAGCTGCTCAAACGAACAATAGCGAGTACCGATGCTTTAGTTTGCAAAAGAACTAATTAAGAAGAAAAAAAATCATGAAATTGGAGTAATAATGGAGATAGAGACGCGAGGAAGGCTTTTTCCTTTGTTGGATGAAGGTGAATGGTATTAATGGAACAGTTCGATAAGGGAAGACAAGAGAGAAACAGAGGGGAACCAAAAGAAACGTTTGGTCATTGGTCTGGACTCTGGAATATCCCTAATGGCCAGTTATTTTAAGAAACCGTATGTGTCTTGTAAACTAAGTAACTAACTAATTGATTAATTAATTTTCAAAATGTATTAATCAAACTCAACGCAGCTAACAGCTCAAATAGGAGTGAAGTTAGGAAGTGGTTAGTTATGGTAGCTAAAGTCTAGGAGCAATCAGTCTGTTAGGTGTGGCCGAGATCAAAGGCTGGAACTTGTATTTATAGTATTTTCTCATCAAATAAAGGATTTGTCAGTTTGCAGAGATTTGGCTTCACATTGTGGTATCATAGCCATACGCATACTGTAACTAAAAGTTTTTTTCAGAGTTTTGAGTGAACGTTTGCAAGCCTGATTGCAGACTTGGAATCGAGGAAAAAGAGTAATATAGGGGAGAATATCAAAAAGGGGAGGTGAGTGAAACCTCAGGACTTGGATTTGTGTGGGTTTGCCGGAGACTATTTTTTGAAAATTCTGCAGCTTGATTGCAGAACTGGGATCTCTGTCAGATTATTTTTGTGTGAAATACTACAATCTTGATTGCAGGATAGGGAGTTGGGAAACACAAGGGATAACAATGAGGGTCTTATACTAAGGGGTGAGTGAAGCCTCTGCTTGAAGTGAGTAAAAGATCATGAGTTGAGAGTAAAAGATCCTGAGTTGAGTAAAGTGCAGATGAGTGAATATGGAAGCTTTGCACAGGTGTGCATTCCAAAATTTCATGGTGATTATGATCATTGGAGTCTTGTGATGGAAAACCTTCTACGGTCAAAGGAGTATTGGGATGTTGTGCGTGAAGGCTTTAGGGAACCAGCACCAATCGAGGAGCTATCTCCTGCTGATGCTAAGAGGCTGGAAGGCTTGAAGTTGAAAGATCTGAAGTCAAAATATTATCTCTTCAGTTCCATTGACAGGACTATTCTCAAGACAATCACTAACAAGAAGACCACTAAGGAGCTTTGGGATGCAATGAAGCTTAAGTTTCAAGGCAGTGCTAGGGTGCAGAAGGCTTAGTTGCAAGCTTTGAGAAGGTATTTCGAGCTATTGGGAATGAAAGAAGAAGAGACCATAACGGAATACTTTAATAGAGTTATGGTGGTGGCTAACTCCATGAGAAATTGTGGAGAGAATCTAACTGATGTTCAGATTGTGGAAAAGCTTCTCAGAACCTTGAATGAGAAGTTTAATTATGTGGTATGCTCACTTGAAGAGTCCAATGACATTGAGCAACTTAGTGTTGATACACTTCAAAGCTCATTGATAGTGCATGAGCTGAAATTTCTTAAGAAAAGTGTTGCAGAAGAAGATCAAGCCCTCAAGGTGGGCTATAAGACTGGAGGAAGAGGAGGTAGAGGAAGAAGTGGCTTTCCTGGAAGAGGAAGGGGCTGGATTAGAGACACTGGGGAATGTTTTAATTGTCACAAAATTGGACATTTCGGAAATGAGTGTTCAGATCGGTACACAAATGAGCAAGTCAACTATTCCAACTCTCATCCTAGGCAAGTCAGATCATATGAAGACATGAAAGAGGGTGTTCTACTAATGGCTTGTGCAGAACCAAAGGGAGAGGAAGTACCAATTTCACAGATGGCACCTCGAGATAAAGCATCAGTAGGTAAAACATAAACGTGGTGGTTTCTAGATTCAGGTTGCAGCCATCACATGACAGGTAACAAGAACTGGTTCTCTAGTATTGATCACTTCTGTTGCACTGTGAGTTTAGGAAATGGGGTTGAGTTGCAGGTGGCTGGTAGGGGAACCATTAGAATGCAAATTGAACACAAGTCCATAGTAATTCATGATGCATTCTATGTACCAGGATTAAGAACAAATATGCTGAGTATTGGAAAGATGTAAGATAAGGGATTAGTCTTCCTTATTCGTAAAATATATCATGATGAAAGAGGTCTCTTATTTTGCACGAAGAGAAACAACATGTTTGTGCTACATGCTGATTCTGCAGACTGCATGTTAGATCCTACATATCAATGTCTGCAGGCTATGAGATCTCAAGTAGTTATTCATGAAAAGGGAGTTTGGTGATGTATTTGATGTTGAGCTTGCTAGGGATACTCCACTTTCAGTAACAAATACATTTGATGAAACTGCTGGGATTTCATATGATGGAATTCATATTCAAGAAGAGAAAGACGAGTTGGAGGAAACAACTATGCTAGAGCCTCCTTCCCCAACATCTTTCGATTGCAGAACTAAGGAATCATCAAATGTGAACTCCAGTAGAAGTTTGCAAGCCTTATCAGCTCATCATGATTGGTTCAGTTTTCATTTGAATATGAAGTGGACATGTTTTCATAGAAAGGTGACAAACAGCTTATGTGATGCAACCACTAGAGCTTGTAGTTGCAGGGGAGGAGATTATGGATCTAAAGGAGCTAGAGTCAGATTTGTTGTGCTTTGATATGGATGCTGCAATGTATGATAGCAGTGGTTTGTCAGGTTTGTTGTGCTTTGATATGAATGCTGCAATGTATGACAATAGTGGTGAGAAGCCATTTATGAAACTTAAATTGGTTAGCAAACGGAATAAACATGTGCCGGCAATTAAGAAGGGTGTTGTTGCTTACGATTACAAAATTGGGAAGAGTATTTTTAGTCAGCAGCTGAAGCAGTCCGTGGTAAATGAAAACAAAGTTGTCCAAGTGTTTCCAATCCAGACACAAGGGTTGATGATGTTGAATTTAAGAGAAGTTTGAAGTTACTGATAAATTGGGTCAGAGAATACACAGGAAATTTGCTTATATGGACATACATGAGACTGGGAGGACAATGATCATGCAAAGAATCATGTCGTGAAGAAAAAGGAGTTTTTTGAGTGGATTCAAGTCATCTACACCAAGTTTAAAGAGAAGGTTCAAGCTATATTTGTTCCACTTGTGGTAGTTGGTTCTGCAGCAAGGTTAGACAACTTTGTAGCTATTTTTGCAGCATGTTTAAGCACCTTTGCAGCACATTATTCAGCCGGTTTGTTACAAGTCTCCAGAGTTCAGAAGTGGCAAATTGCAGTTGGTCTGGTGAAGTACATAATCACAAGTTTGGTTATTTCTCAATTCAAGTTTGCAGCTAGCTTTGTGGATGTTTTCATCACTTTGGCAGCTGGATTTATCAAATATAGAGATGGTGCTGCAGATTGTGACTTGATGACAGATATGGAATGAGTGGGGTATTTCATATTGCTTCTCTTGGTTTATGTGACAAAGGTGACAATGGTTGAAGAAGAAGTAGTATCTTGGGACTCCAAGGAGCAATTCTTGGTTACTGAAGCAGAGTTTTATGTGTTGTATTGTGCTGCTCAACACGAACATGTGTGGTTAAAGAGAATTATGAGAACAAATGAACTGGGGGAGGAGCATAGTAGAAGCAACTCAGGTTTCCGTGATAGCAGCTCCATCAAACTTTCGAAGAATTCACTTCTTCAGAGATGTAGAAAATATTTTGATGCTCATTGTTCACCTTCTAAGGAAGCTGGCAAAGGATTATGTGGTGAACCTGATCCATTGTGGAACACAATATTGGGGTTGCAGACATAATGAACAAAGCTCTTAAGCTTGAGACGTTTCAGTTACTGAGAGGAAGGCTTGGAGTTGTGGACTTAGCAGAAGCAGCAGACTGAGGAATGTTGATGGAGTGAAGTTAGGAAGTGGTTAGTCATGGTAGCTGAAGTCTAGGAGCAATCACGTTAGAGTCTGTTAGGTGTGGCGGAGATCAAAGGCTGGAACTTGTATTTATAGTATTTTCTCATCAAATAAAAGACTTGTCAGTTTGCAGAGATTTGGCTTCACAGCATCTTCATCTCATCTTGCAGGCTCCAGCTCTACCCACAAGCTTGACAAAGAAAAAGAGCCTATTGAAGGATAGACAGTAGCTATGTATTGTGATTTCTATTAGGAATATGACTGTAGGTTAAGATCGTCTCAAGAAAAATACAGTAACACGAACATGATCTTGGTTTGTGAATGTGGGGAATTTATCGCTTAACGAGACTTTGGAACCATGCAAACGAAAAACGGCAGTATTACAGCGTTTCCTTTTAATTTGTTAACTGCATTTATGTTCGGGATTTTTCCAGAAATAGCACTGTTTAAAAAAAATTCCAAAAATAGCACCTAAGTCCGAAAAATTCCAAAAATAGCATCCTTTCCCAAAAACCGCTCCCTACCAGTGCAGTTTAGGCGAAAACCGCCACCTAGGGGCGCGTTTTTCGATGAAAACTGCACCCCTAGGGGGCGGTTTTGCAGATCGCACCCCCACCATGCGGTTTGGTTGCAGACCGCACCCCCACCATGCGATCTGTTGTGGTTTGGTCCCGCCTTCATCCCAAAAAATGTCGTTTGCTACCCCGAACGAGCTTATTTCCGATTTCGTCAAACTTTGGACAACCATAACATTGTGCTCCAAAATCCAAACGACATGAATTTTTCTTTATTTCGCATAACTTTTTAAGGACTACAATTTTTACTGGAATGAATTTTCAAAACAGGAATTATTTTGGATATACAGGATTTTGGGAATAGCTTACCTTCCCTTCTCAGCAATCCACGTACATTTTGAAATTATGTTTATGATAAAAGTTGTATTCCTTAAAAATTTATGCGAAATAAAAAAAAATCATGTCGTTTGGATTTTGGAGCACAAAGTTATGGTTGTCCAGAGTTTGACGAAATTGGAAATAAGCTCGTGCGGGGTAGCAAACGACATTTTTTGGGACGAAGGCGAGATCAAACCACCTTCGGCAGTCTTAGGCTTGCAAGATCTCAAAAAGTTATGCAGAATCAAAAAAAAAAATCGCGACGATCTGATACCTGAACACAAAGATATGTTCGTTTGAAGTTTCCACCTAGGTTAGGATTTAAAAAAAAAAAAACAGATCGCATGGTGGGGGTGCGGTCTGCAACCAAACCGCATGGTGGGGGTGCGATCTGCAAAACCACCCCCTAGGGGTGCGGTTTTCATCAAAAAACGCGCCCCTGGGTGGCGGTTTTCGCCTAAACCGCACTGGTAGGGAGCGGTTTTTGGGAAAGGGTGCTATTTTTGGAATTTTTCGGACTTGGGTGCTATTTTTGGAATTTTTTTTAAACAGTGCTATTTCTGGAAAAATCCCTTTATGTTCTTGCTGTATTTTTTTTTTTTTGTGAAAGTGTTCTTCACTTGTTCTTCCGGGTTTAATGTTTGATCGAAAAAGGAGCAAAGCCGCTGGATGTCGTTGTGTTTGTCTACAAAACGACCAAAGATTGAGTCGTTGAATTTAGCTGAGGTTTAAATTGGATGGGCTTGGAGATGTTGTGATATTGGGCTGTGAATTTGTTTTAAGTATTTGGTTGGGCTATCCAAATCACACGAAGTCCATTAGTTTTTAGGGTTAATACCCTAGTTTGCCACGAAGTTTAACGTAAATGTCAGTTATGGCCCCATTTTTCAAATAAGACATTTATTGCCTACTTTTAAAATTATTGGACAGATTTGGCCTCAGAAACGATTTGACTGTTATAATTGACGGTCAACCATTTTTCTAGTTAGTGACTCAACATTCACTGCTGACTAGACTCGTCCACATCATCTAAAGATTAAAACATAAAAATAAATTAAATTAAACTTTGAAAAAAGCCCCCATTCATTTGCCGCAAACGACCCTCCATCTTCCTCCGATATTTCCCCTTCCATCGCAAGTCCGCCACAACAACAATCCACCCTTTACTTCTTCCCCGTCGCACTTGTTTCGCCCTCGCCCACCAATCCATTTTTCTCCATTGATGGAGACGCCGGACTTTTCGATTTTGATCGGCGGTGGCTGCTTCAAGGGGGATAAAAAAAATTTCCTAAAATTCCAATCTCAAGCAAAAAGGGATTGTGGCGGCAGGAGTCAAGATGGTGGTGGTTGGTGACGACGACTACGACGCCACGATGCTACCCACTCGGGATTTATTTCTCTCTCCTCACCCTCCGTCATCATCTCATCGAAAACCCATCCTCTGCTTCCTTCTTCCTCGCCACCACCTCCCCGCCGGCGGTTGGGATCTCTGGTCGGCATCGGAAGGAAAGGACCAGGAAGCAACTAGAGGCGTCGCTCTAGGCCACAACATCGGAGATGGCGTTGGGGACGGGTTCCAAATCTCTGGACTCCAATTGGATTTTGCGATTTGCGTTGGATTTTTCAGATCAGCCATCTTCGAACCAGAAAACAGAGCATTTACTAGAGTGGTAGCCGATTGACGTGCTATGCGAAATGTCTTTGATGGTGTTTGGGTGAGTGGCCGAGCGGTGGCCATTTTCAGAGGAAGAAGAAGAGAAAGAATATTGGAGAGAGACCGGCGGGTGGGGATTTTGTTGGGGGTCTGCAATCTTTACTCTAGTCTGTAGAAACGTAGAGAAAGGGATGAGATATGAGTTAGGCTTTTTTATGGAATAAAAGGAGGAAAGAGAAGTCTTCTGAACTTCTTATTTCTATTTAATGTTTTGATTTTTTATTTTTAATTAATAAGTGACATGGATGCCACTTCAGCGTTGGATGCTGAGTCATTGACGGAATATATGTTTGACCGTTAATATTAACAGTCAACACAAGTTTTGGGCCAAATCTGTCCAATAATTTCAAAAGTAGGTCATAAGTGTCTTATTTGAAAAATGGGGTCAGAACTATTACTTACGTTAAACTTCGGGTCAAACTAGGGTATTAATCTTTAGTTTTATGGTTGTATATATACAAAACAGAAAAATATCTAGCAGACAATGGCAATACCGCAGTAGCTTGATTTGTAGTATACAAATTGGGTTAAATAAGTAAACGAGTTTACTGATTAGTTTTATGAAAGCGGATCAAGGCTGTAACCCTTATTTGCATAATCCGTGTCGACTTAGCGTGATTCAATTTTTCTTGTTAAGAAACATCATATTGCTATAATAAGGTCAAGAATTAGTCAAGTCTCGACAATCCAAATTGTTAAAAATGACTCATATATGAATTTTAACTACTTTCTACCCTAAGGACTTGTAGCCAGAAGACATCTTTCTCCGCTTATATGAATGTTTCTTTTATTGTACTCCACCGTTGGTAAATGATTATTCTCTTTAAAATAAATTCATTCATAAATGATTATCGGGCAAATTGCCAGTTTGGTCACTGGAATTGCTAAAAAAATTCACATTTGCCATTAAGTTTATTTTATTCTATCCGTAGTCACTCAAATTTCAACCCATCTTTCTTCCAACCCTTCTTTCCTGATCTTCCTCACCGCTCCCCATAGGTGGAGCTAGAGGGCATGGGATGTCTCTCGGGACACAGGTAATTTTTGCGTAAAATAAAATACCCCATATATATGTATCAATTAAGGATTGCACTCATCAACTTTAGGTAATATAAAAGTATTTTATCACTACACTACAAGTTATTTCAAGTTTAAAAACTAACATAAATCAATATATCATACTATAAAAAAAATTCAAAATACCTAAAGGTCGATCTCTTTGTCTTCTAAAGTTAGTTTTGACTCTACCCGTTGCAATTGCAAGTGTAGAAAGAACTATTTCAGCTTTGAGTTATATTAAGAACAAGTTTCAAAGTCGAATTGCGACCAATTTGCTAATGATTGCTTAGTCGGATACATTAAGAATTTGAAAATGTGTCGTGATTGCTTATGTAAATAATGATTGTATTAGTCTAGTATTTATTTAATATATATGAATAAATGATTTAGATATTATTAGTTTTAATTATATTTATTAAATATTTATTTGTTTATTTTATATTATAGAAAGAGGACACAAGTACTTTCAGATTCTGCCTCCGCCACTGCCACTCCCCCCCCCCCCACACACACACACACACAATTTCATCATCGAGCTCCTCCCTCCTTTCTTGCCTCTTTCCCTCGTCTGTCTATTCTCCCCCTTCAACTCACTCTCTCAATTTTCGGGGCCCGACGATTCCTCCTCAATCCGTTGCGTCAATACCGAAAATTCCTCCTCCGCCTTCAGTGACTGCAATAGATGAGGGAGGTTGGCAGTGGGGGTGGCGACTTGTATGGTGGTCGGGAGGAGTGAAGATGAGGGAGGGAGATGGAGGAAGCAGAGCCATGGAGGAAGAGAGGCAGAGACAAATGCGGAAGACAATGGAGAAACATAAGGCAGAGGAGGCAAAGGAGAAGGATGAGAGAGGTGGAGAAGGGCCAAGATGATCTTGTTGTGTCGGGTTAGGGTTAACATATTGGTTGGAGTTGTAAAGAGAAGTTATTACCCATGAATAACTATGATACCAGAAAATCCGAACGGGCATGGCTATGGTTTTGATTTTTTACCCATTTATTATGTAGATATGGATATGGGTAAAAACCCGAACAAACATTGGGTAGGGTAACGGATATGCACTATCCACCCCGACCCTACCCATTGTCATCCCTAGATTAGAGGTCGATGGTGGCGGAGAAGAAGGGACCAAGGAGAGTGGGTCAGGATGGGGGTTTCATGTGGGCCAATGGAGTTTTATCTCGGGCGGGTCAATAAAGAGGAACGAGGCATGGGTTGGGTTTTGTTGGGTTTGGCGAATCTGACATGGCAGGTAAAAATGACGTGGCGGGTCAGCAAACCACTAACGGTGTTCATTTATTGGCTTATTGACACATCAAACCATATTTTGTATGGTAACTTTATTATATACATTTATTGACTTATTGATACCCATGTAACCTATGTCATGATACAAGTGACTAATGAGTCACTAAACCGACATCCTCTTTATGGTGCTCTTTGGTCTTTAATCGTTCGCAATAATAATAAAAACAACATTGAACATTTATTCTTCAGATGACCCCTAACCACCAATTTGTGGACTTTAGTGGGATTGAGCAACTTCATTGATTCCCCCCCCCCTCCCCCCCCCCCCCCCCCCCCCCCACTGTTAATCTTAGTCTATGGTGGCGACATGTCATGATCTCTGAGATCTCCCCATTCCACATTCTCCACTACGTATGTATACTTTGGAGAGTCAGGAAGTTTAGAAATGAAGTGATTTTTGAATTCTACCACCCTCATGTTCGTTCCCTCGCCAGTAAATTTTACTACCATGTCCTTGAAGTTTCCAATTGTCAGCCCATCCTCCGCTCCCCAGATCGCTCCTCTCAAATCCTCCCCTCTTGGCAGACTCCACCAGACTACTTTTTGAAGATCAACTTCGATGCAGCTATTCGTGTCTCAGGGTGCGTGTCTAGTCTTAGTATCCGTGGGTCAGACGGGCATGTGGTGATGGCAGCCTGTTTGCGTCACCAGGGAGTAGCCAAGCCCTTCCTGGCAGAGCTCCTAGCAGTAAGAGATGCTATCACCATCGTCGCCTCAAGTTCCTTGACTCACGTGATAGTGGAAGGTGATTCAAAGTGGTCGTCATCCAGATTCTTTTTTTTTTCTCGAGAAATGCCAAGAGAATAGTTAGAAAGAACACTACCCACAATCCCTTCCTATCCCACTAGCTAGCCACCCAACAAAATCAAAAGAAGCTAATTCTAACCGGGGCAACAACAAGGCTTTGCGTGCCACTCTATGAGCAGCCCAGTTGGCTGTCCGCGGAACAGCTCTACAGTCTATACAATGAGGAAAAGACTGAAGAAGAAAACGACAATCTCTAAGCAGCGGACCACCTGACGAATCCTCCACCACACCGAGTTTGAGCTCACGGATGACCACTTCTGCATCTCCTTCAAAGATGACACGAGCCAAACTTCTAGAAGTTGCAAGCGAGATTGCCTCCCTAGCTGCAAGGAGTTCTGCAATGTACGGGTCAGAAATACCCTGATGCTGAACACCGACGGCGAGGAGCACATGCCCGTACGAGCCACGAACCACAAGGCCAGATGAGCAACCAGAGTCTTGAACGGCCGCATCAAAGTTGATCTTCAAATGGTCTAGGGGCGGGGGGTAGCCAACAAAGGGAAGCAATCGCAGGCACGCAGGGTGGGGGAGACGGGGCAGGAGACGAGGACGAGAGCACTTCACGGAACTGAAAAGAGTATTGGCGGGCAAGCGAACGAACATGAGGTTGGGTATTTTCAAATACCACTGAATTATTTCCATATTCTCCATAAGAGGCATACTACCTGGAGAATATGGGTTTGGGAATGCTGATCTAGCAAAAATTGCCGCCACCAGATACTGAAATTTATAATTGGGGCCAAAGGTCGTACATCGTCTAATCCCACAAAAGACCATAGCTGGATGGCACATGTAAAGAACAAATGTTCTAAATTTTCTCGAAACCTCCAACAAACCGGACAACGTCTCAGGCAATTAACTCCACGAGACCTGAGTGCCACTGTTGTTGGAAGGACCACTCTAAGACACTGCCAGATGAAAAATCTTAGTTTGGGAGGAGTCTGGATGATCCAAGTCTTCTTCCATATTGGGGGATCAATGATTTGGACGAGCGATTTTCTCATTGGAGCCAGAATTCCTTCTAATGCCAAGTGTTATCCTGTTTTAACTGAATACTTACCATTCTTGGTAAAGTGCCATACCCTAGTGTCTGGTTGGGGATTCTGAAGCAGAGCCATTTTGCAAATAGACTCAACAGGTTGTGGGTGGAAACAGTACTGAAGCCGCGGAAAATACCATTCCCCTGTACCCTCTCTAATAAAATAAGAGACACACGGGGAAGAGTTAATATTGCCCAACCGGATCACCAGGCTTTCTGGTTTAATCTCTGAGATCCAGTTATCATAAAATGCATCAATGGTGTGACCATCACCCACCTGCCAACGCAACCCTTGTAGGAGAAGGTCTCTGCCATAGAGGAGGCTACGCCAGCCCCATGATGGATTGGACCCTAACTTAGCATCCAGGATCGAGTGAGAGTTTAAATATCGCCCTTTATAGACTTGACTAAGTAAGGAGTCCGGATCAGTCCAAATACGCCAACATTGTTTTGCCAACAAAGCTTGATATTCTCGAAGGTTTCATTTGAGGTCCGGTGCACCGGGAGTGTCGCCAGTTCTTAGACTCTTTGTTAGTTTGTATAGAGTTTAGGGCGATTCCTAGAGCCGCCAACAGTGTTGCCCATAGAGTGGCGCTTAAAGCACTGCTTGTCTCTCATAGAGGTAGAATCTTTCAACTTTTTTGGGTGGCTCACTAGGGTGTCGCTTGTAGGGGATTTCTGGGTAGTTTTATTTGTATAACTCTTGTCTTATCTTGATATCACTCGGGAAAAAAAAACACTAACGGTGTTAGTGGAGACTGACTGATAGTGACCAATCGTGAAACATTAACCACTTTCAGCGACCACGAATGAAATAAAATTCTTTTAGTGACCAAAAATGAATATTTTAGCACTTTCAGTGACCAACCTTGCAATTTACCCAAATTGTAATATATCAGCCCACCTCATAGCCCCAATCTTTATGATTGGGAAGAGGAAGAGGTATCCACTATAATTCTAAAGAGCACTTCTACTATGCTATAAATCATTGTTGCTTTAATGTTCAATTTGAAGTTGTACCATAACGTTAAACGTACAATTTCATGTTGTACCATAAAGAAATTTGTACTCTTATTTTATGGTACAACTTAAAGTTGTATCATCACATAAAGATACAAGTTTAAGAAATACCATAAAAAAATTTGTATAAAAAATATAGATACAATATGAAGTTGTACCAAAACGTTAAATGTATAGCTTCAAATCAACAGATATATATATACAGCAGTGTGTATCCGACTTTTGCCAACTCAGCTATTGAAAAGCAACCCCTAATTTGTGGAGGGGCATTTCTGATAAATTACACCTGAATTATAATCCTAGCTCAAACACCACAGCAGGGCTAGGACAGAGGCCCTCACATGAGCATTTAAATGGGCCGGTTACTGCAAAATATGAAAGGGATTTTAATGGCCTGGTTATGTAGGCCTTCACATGAGCATTTTAATGCCCCGGTTATTTAGGCCCGCTACATATGAAAGGGATTGGTGAAATTCTCAATCAGACACCAGCGAAAACAGTTCGCAAATTACAGTGTTGGCACTCTCTCTGTTCACTATTTTTGTATGCACAAAATCCATTCTTTTCGCCGCTTTTAATTCTATTAATTTTTTTTAACTTCACTGTTCAACAAAATTATATTTGATTTCGATATCTCATTTCACATATTTTCCAACCAAATCCTCCCTTTAAGTGTGGACGTTGGTTTTCGGCCTCCAACTTTGATTATGGTTAATTTAACCCCAAAGAATAATCATGGCATTTTAGGTTCAATAGAGAAATAAATAATTTTTGAATATCGAGTTAATTGTAAATATTGATTTGGAAAATGTTGAGAAATATATATATTGAAACGGACAATAGAAATTATGTAATTCACCACCAAATTTAAAAAGCTGATAGAAGTTGCATGTTGCATTGGATGAAAGTTGTCGCAATATTTTATTAAAAAATTGGAGTGTTCTTCCCCCCTCCCCCGGTGAATAGTGTTCGAATGATATGGATAGTGGGCAATTTTTTTTTTTTTTCTCCAGAGCCTATGCCAAAACATATGAAGCATACATTAGTGGTATGATAAATGAATGGAATTTCCGACACAAGCATACCTTGGATGTAATAAATAGTTGAGCCCTTTAGCTTAGAAAATATATTTAAGCTTTACATCAATAGCTAATAATTGTTGGCTATTAGTTACATGTCAATATAAACCTATAATTAAGTCACAACAATTAGACAACCCTGCAAATAGAGGAGTAGGCATCAACACTAAGTGAATCAGAGGGGCTAACATTCTTTCAAGTAAATGTGGTGATCTTTATATAAATACGACCACTACAAATATGCAACAGTTGAGATTATGGATAACATTTACGGTGACTCTTATACATACAGAAATGCAAGCAACATGTTCTAATGCTCTATAAGAGTATGGAACTTGGAAGCTAGCATAAAGACTGGTTCACAGTTGCACCAAGATATTATCAGGGTTATATATAGGAATAGAGAAGTGGTATATGATTTATTATCGAAGCTCATCCAACAATTCAATATTATTGATAACAAAAATAAACAAAGCAGCAAGAAGAAAAAATTATCACCCAAGGGTTGCTTACAAGCTACAAGGAGCTCACTTAGCGATGCTCCGATGAGTTGGAACAATTGCACTCCAATAGGGGGGGGGGGGGGGGAGGTCATGATAGCATTGTTTAAAAACTCAATAGGTGGCCAAAGGTCAAAATATTCCTATTGGACATCGAGCTGAGAAAGGAAGAGGCGACAGTGGAATGCCCTTTCTACAATCTGGAGGAAACCCAGAATCATATATTGAGGGAATGTCAGTGGGCAATTCACATTTGGAGATCGTCCATGTTCAGACCACTATTAGAGCTAGAACCTAACCTATCATCTAGCAGTTGGCTATGTGCAGTAATGGATCGAACGGAGGATGAAATGCTAGAGAAACTAAGCATCATTTTGTGGTCGATCTGGAATGAACGAAATAATCAGATGTTCAATAAGAAAAAAGCGAAGGAATGGGAAATCATTCGTCGTGCCCTAGACTATTGGGAAGAGTTTAAATCGCACCATACTTTGGAGAAGGAGGAAAGATCGGAGTGGAAGAATACCTGGAAAAAACCTCACGTATCGATAATGAACCGGCCCATACCATGGCCCATTTGGCATGTATCTGGGACCAAACAGAATTCTGGACCATAAGACCTCCTATTGCTATCCTTTCTTCTTTGGTGAAGGATGACATGATTTATGAATAAAATTACAGGTTTCTATAAAAAAAAAAACTCAATAGGTTTTTGCTTTACATTGTCGAAGGGCCAAGTAGAAGTTACATTAACCAGGTTGTAACAAAGGAGAATAGGCAAATGGATCTTATGACATCAATGTTTCAACCACAAATTAAGGTTGCCACTAACACCATTGAAAATACAATATTGTGAAAAGAAAAAGAGAATTCACGACTATTTACTATAAACAAACGGGCTAAAAGGACACCAAAACGGACCATAAATGGAATAACCACACCCGGCCAACTGGCCGGGCAAAGTGCTAGTTATAACATTATACACTTTGAACTAAAATGTCACATATGGTGCGGAAACAGATTAATCATAAACACGCCAAAGATATCCACGGTAAATCTAAAATGTAGCGTAGTAAAAAAGACAGTAAAGAGACAAAATAAAAACAGAAAGTTTATCCCTACGAAAATTCATCAATCATCATTGCATCTCCATTCCTCCGATTCTTCCAACCGCCGGCCAAAAATTCCCTCCGTTGCCCCCATTTCGCATTCTGCAGCAAAGAAACCATTAATCTTTGAATCATTATCGTCGTACATTACATTGTAAATGGAGCTATTCGAGAAAGCGAGGGTGATCCGGCTCCGAAGCCACCACGACAAGTACCTACTCGCCGACGACGATCAAGAAGGCGTGAGCCAGGATCGTAACGGGATGTCGAAGAACGCCCGATGGACGGTGGAGATTGTGGAAGGATACCAGGCCATACGGTTACAAAGCTGCTACAGCAAGTACCTGACCGCCTCCTCCACGCCGTTCCTCCTCGGGATGACCGGGAAAAAAGTGATTCAGACGACACCCCCGCGCCTTGACACCTCCGTCGAGTGGGAGCCCATTAGAGAAGGCGTTCAAGTTCGCTTGAAAACCCGCCACGGCCAGTACCTTCGCGCCAACGGTGGCGTCCCTCCTTGGAGAAATCATGTCACCCACGACATTCCTCATAGAACCGCCACCCAGGATTGGATTCTGTGGGATGTTGATGTTATGGAGCTAAGACCGCCGCCTCAGCAACAATCTTCCGATCAACGTCCGCCGCAGGGACCCGGTGGCCGGTCTTTCGAAGCCTCTCTCCAGCCTCCTCCTCCGTCGTTTGGACCCAAACCTTCCTTGTCAAGAATGGAGGTTTGTGAAAAAACGTTAATATTCAATACTGCTATATAAGAAATGGGTTTGCGACATGGGATTCTTATGAATGACATTTGTGATCAGAATTTTGTGTTTTGATGACATCGTGTGACTTGGCATTGGATTATTATGAAATACACGGTTACATCAGTGAGCTTAAAATTTTGCGTCAAAAGCTTCGGGATTCTGTTAAATCTAATAGTCAATTAAACACTTGAAACCACAAATGTCATTAAATCTTAAAACTTCATGCCCCAAATATCATTCCGAGAAGTAGGAATCCTAAAAAGAAAGGAACTTTGCAGATGGGTTTATGATCATTAATCAGTCGAGGGTGTATTTTCATATGGGTACTTCTTGTTTTTGTTTCTGCAGTCTGATGATACGTTTGTGATGCCAGCGAAAAATGAAGGCAGGGTGATCAAGTACGTAGTGGCAAATGAGAAAGGACAAGTTGATAAAGATGAAGAAGGGAGTACCTTTTCTTTCAAGGGAACTGAGGTGGGGGAACTGAAGGAGAGGTTGGAGGAAGAGACAGGAATGAGTGACATCCTCGTATGTTCTCAAAATCCTTTGAATGGGATGCTCAATCCTCTCACCTTGCAGTATCTGCCACCAAATAACGCAAGTATGAATGTTGTTGTAGTTCCCTCGGCTGGAAAAGGTTGGTTAGTTTAATAATAGTACCTTTGGCCCCGTGCCCCCATCTCTGTTTCTTGTTTCAAGTCTGTGACAGCCTGCTTATCCTCTGACCATGCTTCTTTCCTCTGTTGTGGCTGGACCATCTGCTAGGTGCAAAGAATATTACGCAACTGCCTTCAGATTAGTAATGGGCTGGCCATCTCTTGCATCGACTGAGGACTGTCTGTTGAGAGAAAACAACGCTTGCGCCGTAGCTCGTGGTTGATGGATGACCAGAGTGTAGATGGAGCCATGTAGTAGGAGTCCTTCATCCAATGGTTAACCTAAACACACAAGGTTTCTGTCTCAATTGTTGATATTAAACTTCATGTTATGTGCAACTATCTTCGGGCTGTCTGCGAACTTTGCTAACATCACAAATGAAGAAGTATATATCAGAGGTTTCCAGCACTTCAGCAACTGTTACTTCCAAGCTAAGAAATTCAAAGTAGTTTTCTCCATTCTTCCTAGACTGACGTCTTCCCTTTTGCTGTTTCCTTGTAAGGTAGAGAGTAAATGACTTAGCTTCTCACTTGCTAATAAGTTTAAAGCAGTACTTCCTTTTATACATACCTTGTCTATCCTCCCCTTGTAGAGTTTGTAACACGAAACACATATTTCCAGAATGGCTGGTTACTAACATGGTAGAAACGTAAGTTTTGATCAAGTTCCTCTTGTTCCTTTCTTACCCAGCTTGTACTGTCGATCTGTTTAAAAACCCAAGTTGTGGACAGGAAGAAATACGCATCTGTCATGTATCATCTGGCTGCAATGTCATTAACACATTAGTTTCAAATATTGAACAGGCAAGAGTGCAAGTTTGACCAAATGATAGATTGAAGCCATGTACTTCAATGCAACAGTTTCATACTTTCATACTGCAACCTGGCGTTCTCTTGATCGATCTTAGCTTGCCACAGAACTCAGGTAGATATTCAATATATAAATCCAAGTCAGGCCTTTATCTCCATCTCCATTTTCCTACTTCAGAAGCACTTTTGCAGCAAGTTCCACAAACTTCCCATGCTTGTGGAGATTGACAATTGCTCTGATAGAAGCAATCGTGGGTTTTGACGTTTCTCTGTACTGTTTCAGTTGATATCTTCATAGGGCATAAAGCAAAACACCAGTAGTATATGCTCATTCTATTGCTCAATTCCATACTCAGTGATCTTCCTGTTGCAATCCAGTATGAGTACATGCCATCAGAACTCCAAGTGAAATAATTGCACGAGGACCAAGTCCATCTCCCCTCCTGCATATTCCTCCAGCAGTTAATTGTTTTTCTCACATAGCTACACATCATGGACCCACGAACCATCACTGTCGCGATAAAAACCATTAGCTTTAGTCTTAAACTTGAAGATCCCCGGGGCCATATGTATGCATCAAGCCGCAAGTGCAACAACCTGTTATATCATATCCACCATCAACTATTGCTCTTGATTACTTGTAAAAAAAAACTATTGCTGTTGACCTAATGAATCAACCTGCAGTTATCCAGAATTCACCCATCCGGATCAAGCCTCAAACCAGCATGTCACTGAAACTCAAAGACGCCTTCTCAATCAAACTTCAGTTTCTGCATTCATTCACAAGCCCGTTCCACTGGGAAAAATGCACATCAGGAATTTTGTCGAACACCTGTCGTGCACAGTTCGTAAAGTTCCTCTGGACGAACGATGCCCAAAACCTGATGTCCGAATACGCAACATGCTAAAACTAACCCATTTTCATCCACCTGATTGTGAATGCTCGTAGATTGAACGCAGAAACCACACAGTAAACATCAGTTCGTCGGATGGCGCAAAAACTCGCGAGAGTTAAATTTCGGCGCCAAAGCTGATGAATGGCGGGGGATTCTTTGTTTCCGCCTTCTCTTTTTCTACTTCGGCGTCAAATAGAAGTTCTGTTTTCTATTTATTTAGTCATGGAACGGCGTCGTTAGTACCTTTCTTTTATTTTCAACCCGACCCGGCATGGCCGTCGGCCGGGTTTAGCACAGGTAAAGAGTGAAGACCGTCAGAGAACTGAACTTCAATCGATAACCCAGGCTAAGAAGGCGGCATTGCAACTAAACATCACAGCACTAATAGTACGCATTTGCAGTCCCTTCCATGAGCTTGAAATCCGGTTTAGCAAGCTTCTTCCTCCTCCAATTCGGAAGTCTTTCTTCTTCGACTTCGACATCGACCGCTGTTCGTCGTTGTAATTTCGGTCATCTTCGTCCAGTTCCTCCCAGTAAACGCGCGTTTACCTGCTTGGCAACTTCTTCACCACAATCAGCCGAAAAGGTGAAATGGAGGAATCCTCTCTGGTTCTTCTTCGTTTCCGTTGTTTGCAGCTTCTTATCTTGTTGTGTATTGATTGCACTCTTGACGCGGCGTAGTCCGACGGAGAGCTGTTACTGGTGGTTGGTGGGGGAGCAGCTGGAGTGTATGGAGCCATTAGAGCTAAGTCCTTGGCGCCTCATCTGAATGTTCTAGTTGTGGAGAAAGGAAAGCTTCTGTCCAAGGTTCCTTTTTCCCTTCCTTCATTTCGCTTTCGATTTTTAATTTCTTGGACGTGGTCTGTTGAATTGGGGAATGGATGCTCTTGAAGGTGAAAATATCTGGAGGAGGAAGATGCAACGTCACGAACGGGCATTGTCCAGACACCAAGGTGAGGAGAATTGTGCCTATGATTAGCAGATTTGGTTAAGAAAATCATTACTCAGAACTAGTTTGTTTGGTATGGATAAGACTGTGAAGTGATTTCGTATTTTCGTTTGAATGAAACTGCTGCTTCTTCACTTGCGTTGTGGAATCTTCCATTATTGATTCTATTGATGCAATCCTATGTTTGATTAGATTGGTATCACTGAATTAAATTATAACATCGATATCTAGGAAATCCTTCAAGCTGCAGAGTGCAGATTTGCAATTCTTGAAGAGCTACTATAGTATCTTTTGAAGGCTTGGTGTGCGTGGATTCACTTCACATGGTTTGTATATTTAGAATTTGCTGACTGAAATTATTGGTTTGTAGATTTTGGCAGAACATTATCCTAGAGGTCATAGAGAGCTAAGAGGGTCTTTCTTCAACACTCATGGCCCAGGAGACACCATGTCGTGGTTTACTGATCATGGGGTGGCACTGAAGGTTATGATTCTTCATTGTAACTAATTTTAATATTGTTTTCTTCCAATGGTAGTGCGTATATTAGGTCCTTCAGTAATGTGGTTTTCCATTTCTTCCTTACAATGGCCATTGATTGGTGCTCATCTGTCTTAGACTGAGGAAGATGGCAGAGTGTTTCCTATCACCAACAACTCATCCTCAATAGTAGATTGTCTTCTGTCTGAGGCAAGAGAAAGAGGAGGTATGCTTTTTTATGGATGATCTTGGCTGAGAATGTATATATCACATGTGATTTTTTTCACAGTTTTTCCAGCTCAACTTTAATTGTGCGAAAATTCCTGAGGAAATTGCTTCCTATGCCAAACTAAGCTGTTCATTTCTCCCTGTGCTTTGAGTTTGAGAAGGCTTTATCTGCATTTTTCAATGCTTTGAGTCCTTCAAAATGATACTTGCTGAATCCTATTACCTATATCAGTTTCTCTGCAGACAGGAAAAACTGTTACTAGTGTATCTGCTGGAGTCCAAGGAAAGTTTCTTCTGAAGGTTGAAAAACGCAGTGTTGATTTTCTTGAATATTTAGAAGCTGACTATTTACTGATTGCAAGCGGCGGTAGCCGTCAGGTACTACTTGATTAACTGATGGCTTCCCTACGTTGCTGTACTTGTAATATAAGTTCCTGAATTTGGTGTACTTGTCTTGAAGGGTTATGATCTTGCAGTTCAGCTTGGTCATTTAATTGTAGATGGCGTCCCAAGCTTATTTACTTTCAAGATTAAGGATCCACTACTGTCAGAGTTGTCAGGGGTAAAGCTTTCTCCAGATCATGCAAGAGTAATATCTGAAACTACTTAAATTATTGGTTATCCATGCGAGCAAAGACGTCCGATGCTTGGTTGTGTTTGACATTTCATTGCCTTCAAATACATAATTCCATAATCCAAACAGATAATAAGCTAAATATGTTTCTTAGTTCTTTTTTTCTTGTCACCCTAGAAAAAAAAATTTCCCATATTTACTGGTAATCGGTTTGTTTTTTTTTAGCATAGAGTAATTATTGAGATTTGAAATGGAATACGAGTGGATTGTGCTTCAATGTTCTCTTCTTTTATGGTTCAATTCACTGGAAGTATTGGCTGTATTATCATGACGATTTCCTTATCTAATGTTTTTATTTTTGGGTTCCAATTCTCACTTCTCTCCTCAGGTCACATTTCTTAAGGTTGAAGCGTCCTTGATACTGGAAAGTGACAAGAAGAATATCCCGCACCTTACCCAGGCATGCATTTCTAGCTGTTAGGAAATATGACCACATTCTGTCCGGGACTCTACAAATAACTAAAGTTTGATTGTTTCAGCTAGGCCCAATGCTGGTTACACACTGGGGACTCAGTGGTCCTGTTATTCTTCGACTGTCTGCATGGGGCGCTCGGGATCTGTTCAGAGCTGGTTACAGAGGTGCTGCAGAGTTTTATTTCCTGGCTTAGTCTTCTACATCCCATCCTCACTTGCCTTTTGTGTCTTACTATTCATTAGTGTTTGGATGCAGCGCTGCTTGTGGTGGATTTTGTACCTGATCTGCACATTGAGGATATGAAGTCTATCCTTAGTCAACAAAAGCATAAATTCGCGGTAAATAATGATCGTCCCCTTTGTTACTATCTGCTGGCCTTACATAATACATACTGAGAACTTCCATACTCGTCTGGTACTATACCTAAAATCAGTTTACTGAGAGGAAAACTTATTTATTTATATCAGTTTACTGGGTTTGCAGAAACAAAAAGTGCTTAATTCCTACCCATCAGAATTCGGGATTGTGAAGAGATTTTGGAAATATATGCTCGATCGTGAGGTTATTTCGTCGATCCAAAGAAATTCTTGAATGTGAATGTTTGTTCTTTCATCATCCAAGTATTTATGAAGAATAATCTTACTTTTATACAGGGTCTGAATTGTGATACCTTGTGGGCATCCGTATCAAATAATTCCTTAAATTCTGTAGCATATCTGTTGAAGCATTGCGCATTTGAAGTAGTAGGAAAGGTCAGATACCACACATAAACCCTTGTAGTTCCATTTTCTCATAGTTCATGTCCATGCAATGTTATCAAAAGCCAATACATTTTCTCCTCCATACAGGGTCAGTACAAGGACGAATTTGTCACTGCTGGAGGTGTTCCCTTATCCGAGGTCCTCACCTCATCCTTGCCTCAATACTAACTCTCTACATTAGCCCCTTGGTTTGTGAAATACGCCTTAACTCTCTGTACGTTTCTACTTAAAGATTTCATTGAAGACAATGGAAAGCAAGATGCGCCCAAATCTCTTCTTTGCTGGAGAGGTATGTTTGCACTTTAGCAGCAAAGCGATCTGTCTTTCGCTAATGAATAATTCAGATCGATAGGGTTTCTCACTTGCCTTGTGCAGGTATTGAATGTCGATGGGGTGACTGGTGGTTTTAACTTTCAGGTGAGTAATCCATGACACAAAGTTGCAAGCATACTGTCTTGTAGGCTAAGATAGAATCCTCGTTTCCTCCCCTCGACTTTTTTCATGTTCACCACCTAGGTTCTGATAATCAATCATCTCCTTCGATTATCGTTTTTTTTTTTTTTTTTTTTTTGCAGAATGCATGGTCCGGTGGCTACATTGCCGGAACAACCATCGGTGAACTGGCAGCTAAAGCAGTTTGCTGAGCCCCTACAAGAAGGCTTGGGAGAGTTGTAGGTGTTGATGTCATTGGACAAGGGAAGTAGGGAACATGTCTCCTGCTATTACATGAGTGATTAGTCCATAGGTTCCCTTGTCCTTCAAAAATCAAAGGATTTATTTACCAATTTCTCATTGTAATATACTAGGGGTCGTTTGGATGAGGAATTCTAATGGATCAATCTGACACAATTGTCTCGTTTTGAGTCAATTGTGCTAGATTGATTCGTTTGCCAGCAGAAATTTTGGATGAAGCAATTTGGGCTGGGGAATTCTGAATTGACTCATTTTGAGCCAATTACAATTGTCTGGGGTGGGGGCAGGTAATCTGAATTGACTTGTTTTGTACAATGAAACAATTGGTCAAATTGTCTCGTTTTACAATTGATCCATCCAAACGACATGTCTCAAGTTCTCTTATTTCGTAGTAACTTTGAATGTTCGCATTAGGATTTTTGTTTTAAAGGGAAAAAACTTTGTAATCTAGTCAAACGAAATTATCAGTTCCCTTGTTGATCGGTGTAATATGATTGACTAACCACATAACTAATTGTTTTTCCCATGCTAAATCCAAATTGGATTGAATGTCAAAAGTTAGGGACCAATAATAGCTTACCTAATTAAATAACATCATCTACAGTCGCTGGTTGAAAAGACTCCTCTTTGGCTTGCCCGACAAACAACCTTCCACTTCTTTGCCATCTCTCTATTAGAAAATGAAAATCACCTTAGCAAGAATCTTCGTCTCCAAGTGTCTGAATGCTAAGATTGTCCAGCCTGTACGCATTCCAAGTGTCAAGCATCGGAGTCCCCAGATCGGCTGATCGATCATCCCCACCGTGCACTTCACTCCTAGACGATCCCGCCCTTTTCCCAGTCAACCCTCTCGCAACCGTTGACTCGCCGCCAGCTTCATGACTTCATCAACGACTTCATCTTCTTCCTTGAAAATTCCTCCCCCTTCCTCTCTCTTTCCTCTCCAATAATGGTGTGGCGGCCCCAATTACCAATCCCCGTCTCCACCACCTTCCATCAATTCTTCCTCACTCTGACTTTTCTCTCTCCCCGCCACCACCACAATGAACTCCATCTTCCTCTCAATCGTCGCCGCCGTCGTCAGTTTCTTCTTGATAACCCTAATCTTCGGATTCTTTTACTTCCTCTGTAAATCCCTGAAACGCCGCCGTCGCACCCACCACCACCACATTCCACAAACCCGAGCCATCCGTTCCGTACCGCCGGCCACGGCCGGCCGCGGCGGCGAACTCTCCTCGGTCACAATCGACGAGAGCGCCTCCTTCGACCCGAGTCTGAACCGGGTCTCCATGGAGGAGCTGAAGCTCGCCACCAAGAACTTCTCCTCCGATCTCATCATCGGCGACGGCAGCTTCGGCTATGTGTACAAAGCCAGCCTCTCCGACGGAGTCACCGTCGCGATCAAGAAGCTCGATCCGGACGCCTTCCAAGGGTTTCGCGAGTTCCGGGCGGAGATGGAGACTCTCGGGAAGCTCCGCCACCGGAACATCGTCAAGATGCTCGGCTACTGCGCCTCCGGGTCGGATCGGGTCCTGATTTACGAGTTCCTGGAGCGGGGCAGCCTGGACCAATGGCTGCACGACACGTACTCCCCCGTCAGCAAGGAACGGTCCGACGACTCCGTGGCGTCGGTCAAGCTGCTGCCGTTATCGTGGGAGATGAGGAACAAGGTCGTTCGCGGCGTGGCGAATGGGCTAATGTATTTACATGGGCTCGACAGCGCAATTATCCATAGGGACATCAAGGCCAGCAATGTGCTGCTGGACTCGGACTTCGAGGCCCATATCGCCGATTTCGGGCTCGCGCGGACGGTCGACGCGTCGCATTCCCACGTGTCCACGCAGGTCGCCGGGACGATGGGGTACATGCCGCCGGAGTACAAGGACGGAGTGATGGCGGCGACGGTGAAGGCGGATGTCTACAGTTTCGGGATACTCATGTTTGAGATTGCCACGGGGGAGAGGCCCAACTTGCCGATGGTGTTCAACGGCAAGGAGATGGGCTTGATTGAGTGGGCTCGGAAGATGATGGCCCACAATCGTTACGAGGAGATGTTGGACGGGAGCATGCCCGAGAAAGAGAAGGGGTTGTTGAGTGAAGAGAAAGTGAAGGAGTATTTCAGCATTGCTTGCAAGTGTTGCAATGAAACAAATGCAGACAGGCCAACCATGGCTGAGGTTGTGGATTTGTTGAATAGACTTTCCTCCTAGACCAAGTTACTGAGGGGCTACTACTCTGTAATTGTATATTTTTTAATGTTCTTACTACCTATTGATATTTATCTTACAAGGTAAATTTATTTACTAGGGGTATGGGTTTTTTCTACCCAGTTAAAAGCTGAATGATTTTTTTATTTATTTATGGGCGCCTGAAACTTGATTTATTTATAGTCCGACAGAAACTCAGAAAGAATGTCTTTCATAGACAAAATTCGAAAAGGGAAACACATTAGAAGAAGTAAAACAGTAAACAAAACTCATCAGTTACTTGCCATTGGCACCAGCGTGTTGCTTCTCTTGCTTGTTGAACCGCCAGAGATTAACGAGGCGCTCCAGCACGGCGGCGCTTTTGGAGAAGTAGCCTGTGAAACCTGCTGGAATGGCCGGCGGAGGGAAATCTTCTGGGGGCATTGCGAACGGCCGAATCATCTTCTCCATCTTCTCTAAGGTAAGGTATGATCCCACCTCTTGTAGCCGTTCTGGACCCATTATAGGCAGTGTGTGCTCTCGATGTAAAGATGTTGCCTCCACGTCGTTTCCCTGATCGTAAAATAACCGATGTTAGTTGAAAGAGATAATCGACTGACCTCAGTTAATGCATCATCCACTTCATTGAAAGCTATTAGTTAACCAGTGAAGTGAAGAGGCCATATTACCTCTAATGGGGACAAATCTGCACCACGGCTGAATGTCATTTCTATTCGGAACCTTTTCGGGTCTTCCAAGGCAACCTGCAGTTTAAAGTATAAGTAGGGCGTCGATAAGCACACAAATATTAACTTTACCAAAGGGAAGTTCGGAGTTCGGAAGTGAATGTATTAGGAGGTTGGTTTCGTTGACCAAAAGGCTCAAAGAGAGAGCACAGAATAGCGTTAGCTGTTTTACCTCGGTGTTCTCGAACATCCTCAACACGATATAGCTCATGTAGTCAAGCTCCTTGGTATTGTGCAATCTCTCCAAGGCACTGTCGCAGACCAGACTATCTTCGTCTTGAAGAGACTCGTCGAGGTTACAGTACCGGAGAACATTCATAAGCGAATGAATATGTGACTCCTGAAACATACATGCATAAGAAGGCGATCAATAGCTTGTAAACTGTGCATGAATAATAAGGGGTAGGTTTATGTGGTACAGGGTCATGTTACTTACTGAAGTAAAGTACAGGCGCGTCCGAAGATGGCGATCTGGTGTTTTCACATTAGCATATCTGATAACAAAAAAATGATGAATGTGTTACCGAGAAATTAGTCGATAGAGGAAAACGGAAGAACCCTGGGGTAAGTTAAGTCTCAGATCAATAGTTACAACTTACTTCGGATCCAATCGGTATTTTGTCTCCTTGTCATCATCATCTTCCTGCTCCATTGAAATTTCACTGGCAGTGCTAGTTCGTCTTGTGTCCTCACTTTTTATAGAAAGCTTTGGTTGATTATCAGAATTCTCCTTCTCAGTCTTGCTAGAACTTGACGACTCCTGCTCTTGAGCACTCTTTAATTCAGCCACACTGATGGCTTCCTCCCGTGTATTCCTCACGTCAATCAGGATCTTACCCAGTAACCGACGTGCAATCTAAATTTCGACAAACATAGATATAGGCACGTGCAAAATTTTGTCAAAATGGAGTTTCAGATACAATAAATCAGGGAAAGGAAGGGAAGCAAAATAGTAACCGGGTGACATCTAATAGGTGCTCAAGTATATAATATAGCTAACAGCACGCTGTGGAGAGACATCTAATAAGGGACAAAAGTGGAATTTCTCTAGGGTGCTATGAGAAAGGACCTCTCACCTTGGAACCAATCTTCAGTTTCTGCTTTGGATTGATCCCATACTCATTTGGGATCACACCATCTGCAAGCAACTGAAACAGCATATAAAGCCGTTACACATAATTTCAAAGATGATAGTGAAAGGCTCAAACCGACATCCCTTCTCAAAATGAATAAGTAGGATCAGATTCCACGAATTACCTGAGCAACTTTGAAGAGTTCGTCGAGTCCTTCTAGATTAAGATGAGCATTGTGCAAGAGATCATATCTGCAAAGTAGGTACAGGTTGAGTGGAGGAAACGATAACGGCACAGATGCAATTGCAAGCATGAAATTTCAACATGAACTGCAGGTTTTCTACATGATAATCTATTGTTGAAAGGTTAATCACTTTCAATTTTTAGTTTTCCTAGAACAGGAAAATAATGATAACATAGAGAAGGATAATCCCTGGCCACGCACAATTCCAGTGCTTAACTTCGTTACTAAAAGAGTTGCAAAATGTTAGGAAACAGTGTAGCAAGTGAATATTGCCAATTTACAGAAGAAACTAAGGATGTGATTTTAGGCTGCATAACTAAGCCAGGGGATTGTTCCAGATAAAGTAAGCTTCAAATTTGCATACATGGGCTAATATGACAAGTGATACCCATAAATTGGAAAATAGGTAACTTACTTGCACGAGTCATAAACATCAGGAATTTGAGTAATATCGAAACGCCTGCAAACAAATGAGTTAAGTGAACGATTAACTACCATGCTTATGTCAAAACAGCATCGTCATGCAGGATTTCATTCCATGTGATCTCCCTCGTATGTTAAATTTATCACACAAAGAGCAATAAGATTCGTCTGCCATTATATATTTCAATGAAGTGAATGAAACCTAGGATCATAAATTCTACGAGGAAAAAGAAACCTATGATCATATCCACATAATGCAGCACTTACTCCTACACCGACCATAGAAGTAACAAATGATTCAAGTCAAATATTAGAGAACTTACTCTTTACGTTCGTTATACAAGTCCTTTTCAAGTTTCCTCCAGCGAGCATACATCAACAAGAATCCTTCACTACCGCAGGGTAACCCAGCAGCAATTCGATCAACATCAATGTTCGTTTTACCAAGGGCCTTCGCTTGGTCATATGGGAGAACTACATGATAGGCACTTGCCTCAGTAAGATCTTCATCTTCATCTTTGGCTAATAACCTTACTTGCTCAGTCACCTTCTTACTCAACTTTGCCTACCAAGAAAGAAAGCAAGAGGAAAATACCGTGAGATGCTTTGCAAACTTATCCTACATTTGAGACCAATAAGGCTCAAACACTAGAAAGACAAAACAGAGAACGTATGAACTTCGAACATTATCCGCCATCGTGGTGAGAGATCTGAAACTCCTAAAATTTTGAATCCATCCAATTGATTCCTTTTCTATTATTATAATAAAATAAAATAAAAAAGTGGTTCAGTTAATCGAGTATTTTGTACCTTTAATAGGGATTTGAGAAGGCAAACAAGAAATATCAATATTTTACATAGAAAAGGTCATGACAATATATGCAGATACCCATGTGCAAATAGACTAGTATTCTCGATATATATTAGTTACCATCTTTGGGAGAACTTCAGATGCATTTGAAGGAAGTCCAGCCCCGTCTGTCATCCACGGGCATTCAGATGAGCTATTGCTAGTAGCCGGCATAGC